TTCGCATGCCCGAGAATTGACAATCGGCGCCGAACTATGAACAATTCTCAAGGTATTCCACAGGGTCGATTAGTTACCCACGACCGGTGGGCAACCTTCCCACGCATCATTCATGTTTCGTGGACAAACTTGGAAGCTCTGAGCGGCGTTGGCGGTCATCGATGATTCATTTCATCTACACGCATGTCTATCTCTGCCAGTCTTGACTCTGTTCGGGGAGGACTTCACTTGCTCAACACGGACGCAACTCCTTGACAGGGAACTGGAGCTCCTCTTGTTGCAGGACCATATTCCGGATCTTCCGTCATGTGCCGGATAGAGAGAGGGAAGCAGGAAGATCGGCAACAGCCATCGTGTTGCACGAATGGGTTCGATTCTCACAATGGACTCTGCGTCGAACTGAATTCGGCAACTCGTCTGAGCGGTGTGGGGCAGGCTCCCATGTCACAGCTTTGGAAGAAAACAACTTGAGCAGTGACTCTCTCACGGATGCATCAACTGATCAACCTGGCTGTCCACAATGTTCAGGCCTGGAATCCGGAATTTGTCGGGCTCGACTTGGCGGGAGGAACCATCAAGTGGAGGCAAACCCCACTTTGTGCACCAAGTGCCAAGTGCCTTTTCTCTACACGTACTTTCTTTTCGCACAGCAAGCGATGGGCTCAAGCAAGCCGAGAAAGGGGAATCCGCCCTTAGAACGACCGACATATTGATCCATCAATCAATAACTATGTTTGTTTCATGGATCTGAGAGCCCCTGCCCTATCTTTGTTCAACACTCTCTCCACCATCCCCCAGGCGAATCTGCCTGCAACCGCAGCTGCAGCTGCACCCTGCACCCGACCCTGCTCAAGAACAGAACAATGACGAACAAAGCACCAAGCAACGGAAAACTAATTAGAGCGTGGGCTCCAAGCCATTCCGTTGTGTTTCACTTTTCAACTCTTCACCTCGATACCCTGGCGCCCGCCATGTGATGAGCGTGGGTGCTCCTGCAGCCCGCATCTGCACGCTTGATCGGAAATGGGATAGCTCAGGACGCTTGGAAGGGTTCTCGAACGTCAAACTTCGGCGCGACAAGTAGTGCCGTAGACGAGGTTACAGTTGTATCCAATGCAGTCTTTGACCCTGCTTGGCCTCACCATGCCATGTTCTTGCCCTGCCCTTCTGCAAAGCGAGCGCAGGGCCCACTTCTTGCAGGCATGCATGCATACAGCGGTCATCATCAGAGCAAAATTTTGAGGAGGAGGCCAAGGAGCCTTGGGGATCCGGGCACTCGCTGCACCTTCACAGACATTTCAGATTTGCTAGTCTGAAGATGATGCGGTTGATGGCCACCAGCGTCACCGAGGCTGCAACGCAACACTGCATGCTAACCCATCATCACAACTTGCCTTCACTCCTGCATCTGCCGGTGGGACCCCTATTCCTGTTCATCACCGAAGTCATGTCGTGGTATCGTGTGATTAAAACTAAAACATTGGATGGGCTTCACTGGGAGAAGCGCTCATCGCCGTGGGAGAGACCTAATCCCATCCCTTCTCAAATTGCTTCTGCCTTCAGGCTCGCCTTGTTCCGAGTTGAACCGAACTTTGAAGCCATGCCAACAACTGTTTTCTTAGCCCGGAAGTTACCGTTACTGAAACCCCCTCTCAAGACAAAAAAATCTCCCATCTTCCTGATGACCGCGCGGCCATGCATGTTCTCCAAGGCTCACTCGGGTTTAATGGCAACTAGTGGTGAGATGACGAAAGTGCTCACCCTCACAAGCTGCCGCCTTGGCGGATGGCTGCTCCACACCGAATGCACGGAGTTGACATAACCAAAAGCGAAATGAAGGTGAGAAAAAAAAAAAGAATGCGACCTTGTTAGACCCTCCTCCTAATAGGGTTGCGTCTCTTCTGGTGACCTTTTTCTATTCTTTCTTTGTGGGAGGTTGCAAGGGGGTAGCTTTGGGGACTGTTTCAAATCCTTTCATGGTTTATCTTTCTTTGAAGTCTCTCCCCTGGTCTTTGCCATGCATCTATTTTTCTTTTTGCGCTTCAATCATTTATAGCTAGACACCCTGTCTTTCTCTGCGCTATTTCTTGTTCAAGATTGTTGCCCATACGAAGATGGAAGATCTCGGAGCGGTGAAAGCAGGTGGTGAGGGACGGGCAGATGGATGGACCGCTTCTCCGGGAGTTGAGGTCGGGCTTAGGCCATGATCGAGCTATGATTGCATGACCGCGGACAGATCGAGCCACTTCTGGCGGTCTTGATACGACCTTGAGTCCTCGCAGGATTGCCCGTTTGACGAGAGCCGACCCGGTTGCCATCGTCGTCGGTAATAGCGTCTTCTGTCTTTTGGCGTTTTATTCTCGTAACTCGTTCTATTTATTTTTTTCTTCCCCTGGTGGGGCCGGGAGGGGGCGGAGAGAAGCCGCACGCCATGTCGGAGCTGATCCAAGACCCAATGCCCCGACGGAAAGCTATGCGTACCTGATGATACCAAGGCAACGCACGAGGCAAGGAAGGATTGCAAGCCGAGGGGAAAACCCCTCTCTGTCTCTCCGATTCTTCAAAACTACGCTAGATCCTTCATTCTGACATGGACTAATCCTTTTGAAGGCGTAGCAAGGCTATGCTTGATAAATATTTGATTTCCCTTCATGTATTGATCGAGAAGCAAGGGGAGGATGTCGGGTGGAACATAATGGCGTTCAGTACCGGATTGCGCCTTATCTCCTGACCTCAACCCTCTCTGTCTTTTCTTCATGCCAATTTTTTTTTCCCTTTCACGAACATAACAGGTGAAAGAGGGGACAAGGGAGTGCAACGGGGGTCGCTTTCATCAATGTCAGGGCTAGGTCTGAGGGCCCGGCTCCCGGGTATGCGAACAAGGGTTCGCGGAAGAGGCCTAGACAGCCCGGTTTCCTTGACCCCAGAGAGAATTTATTCCGGGACGAGGAGACCGCCGGAAGCACGCCCTCGTCGTCCGATCACCTCAGCCCGGAGCCAGAGGGGCCAGGCAAGTTCCCCTCTAGTGTCCGTGGCACACTTATCGCTGGCCAGTCTTGCAGGGTCTTGCTTCTTCCCGGCCTTGCGGGCCTTTACAGGTGAAGAAAATGGCTCGCGGCTGCAACATGGCGACCAACCAAGGCGGAGCCGTTTGACAGCCCACCTCGAAGCAGCCCATCGCCGGCACTCATGGCAACGGAGTCGTGGCCCTAGGCTCCCAAAATTTTCTTCTTCCTTGGTCTCATACGCGGCAAAACGCGTCTCCTGGCTCTTGTTGAATTTGACTAGGCACGCCATAGCTCAAGAAGCGGTATTTCTCCGAAATGACGTGCAGACCCTGCAAGGGACCAGAACGGAGCCTCAGACCGGGTATCTTCCTCCATTCGATGTTCTTGAAGTGGCTTGATGTGGGTGAGGTTAGCCCCACCATCTATCCTTCATATCTATTTTCCAAATTGATATGTAATTTTTCATGTTTTCTTCCGCTTCCCGCTGTTCACGAATCAGGAGATTCGCATGCGCGGGAGGATGGGTTTTCTCCTAGTGGGAAGGCTTTAGGAGGGGCGGGTGGCATGGCTTTTACTTTTGTTTTGTACGAGGTAGTAATAACCACACGAACTTGAGCACTTGAGCAACGTCAAATGGCGATTCGAGCTATGGGCGTGTAGACCCTCACGTACGTCACCGACACCTCTGTTCTCTCCCCGGCTTTTGGAGAGGGGGTGGGGAGTGGGTATGCGGTGACAAAGGCCGAAATTGCACGGGGACCTTGGGGGCTCGTTCCTGCCTCCTTGTATGGCAAGAGGGACGAGCCGGGAGAGCCGCAAGGCACCCGACCCTATGCAGAAGAAGAAAAAAGGCATATGCCTCGTCCCAATAGCCCGCTGATCAATAACGAAGGAAAACGGAGGGGAAGGTAGTTGGCAACGTATCGGACAGTGCTATGTTTCCGGACCTTCGAGGTCAAGAACACCAGGTCAGACACTTGTCTCATTTTCATCCAACTTGATCGAGGGTCGCCTTCCCGCGGCCAGGTGGGGAGCACTGATGATGCAATCTTGGTGCACCAAAGGGGCCGTGCTCGCAAGCGGCACGAGGCAGAAGTTGTTTTCTCTTCTATTCAGGTTAGACTACGGGGTGTGGGAGAGTCTTCAAGAGGTTGCAAACACGACCGTGCCTTGTTCACTCATGATATTACTAGAGAGCCGAATGGCTTGGGCAAAGGGAAGGGGGAGGGGACCGGACGAAGATAGAAGGAGGACAAAGTGGTGCGGACTTTTCACCACGCCAGTATCGGCCTTCCAGTGGCTACCGCACTCTATACTTGGGGAAGTGTGTGTGTCTGTGTGTGTGTGTGTGTGTGTATGTGTGTGTGTGTATGTGTGTGTGTCTGTGAGCACGCGCGCCATGGCCGTGCGGGAGAGTCGTTGCCCAGACTCGGTGAGGCAGAGACGTTTGCGGGCCTTTGCAGAGACACACTTTTGCAAGATTTGGGAGGCAAGGCGAGGCGAGATGAGGGCGTCAAGGTCAGTGCCCTTTGAGAAGAGGCGTGCGTCAGATCATCATATTTAGGGGATGGCTATAAATTAAATACATTTGGCTAGATACAGTATGGTCCATAATTATTAGAAGGGCGGTCCCGTGAAGGTCGGCCAAACACCGCACGGCATCCCGCCCTAAGTCACGCCAGAACCCGGACGGACGAACCTAGCGGAGGGGACCGTGTGCGCGTGCCCTCGCCGGGTAGGGTAATAGAGTTCGTCCCAAGAGGGGAAGAAGAATCGAGCGAGAAAGGTAGGGTGGTGAAATGAGGCAAAGTACGCAATCCTTGGGAACATCTCTTGTTCTCTCCTTTTGGTTTTCCCCCTCTTTTGCGCCAACTAGTGCACGTTTCTCCCCTTCCATGTCTCCGGCGAGACAGCGGCGTAGAGAAGACGAGGGGGTGCATGGCCGCAAAGACGGTGTCGGCCATGTCATACGGTGAAGGGATGTGATGGCCATTACAGGAGGAAGAGGGCAGCGAGAGCGCCTCCGAGGAGACCGCCGACAGGGGTAAGAGCGGCTCCGGCGCTGTCTCCGGCAGCCGAGGTGGTTGCGGCGGGGGCATCGGCAGTGGAGTCGGCGGTGGAGTCGGGGCCAGCGCTGGTATCGGCGCCCGTCGGCTTGTCGGTGGAGGAAGCGGTGGAGTCGCCGCCGCCGCCGGACTTGCAGACGACCTCCTCGGGGACGGTCACGCCGGCACCGCCGCAAAGGGCGCGGGCAAAGGAGACGGCGGCCTTTTGGCCGGCCTCGTCGCAGGCGTCGGCGAGACAGCAGGCGATGGAGTCGAGGAACTGGCTGTTAGCGCAGACGCAGCCAATGTCGCCCTGGTTGCAGCCGGCAATCTTGGTGCCGCTGGTGGCACCGTTGACGCATGATTGCTAGAGAAGGGGAGCGAAAAAAGTTAGCATAGTGGCCTTTTCTTCAGCTTCTTTCAAGTGTTTGTTTTTTTTTTTTCGTAGGCGCACGCAAGCCCCACGCTCTACGCTCTATATTCCACGTCTCATATTGCAGGGAAATGGGAAAAGCGGGAAGATGGAGCTTCGAGGACCGCCCGAGATTCCGGTGGCGTTGGATGGCTTTGCGCGCATCCACGCCAGCGTCCGTCTCAAAGTCGCAGCATTGGGACGTCCACCAAGAAACCTCTGCTCGGGACGGCGCAGAATGGGCTAGGAAGAAGGAGGTGCTTACTGCGCAAGGGGAACGCTCGTGGCGGGAGTGTCTTGGGCGACAACGGTAGCCGAGAGGGCGGCGAGGGTGACGGTGAGGAACTTCATTTTCGCGGACTGTGGGATTTTATTGTTTGGTTTGAAAAAGGTCGTCGAAGGAAGTAGGGCTGTTTCGTTGTTGAGTGAGTGCGTCTTTTGTAATTTATTCAAACCCCTTGGTTTTTAGCGATCGAGTGGAAGGAGAGCAAAAGGAATCGATGTTTCCGCAGCGAGGTACGATGGTTCCGGGGAATCCGAGTCGTTTTAATACGTTGCGAGAGGCAAGGCGGCGAAAAAAGGGAGGGAGGACATAGCAAACAAGGCAGCAAGGGAGGAACAAAGGTTAAGTGGCTATGTATCATTGTTAGACCGGTTTCCCCAGGGTGGGACGGTGCAGGTGCTCAGGTGCCAGCTTTCCTCCATCAGCCCAGCAACCTAGTCGTGTAGCTTGACCAGCCCTGCTTAATCCGGCGATGGTGGCAAGTGAGCCAGCGCACGATTGACAGGTCCGTTGAGCCAAGAAAGCAAGCAAGCGGTCCCCTCCCGAATCCCAAATACCAATGGATTGATGGAACCCCACCAGCCAGCGCCGAGCTTGGGACTCTTGTCGAGTCTCCTCGCAGCTCGCACGCCGTTGAGGGAACCGGATTGGACAATGGGCCTGCCCCGGGGAAATTGCCCAGTCTAGCCAATCCGCGTTACCAAAAGCGTCGAGAACCCCTGGGCCCTTGCTCAACGGGGCCGTTAGTAATCAGCACAACCCCGCATCATTGGTCCTGGGCCCCGATTGAGTGCAGGTCGCAGCGCTGGAACCCCTGGTCCCCTCCACCCTCCCTCCCATCTATGGATCTCATCACGACGATCCCACCGCCAGTCTAATCCAACCGTTTGGCCAAACCCTCAGATTCCCGTCCCTTCGCTTTGCCAGAAGTGGCGAATCATGAGCTTAATCTACCTTTTCTCTCCTTATTACTTCAACGAGGATATTATATATACGCAAACACGAATACCTTTGTACCAATGTACAAGAGACGGAGCGAAGGAGGAGGCGGGAAAGTGAGACGGACAGTGGGAAAAGTAATATAAGCAAGGCAGGTGCAGACATCGTGGTATCCCTCAGCACCAAGGTTGATATATCGGCATGTTAGGCGACGCTTGCTTTTCCTGTTTTGCATTCTCTCCTTTCCCTTTGCTCATTCACCACTCGCCAAGCATACCATCGTCCAAGGCCGTACAAATAAGTCCGCATCTGGGGTGCCCGACTCGTTTGAGGCGGATTAATCAGTGGTGGTGGTGGCTCCCGATCGTTCGTAATTCCTCCCGGCAGTCCGAGTCAGGCACTGGGAGAAGCGGGCGCCTTGAATAGATAAAGCCCGAAAAACAAGAAAGAAGAAAGAAAAACGTTCCCTGCTCAGCTTTTGAGCTGGGTACAAGTCCTCATAATGTTCGCAAAGCGCTCCCAACAAAAGAGTAGGATAGTAGATGAGGATACTCATGTGCATTGACTACGTTGAAACTAGCTACCGCAGTACTCTCCCAGCTCAACAGTAAAACAATGGATCGATAAGAAAAGACAATTCATTCACATCATGACCCAGTCTAGTCGTCGTCCTCATCCTCGGAATCTTCGTCGTCGTCGTCTTCGCTCGACCCTTCTTCATCTGACGACGCCGGCTCTTCGTGCCAGTGGCCACAGCCCTCGCAAGGCGCACCCCGGTTCGCCTCCTTCTTCTCCCGCAATCGCTTCTCTTCATCTGGCGACTTCCACGATGAATGTACCCTTTGGTTGGCCTGGGCAGTAACAAAGCCGGTCTGTGTCGCCTCTGCCTTGTTCTCGTCCTTGTTCTCGTCCTCGGCCTCGTCTTCCTCATCCTCCTCCGCCTTGGGCGCAATGGTAAAGTACCTCGACGAGGTATGAGCCTCTCCCAGCCTCTTAGCCACGTCGCTCGCCTCGTTCAGGCTAACGATCCTTCGCTTGTCGGGGTACTTGGCGGCGACTGCCGAGCAAATCTCCCACACCTTGTCCATGTTAGGCTCCGAAGTCTTGGTTTTCTCCTTTTGCTCCGCCTTTTGAGCAATGGTTTCGGCAACCCAGGCTCCCGTTCGGTTGCTGTTCGACACCTGCAGCTGGGAAGGCTGCTTGAGAATCTTGGCCATGATCTTATCTCGCGCCATCTCCCCGGGCGTCCTTCCGACCGCGTTCTCCCGATACAGGAGCTTGGGTCGTACGCTGAGCAGGAGCCCCGTGAGCCACGAGAACGATCTCAAAACCGCCGTATGGAGGCACGAATCGCCCGATGCACTGAGCAACTCGAGCTCGGCGCCCTTACTATAGTGGAGAAGCAGCTGCACCACCTCTGTGCCTTGCTTCGCCGAATGGTTTTTGGGTGAGGGCTGCCACCGGTAATCGTCCGTGGTGAGCTCATTAATGTACGCGTGGAGGGGCGTGTGCCCGCCCTGTTCGAGGGTGCAGCGCTGCTTCAAGAGATGCTCTAGAAGACCCTTGTCCAGCGCTTCGAGGAGAGGCTTAAGCTGTGCCGCCTTGGGTCCCCTCTTGAGAGCGCAATGGATAACGTTGTCGCCAGACTTGTTTCGAACTGATTGATCCGCACCGCCTCGAATCAAAAGTTTACAATACTCAACATGTCCCTGAAGCGCAGCAGCAAGCAAGGGGGTGTTGTTGTCAGAGTCTTTAGCTTCAAGCGCCGTGGGGCAGCCTTTGATAAGATATTTCACAAGCTTCAGGCCTTGCTCGGTTTCCGGCGCGAGAATCGCACAGTAAAGCACAAGCTCATCTAGTCGAAGGGGAAAGGAAAGAAAAGGAGACGCCGTTAGTGTATACTCTTGATCAACGAAAAGAGAGACTGAAGAGACGAGGGAGGGGGTAGGGAAGCTGAGCGGGGACGTGGTTTATTTTTTTATCCATGGCACTTACTCTGGTTTCCAAGCCACTTTGAAACGAGACCCTCGAAGCCCCCAGTCGTGGTAAGGTGCTTGAAGCGGCTATCCTCTTGGGCAGCCTTGGACTGGCTAAACTCGGTATAGAGGCGGAGAGGGGTTTCCGTCAAGAACCACTCGACCGACTCCAAGTTCCCACCGAGCGCGGCGTAGAGCAAGGGTGGCGATTGCAGCCCGATCGGCTTGACGTACATGTTTCGGCCGGCGTTGGCCCAGTCCTTTCTATAATAAGTGGCGAGATTCCACGTTAGCCAGTCTGCCCCCACGGGTTCTGTGTTTTCCTTTTCTCCAAAAAAGAAGAAAAAAGAGACAGCGCCGGAAAAAGAAAAAGAAGAAAACGTACCTCTTCTTGCCGTAGACGCTAAGGCCCTGGTAGAACCGGGGCTTCTCCTTGACTTCAACGCCGGTCCTCTTCACGAGGTGGTCCAACGGAATGCCAGCTCCAGTCTTCCTGATGACCTCAGCGAGGGCTCCCACCTTGCCCTTCTCCACGAGCTTTTGGAAGACGTCCTCGGGGAAGCTGTACCCGCCTTCATCGCTCTTGGACTTGTCAAAGCTCTTCCTGCCAAAGTGGATAATAAGATCAATGAAACGCTTGAACACGCTTTCGTCCGTACACTTCTTTAGCAGGAAATCGAGAATGGTCTCGTTGGCATAGTTGGCCGACTCGTGGTCCAGCTGGCCATCCTTGAGCACAAAGGTATTGACGACCCAGTTCACCATGTCCAAAGCCTTGGTCTTGGACTTGACTTGCATCGATATTTGCCCAATGTTTTCAATGGTAAACTTCTTGTCGACCGCCTTGGACACGATCTTGGGCTCGTCCCCGTCATCACTGCAGGCGTCCGAGTCGTCGTCGTCGGTGTAGCCTTCGTCCTCATCATGCTTGATTTCATAGCGCTTCTCCTCCTCGTCAGGCGCATACTGGGCCTGAGCAATCTCGGCAATTCCCCAGGCGACGTCATAATGTCCGAACAGGAAGGCAAGGGAGAAGGGCGAGTTGGAGACGGCGTCCGTCACCGAGATCTTCAGCGGAGGCTCCGTCTGCTCCTCATCCCAAGACTGCATGGTAAGAGACTTTATCTTCTCCAGGTCACCCCTCCAGGCAGCTTCGAATCTATAAGGGTGTGCAAATGTGGTTAGCCAACGCCTGAGAAAGAGTACAAGGCGCGCAGGGAAATACTTACAGCTGAATATACGCAACCTTTCTGGCCTCGGTGACGTCGGTCACGTTGGAAAACCGGAAATCGTACGAGAAGGGCTTCTCTTCCGAGGTCTGCGTCGTGGTGTCCACCACGGGGGAACATAGAGGCCAGGGTGCTCCTTGACGATCTCGGGATAAAGCTCCGCAAAGGTTTTGCCGCCCTTTTCGATAAGGACCTTTTCAAGCTTCTCGTAGCCCGCAATTGCCTCCTGAACGGCCTGCTGGCGCTGCGCATACTGTTCGCGCTTCTTGGAAGAGTGGACCTTGCAGCTATCCCTTTCGTAGGCTTTCACGGCATTCTTATACGTCTCCTTGACGGAGCGGACCTTGGCCGAGACGACGCAGTATTGGTACGTTCCATCCATGAAGTTGTCGAGGTATTCGTCAATTCCGGGAGTGAGGGTCGGCTTCTTTCCGTCCAAGATGGGCGGCTTATACTCACGGAGGCCCGTGATATAGGACCTGACAATGTCGAGGGCGCTCTCGCCCTTGGTATAGCGGCGGTTCCACTCATTCTTGATGATATTGCGGGTAGTGGTGGGCAAAGCGTTGGGATCGGCGCCCCTCTCGAGGAGGTGGATGGCCGTCTCGGGATCCGTGCAGTGCTGAAGGGCCGCAATCAGAGGCTGGATCGTGCCCCCTCAAATAGGGCCTTGTTGGCCTCAAAGTTGCTCAGTCGCTTCTCCAGACTCGAGGAGAACTTGGCCGCCTTGAGCCAGGTCTCAAAATCGATTTGCGGGTTGGCGCCAGCTTCCAAAAGCCTGAGCACAAAGGTTGAGTCGCCATTGGCAATGGCGAGGTGAAGGGGCGCGATGGCGCTGGGGTTCCAGTAATTCGACCCAATTACCAAGTGGTTGATGGAGGTCTTGACGCCGGTCTTGTCATTCTCCCACAGGGTATCAATCATCTCCATTTCTCCCGAATCGACATAACGATGGAACACCGTGCAGCCGTTGAGGTCGGCTTGCGACGAGGTTGCGCCAAGGCTGAGCAGAAGCTTAGCCATAGACTTGGCCTTCTCAAGTGGGAGGCTCAGTGCCAGGGCGAGCGTGAGGATCGCACCAACCGGTTCCCTCTCGCTATTGAGGAACTTGATTGGGAGCAAGGCGTCACCACCATACTACGGCAATAGTTGCGTTAGCCAAAAAAGGTCTAGTGGGAAATGAGGCAACAAAAAAGGGGGAAAAAGGGTTGACTTACATCGCAAAGCGCCTTGACGACTTCTTCATGGCCGTGTGCAATGGCGAGGTGCAAAGGCGAGCAGGGGAGTCCCAGGCGAGGACATCGATCTTGTAAAAGTCGGGTTCGTCGTCGTTGCCCTCCTCGAGCTGCTTGATGTGGTCGACCTCGGCGTCGTTCTTGACATTGACAAAAGAGCCAGTCGCAAAGGAGTGCGCACCATCATCGTCCGACGCAGCATCTTCGAGCATGTCCAGGTCCTCTTCCGAGTCCTCTTCCTCATCACTGCTCTCGTCCGACTCCGACTCGGGCTTGGCGGGCTTGGCAGGCTCCTTCTTTTCCTCTTTACCCTCGTCGCGGAGGGCCTTGCGCTTAGCATCCTGCTTCTCCGCATCGAACTCTTCATTTTCAATACTCTTTTCCATCAGAGTCTTGATCATGTCGGGAATACCGCGCTCGGCCGCGAGGTGGAGGGCAGCTTGCCGTCGGCCAAACGGGCAGTGAGGCGGGCGCCGTGGTGGACGAGGGCCTTGACAATCTCGGGAGAGGAGCTTGCCACGGCGAGGTGGAGAGGGGTCCTTCCGGTATAGTCGCGGCGGTTGACGTCCGCACATGGCTGGGAGAGCCAGGCCAAGACCTCATCGAGGTCGGAATCAACAATGGATTGGCAAAGGCGGGCAGTGTTTCCAACGTAGGCCATGTCAGTCCAGTCGTCGTCGGTGAGAGGGTTGAAGGAGCCGATTTGCTGACGGCCGGGGTCATCAATCAACAGCTTGATCTTGCCCGAGATATAAATTTCACTTTCCTTCTTCGCAATCTCGATCTCTTCCGGAGTCACAGGCTGAGGACATGTGCCGCAGCAATCTTCAATGACATCCTGTACGCGACCAAAGAAGGCGGGATGTCGGTGGAGGTACACCTCTCGGTTCTTGTGCTGATTCCACTCAGCATTGAGGACTGTCGACTGTGTTAGAAGCTGTTCGTCTCCGTCATCCCCCTGAAGGAGCCCTCATCCTCTTCAAAGCGACTTACGAAGATCACGGGTGTAGCATAGTTTCTCAATCTTTTTCGCATGGAAGCTAAAAAACAGAAATCAATCGTGTTAGTCGTGCTGTTGACAAAGTAGCACGTAGCAAGCTTTCCGTTCGGAGGTAAACGTACTGCTGGCCATAAGGTACAGTGAAGGTGTGGTAGTTGGAAACATCGGTCTCGTCGACCCAGTCGGCAACTTCATCCTCATGGTTGTCCTTGATATTGCCCCGAAGACGCATACGTGTGTAGAAAAGAGCAGGGCGGCCACGCTCCTCACGGCGCTTGTTGAGATATGTCTCGCGGGAACTGGAAGTGGGAAGGCGCTCGAGAACGAGGAGACGGGCCAAGCCTAGGGTGCGACCAAAACTGCGCTCGAAAATGGTGGGATCAATCTTGGAGCGGTCGAGATCGGGCCAGTACACCTCAAAGTTGCGGTGGGAATACTTGGACAGACGGTTTTCATAAGAAGGGCTTCGCCTGGAGAGATCGATATGGTTGATCTGGCTGATGAAGCTCCCGAGAGCTCGGGGAGTAACATAGACTTGGTTTCCGTCATACGCACCGCCAGCAGCGTCGATGTCGAAACCAGTCAAAATTTCACTAATGGACTTGTAAGAGCGCAAAACGACCTTGGAGCAGTTAGTACCTAAAAGAAGTGTAAAGGCAACGGGCCGTCCCTTTCTCTTGGGAGACGGCGAAAAGGGTCCGGCTGGGGCTACGACGATACCTGAATATGCCGAGTAGGATATTGGGACGCAATCGTGACGGCGTACTTGGTACGAACAACGGTTACTTCGGTAAGGATGGCGTCGCGGACGGCCTGCTCGATTTGCTTGATCTTCTCGAGGGCCTCCTCCTCGTTCAGGCCGTACAGAAACAGATCAACATCGGAGGCGGGGCAGAATCTTTCATGGTAGTATTCACGGAGCTTTCGCTTGGTAGTGTTAAACTCGGTGGGGACGGGAAGAAGACAATTGACAACGGAGGAGCCGGCCGCCACGACGTTATTCCAGTCCATGTCGGCGAGCGAGTTCTCGGAAAATATGCCAAAGTTCTTTTGGAACTCCTTCAAAGAGGAGACGGTGGCGGGAGAACCGTGGGCGCGTCGCTTGTCATCGGGGAGAGCCATGATGTACCTGTCCTTTTCCGTTTCGGATTCCTCGGCGAGGTTCCTGGCGCGGGTGGTGATGCGCTTGGTATTCTCGGTGAAGAGCGGAAGAACATTGACGTATGGGTCATTGAGACGAGGGTCCTGGCGATCTTGGGCGAAGACGGTACGGAGTTGGGACTCATACCGGCGGTAAGGGCTAATGATGTCGACGAGAGGCTTGTCGGGGTGGTCGGCAATGAAGTTGACCAGCTCCGCATGGGGAGCTGGGATCGGCTCGAGCTCAATAGGCATGATGGCGAGTTGAAGTCAACGAGTTACAGTAACGCGGATCGTGCTAGGGGTGTCGGGAGAAGCTCCCGGTTGGCCAATTGGCAAAGTGGAGGTGCACAGAGCAAGAGCGAGCAAATAAGAAAAAAAGAAATCGTGGATCACGGTCTTGAGCACAGAATTGAATCAGTGCCGAGGGGCAAGCGAGGGGCAGCAGGCGAGGCAACGCGAGGGGCGGCGAGGGGCAATGTGGGGCAGCTTCGATAGATTTGGAGATATATAGAGAGAGGGAGAGAGAGAGAGAGAAAAAGAGAGAGAATGGTCAAGTACGAGGGATTCGAAGACTGTCTAGTCACAGCGACGAGGGCAATCAGGGTGAGGCAACACAGGAGGCATGGAGAGATGCTATTCCGAACTTCAATGGAGAGGGAAACACGAGAGCCGGCGGCGATGGGAACTTAAATAGATCAGACCATCACTACAAGGGAGAGCTGAGAAGAGCCCAGATTTTTTGAAGCGAATCAATCTACGAGCTTAGCTCTCCTGAGATTAGGCAGGCAGGGCAGAGCGGGGAAGGCAGATGGGCTGGCGCCGACAACAGAGAACCAGCTCCATCACGTTCCTCGAAGCGAATGAAGCTGGGACTGGGCCAGACAAGGAAGGACCAGGACCAGACAGACGATGTCGGGAACCAGGGGAGGTCAGGGTCCCAGGCCATCCTGCAGAGGGAAAGGTGCGGTGTGAAGGGCGACTTGCAGGACGAAGGGAGTAGCCAGCATCATGAGTGGTACACTCGAGCCGTGCAACGCACCATCGCAAGGTACACGCCACTAGCAGACGCCGAGGGCGACAAGCCCCCACGATGGGGAGCACGAGAGATGTAGATTCGGATAGGTCCCTTCACCAATTTGCTCCGGAGAGTGGGTATCCTGCCCGCAGTCTATACTCGAATTGAAGCTTCGAAATAAGAACGGGTTGGCAAGGGCAAAAAGTATGCTGACCCCAGTCGGATCGCCCAAGAAGCGGGGCAAACCTCTTGGTCTTAGTGCCGTCCTTGGTGCAGGGGCAGCTCTGGGAAAAGCACGCGAGATGGTGGTTCAGTGGCTGCGTGCAAGGGGGAGGGGAGAAAGAAGGGGAAGAGAGGGGGGCTGAGCCACGGAAGAGGGGGTTTCCAAACCATGTTCCAGGGTAAACGTCCTAGGGATCTCTCATTGGAAGTGATGGATGGGGCAGGTTCTAGCCTTTGCGGATTGACCGCAATCAATTTGAAGAAACCACGCAAGGGAACGTTGGAGGTCGAGAGAAAACGGGGTCGTTCCAGCGTTAGCTGCAGCGAGCTGGAAAACGCGGTTCCATCCATCTGCAAGGGTTGCCTGGACGCAACAGGGCTGTTGAGGCTCGAGTACGACGCTGGAGCTAGCGCCACGTCCAGTGACCTCGCTCCTCAAAGCTCGTCGAGGGTGCGGAATTAGGCAGCGATCCAGTCGGAGAAGCCCAAAGACCAACCGATTTTGTCGATACAAAGACTTTTTTATTCACCCACGCTCGGCTCGATGGAATGACAGGCAATGACAGGCACGGGGCACCACATTCTCGAATACGGCATCAGCATCCTTGAATCTCTAAATTACCCGAGGGTTGGCCAGGGCTAGTCCCGGGATGTTGGCGTTGCATCATGCCAGGCGGGATGGCATATGGGATAGGATGGGGATGGAGTTGGTGAAGGCGTGAATCGTCCAACTCGTTTTGGCGCACAACATTGAACCTTCGAAGGCAGCAAGCCTCCCCCGCCTCAATCCATCTCCAATCTCCAATCTCCAACCCGCCCTAGCGCCCTAGCGCCCACAGCCACAGCCCGGCATCACTCTCCAGCCCTTGGCCTGTCCCACCCCAGCTCCGAATCGGCCGAAGGGTTTGCGCGACTCTTGAAACCCGGAGACGAAAAATTCTAGGCAGGCGAGGGGTTTCTGAGGAGAATTGTGAAAAGAGAGACCTAACGGGGACAGCATTTGATCTTGTCATTTCTAGCGAGGTATTGCTCGGTGAAAATACTGATAAGCGGTCTAGCACAGGTGCCTTGATTGAACCCTTTGTCTATTCGATTGTCAAGGCAGCCGCATCGGTGCATCCATCGAAAGGCAATGCTCATGACCGACATCAATCTCGAGACGGATCTCGAGATATTGGAGCCAAGCTACGGGGCGTACCTAGCAGCCTATCCTCATACACCATCTCTAAAAGATTTAATCGCGAAGGGAGAAGGCAGAGGAGACAGGTATCATCATCACTCGCGCAGGATGGGGAGAGGCATTCACATATCAGTGACCGATGAGCGTACGCAGGTTCAGAACGACATGTTGGGAGAAGATTCTGAGCTGAGCCCCCGTTCTTTAAAGCCAAAAGTGAACCCCAACCCAAAATTAGACCTAGGTTACGGAAACAAGCATATGACAGAGAGAGGGCAAGGGGTCGGACAAAGTTTACAGAAACAGGATTGATCAGTTTCGGGCAATCGTTGAAGGGGTTAGTACACTACGTGGAGCGTGGGCATGAGCGTGTAGTGTGGGTTGTAAAAGTGTGGGTGTAAAAGTGTGAGACAGGATGAGGGTGCACGTTGAAGCTCCTCCAGTCTTCATCTCCCCGGACTTTTCAATGTCTCGGGTGAATCAGGCCGAAGCTGCTCTGTTGAGGCAACGCAACGTGGGTGAAAGGGGAAGGCGAGAGACAAAGGCAGACGAATGCAGACAAATGTAGACGAAGAAACCCCTGACCTCCAGTTCAATCAGTGCTGCTCACCTTGTCTTCAGAAGAGGTCTGAAGCAAATTGCATGACTGTATACTCTTCTGGGGCCGGAAGGAAGGGGATTTTACATGAAGCATTCTCGCGGATAATCTCAAACTCGCGAGCTAGGAGATGTGGAGATGATAACAAGGCTCCAACGCTGAACATTGAGGAATTTCTTTGATCCGAGGCAAAGCAGAGGTCTTGGCGGGATTGACAAAGCTCCAAATAGCATCAATCTTCCTGCATCAATCTTCCTGGATGATATTCGGGACCGCCCCTCCAAGGCCCACCCGCCTACCGCCTGCCAAGCCGAGATTCGACTGGTCAATTGTCTCGCAGCTTTTCTCATCTTTTGGTGCAGCTTCCTGAGCTACTGACCGGCAAGCTCCTTCCTGACCAGCAAGCTCCGTACTGACTAGCAAAGCCATTGAATCGCGTGCTGCGAACGTGCTCCTGCCGTTCTCGCATGCATAAAACCCACTGACTCAGCTAGCTTCCCGAGGATGCTCCACTAAAGATGGGACGGTTGCTATGTGGAAGATAGTAAATCCATCACAACCATCTACATCTTGATGAACGGCCTCCAGCTGGCTCTTTCGACGATTACCTCTTCGTCAGAGTCCAGCCGATCCAGTCGCTGTCGTCCCTTCTTTCCCCGTGGGCCGAGAAGCGACAAAAACCGGGCTGACGGCTTGACGGGGTGAGCCCGGCACGAGATGTGCCGTCCACGTCAGCCAAGCAATCCCTCACGGACCACGCCAATTGGAGCCAATGAGGTTGGCGAGTGGTGAGATTGGCCTCCATCATTCGCGCCCCTGGGGAAAGATCGTAATCGCGCCAATGTCCCCTCAATGGGCACCGATGACGATATTAATCAAGCTCTGGCTGGAATTGGTCAATCTGGTGTCTCCGGACTCCAGCGCTTTAGCATTACTTTTCCTCCCTCCTCGCCCCATTTGCATTGCATCGGAAGGGTTGGGGAAGTCGGGGTTGAGATTGGGGTTGGGGCTCCCACCAACGTCGAAATACTGAGATGGATGGAATAGATGAATGGATTGAGGTAATGGCAATGGATGGCTGTACGCTAAATAGTCATCTCCTGCGGTAGCAAGCAAGCTTGAGTTAGCTCCGTCTCGGCCAGCTCATCCATTCTTTGCTTTGTCTCTCTGCCAAGAACCAGCTGGCACAGAAGCGAGCCTACATGCAGAAAACCGAAGCCGTGGCCCTCCTCCCTGTGCCTCTCCTCGCCCTCACCCTTGCCAAGACCGCCATTGAGCATCTTGGAAATGGTCTGATTGGGGTCGCAGAGACTGCACCAATGGTTCAACTAGATCGGAGGCCCCCTCTACGATTCTCGTGAAAAGACCTCTTCGTCCCCATCTGCTTGAGACAGAAAGATTGCACCTTCTGTTGCTAGCATCGGCAGCGAGACCTTTTTCTTCTTCTTGTTTCTCTTTCTTCTCTTTTTCTCTTTTTCTTTTTTCTCTTTGTGCTCTAATATCTTCTTGTCCTCTCTGGTCATAGCACTAATTCCTCGAGGGCTGAAAAAAGAAAGGAAAACACAAAAACCCTGGACTTCATCTCCAAGTAAACAACAACAAGATTGTCCCCCTCTCCCCCTGTCGTACCTCGTCCGGAGCTGGAAGCTAGTGCCCACCCCCATACAATTCGATCCTATCGCAATCCAGACAAAGGTAATTCTGAGTCCCAAGTGATCCTTTCCGCACCTTCACCCTCAACCTCTCACTTCCTCGAATCTTTGGGGCCGTCCTTGGTTTTCTCACCCTCGTTTAATAACGGGGTTTGCTCTTTGCAGTTTATCCTGCTGTCCCATGTACGTATAGCCTTGCTTCATTTCGCCGGCCTCATCCGGCGCGATTCCTTGTTGCATTCATTACCCTTTTGGGGACCATTTGTTATTTTTTTTTTTTGTTTCGTTCTCCTATCCATTTCCCACCCCATACCCCTTCTTACCTTGTCTTTTCTTCTTATCCCATTTTAAGCCTGTTTCCCACTCTCCCGTGTGCATCTATGTGAGGTGCGGCCACGGTCCCGATCGCCCGCGCATTGATATTAATTATGCGACAGTAGCTTGCTAGGAAACCCGATCGCAATCGCAACGTCCCCTGTGTCGACGTCATCGGTCGCATCCGAGTATTGGAAACGCGAGCTCGCGATACCCGAAGCCTAAATCGTCGACGAAGAAGAAAAAGAAGGGAACCCCGCCCAACCGCGAGTTTGCCCTTTCTTCAGTCGTTCATACCGTCTGAGGGAGCTCAATCCCGTTGAGTACAACTGTTCCCAGAAACCAATCGCCCCTCCCGCGTCGCACCACCCACCAGCCAGCCAGCCCATCATGGCCAATTCACCGTCACACCTCCCCGGCGAGACCCCGACCGGCAATGTCAACGAGTCCAACCCGTTTGCCTCCGCCAGCCCGTGGCGCCACCAAGAATCGAGCGCGTTTGCGCGGTACGCCGCCGCGAACCCTCATTCCCACACCCTCTCGGAACTCCGCGACCAGAGGGTGCCGGCGTGGGCAACACGGGCGCGCTCGCCGACTTTCTCAACTCGAACCGCGTCGAGTCCCGCGGAAACGGCAGCGCAGCTAGCCACGTCCCCATCGTCGTCCCCGGAGGAGAGAATGGCGCCCCGGCGGAGCAGCCCAAGATCCCCAGCGACGGCCTCAGGGTCGTTTGCGGCCCGCTCCTCAACTACCGAGGCATGATTGACAACAGGACCTGGCGCGGCAGCGTGCTTGTCGTCGTCTCGGGCGGTGGAAGTGCGCCCCCGCCCGCACCTGCGCTCACCCTCCGTCGCATTGGTGCCGCCAACCCCCACTCCTTCACCTCCATGTCGAGCGCCGATGCGACGCCCGGCCTCGACAACCTTCCTCCTAGCGCTGATGCGGTAACCGTCGATAGAATTGTAGCCCAGACGGAAGAGGCTGGGGCCGTCATCCAAGGATCTTGCCTGTACTCCGACACCCGCTGCACCTTCTTCCAATATGACATCGTCGTGGAAATGGAGAATGCAGATGTAAAGTGGGAGTATGCCATCGCGGATGTACACTACTCCAGCCCGACCAAGCCCCGCCAAAACAGTTTCTTCACCCCCTCTGCCACAGAATCCATGAGGTCCATGTTCTTCTCCTGCAACGGCTTCAGTGTTGGAACCGATGAGGATGCCTGGAGTCATCTTGCGCTCTGGAACGATGTCTTGAGGAGGCACAACGAAGCTCCTTTCCACGTCATGTAAGTGATTTCCTGTCCCTCCCTCCCTTGGTAACAACTGGCGACTTTCTTTTTCTCACAAATTTCGTTCTTCTAGGATTGGTGGTGGCGACCAGATCTATAACGACGGTATTCGAGTCGACGGGCCCTTGCGAGAGTGGACAGCCATTGGCAACCCTCGGAAGCGTGGAAAGTACCCTTTCCCCGATACTCTCCGTCAGGAATGTGACAACTATTACCTTGAGAACTATATTTCATGGTAAGCCATAGCCAATTCCTCCCCCACCTCCCCGGGGCCGGGCGCACTTCCGGATCGGCGACTAAACCCACGAATGACGATAGGTACAACCAAGAGCCCTTTGCCAGTGCCAACGGACAAATCCCACAGCTTAATATCTGGGACGATCATGACGTGAGTTACTCGGCTTTTGAAAAGCAAATACCCGCTTCTAGACACGGTGCAAACCTAGGGTATCCGTCACTAACTGCGGGAATTGATCGGAAATATAGATTATTGATGGCTTTGGGTCGTACACGGATCATTTTATGAGATGCGATATTTTCCGGGGCATCGGTGGTACAGCGCACAAGTACTACCTCCTCTTCCAACATCACCTTCCTCCTCCACCCTCAACTTACACGACTGGTAAGACCAAGCTGCCTCCTTCTCGCCCCTCTCCTAATCCTTTGCGGTGACTAACTTTGCTTTAGATGTTGTCGGAACCACGATTGGCGGCGAGTCGAGGCAGGGATTCGACCCCAAGCAGGTCGAGAATGCGTTTGTGGCCCCCAGAGAACGACACAAGAGATCGGTTATATTGTCGGACCGAAGCCGGGAGTAAGTCGCCAGTTCGCCTCGCCCCCGAAAAGGGACGCGTTTCGCGCTAACTCGCATCTTAGCCCTACGTTGCTGAGCATTCTCTCAACCTATACGCCCGTCTTGGTGCGCGACTTGCATTTTTGGGCATCGATGCTCGCACAGAGGTACGCCAATAGAGTCTATCTAGACCCCCAAGAGAAGGAAACCCCTTTTGTAATCGGTGGCTAACATGATGTGCTTGTCCTCTTTTCCCATTGCGCAGCGAACACGCCATCAAATCAACTACCCCGAGACATACGAGCTCATGTTTGATAAGTTGACAACGGAACTGGTGCACGCCAAGAACACCGGACAGCCCATTTCTCATTTGCTGATCCTCTTGGGTGTCCCGATTGCCTATCCTGTAAGAACACGCCGGCACTGAAAATATCCCCATTTCTTTTCTACATCTTGCTAACATAGTCTTGTACTTTAGCGACTTACCTGGCTTGAAAACATCTTCTCCAGCCCTCTCATGGGACCTATGAAGTTCCTGAACCGCAGGTTTGGCTTTGGTATGACGCCCCAACACCCTAGTCCCTGGCGCGCACTCGCAGACTCGAGCTAGTGATTGCGACACCTATGAAATACCCCAGTTTACTAACAGGAAAATTCTTAGGTGGCTCGTTCTTCAACAAGTTTGACGGTAGTGTCGACCTACTTGATGACCTCGACGACCACTGGACTGCCCGTACCCACAAGGCGGAGCGCAAGTATCTCATCGAATCCTTGCAAAACATTGCCGCCGCGCATAATCTTCGCATCACGATTCTCAGCGGCGACGTCCACCTGGCCGCCGTCGGGCGCTTTTACACGGATCTCCACCGGCGCGTCGACCCTCTGGCCGACCATCGCTACATGCCCAACATCATCTCCTCGGCCATCGTCAATAAGCCTCCTCCCGCGGCGGTTGCCAACCTACTAGCCCATAGAAACAAGATCCATCGCATGGGACACCGAACCGACGAGACCCTTCTCACTTTCTTCGACAAGCAGCCCGGCGGCAAGAAGAAGGCCGGTAATAGCAACCAGGTGACGATGCCGAGCAGAAACTACGCGATAATTACGGAGAACTCTCCCAATGGCGTTCCCGCGGCTGCCGCTGCCGCTGGGCAAGTGCAAAACGGATCTGCGCCACCCGCGCACAACCACGACCAGGCCGCGAACCCTGTGCCGAACGGAAAGGCCAGCACCCCGCACAAGAAGGACGGCCACTTTGCCCTCCACGATGGAGAAAAGGGTGCCGGTACCCTCCACAAGGCCGCGTCAATCCAGCACGGAAAGGGCGGAGACGGCGGCCTGGATATCTGCATCCGGGTGGAGATTGACCAGTCCGATGCGCAGGGAAAGACTCAGGGTTATGGTATGACTATTCCCGTTCTACGATATGTAGAGAGGCCGGAGAGCTCGTCCGCCTCGTCAAGCCAGTCCAGCCATGCTGGCTCTCGGCGGTAGATGCAGAAGCCTTGCCGAGTTTGGTGGTTTCTTGACTTTGGTCATGTTTTAGTGATAATTGCGCTCTCGGCTACCTTTTACCACAATGGTTTCCATTCTTGTACTTGGAATCTAGGGCAAAAGGTTTTCTTTCTTTAGTTTTTTTTGTCTTGCTGTGCAACCCGGAGGAGGACGGGGCGGAAGAGATCAGATTTGGATTGGTTTTTGACTAGATATCCCATTATCTTCTGTACCAGATAGCTTACTTTCCTGGCGGAGGTGTCTTTATTTTCTTGCTCTTTTTCCGCCAGACAGTGCAATGCGTCCGATTAATAACTCGCTTGTTCCCCGCATCAAATCCTCTCCGTGATATTCTCAAGACAAATGAACAGAGAGGGCTCAACTCTTTTGCGGACCGCTGTGTGACTCGCGTATGGCTGACTCCTCAACGGCTTGGCTCGGTCGGCGATTTCCAGAAACCGCCGTTGACCGGCCCCTATAATAGCCTGTCAGCTCCATCGCGCCTGCTTCCAGTTCAATGTCACAGCTCAGCTGGTGGGATCACGTGGGGAGCTAGTGGGGCACTGGGCACTGCAGGGCACTGCAGTACACTGGCGGTGACAGTCAGCGATTGAACGCGGTATCGGCTTAGCCAAACCCGACGTCATCGGCCCGGCCGGGGAAGGCGTGCCCTCCCTTCCTCTTAACCCGCCGGAAAGCGAGCGAGGCCAATGCACGCCCCCGTCGTCTGCGCAAGCTCTCACGCGAGATAACGGGCGATACCCAATCCGAAGCCTCCCAGACCTTGTCTTGGACCCCATTCTCGAGGAGAGCCTCAATGACAATCAGACTCATTTAAGCATTGCAGACGCCGAGGGTTTCCATCCAGGATCGGTATTACATGCAACCCCACCCCCGCGCCTCGCTCCACGTTTGCTTTGGTCATAAGCTATATAACCCCCATCGTGGACTATTTCATGAGCTTCTGACTGACTGTCTGTCTGAAGAGACTGCAATTCTCACCGCCTTCTTCCCCCTTTTGTGTTGGTGTCACAATACAGGCCCCGAGTTAATTTCTAGGATCAGCATGTCACCCTCGTCCTCCTCTTCCATCCGGCGGATTGCCGCGTCCGGCTTGCGGACACGCTCATCATGCACAACGCCAGCTCTTTACACGTCTCAGACCGCCAAGATCTCCTCAATTGGAGCCTTCAAGATCCCAAAAGTGATCAATGAGCCTAACGTAAGTGCCCTCTCTCTATCTCTAGCCCGCTCCAGAATTAAGAGGATAGGGAAGGCGCCAACCAACTAACAATTTTGCAGCAACATTATGCCAAGGGTTCTGTCCAAAGACAAAACCTGACCGCCGCCATTGAGCGACTGCAAAGCAAAGGACCATTCCAGGTACCCGTCGTAATCAATGGCTCACATGTAAGTATCATCCGGAACAAAGCTCGGTAAAGAACGATTTCTTTGCAATACCTTTCCCTTGTGTAGAGCTCGATGCATTGATACTCACCATGAAATCTTTTGCGGGTATAGATCAAGAGTCAAGCGACACGCTCGCAGCACAACCCTGCCGACCATGCTTCCGTTGTAGCCACGTACTCCACCGCGTCGCCCGCCGATATTACGAGAGCGATAGGTTCAGCACTCGAAGCCAAGGCGGAGTGGGAATCACTTCCGTTCGCGGACCGCGCCGCCATTTTCCTCAAGGCTGCGGACCTCGTGGCTGGGAAGTACCGGTACGATCTCATGGCAGCGACCATGCTAGGCCAAGGGAAGAATGCGTGGCAGGCCGAGATCGACGCCGCAGCCGAGCTCGTCGATTTCTTGCGGTTCAACGTACACTACGCCCAAGAAATGTACGCCCAGCAGCCGGAGCACAACGCCCCCGGCGTGTGGAACCGCGTCGAGTACCGGCCACTGGAAGGCTTCGTCTACGCTGTCACACCCTTCAACTTCACAGCCATTGCCGGCAACCTTCCCGTGGCGCCGGCGCTTCTAGGGAACGTGGTGGTGTGGAAGCCGTCAGACTCGGCCATCGCCTCCAACTGGCTGCTGTATCAGGTCCTGCTTGAGGCTGGCCTCCCCAAGGGCGTGATTCAGTTTGTTCCCGGCGATGCGGAAGAGGTCACCAAGACGGTGCTAGCCCACAGGAAGTTCGCGGCCCTTCATTTTACCGGCAGCACCGCTGTTTTCCGCAAATTGTATGGCGCGATCGGCGCTGGCGTGGCGGAGGGTAGGTTCCAGTCATATCCGCGAATCGTGGGCGAGACGGGAGGCAAAAACTTCCACTTAATACACGAATCTGCCGACATCGAGAACGCTGTGATCAACACTGTTCGCGGGGCATTCGAGTTCCAGGGTCAAAAGTGTAGTGCTACCTCAAGGTTGTATGTGCCAAGCTCCATATGGCCCGAGTTCAAGAAGCGCTTGGTGAAGGAAACCGAGACGCTCAAAGTTGGCAACCCCTGGGACCACGGCAACTTTATTGGGCCCGTCATTCACGAAGGCTCTTTCGAGAAACTGATGACCGTGATTGAGGATGCCAAATCAGACACGGGGCTCGAGCTTCTAGCAGGCGGCAAGTATGATGGCTCCACCGGCTACTTTATTCACCCTACGATATACCAAGCCAAGAGCCCCAACCATAAGCTCCTGTCCACGGAGCTCTTTGGGCCCGTCCTCACAGTGCACGTGTACGACAACCAGTCCAAAGACTCGAAGCAGGCATTCCTCGACGCATGCGACCTCGTAAATTCGACCTCTGAGTACGGTCTCACCGGGTCGATCTTCGCCACCGACCGCCAGGTAGTGCGCATCGCCGAAGAGAGGCTCCGCGACTCTGCTGGCAACTTTTACATCAACTGCAAGAGCACGGGCGCGGTGGTTGGACAACAGCCCTTTGGGGGTGGTAGGGCAAGCGGGACGAACGACAAGGCGGGCAGCCAAAACCTACTCGGCCGGTTCGTCAGCGTACGGAGCATCAAGGAAGAGTTTAACTCAACAACCAAAGTGGAATATCCTAGCAACGAGGCGTAAAACGATCCCGAGATGCGCACATAGTGCCTCGGTACGAGAGGAGGAAACGGCGAAGGAAAACTTTATGGCACACGCAACGGGGTGGGAGGAACATCCTGGGATCGCAGCCTCCTATCGAGTGGTGGGTCTTAGGTGGCGTCGAGGACCTTGGCGGGCTTCTACGTCTCGCAATTGGGCTTTGTAACCTGTATGGGCTAGGCCATGAATATTGGGGGTGCATGTCGAATTTCAGCCACAAATGATGTTCTAGCGGGCAGGGTTCGGAGTTGATGGACACTAAGCGGACCCCTTGGGGCCCGCGATGATCAATAATCTGCATCCCTACACTACTGTCGTAGAGATAGGCCACGTGCCTGCTCTTGAGATTCCGATCCTAACTGGGAGACTAAGCCCGTTCTCGCTTCCGTGTGTGTGTTCGCGTGAGATGTGTTCGGTACCATGTCTGTATTAGGCTTCCTCGCATGTGGGTGAAGGAAAAGGGCTTGAGGAATCCGACATGCTCTTTTGGAGCATGGCGGGCTGTTCGTCGATCCTGCTTTCGGTGAAGCCCGGGTTGTCACGGAATTTACTTGTAGTAGTTGGAAAGTGCACAAAGTCAACAGCGACCTCAAGAGGAGTGAGAGTCCAGCACGGGCCTGGGATACACAATCTTGCTTGTTAACGGGCGAGATCATCAATGGGCAAAGCCCGGCAATCTTTTTCTACGGGTACTCTTGCGAGTAATGCGTCAATGGGGATCGGCCCAGACAAGTTCCAATCAGACCTTGCCGTGGGGGACACATGGGGCTCCGGATGCTCTGTGCTCCGTGCTTGATACCCTCCCGCGCGCAGCGAGCACACGCGGACCTTCCAACGCTGGAATAAAAGGGCTTGGCTAGGGCCCGGGAATGGGGGAAAAGGAGGGGGACAACTAGTCCTCAACAATGGGGATCCGGGGAGGTGGTGCGAGCACGTGTGGCCGACGAAGGCTCGGCAGCACCATTTCATTGGTGATTGCCTCGTAGCCTTCGTGACTACTCTGGCCCAGACCAAGAAAAGAAGAAACCAAGTGATGAATTTCCCGAGGCGGAGAGGGATAAGCCTAGGATGGATCCTCTAAGTAGTTTGAGAATCGCACATCCCTCTCATCCGACAAAGCACTAAACATGTCCTCTCGATCGCAAAGTACATCCGCGCCGCCTAAGACTAAGGCTCTCCCACTCCCGCGATTTCATGTGATACAAGTCTCATAAAATGGCCGACCTTGTTGTGCTGGCTTGCTCGACCTCACGGTTCCAACACGGTAGGGCTCTGCTGACTCCCAGTCAATTGAGACTGAAATGAAGTCTACGAAGAAGTGCACGCGATGTCTGTGGCACGAAGAGCACGCACACATGGGAAAGGGTGCGGCGCATAAGGGTTGTTGGCGGATAGGCGATGCATAGTTATCATGCACACGAATCAATTTCAAGTTCGGTCTAAGGAAAGGAGGGTGAGCAAGCGGGAGGGCGAACGGCAAGCATACTCCAACAGGATGGACGGTTCGTGGAATGTTCCACTTTCTATAGGCAATTGACTGACACGGAACTTTGAAGTCCCTGGACAAGGCCGAATGTTGTGGAGACAGCTGCTTTGGTTGATGTCGTGGAACCCACTTTCCCAAGGCGGGAGCTGCCCGAGCTGCTCGGGGGCGGAGGCTTGGCCCCATGTGCTCAAGCCGACGCTTCTGATTCGCCAACGCACCACCGAACGTCATCAATCTGGCCGGGCCTCTCAAGGTCCCCACGCAGGCGAGCGATTGGCTCGCAACACTTTTGCTGCGAGTGTCAACTTCCCTTTTCTTTTTACCTCGCGACCCGTGAAAGAGGAAGGGGGAGACAAGAGACTTTTGTTTGCCCACGCACGTGTAGTGCCTTGCCGCCAAGCACACGAGGATCGGAGGAAAATGAGGGAGGAAGTCGCGTGCCACTCTGTTTCGCCCCTGAACACCTTTCAAGGGAAGCGACGAAGGGACAAAAAGAGAGGGCTTGGATGCCATGAGGGGTGACAAGGGAACATTGGGGAAAGAGCCAAAGTCTAATCAATCTTCGAAACGGGGCGGGTTTGAGGTCTCTCGACGGTCCAGCTTGTCTCGGGGAAGGGTCCGGGGCATGTACCTTCAAAGGGACTGACGAGGAGACTCTGAGCCCCCTCGTACTGGGCGAACACACTCTAGCCTCTCTGGTGTTCAGGTTCGAATAGGTTGAATTTCTCGCGTTCTATACATCCCATCCATCCCATCCATATAATAGATACATCCAATCCATGGATCAGTCCGTCGATATCTCTTTCTCGAGGTCCCTGAATAAACCGTTGGTGTGCCACGGCGTTCGCCTTGAAGCTTGATTGGGCGCCGAAGACAACACTCTCAGAGAGGCCCTCGAGCTCATATTTCCTCTCTCCCCGATCCCAGGTCTTCCTTCTCTTCCCAGTTCTCGCATGCTTGTTTGATTGCATGCCGACCCCTAGCTCCTCCTTCTCCGCCCCCTCTTATCTGTGCCAGTCTCTCTGCGCATCGGGTCTTCTTTCCCATCCGACTTTTAGCTGCGTCCCGCCACATTATACCCTGGACGCTATCAGAGGTATCATCCACTGGAGCCCTATTCCCCGACGTTGGTCTCTGAGGATCTGGGTCCTCATTTCACCACTCGCCCGCACAAACGTACCGACTATCCGATGACTGTCAAACTCTTTCCGGTCAGCACGGATCGGGTGTATCAAAAACTGTAATCTAGCATCTCTTACCATCTTCTTTCTCTGCGGCTCCCGTCCTTCAAAACTTCTTCCATATATATCGAGCGACGCCTCCCAAGACCAACCACTTCCAGTAACCCCAATAAAGCGGTGTAAATATATTCCACCTACGTCCGACCAAGAACCAAGCGACATACGGGAGGCACGGATCGCACCGTACCGGTCTGATTGCAGACGCACCCGCGCTGCGTTCCTTTTCCCTGAGATTTCTACTACTAGATATAACCTAGAGGTTCCTGTGCCAGCCTCAACATGCCTCAGCCAGCGCTTCCTCCTACGCCAGCCTCCTCCACCGATATCAAAGGGAGGGATGGCACCAGTGACATAACCGGCCTGCAAATGGCCTTCGAACTTCCCCGCCGGCCTTGGCCACTTCTTCTCCTTCTCGCGGGGCTAGATTCGCACCACCCAAGGGGGATTATCCTGTTCAGCCCAGCGAGACGGTCAAATCTAGGCGGAGATCGTCAGCCGCTAATAAAGAATCCAAAGTGCCCTTTGAGCTCCCGCCGCCACCGACAAGATCGAGGAAAATCATCCAAATGAAACCGAAAAGCAGGAGGACAAGGTGGAAGCAGCCCCAAAGTCCGGGCCGGCCACTAAGGGTACAGGTTCTACGGGGAAGACCAGCGGGGCTACAGCCGGAGCCTCTTCCTCCTCCACAGTCTCCACCGCATCGGACCTTTCAGTCACTTCGAATAGTGGTTCTACGGCCGCTGCCCCCTCTGCTTCTGCAAGCAAAAAGAAGCAGCCATCCGCAACAAGCGCGGCAGGAAGAAAGATTGCTCGAAAAACGGCACATAGTCTTATCGAACGGCGGCGACGGTCGAAGATGAACGAGGAATTTGCTGTCCTCAAGGGAATGATTCCCGCTTGTACGGGAGAGATGCACAAGCTCGCTATCTTACAGGTATGTTGCTTGGAACTCTAGAAACCCACTGGGGAAGAAAGGCGCCAGCCAGACTGGTTTAGACAATGAACTTTTATTCATCCTTTTCTTTTTGGTGGCTAATCGCTAGAATTACTTTAGGCATCTATCGAATACGTACGGTATCTCGAAGATTGTATCTCGAAGCTCCAGGCTGAACGGGAAGAGCGCGAAGACCATGAAAGCCCGGCATCTCTACCAGAAGACAGACACACTCCCGATTTTCGAAATCTTCAGCACCACCAGCATCACCAACCACTGGAAGAAGCGCACAGTGCAATGCAGATCGCCGAGCCCGAGCCCGAGCCTGAGCCCGAACCCGTCGACGTTGAGATGACGGGATCCACTGTTCCCTCACCGACATATAGCCATGCCCCTAGTTCTCACCGCGCCTCGATATCGCCGGCCATCCAGGCCCGGGACCCACTTGATAGACGGGAGTCTTATTCTTCGTCCATTTCCGCAGACCGCCGCTTCAGCTACACAACTTCAGCGACGACATCGCCGGCTTTTGGCCCTCAGACTGCATTCGGATATGGTGCGCCGGGAACTCTGCCTTCCTTGAGCTCTGCACTCACTAGCCCGGCGCTTGGCCCACAAGGAGACGCCGACCACGAGGCTACGGCTGCTCTGATGATGCTAAACGCCGATCGTCGGGGTTATTTTGCACAGAGACAGCTTGCGGCAAGCCAAGGAGAAAGTACACCAAAGGGCCAGGCTGGTGCTGGCCGCGGAATGTCAGTTCGTGATCTTCTTAGCACATGAGGAGGAGACAAGGAGAGTATATATGAAAAGAAGAAAACCACATAGAACCCCGGCACTAGTATCAACTCTGACGCGAGAGGCATGAGAAACAACACTCAGCAACCATGCTAATAGTCGTGGGTAAAAGAGTGCTGTTCATCCCGCGGCCGCTAAGTCTCTTCTGGGCTTGCGAAACAGGCTTATGCACCGCACTGCACGCGTACCTTTCATGGTTGACACCAAGCCCTACCGGCCCTTTTGGGATGGCTCCAAGGCGGCTTGGCTCGGCCTGTAGCCCCACCCGGTTAGGGTGAGGAGCGGCTCATGGCGGACACGCGGCGGGACTTGAGGGCCTGAATGACGAAGGCGTGTCAACCAGGCGCGGCCTAGAGAACGTGCACACCGCTACGAGATATCCATCTAACAATTTGAGGGCGATTAATGAAGAGCTGGGAATGTGTGATTTCCAAGGCACCAACGATGGCCAAAAACACAGCACAAATAGTAGCAGCTTTGGAAGGTCGAAAAGGCGGCGCTTTATAGAGAGGTAGAAAGAGAGGGAGAAGGAGAGGGACGTAGCATCTAATGCACACATGCTTCTAGAATCAGGATGGGAGGACTAGTTTTTTTTTTTTTCCTTCTTTTCTTTCGCTTCTGGGATGTTGGGCGACTTGGAGTTTAGGCGGCCCATAATAAGTTACATAGACTCGGCATGCTTTTGGTTTTGGGAATGGGAGGTTGATTTAAACAAGCGGAAATATACAACTTTTGACTGGATTGAAAGAATCAACAGAACGAGTGGATTGAACGAACGAAAGAAGCATCAGAGTCCATTTGTCTCACGGAAATTCCATTTCTGAATTCCTATACGTTCCACGGTCGATGGAGGATATGGACTGTTGATTTGATTTGGCGAGACAGTCAACATTGAACTGACTGCCCCCGCCTTGCCCCAGGACAGCTAAGTCCAGGACCGATGGTCGGGCATTGTGCCTGTGGGGACAAGAGAGGATGTCACCGAAGCGCCAAGGCTACAAACACACCAGAACCGGAATCCAGCCACATTGATCGTCATCGGCCTTGAAATCGTGAGGTGATCCCTGTCGTGCTGTGCTAACGCCGAACCGCCCCTCCTCAACTCTCCCGCTCATAAACGCCGCCCGTCGCGCAGGGCTCGACAGGTTTTACCCTCAACAACAATGATTCGCAATCCCACCTCCTTGGGCCAATTCTTTTGAAGTTGGATTTTTTTCCCCCTTTTAATCCCTCGCAACCTGTTGCTTCCATCGCCCGCGGCGAGGAAGAAGACGAAGACCAGCGTGTCGCCCATCCGCCGCCTTTGAGCCGCTCCCAGTTCTTGCGTTTCAGGATCTGGCATCATCGTACGAGGAACGCTTGGAGCCTGTTTCGGGCGAGATCCGCGCTGCCCTGGTCGACGACGGGATCGAGCGCGCAATAAAGGGGGACCGAGTGAGACGGAGAGAGATCTCGAACGATTTTTCTGTTGATTTCTGTTCAAATCGTTTGGTACCGGAATCCCTCCCTGCAACCGAATTTGTTCGTCTGATTCCTCTCCATCCTCCACGGCCCTGTCCGACGCTCACCTGCATGTAACCATCCGCTCTGTTCCGGCTAGCATCACTTTGTTGAAACAAACGAATTGTTCTTGTTCTTTTCTCTCCTTGCCCCCTGTCGGGGCGTCCCAACGACGTATCGAGTCCTTATTAATATGATCGACGAGTCCTCTCGTTTGTGATCTCCGATAGCAACTCTCTCGACACCAATTTGATCCTCCGCCAAACCCCTTCTCCCTCTCCTTTCGCGAATAATTCCGCGTGATCGAGAGAAACCTCCTTCATCCTCACTGCTGTTGCGAACATCGGCGAACCGTCTTCCACTACACGTCGGCTTGTTCGAGTTGCCCCGCGAGGACCTAGGCCCTCTCCGCTTCTTGCCTGAACGGACGATTGCCACTCGACGAGACCAGCTTTAAAAGAAAGACCAAAACCAGAAAGCCCATCATGGCTCCCTCTACCATACCTATAGGCACCTTCAAGCCCGTCTACTCGGATGGCTCCAACGCCGGATCGACGCCGCTGAAGCGCGATATTTTCCTCAATGTCGGCGGTCCGGCCGACGACACCGCCTCCGAAACGGCCTACTCGGCAGCGACGACGGCGTCGCGGGCCAGCACCGCCCCGAGCACGGCGGGCAGTGAGACGGGCGGTCGTCGTCGCAGGCGGAGAAAGAGAAAGGCGGCGAGCATGGCCCAGATCGCCAACGAGAACAGCATGCTGAACAATAATGGCACGCAAAGCGCCAACTTCAAGCCCGGCAACGGAAACCACATCTCCCGGTCGCTGTCTACGCCGGCGCCAGTACCGAACTTGGGGCCCGCCAACCAGAGGTCCGCGAGGCTGCACATCGGCTTGAACCTCGACGTGGAGCTGGAGCTCAAGGCGAAGCTGCAGGGCGACGTGTGCCTCACATTACTGTAAGATGTATCCATGCTTTTCTTTTTCTTTACCCTGCCCTTCTTTCATGAACCATGGCCCCCTTACCCCTCGTGTTCCACTGCCCCTCCACCCTTCCACCCCCGCCCCCTGTTCGAAAAGAAAGACAAAAACGAGCACAGAGCTAACAAGTGGAACTCTATATTTCCAGCGGGTAAAGGGCCGAAAGCAAGCAGTCCCAACGCCCCTCCCCGCCCTCGACCCGGACGCCAACGGGAACGTGGATAACGAGCTCTTCCATGCCCACATTGGAATTCTCCAGCTCCGCCAGCGCTGGCACGAGCGTGAAATCTCGCCTTCCTCACCGCCGGCGCCATGTGCGCGCTGGTGTTGGGTGGCTTCCTCTTGGGGATCTTCGCGCCGTACCTGCTCGCGCTGATGCCGGAGCTGGCGTTTCCGTGGGCCGTTCCCTGGGCGACCGGGCTCTGAGGCTGGGCTTCGCAAAAATAAGATTGTCAATATATCCGCAAAACTGTTGCGCGTCTTTGGAACATGAAGATGTGGACAAAACGGCCAGTGGTGGATGGGCCGTTTGTGTATGCAGGGTATTATTCCATGTGTGTTTTTGAGTTGCGCGAGGGAAAAAAGGGGCAGGTCAAGTTGACATATTTGACATATGTGCACATCCTGGCGATGGTGGCCAGTTGGGTTGATGCACTGCTATTGCGTATACGGATCCTTAATGTAATATCACGATTACCTTGGTACCCCCATTATGATCTTCCTGGGGGTGGGTGGTAGGAAAATGAACACGCGAAACGGCGTTCTTGGCAGCGCGCATCGCGCGGGGGCAAAGCGAACAAAAACAGAAAGATGAGAGGAAGAACGGGACCACGGGACGAGGACATGGAGCATTTGCATCCGCGAGAACGAGGCGGCCTGTCTAAAAGCTACAATATCATGTATCAACTCGACTCGTGATGCCATCTCCGAACCATTACAAAAAGTCATTATTTCGCCATTGATCTACTATGTTGTTCTTATGTGCCCACACATTTCTTTGTATACCCTTGAATGGTTTTGAAACCTTGTGTATCGTACATTCTGCCTTCCTGTTTGCAAGGCGCAAGCGAGTAAGCATCGCATGTCTTTTTATTCTTTCTTTTTTTTTCGTATTCAGTCCTTCAACACGGTTTTAGAGCCACCGAGGTCATCGAGGGCATCGTAGAGCAGGAACCTAGATGTAGAGGTCAGTGTCCAAGTCTAAAAACAGGAAGGCAACCCGGGGTAAACAAGAGTGGAAGGGGAAAGAGAGACAACCCCCATCCGAGCAGTCAAACGAAGGGGTGTCTATCACACGAGACGACAGAAGCAACTCACTTGTACCACAGCATAGCGGGCCCAATCGTGCCAAAATGCCAGAGGGCGTGGGCGTCGAGACTACCCCACAGAGGAGCAAAGTCAAAGAGCTCGAGGCTCATGGCCAAGGTGATCCAGGAGACGACGAGGACGGGCAAGAGGGTCCAGGGGGCCTTGGACTGCCTGTAGCGGCGAACGGCGTGCCAGCACCACAGCAGGTTCTGGGTGAGGCCGATGACGACGTTGGCGGCCATGTTGTAGGTGTAGTCCCAGCGGACACCCTTGAGGTAGGCGACGTGGGCGACGTACATGCAGCAGCAGAGCACGGTCCAGGCCTTGAGGATGGACTTGATCTTGCGGGTGGGGCGGTCGAGGCGAAAGATGCGGATGGGGGTGTAGTAGAAGCCGTAGAGGATGCTGCCGCCGGCGGCGAAGTAGTCCATCTCCTCGGTGAAGCGGAAGTCGCGGGTGTGGAAGACGGCGCTAAAGATCCAGGCGGCGATGCCGGCGTAGGCGAAGAGCTTGTACCAGCGGAGGAGGCGGTAGGACGGGGGATGGCGGCGCGGAGCTGGCGGAGGCCCTGGAGGTGGGCCCACATGTTGCCGAGGGAGAAGAGGACGCTCAGGGGCTCCTGCATGCCGAGGGCGCGGATAAAGGGCCATTTTCCGTAGAATTGGACGACGCGCTGGTCGGTGGCGAGGCGCTGGCCGGTGATGACGTGTTGGCAGGCGTAGTCGCATTCGGCGGGGCAGTCCCAGAGGAGGAGGCGGCGGTAGGCGGCTAGAGGTGTATGTATGGTTAGCGGATGGGAAAAGGGGGAAGGCAAAGGAAGCTGGTCGGAGGGGGTGAGGAGAGGCTATTCGGGAGGGTTTGAAGGGGGGCAAGGATTGGGAGCGGTTGGTGGTCGGTGGAGGAAAAGGTCGAGGGAGGTCGAGGGTGGGACGTACGGATATGAATCGGGCGCCTGCTGTCAGGGGCGCATCTATCTTCTACGCATCTCTAGAGGGGCGGGTTCACGATGGTTAGCTTGTCATGTTCTTTAGGCGGCTTCCCTTGTGAGCTCTCCAATGCGCCAAGGCCTCCGTCGACAGCTTTCAGTCCCCAAAAGGGGAATAGAAGAGACGAGATATGACAAGGGAGTCGGGGTGACGTCGGCTAAGTCGGCGCGAAAGATGAAGAAAAGACAGAATAAAGTCTTACCCTGACGCATTCCCGGAACGCGGGCAGCTTATCGCCAGTGGAAGCTTCGGCACCGGTGGCTAGGAAGAGGACGAGGAGGGCGAGGGCGGAGACTAACGCGGGACGCCAGACCCAAGCCTTTGGCGAGGTCGACATCATGGCATTTATCCCGTGTTCGGAGGCAAAAGAAATGCAGAGCCAAGCCGTGGGGGAGGAGAAGCGGCGATGGGAGATGGAGGGGGTGCGGAAGAAAGGGAAAAAAGCGAGGATGGAAAACAAGACGAAAGGCCCACGCCAGCACACGAGGTATGGAGCTTCCACCAACCAGGTCCCCAGAATAATAGATGGGGAAGAAATGGGACAGGGTGATTAGCCTCGTCTGGAGCTTTGTCTCTAGAGACTGAAATTTGGTCAATGGGGTCGGAAAGAGGTATCCCCCTGTGCTGATCACTAATAATCAAGCCCCATTGAAGACTTCCGACAAATGCAACCCCAAAGCTGGGGCTGTCAAACGGTCGACCAAGCGAATTGATCATTTCAATTGATCGATTGATTTGATGCCGCCAAGCTCGAGGCGTTCGGGAAGACTACGCCTCGAGATTGACAACTGTACACACACTTGACCTGACTCAGACTTCGAATACGTCAGAAATCAATGGGTCCATCTCTTACTTGGAGATGCACTCGTCCCATCAAACATGCTCTTAGGACTACATGTCCATGTAGGCAAGACGCGCATCTCCAAGGTTATGCGTTGCGACCGGGCATGCCCATCTCCCTTTGCCTTCATTCATTGATGGATTGGATCAAGGTTAGACAGTAATGATAGCCCATGTCCTCAATATGTTCCCAGCATTCTATCCCCTCAGGTGGCTGGCTACCTCAATCCCCCTAGACAACCGATCGGGCTCTCGCCCATCAACATCAATGATCTACATGTATTGTTCAATGTTGTTTTTCTACCCCGGCCCATCAGCCACCACACCACGGAAAGGCCCCCAACGCGCGCTAATGCTCCTCCCCGTCGTGCCCCGGTCCTCGGCCATGTCCTTCCGTCCGCCATTTCCCCGGGTTTTCGCGTTGATGCGCCGGGGTGGACCGCAACGATGAGTTTAAAGGGCCTCGGAAAGGGCTGGCTCGCCCCTCCGAGGCCAAAGTACCACATGCGAAGTATTGCAGGCGAAGAATCTAAACAATACTACTTCTCGCGGGCGTGACAGGTGAATAGCAAACCTTCCAAGTGACCTGCATAGGGACAAGTATTCTATTTACCCCATGCATTCCATCAATTTTCCTGTCTTGGCTGGCCCAGGACCACCAGACCCTTTCGTCCTCTCGCTTTCGGAGTGCCCTGCTCCGCGTTGAAAACTACCGGCGTTTATGAGGGGTGGCCCAGCCGGGTCAAGTACCCTAGGAACGGGCGCCGGTTTAAATCGAAGAACCGGGCGACGTGATTTGGCCGACACTTTGATTAAACGCTCTCCTCTCGTCAATGCACCCTATGTATACTAGGGGAGGAAAGTGGGCTCTTTTCTTTCCCACAGTTCCTTTTGCAGCCACAATAATACCCGTAGGCGTCTGCGATTGACGTCTTCCATGTTCCTCGGGAACTGTGCAATTTATATTAGTAGACATAGAGAACTCTTTATTGATCGTTGAGATGTCCGCTACATCTCCACGTAGTAGCCCTTCCCGTAGCGCCGTCCTCCTTCTCTCTAGTCAACCTCCCTGGAACTCGCAAGTAGCGAGGTCGGCTTCCAAGCAAAGATGAAGTTTTCCGCGAGCCTAGCCTTCACCCTCGCCGCCGCTGCCGCCGCCGTCGCCGCAGCGGACGACGTCGACCTCCGGGACCTGCCCGTCACCCGGGAGGGCACCCACCTCTACCTCAACGGCACCGAGTGGAAGGCCGTCGGCCCCAACGTATACTGGCTCGCCCTCGACGAGAACGTCGTCCCCCGAGGGCGAGCCGTTCTACGAGCCCAAGAACATCAGCTACCCCCACCCGGACCGCGTCACCGAGGTCATGCGCATCGTCAAGGCCATGGGCGGTACCATGATTCGCGCCCACACCATCGGCTCCAACACCGGCTCTCCCTGAGCCTCATGCCCGAGGCCGGCGTGATCAACGAGGATGCCTGGGGTCCCATCGATTGGGCCATTTACCAGGCGAGGCAGCACGGCATCAGGCTCATGGTTCCTCTCGTCGACAACTATGTAAGAAGAAAAGAAGAGAAAGAAAACACAAAATTCTCCCATTCTTTCCAGGAGGCGCGGTGTCCATCATGGGGAGAAGAACCAAGAATGAAAAGAAATAGCTAACCAAATCCCGCAGGACTACTACCACGGCGGCAAGTTCGACTTCCTCCGCTGGGCAGGGCACAACCTCACCCAAGCCAAAGACGCCACCAACCCCGCCATCATGGCCTTTTACGAGGACCCCGACATCGTCGCCTCCTTCAAGTCCTTCGTCACCGACCTCCTCACCCACCGCAACCCCCTCACCAACCTCACCCTCGCCGAGGACCCCACCATCTTCGCCATCGAGTCCGGCAACGAGCTCCTCGGCCCCAAGTGGGGCGACATGAACTGCCCCGCCGCCTGGGTCCGCGACGTCGCCCGCCACGTCAAGGCCCTCGCCCCCGCCAAGCTCTTCGTCGACGGCACCTACGGCGTCAACGCCACCCACTTCGACGTCGACGAGGTCGACATCTTCTCCGACCACTTTTACCCCGTCGACGTCGCCAAGCTCAAGTCCGACATCGCCAAGCTCGAGGACGCCGGCCGGCCCTCTTCGTCGGCGAGTACGCCTGGACCCCGGCCGCCGATCCCGTCATGGATGACCTCCCCGAGTTCTTCCGCGTCATCGAAGAGAGCGATCGCGTGATTGGCGATACTTTTGGAGCTTGTTCGGGCGCAACATGCCCGATTGCAATGTAAGTCTTGGCAAGCCTATCCGTGTATAAAAAGAAAGGGAATCACAGTTTTACTGACCCAAACCTCCTTTTTTCCAATCTCATCTAGGACTGGGTCGAGCACGAGGACGGCTTCACCATCAAGTATGGTGACCCTACCAACTCCGAGGCCGTAGACGCCAGAATCAGGCTCATTAGAAAGCACTTCACCAAGATGAGCCGCGGTGAAGACATAGAGGAGGATGAAGAACTCCCTGTTATCCCCTGCCCACTAGAGGAAGACGCCGAGTGAGGAATCAACGAGACACGACCGGGCCGGTACATTGTAGGCTTGGTGATGAACCTCCCAGTTAGGTCAAGACGTCGGTATAGGCCACAGCCATGCGATGAAACTGGAACTCTTGCATCTTTTGTTTATCTCTGCCCAAAGCCAGAGGGGACATGGAGAAGAAGAAGAAGAAAAAAGGAAAGACCAACTCGGGACGCGCAATCTAGCAATCTGAATTTGGAACCCAAAGCAAATAGCGCAATGAATACGATAAGAACAAAAAAATAAAATAAAAACTAAAAACATGACCTGCCATAACAACATTCATGAAGTCAGTTGGGGAGGGTCAAAAGATGGTCCCGAGGACCACAGATGAGCCAGCGTCCCCTTCCATGATGATGCCTCCATCTTGCTTTCCTTTCCCTTCATAAAAAAAAAAAAAGAACAAAACTAACAGCCATCCATCAATCAACCAACCCCTGCCAGGGGGTGAAGCTCGCCACAGCCAGAAAAACACCTCTGCTGATCGATTCAGCGAACCGGTCGCGGCGTCACCGGGCCCGGGGCGTGACTGGGCAGCCTCCTGGCCGCCTTAGCCACGCCCCGACACCACTTGATGACGCGCAGCCACCGACCTCTGTCGAACAGAGTCGCCCAGGCGCGTGCCGAGGGCAAGTATCGGGAGGAGTTTGGTAACGCCACTCGGGCGTTCGACGTGCTTTTACGTCTCAAGCATCCTGGCAAGAGGGTAAAACCGCCTTCGCTAGCATATATATCCATCAACCATAAACGCATAAAGCCACTCTCTCACATGAAGTCGTCACTATAGGAAAAGCGCAATGCTGGTTAGCTAAAAATTCACAACGACCACCGTGCGTACCGGCGATATGTTTTGTTGCTCGACTAGTGCAAAGGGGATGGCTTACTCTCCAAAGTCGTCTTCGTAGGTGGCAATATCCTCCTTCGGTCGGTTGGCCACGACGGAGACCTTGGTCTTCTGGGCCTTGCTCTTCTTGCCTCCCTTGTCGGCCGCCTTCTCTTCCCTGAGCTTCTCGTTGCTGAGGGCGGTGAGAGTGCTGGAAATCTTCTTCACTTGGTCGCTAGGAAGATCCTTGGCGAGTTGCTTGGCGAACTCCTGGAGGAAGAGGGTGTAGTGAGGCTTCTTGGAGTGCGCGCCGATCAGGGGCACGAGTGTGTTGCGGAGAGCCTCGAACTGGGTCTTGGTCGTGGGGTTGAAAAGGGGCAGGTTAGCAATGTTGACCGTGTTGTTAGGGTCCTTGGAATCCACGGCGACAGCAGCACCGGCCTTGGTAGCGGTGCGACCAGCGGGGACGCCGATATCGCCAAAGAGGTCCTCGGCGTGCTTCAAATCAGCCTCCTGCTCGGTGCGTCGAAGGCGGGCACGACGATCGGTCTCGCTTTCGTCATCAAACTCGTCGGCAGCAGCCAAGGCAGCAGCGCGCTGGGCCTTGAGCTCGGCCACACGTTGGGCCTTGGACTTCTTGTTGGCGGCAGCCTCGGCATCGGCCTTGGCCTTGGCTTCGGCAGCCTTCTTGACCTTTTCGCGCTCAACTTCGGAATCTTCGGCAGCGTCCCAGTCTTCAAGGACGTCGCTGTCATCACCCTCTTCGTCGTCGAACTTGTTGGCCCGGCGGGTGGGCGGGAGGAGGAGTCGAGGCACCGCTGCTGGAGGCGTCTTCCTCCTCGTCTACATCAAAGAGAGAGGGTTAGTCGGGGGCACACAAAGTGGGGTGGCCATGAGTGGCCAGAGAAAACGCGCTGTGCGCAGGATAGGACGATGCATACCCCACTGCTTCCTGGGAGGCATGATGTCACAATGCGAGTGGTTGGTTGCTTTGATAGATTTTTTGTTTCGCTTTCGAGCGTTTGAGGATTTGAGAGCAGAGAGACCAGATTGCAGAAATATGCAGACGGGAAAAAAAAAAAAAAAAAGGCCTGTGAAGGGATTGTTGAGTGTAAGGGGAAAGGGGAAGGAGGGAATAAAAAACAAAGATTGTGGGGTGTTGAGAAGACTTGAGTGATTTGCGATCAGGAGGCAAGGAGTTAAATTGAGCAAGAGCGACACAGTAAGACAAAGGGAGGGGGCAAGAATGGCAAAAAGGCGAGAATTTCAGGCTTACACTAGCACCACGTTAGGCGAGAAAAAAATTCCATGGAACCAGCGGGTGCCGAGCGCTGAGAGGGGCGAAGTGGGATTGGAACATGGAAATTTTAAAATAGCAGGTTTGTGTGATAAAAGCAACAAGATGTGGGAGCAAAGTGGGCTGGGCTGGGCTGGGCTACTCTAGGCGTCACGCCGTGGACCTAGAGCAGTCTGGCACGGGCTCGAGACACGGAATCATGGATCAGGGTTAAGATTGGGAATATAGTGCTCGGTGCTCTATCCCTTGCGACTTTTGTGTTGCCCCTCACACCCATCAACGATCCCAGGCCCTCATCAGACGGCACCACTGTTTCCCTCCAGTCCAGTCCGTTTTTCCATTTTCTCCGATGCGCCTCGCAACTCCATGAATCCACGGAATGGCATTCTCAACTCATCAATAGGTTTCCGAATAGATGGCTATGTGATGAATCCTTGCTGCATGCAAGGAGGGCCAAGCGACGAGGCAGAGGTCCATTTTCGGTCGGTTGAATCTCCCGTACGCCCCAGCGATGACCGGATCAACCGTGAGCTGGTTCTGCGTCCTCGCGCACATGCTCTGATTTCCGGCTTGTGTCCTGTCTCAAAAGCCTGCCGCGAAAGCGGGAAACGTCATCCATACCAACCCAACGGCTGTCCGCATATTACCCACGTTTCGCCATTTCCCGGGTAGATAAGCCAAAAATCCTTTCTTTTTCCCCCGTTCTCCAAGTCCAAGTCAGCGTTGTTTGCGGTATTTCCTTGCCGGTGCTCTACACTATAAATCGTATTCGCGAGAAGCGATCGAAACATTTGAAGAACCCTGGCTAGCCCTCCTTCTCGTACACACCCCCTTGCCGCATGGTTGTTATTCTTTTTGCGCGCGCGCGGACTACCTAATGGAGACTGAGCGAGTTCGGAGACTTGGCAGCCCAGCTTTCCGTTTTAAATCAAGATGGGGAAAAGGGCGTCGCGCCTTCGCACACACTGGAATTGTGATTTCTCGGAATTTGTGCGGTGGGCGTGTCTATACGGCCCGAGAACCTATGTAGGCATTTCCCCCTTCCTTTTATGCATGGAATGTTCAATCCTTCCTTCCATCCACTTGCACGCAAGCTCTTTCACCCCTAGTCCCGTGGATCTCGGTACCTGCGAAGTGAAGGCCTGCGTGTAGGAACCCGGCCTGCATGAGGTGCGGCCTTGCGTTGGGAATCACTCTCACCTTGCCGTCATCTCGCTTCCCCGAGGTCTCAACAGGCAGCAGGGAGGGGGTGCTTTTGCCCCTCTATACCCCGTTATAGCAATTTAGCGTTTGCGCCCAACGCGCCTCGTTGGGCAGTATTCATCTATTGAAGCGTAGCGTCGGGCACCCATCGCAATCTGACTAATAATCGCATTCAATAAATGGATCGCAATGGATCTTTCGTCCAAAGGATCCAAAATGATCATCGGCCAGCGAGGAAAGCTCCCAGGTTTCCAGCCCTGCAAGCGCAGCACATTGGCCCACATTGGCACATATTGGCCAGTTGAGACGTACATGCTAAGAGGAGCTTTGTCACAAACTCAACATTTCTAAGAGACGCTCTATCTTGTCTTGATGGGGTTAGAAAGGGGAAGCAAAACAAATGAAGAAGAATAGAAAAATCAAAGATGTGCCTTTTGGGTCTAGGGTCGTTGAAACCCAGGTCACACACGAACCCCAGGTAGCAATATCACAAAGTTAGACGGTTAACAGCCCCATGGGGAAAGGCCCAAACACGGAAGCCGTTGCTCCTTGTTCGAAGGAGGCAGCGGCAGGACCTCATCTCCCGCAGTTTTTGGGTCTCTGCGCGGCCCCACTCAGATCAGTTGGCCTCAGGGAGCAGCCCGTGAATGGTAAACTAACAGCCCGCCGTCGACGGTTTCGCACGACTACGTCAACTTGGGATCGGTTGCAAGGTCAGAGGCAGAGCTGCATATGGAGAGGCGCACAGACACCGTTGTGACACCAAACAAATCGTTTCCCAGAACGGGCTGGGCCGAGCACCTTTATGCGTGGCAGCGAGTGAGAGCTCCCCCATTTATTTTTGATCCTCGCATTAATACAAAAGTAGCGTCTGATTCACTCCCTGGCCCTGGACATCATTTCAAGTCTAGACTCGAATCCCAGACTCGCGGGATGTCTGATACTCTTCCAGATTCTCGGGTTCGTCCCATGTGGGTGAGAGGTTTCGTATTGACCTTGATCTAGTCGCCATATCTATCCTGATATATTTCACCCCGGCTTCTAGACTTGCGACTGTCCTACACAAGCGCAAGGGGATGAATTGTGGCGATGGGCGCGGGGGATGAGAATGGAATCCGTCATGATAGTGCGTGCTAACATTGTCGCCACCAATGTCCCAGATCAAGAGATAGATGGGGGTCAGATCTATGTAGGTCAGTTGATTCAAATGCATTGCGCATAGGAAGAAAAAGAGGGAGAAATGCAGGCGAGTCGTTCTCCCCAAAGAGCCCCAAATAGATTCGCACTTGGCATAGAACCAAGTTCCGCCTTTACGGTTTCTAGCTTCTGTGATCAGGTTTTGGGGTTGGTGGATAACCCCCTTTCAATGTCTACATGTAGACACCCCGATCCGGAAAATGCCCATTCGTATGCAGATATTACGTGTGAACCCCAGACTTGTTCTTTCACCCTTATTAGAAGCTCCTAAACACAACGCCGGAAGAGCAAGGCAATGAGGGCATCTAGAGCTATAGGATTTCGCCGCGATCTCGGAGGGCGATGGCGAAGGAGCCTTTTCTCTACTCTGTTATTAGGATGAAGGAAAGGGAACCTGGAAATGCTCGGTTTTCTAAACTTTACGAGATGGCCCAGGGGGACGCTGCACCACGACTCGGGCGCGGTCCATTGACAGTGTACTCTAAGCTCACAGACAGAGGTCGACTTGACGCCCCGAGATATGCCAAAGACTGAAAGCCCTCCTGCACCGACCTCTAGACTTCATTTCAACTACTATCTATATGTGGCTTACGACAAAGGTTAGGACGTCGTGACCTATCTACCACCTCAGTCACGTAAACCCCGGGCCGCAATCTCCGTGCATTGATCCCGGTTCCGGCCGGGACTAGAGTTGCAATCAGTCAACCCCACGCGGGCTGACTCGGCCTGGACAGTGCAACTTCACATATCGCTGGTCTATAGCCGGCAGTTCTTTTATTGAAGGGCATCATTGCTGACCAGTCTCTCGTCGTTCAAGCCTCTGAAGCTGGGGCGCTTTTCACGAAACTGTGGTCGAATTGCGCCTCTTTTGATAGAGGGAGGCACTTCAAGGAGCACCCGGGGCAATGGACGAATAGATTCCGCCCTTATTTCTATCACTACTCCTCCGGACCTTCTCTGGCATCTATTGCATTTGTGGTTAACGCGCTGGGCCACTCGGGAATCCGTCGAGCGCTGAAATCCCTTCCTAACCCTAGCCAAAGAGCAGCCATAGCTCTTTGTATTCAATATTGACTATGTGGAGGAGGCTAGATCAAATTGGCCCAGCCCGGTTTTCCACGTTCACCAAGAAAGTTCTCTCACCATGGCCTTCTCCGCTTTTTTCCCGGTCCACATCCTTTGATAATGTTTAGTCTAAATCGGACGTCCGGCTCGTGGACAGGTTCAAGCCTCTCGGCCGGCCGAACTATCCGGATCCGATTTACTTACTCTGGGACCCAATGTCTGAAGGAGAGGCTCTATCGTCAAATGTATAGATGCCTCGAATTCTCAAGGTCTGATACAATGGCCTTACTGATCCATCTTCAAATGACGTCCAGACACTGATCAGGAACTGATTTATAATATTGCCCGAAGAAAATGCAAATTTTTAAACGTCTTCCACAAAGCCATGGCATCGCCAGCATTCACCCGTCTCGTATAACAAACAAAGGGATTAATTCATCCATGGACGTATGAAGGGGTGTTGCACGAGTCCGTTCCGACTTCATCCGCGAGAGCACGTAAGTAGGAGTCAGACTTGATCGACCCGCCCCATCCTTTGCAGGAGTCCGAGAAGAACGAGGCTGACCCGCCCAGCTGGGAGAAGAAACCAAATCGGATTCACCAGCGTCAGAGTGCGCCAGAAAAGTTGGTATTCTTCCAAGGATGGGGCTCCTTCCGGTGGGATCCAGTGTTAACAGTGGAAAGAACCCACCTCAGGCCAGCCAGACCAATGCTGGCGACGGAGTGACTAATCCGAAATGAAAACAAACCGGAGCCGTGAAACTTGTAGGCCCAAATTCCAAGCGGACAGCCCGCGAAGAGAGGTCACCTGAGCGCGCTGGTTTTCAAGACGGGGGCCATGCGTCTTCCGTAATATTCCGACGACAGTCATGCGAAGCAAAGTTGCGCGCCGCACAGCCAAATCCATGCAGTACCGCCGTGTAGGGCAGAACTTACACTAGAGTAGTCAATACGAACAAACTCCAGTCGCGGGTCGGGGGATGAGACCACGCATTGGCTTGGCCATTTTCGGAGTGAATTTTCCCTGTATTTGATTTATTCCTCTTTGCTTGTTCACCGGTGTCACCAGGATTTGCCAAGTATATAAGTTAGGCTGGGCTTCCGCCAAGGTTGCCCAGCCTTCATACCTCATCGCTATGTAATATCCAAGATATCAAGAACTCCCAACGCCCATCCATCGTGACCCAACCGTCTTGTCACCACTCTTAAAACCGAGGAACCCCATACCACCTCTTTATACACACCACTTCTTTAGTACACACTTACTTGCCTCACTTCCCCTGGCCATCTAAGCTTTGAACCCAACTTCTCGCCTCACAGCTACTCTTTATTAATAGAGCAGACGACCAATATCACCGAAGCCTACAGCTCCAAGTAGGAACTTCTTTGCTTCAATGTTAGCAACCCGAGCTCAAGCTCGCCTGTGCTCTGCTGGGCACGTGGGCCACATCGCCAAATTATTAACCGCGAGCCCCGCCCCTATCGTACTCGCAGGCCGACCTTTCCTAGGAACAGCTCACAGGTTCCCCCAACAGACGAGAAACTTTGCGCAGTTCGCTATCGTCAAAGATAGGGTCCCCAAGAAGGACCTGGAGGATGTCCGCGTAACGAAACCAGTTTTTCCCGGTCCCAAGTATACGGATAGGGAACTGCTGGAAGTTGAAGTTGGCCATCGAGAGCCAGAGACGCTAGCCGACTCATTGGCTTGGCGGCTGGTCAGAGGTGCGCGCAGAATGGTCGACTTCGTTACCGGCGTTACCAATGAACGACCTCTAACGAGAAATCAATACGTATGTGATGTTGAAACTTGAGCCAGTCACCCCTTCGGCGAGGCTCTTGCCATGCCCAGAGCTGAACTAACCATGCCTCTTTTTTTTTCACATAGAATGCCCGAATCCTTTTCTTGGAGAGCATAGCAGCCGTGCCCGGAATGGTCGCCGCTGTCCATCGTCACCTACGCTCACTAAGACGCGGCGCCCGTGACCAAGGCTGGATCAAGACCTTGCTCGAGGAGGCCACCAACGAGAGGATGCACCTCCTCACCTGGATGAACTTGGCCGAGCCCGGGTGGTTGATGCGGCTGATCTTCATCGGCGCCCAGGAGTCTTCTTCAACATTTGCTTCGTCGCCCGCTGGATCTCGCCCACCTTCTTCCACCGTTTCGTCGGCTACATCGAGGAGGAGGCGATTCACACCTATTCTCGACTTGAGCGGGAGATCCGACTTGGTCAGATCGAAGGCTGGTCGGATCCCAAGTTTCCCATCCCCGATATTGCCGTGGAGTACTGGAACATTCCTCCCGAGAGGAGGACCATGCTCTGGCTCACTCGATACATCCGCGCTGATGGTAAGTCCTTTTTTGTTTCCTCTCTTTATGTCCCCACTTCCCTTCTTTTCCATGGGCCGTTACTAATTCGGTATGTTCGTGCGTCAACAGAAGCCGGCCATCGTGGGGTAAACCATACACTCGCCAACCTGGACCAACAGACCGACCCCAATCCATTCGAACCGAGCGCAAGGGACGAGAACCCAAAGATTCCAAACGCCGTTCTCCGTCCTCAGGGCTACGAAAGGTCCGAGGTCATCGAGGGCATTGGGGAGCGCGAAAGGACACCAAGTATGCCTCAACCAAGTAACTGCGACTAACGAGGTTCCTTGGGGGCTAGTTGAAAGCATCCCCGCGTCGATTGGTGTATGTGGGGTGGGGATGCTCTCAACTACAAGTCGCTTGCCGCGGCCCTTTACTTCAAAGTGCTCCTGTCACCTTTTCCCCATCATCTAATTACTATCAGACGGGCAACATCCTGTTATTCAGACACATCCATTTCCTCTATTTTGTTCTCGCATAGGGAACCGGCGTTCACAAGGAGTTGTATACCAACATGCTTTTCAAATTTTCAAAAGTTCATATAGAGGATCATGGAGCCCCTCGCATACTAGCACACTAGACGGTGGACTCAGATCACCTCTGTTTTATTTCCTTTTTCTCTTTTAACCCAGGTCCTTTAGTTTTTCTTAGGATTGTCTATATTCTTTTCTTACAACGCGCCTTTCTCCCCTCATTTGTTTCAACAAGGACCCTCTATCAGGTCTCGCACCACAGAGTCATTTAGAATAAAGAAAAAGAACTTCAAGAGAGATTTAGATTTAGCATATATACTCAATGTTAGAAGACTCTAGCTTAGCTTAGCTGTAAGAGCAATCGCCAGCCCTGAAATCGTCTTCGGTGCAAAGAATGTAGAGGTTTCGGTAGACAACTACAACTACCGGAACTAACGAACTTATGCCAGTGCTGGTTTCCAACAGCACTGAAAACTAGGTGGAGAGGCCGAGCCACGTGTAATCCTCGGCAGCACGAGTCCCGGAGAGAGCCGGACAGTATCTTCTATCCCCCGCCTCTTTCAAGAATCCGGCAAGAATGGGGCCCGGGATCTTTAGCTAGTAGTCATTACGAGCAAGCGATTGTGCCTCGTGGGAGAAACAGATCATCGGCGAGTTGGGATGACGACCTCTTGTCTATGAATAGACATAACCTCGTCATCTACGTGATAAGCATATACGAAAATGACGACAAGAGAGGAAAAGTACCACAGCGGCAAGTTTATTTCCGTTCTGCGGCGACGAGAGTGGAAGCGCCGGCACCGAACCTGCCGACTGGGCCAGATAGTGTGGCTTTGCATGTTGCATCTTGAAGATTCATCCGTGATGTGGCTCATGTAAGAGCCAACCGGAAACCATTCTGCGGGCCGCCCCATAATACAAGAAAAGAGAATGAACCCACTATTCTGGACCCCACCGAACATAGTAACTTCGCAGCCCATTTTCGGGTTCTTGACAAAGCCAAAAGCCAAGGTGTTAGGCACATATTAGCGGCGTGTGCGCGCAAACGGCCTCGGGAGGCTGTGCGGGGAGAGCTGGGGAAGGTGAAACAGACACAGAAAAAGACCTTGTTCCAACTTCCCCGTTGGTCTATATTTAGGTGGCCTGGCGAGGAGGGGGTTGGCACTGGGGATTGGTGGGAGAGACTTCGCGGTGTGCTTAACATGTGTGAGACGGAGAGGCATGGGTGGGTAATAACTGGATTCTTTTTCGGTCGTTCCTGGGGTGGTGCGCTGCGCAGTTGCATGGGGACAAGGTGGCTGTGTTGCGTCAAGGTCTGTGATGGGCGGTTGGTAGCATCTAAAATATGCGGTCAGGTCAAAACAGTTTTAACGCTTGCTAAAAGTTCAAAGAGCCCTCGAAGGTGCTGGCGGTTGAGCTTTGGTCAGCATTTCTCATCAGCATCCACATCAATCGCGAGTTTTTTAGTATCCATATGGATGCACCCTTACAGGTCGCAAATGAATAGATCGATGTAGTGAGGATGGTTCAAGTGTGGACATGGAGGCATTAGCAGTGGTCAAGTACCCGTAGATTGTCGAGCATCGACAGAACATATAGAAGCCTCTCCATGACTGAATCCGTGGCTGAGATTGACCAATTGTGCGCACTGTGCCCTGCCTGATTTGGAAACAGCCAGCAAGATACAACTCTAAGAAAGCCTGAGGGGGACCAACAAGCGTTGACCGACGTTGCACAGAGTGGAAGGCCTGGATCATAGGGCTGCTACCGAGATTTCGGAGAATGGCCAAGCAAAGACATCCAGCGAATTTCGGGACCGTGAGAGCAATGGCGCCTTCCCTCTTCCCTTCGCTCCCCGATCTTCCCGAGACTCTGACAGTCGAGATGCCCGTCTTTGTGGACCCAACAATGAGATTCAATCTCTATTCTGTCCTCTTCCATGTTGCACCAATTATGCCGTCATCATAATAATAACGCTTTGAATAGAAAGGTAATGGTGATTCGGCACTAGTCGTGGGACAGCCGCTGGACATGCACAGCCTCAAAGGTTTTCGCGGCTTTACTCAGACGACACACATGGGTTCGAAAAAAAAAGCGAGTGCAAGGCTTTTTTTCCCCTTGTTTTTCTTACACTACTTTCTTTTTGTGGATTGTTTTTCTTGACAAATATCATCCCGGGGTGTAGTGCATAGAATATAGCCGCGGACCAGTGTCCTCTGAGCAGGGTTCGGTGTTGTCAGGAGAGGGTGGAGGTCAGCATCCCGACGAAGTAGCAGGTAGAGCCCAAGAGAATAGCCGAAGGTGAAGGGTTCGGAATTGCTCATTCGTCCCTTTTCTTACCGTTCCAACCGTCGGCCGCGCCATGGGCGGGTTTTGGCGAGACCGCTCTTGCAGGATCTCCGGACAAGCTGACAAAGAGGTCCTGGATGAGTTCTAATACCTGTGCACATGTAAGATGAAGGAGGTCAAGCTAAGGACCACTCAAACAACTATGGCCTACCACTAGTATTTGAAATGAGCAATAGCTAGCTAGCCTCGGTACCACCTTCCGACTTGACGTGCCCGAGACCGGTTGGCCTGATATGCGACCTGATGGCAGGCGACCCAAGATCAGTTCCAAGCCGCCGGTCCGGCTTGCTTCTAGACAGTTGGAATACAGGGAGGTGAAGAGAGAGAGAGGCAACGCGTCCAAGTTTGATCTGGCCGCCTTGTGCGACAGGAGATCAAGCTCAAACTTGCCATGAACAACGCAAGCAATTCTAGCCGGCCTTGCGCTGGGGACGGGACTGTAGGAAGTAAACTTGGTCTTCATTTCCCTCTCTCTCTCTCTCTCTCTCTCTCTCTCTCTCTCTTTATTTTTATTTTTATTTTTATTTTTATTACTTTTATTATTTGCCTGCAGTTTTTGACTTGTAGTTCACTCGTTGCTTCGCGGCATTTTGTGCTCAATCTTCGTCCTTGGTTGCGGTTGCCTGGTTTCGCTGGTTTGACTGCCGTGTTTCAAAATGACTCTAATTTCTCCCTTCTCCCTTCTTCCTTCTCATCTTCCCTTCTCGACATTTCTTTCCCTTGTACTTTCTTCTCTCTATCTCCTTGAATGATGTCCTAGTCCGCAAATCAAGTCCCCGTCTTGGTCAAGAATAGCCCTTGAAAATGTGCCTTTAGGCAAAGGACACTGGCGCTTAGAAATTGACCATTTGTGAGGTGTCGGGGGCGTTTATTAGTGGTCGGTTTCCGAGACTTTTGTGTGAGGTCACCTAGTATTAATGAATCGCTAGGCTGGCGCGAAGTGTTACTTTTTAAGAACGGTCTCGACCTGACTCTGCTGTCGCATCCTTGGCTGGCCAGTGGTACCTGACGCTTCCCGTCCTCAGAGGAAAAAAGCCAAGTCCTATTCTCCCCTCCAGTTGGGACCCGTGCTCACGAGCTAGAACATCGCACAATGGCCTCCCGGCTTCCATTCCCGACTAGGGATCGGGTTGGCCCCTAAAAACGACGATGGTGAGCGTCGTAAATACCGCTCCGGGAGGCCATGGATCATGGAGGACCGAAGTAGAAACTACAGCAATGAAGGAGAATTGAGTTGAGCAGCTTGCACTGAGCGGCGAGCGATGCCGAAGATTCAATGAGGGAGCTTCTATGTGTCACCGCCCCTCGAGAGTGGCGCTCTGCCAAATGTGCAGAGCGCTAATCTTTCAACACCCACTTTTATGATGGGCGGACTGATGGCGGTGGGGGTAACCAAAGACCATTTATTTTTGGACCCAATGGCATTATTGAGTATGAGCTGAGAGGACACTTTCATCTTGGGCAAGACTCAGGACTCGCCTCCCCTGTCCAAGTTACACCAGTCCATTGGAACATCAGGGCATCAGGGCCCTGGCGATTAGACGTAGGGCTAGGCTAGGCTGGGCGGGGATGCGAACAAGTTCTCAGTCGCCCTTGCCCCTCTCCAGGCGGGAGGATGGTTGCTGGCCAAGTCGGTAAAGTGGAGCAGATTTAATAACATTCAGTCGAAGGATCCATTGATCCCTTAGCAGGAGCCACAAGTAACCATCCAGCCGAGTTTCGCCTGTCCTGGAACAAAGTACTTCCCTAATGATCCCTTGATAAGGCGATCATGGGTGCACAGCCTACCGACGATCCATTCACGACATTGGATTGGTTGACATCTCATCACCCTTTCACATTTTGTAGTGGTACGGTTCCACCTCCTTTCGGCTGAGAGGGCGGCACAGTACCGGTACGTTTGCGAGATCGAATCGAGACCCTGCCTGTCTGAAGTCTGAAAGGTGCGCGAAAGTGTCTGGTGTTCCACCAAATTCCTCGCCTGTAGCCCAAAGTCAAGGGGATTGGGATGAGATCAATCTTCGCCTTTTCTTGTCAACTTTCTCAATCGTCTTCCCCACCCGACTCTTTCATACTTGATAGGAATCGATCAACGCCAATATTCTCCAAGTCCAGTCTCTCCACCTCAGATCACCCACCTTTGGAGACACACGCACACACGCGCACATACACGCACACACACAAACACACACCGCACTCCTTCTCCTTTTGGTTTCTCGCCCAAAAAGCTCGCCCTCTCCCTAAGCGGTCGCTGGAGCGAACCACAAATCCGCTAAGAAGAGAGAACCAGAGCCTTGAAATTATCGCGCTCACAGGCGGCCAAAAAGCTACCAACCCCGCTTGCCTTCCCCATTTACTTCTCACACACCAAAAAAGAAGAAAAAAAAAAGAAGAAAAAGAAACAAGAACCCAATTTACCTGCAGCTTTGCCGTGGGCCGCTTGCCATCGCACAGAACAAAGCGAAGAGTGAAGGAGAAGAGAAAATTAGAAGAGGAAAAAAGGTGTGGGAGTTCTCTGGCCTCGACAACGGGTGGTTTGACCCGCGGCACCTCGTAGGGCCATAATTGATAGTGCGTGCGTGCTGGGTGCTTACCGCGCGTGTTGGGCCAGCCCTGGCCTTGTCGCAAGACAACGGACGCATACAAGTATCTTGCACAGCCCCCTCTTCCACTCTCACCCCGAAATCCGAGCAACATAGCCACGCTTTTACTCTTCGTGCGCCCATCTTTCCCTCCCCCACCTCTCCCAAGCATTGGGAAGGCAGAGTGCCAAAACGCCTCGACTTCTAAGAACAGCAACATCGTCTTCCAAAGCTATGGATCAGCAAGCGCAACGCGGCCGGTCCCCATCGGCCGGCCACCAGCTTCCTATAAATCAATCGCCGTCGCTAACCCCGACCGCTTACCCTCCGATCAACGACGCATCGATTGGACTCGGCCTCACCTTAGACCAATCCAACTACCAGACACAGCAAGCTCCTACAAGCACCGACTTCTCTTACGGCGCTACTGGCTTCTTGACTCCTAATCACCAGCAAGCAACCTTTGACCCCACGCAAACTTTGGCCCCTTCCGCCACCGACGGGAACTTGGCCTTTGCCGGCCAGGCACAAACCTCGCCTTACCTAGCCCCTTCCAACTTCAACGACGCTGGCGACTTCTCGCTGTTCCCCGTCACGAGCCAGGCAGAGCCCTTTGACCAACCTCTCTTTGAGCCTTCCACCCTCAACCCTTCCGATATCAACAATATGAGCTCCCCGCAGATTAACCACTCCCCCACCCCTCCTCATCTCCTCAAGCCCGAGCCCCACGGTTCGCCGGCCTTCAACCACCACCAGCACTTCTCCTCGCCTCCTTCGAGTCACTCGCGAAACGTTTCCCTTGGCCCGGAGGCCGCGCTGCTTCCTAACCACCTCAGTGAATGGAGTCAGCCACAGTTCCACACCCATAGGAGATCCCCTTCGGAATTCTCCGAGGTGTCTAGTGTCGCGCCCTCGCCTAACCTCGTGAGCCATGATGCGTTTGAATCTGTTGAGGGTGCCCACTCTCCGATGCAAAGGCCGCAAGATGCCGGTCTTTATCAAGAGGTACTCGGCATCGGAACCTTTAGCCTTTCGGACCCCCAGCACAGCCCCAACCTCCACGGCCGGAGCCCTTCCCTGAGCCCGGCGATCTCGCCCCGCATCCTCCCGGCGCAAGGTCCGGATCTGAGCCACGTCACGGGCGCCTTTGGTCTTGCTCATGCACAGAACCCTTACGGAGCCATGCCCACTCTCCAGAGTGAGGCCTTCCCCAATCTGCAACCATCCGGTGACCTTCCCCAACTCGCACCGCCTGCCATCAACATTGACTACGCGCCCACCTCTCAGCGTGCCATCTTCGATCCCCTAAGAACACGATGGATGCCGACTCTCTCACACCGCCTGACACTCGAGGTATGTCTTCCCCAGAGCTTGATCACCACAAAGCTTTCTCCCCTCCGTAGCAGACTCTTAGCTTCCTTTGGACTTGGCTGACATGGCAAAATCGTTTACAGGACGCGGACGCAAGCGAGCCGTCACTGACCCCTACAGTGCCGCTGGTGGCATGGTAAACCGCAGCGCCCTCAGCCCCGGTTCCCTTTCGCCAAACCTCGCGCCCGACTCGAGGGACACCTCGCGGTCCCTTTCCTCTTGACCGACAGACGATGACAGCCGCGAACAGGAGGCGACAGTCAACTTCTGCGGTGCCCAATAACGTAATTGCGCTGAGGCTGGCTGATCCCGAGTATCAGAATGCGCAGGATAGCGGGAACCCCAAGAGGGTGCAGAAACATCCCGCGACGTTCCAGTGCACGCTCTGCCCCAAGCGATTCACCCGAGCGTACAACTTGCGATCCCATCTGCGAACGCACACGGACGAGCGTCCGTTCGTCTGCACGGTGTGCGGCAAGGCGTTTGCCCGCCAGCATGACCGCAAGCGACACGAGAGCCTGCATTCGGGCGAGAAGAAGTTTGTCTGCAAGGGTGACCTCAAGTCCGGAAGCCAGTGGGGGTGCGGTCGTCGCTTCGCTCGCGCGGACGCTCTCGGCCGCCACTTCAGGTCCGAGGCTGGTCGCATCTGCATCAAGTCACTACTGGATGAAGAGACACTCGAACGCCAGCGGCTCTGGCAAGAGCAGCGGATGCAGCAGAACATGGCGCACACCATGGTCAACCAAGGGCCGATGATAGATCCCACCACTGGCTTCGCGTTAGATCCCAACGGCGGGTACGCGCTACCCGCTGCGCTTTTGGCCCAATACCCTGCTCTCGCGCAGGTCAACTGGGGTGCACCGGACATGAACAATCCCGGAGCCGATGATGAACTCGGTGGCCGATCTTCATTCGACGCCAGCGATTACGATGATGGCGACGACACCGGTTACATCAGCGGCCACAGCGGTGGTTTTGGCGGAGAGGGCAGCGTTTCAGCCCAGGGCTACAGCGAGGTGGGATACGCGAGCGACTACAGCCAGGGCCCACGATAATCCCGACACTCGTCCATCCCCTCTCCTGTCACCTTTTCTTGAGCATAGCTACAACCGAGCGCGGCGGATAATGTGAGAGGGGCTTGGTGGTCCAAACCAGCCCGTCTCCCCGTCCTTGATCTTCTTCATTTTGTTCTTGCTTTGGCTTGCTTTCGCCCACATTATCTTGGGTTCCACCACCGAATGCCGGGGATCTACGGATTCCCAAACCTCTAATGACGTCCTTACCCGGGCATGTCTGTCTTTTACGACAATTGGAGTTTGATTTTTATTATACTATTATTCACGGATGTCCTAGACTGGGATCATGACGGCAAGGAATGAACGACCTGGGACATGGGCTTGTTCCTTATTTTTAGGGGATTGGGGTCTTTTTATGTTACTTTTTCTTCTCTGTCATTCTTCGCTTCCCAACTTCCACCTTCTTGTTTGTTGGATCATTGCCTTTGCTCTTTTTATTCTTTTTTCGGTCTCACCGGAGGATCATCTGGGTCTTCGATGAAGGTTGCTTGATGTCAGATGGAGGACGGACGACTATTATAGATATCATTGTCCATCGTTCTCTTTATTTTTAGTCATCGGTTTTTTTTTCTTTGTTTCAAGTCCAGCTCTTGTTCTACGTGCTTCGCGTCTGCTTCCGCCTCTCCATCGTTTCTCTACGGCCTGTTCCACCTGTTCAAGCCTTGTCCTCCGTATAGATACCAGCAACAATGCGTTTTTAATCTTCAGCGTGATTTTCTTTCTTTTTCTTTCCCTGGTAGTGATGTCCATCGTTGCATGCGAGCCGATTTCTTGCGCGGAATTCCCTTGCGCGCAAAACCCGAACGGGGAGGATAAGGGTCGAGAACGGGCGGTGGTATGTATAGGTCAGCTGTATATTGAAGGCGTTGGATAGTTGTAATTGATGGCTCGGGGCTTAGGGTTCCGTCGTCTCGTGAGATCCATGGATCCAGGGATAGATCAATCCATGCATTTTCATCGGCTCAAATTGGTTCAGAGGCTTCGAGATAGGCTTTTCATCAACGCATTACTGGTCCTGCAAGTTTAGCTACGTGTAGTTTTCATTCAAGATGGATGCCTCCAACATCATTGATCTACTAGATGCAAAGGCTGTCCTACAACGACTGATGCCTCCTCATTTGCCCAACTAAGCTCGAGCCCGGGCCCGCTGAGGCTCCGTGTTGGAACTCTGAGAGGCTCGGCAAGCGTGGGTGATGATTGATAAGTGGGCACCTAGTGATGACCCCACGTCCCAAAGTGAAGCTCAAAGGCGCCGGAGCCACCAAGTTGGAGCTTACACCTCACTATGAATTGATCCATTGTTTTCTACCTTTCGCATAAGCTCTAGAAAGGGCGACTCCTCATCAGTTTCTCTGCCAAAGTCCACCACTATCGTCTGACGAGGTTCGTGGCGAGGTTTGGGCCGGGCTGAACATGCGGGGACCGCCACCTCTTGGTGCTAGCAGGTGGGGGAGGCGCCACAGAATACTGGAAATGCCACGCCGGCAGAGTGAACTGTGGTTACCTCAATCCGATCTGTCTCTGTCTACAGTGTTTCTTTTGGAGGGGGAGGAATTAAAGTTTATAAGCAGTCAGACGCTTCCACACATCGTAGATGACCACGTCACTCCCGACACAGCCGCGGCTAGTGAAGTAGCTTGAGGCTTCCCGGCCGATGCACAAAGGTTGGAAAACTGATTTCTCAGCGGCCAAGGAGCTATCCCTCGCTAGATGGACGCGATTGGAAAAAAGGACCCGTGGGGTTCCCCCCTTCGCCCCTCTCTCCCTCCAAGACCATGCCCATGACCCGCTCTTGCCCGCCTACACCCATGCTCCGGGCGGCACTTTGCGCCAGCGCCGCGAGGAACTATTACAGCATCTCAACCCATCTCTGGGCCTGTCCAGCTCCATAATCGCACTAAAAGGACCCCTCCACCCCTCTTTTCTGTCTCGGCCCTTGCCATGCTGTGCCGCTGCCGCCGGAAGCTCGCCCACGTTGTCTCTCTCCCCATCCTCCATCGTTCTTTCCCTTTTTTCAATCTCCTCACGTCATCCTTCTTCTTTCCGTGTAGTCTTCACTGACCAATTTCAAAGTCAACCGTAATTTACAAAGAACTCGACCAGCTTCTCACAATGGCTCAAAATAAAGCGATCGTTGTCGCCAAGGCCGGGGACGCCCGCATCCTGGACGTCCCTTACCCCACGCTGCCCGGTGACGATTACATGATTGTCAAGACCACCGCGGTCGCCATCAACCCCACCGACTGGAAGCACGTCAATTTCGCCAGCCAACTCGGCAACGAGAACACACGCGTCGGATGCGATTATGCCGGCGTCGTACAAGAAGTCGGTCCTGCCGTAACCCAGTACAAGCCAGGCGACAGAGTCTGTGGCTTCATCAACGGATGGTATGAGCAGTTCCTTTCGTGGTTCCCTCCATTCCCTTTATTCATTCCTGTTCTATCCCCCTTAAAGATATCTTGTAGACTCAGTCCCTAAAAAGATCTTTGTGTGAATGACGGAGAGGAGGAGTGGGGGAGGGAGGGACCTCTTCTTTTTATCATCACTTCTTCTAACTAAATCCGTGGGTGCACAGCAACAAATTCAGAGATACCGACGGCGCCTACGCTACGTATGCCGCCTCCAAAGCACCCGTGCAGGGCAGGGTCCCCAAGGGCTGGTCCGATGAGCAGGCAGCGACACTCGGCGTGTCCATCACCACAGTTGTAAGTGGGACGGCCCGACCCCCAGGGGCCAAAGCGGCAAAGACTCCGTTTCTAACTACCAAACTGTGCAGGGTCAAGGGCTGTACCAAACACTAGGCCTCCAACTCCCCGCCGAGCCGACCCAGGACAAGACCCCCTCCTCATTTACGGCGGTACCACCGCCACGGGCATCTACGGGATCCAGTTCGCCAAGCTCTCGGGCTACACCGTCATCACCACCGGCTCCCCCAAGAACCACGAGCTCCTCAAGTCCCTCGGCGCCGACCATGTCTTTGACTACCGCTCCCCGACCCTAGTCCAGGATATCCGCGCCGCGGCGGGCGACAACCTCAGCTACGCCTGGGACTGCCACGCCGATCAGGCAAGCGCCAACGTGTGCGCCCGCGCCCTGAACCAGGACGGCGCCCACTACGCCGGGCTCCTCGGCGGCATCGACCGCGCCGTCAAGGCGGCCAACCCCAAGGCCAAGGTATCGGTCTCGCTCGGCTACACCTCCTTTGGCGAGGACGCGTGGCTCGGCGCCCTGTACCCGGCGTCCCAGGCCGACTTTGACTTTGCCAAGAAGTTTTGGCCCCTCGCCATCGATCTGCTGGACGAGGGCAAGGTCAAGCCCATCGCCATCGACGTCAACAGAGGCGGCAGCGGGCTGGAGGGTGTTCTTGTCGGCTTGAAGGAGCTGGCGGCGGGCAAGGTCAGCGCGCAGAAGCTGGTATATACCCTTTGAGGCTAAGGGACTTCCGGGTACCTCGGTGGGTTTGGGGGCCCCATCGCAATAGAGTGCACGAGGCAATGAGAGATACAGGATCAGGCTAGAAGCACGCACTGCGCGCTGAGCGAAGAGGCTGCGGTCAGGACAAAATCACAAACACCCTCCCACGGGAAGGCAGGCACACACGCACGCACGCGCAGATATATATATACATACATGTAGCTATCAGTACGAAAGAGTAATGCCAATTGCGGCTCAAAGGCACGATTCAGCCCGGCCACCACTCATCACGCAAAAGTTTAATACACTTGAGCTTAGTCTCTCTTATCGCTTTGCATGTCTAATCTCCAAACCAATACATTCAAAGGATTAGCGCTGAGGGCATAAGGGCACGAGAGCATGTCTTCGGCTCGGTTATACGGACAGCATGTCCATCCCATCTCCATCTTTTCTCATATCCAACATGTTCGTGCTCCAATCGGTTTCCACATGCTGCGAGGTGAAGATGCACAGGCATGATCGGGCACGCGGGTCGTACTGCAGCAGCCCCTTGTGTAAGGGCATCGTCCTTTGTACGCCCGCTTGTGGCGACCATACTATGCTCAAAACCTATCGCGTGGTGGAACGACGGCTGAGATACAGGTAGCTGAGTGTATCGCAACCAAACATGGGGAACGTATCGTACCCTTGGCAACTGCAGCAGGCGTACGAAGCAACGAGATATGTTTGCCACAGGCAAGTTTCGGACTTTGCTCCTATTTGAAAGATGTAAATATCTGGTAAGAAAAGCATCTACTTGTATCTGCGTGTGTATATCTTTCATTCCCTAGAGAGGATGCATGCCGAACCAGCTCACCTAGGCTCCTATCAATGGGATGGGATGAACAAGACCATAGCTCATTGATGCCAGTGCAGGTTCGAGGTGTGTTACTGCTGCTGGCGCCGCCGTGGAACTTAATCACGGTTGGACGAGGTGCTTCGGTATCGATATGTAGCACATGGAGCGTGGTATCAACCTGAGAGGTGGAGAGTGATCTCTCCCTAGCGTGCATACCTTACTCTTATACCATACTTTTCTCTTTTATCTCTTCTAGGGCGTCTTTCAAGACAGAAGGAATGCAAGAGTGCAATAGTGTATATAATACGACTTGGTTAGTTGACGAAGACGATAGTACCACAGCCACAGCGTCTCGCAAGTCAACGGTCTATCTAGAAATCTATTTGCCTGTGAAACTCTTTGTGATGTGTGGCCTGATAACTCAAACAGCCAGTTTTTCTTTCTCTTTGTGCCACATAATATACTTGGATATATGTTCACTCTCCATTTCACCCTTTCTTTCTTTTTCTCTTTTTTGCTCTCTCCCTCTTTATTGTTGAAAGAATCCCCTCTTTTCGGGACTACACTAATAGCAGGGAGTTGTCGGAAGCATGAGCAGGCCATTTTTATTAGGGAAGGATTCGGAGGAACGGGAGATGCGTTCGAGAAGGATTTCGAAGCGTCTGGTCACGGACGATGGCCTTGGAGAAGCCCCTGCCGTGGTTCCCTCATGGTGCTTGTCATACTCTCATGCTTGACAACATATGTGCACCGGGATCAAGCTCTTTTTCTCCCTCTATGTCTATCTACTTGGTTTTGGAGAGGACAAAAATTCCGCAAATTCTTGGAATGCAGAGTCACGATGGTTAGATGACCAAAAGCCTGACTCCTACGTCCCACGGAGCTAGCTTCGCGTTCTCTTAGAACACTGGATTCCGCATTTCTTGCTGATGGGGGCTAGCCTGCAATGTGGCCAACGCTCACATTTCCGAGCAGAGAGGGAGTGCCTTTAGCATAGTCCACCCATGACAAGATGCCTCGTGTTGTGCAAAACAAGCCGCGGATTCCATGTGTATTCGGAGCATATGCCGCTAACGCCGTCCTTGCTAGCAGCGGATCGATCTCATCAAGGACAGGACACCCTCAGAAAAAAAGAAAAAGAAAATCACTTCCCGATGATACGCTACTCCCGAAGCCAGCGAAAAGTTCCCCGCTTCTCTCCAAAGGGAGGGGCGGGCCTTCCAGACAGGCTGGCGTTCGTGAAGAGTCACAGAAGTCAAGTGCGGAGAAGCCACGAGACTAGCAATTCCTCAAAAAAGGCCACCGGGCTGGGCTCGAAATCCGACTCTATCGCCTTCTCTTCGCTTCCCTCGGGTATCAATAATGTGGGCTTCACGTCAATCATCCCGCCAACCCACCTCAGTGCTGGCTTGGAAAGTGCAGCGGCGGAGAAGGGACTCTCTCGGCAAAGCACGCGGTTGATGCCGGGGCTCTCCTCTTTTGTTTCCCCTCCTCCCGTCCAGCTACCCGAGCCAACCTCCAGCCCGGCGGGTGGGGGAGGGGCGGTTGCCCAACCCGATGACTCTGCGTAGCATATTGTAATATTGTAGGCAATCTCTAGGAGCCTTGCCCTCCCTCTCCCACTCTCGCGCTGCCTCGCCCTACATTCGCCTTACCTTATCTATCTGGGGTGGAACGATTGTTTTAGATCTTCCGCGCGAGCCTCGCCTCGCATCCCTTCGCTCGTCAAAAAGGGGTGCACAAAGCACAACATTTTCGGTGCTCTTTCCTCTCGCAGCGAATGATACCTGTGTACACGGTTATAATTTGTCTCCCAGGTCGCCGCAAAAATGCGGGTTATAATTGGGGAGGTGCCTGTTTAGACGTGGGGCTTGAGACAGCATGCTGAAGGTGATGGCACCAATCGATAGCCAATGAGCCAATGCTCTCTGATGGAGTGGCGTTTTTCTCTACTTTTGTTTTGACATTGGGCTGGGAGGAGGCATGTAGCGTGGAGGAAAATAGACTTGGAGTTGGCGGTGAGCGTTGAGCGATGCCTGTTTTGGCAAAGTGGTGGACGGGGTGAGAGCTTTGAACTCCACAGGGTCTCTACCTGCGAGCCCCATCGATTAGCTATCGATTGATGTTTTAGTTCCCGCTTGTGCGGATCATAGCCTCCTCGTCCTCAGTTCTACCTTCCGACATTGACGGGCTGTTTCTTGGGTTTGCTTTCCTTTTTCTTTTTCGTTCTTTTTTTTTCTTTTTCTTTTTTCTTTTCTTTCTAATTCTCTTTTTCTTTTCTTTCTTTTCTTTCCCGCGCTCTTTCGCTTGAATTACTTCATAGATTCCGCATGTCCCCTTCCCCATACCTTCTTTTGAATTAGTATGGCCTACTTTTACCTCAACATTATTTAGACCCTAATTTGCAAGGATGACCTCGGCAAAAACCAAGTGTTTGCGAAGACGATCCTTGAACCACTGCCGGGACGAGCACTGGCTCCGTGGCTAGTGTGTTGCAGCCACTACATGTTATGGGCAAGATATCGAGGCTCTGAGAAAGCAGCTCGGGAAGGTTAACGCCTCTGTTCCGTCACGTCACCAGCCTCCGCGAAACTGGGCTAGCTCTTTAGTCGGCAGTAGTTTAGCGGTGCCTGCCGGGCAGGTCTTCATGCGCTGCTACTGCGCGTCCTCTATTAATTCCACTGAGAGACGGTGTTGTGCCTCTGCCTCTCCAACAGTTTGCTTGCTTTTACCCCCGTCTATGCGCCCACCCGCCTGCTTCAACATGGGAAAGGAAAGCCCTATGCCTATGCGTGCGAGGGTTGTTCTTGCTCTGGGTTGATAGGCTGGGCAGATTAAAATAGAAAACACACAATCACTCACTTCACAACGCAGCGCAGGCAATGCAGCGTACTCTAGCGGATGGCAACTACGGCATAGGGCGACGATGACGGGCCCATAAAGAAGTCTTTTAGAAACCTGCGAGTGCTTATTTCTAAAGATCGACAGACCTCCTCGGTTCCTTCGTCCACGATCGGGACAAGAGCCCGGTGACGTGGAAGAACCACGGCCCTCTTCAGCTGTCCCGGACGTGGAGCGAGGTGCATCGATGCCCGGCGAGATGTATCGATACCTCATCTTCTGCACTTCCAATCCAACACGATGCACGCCCAGGATTAGCCAATGTTCAGGCTCGGACTCGTCCAATGAGAGAATCCGCCGAACCGACATGAAGCTGGAATTTGTAGTCATCAAAAGTAATGATATTATTATCCCACCAGCCGGAGTAGGCCTGGCCACTGTGATTCTACGGGGTCGTCAGACAATAATAATCAACCGCCATCATCGACAGGTTGCGCGCGCCATGGGCGAGCGGGATCCGACCTGTGAGTAGCAGGTTGGCTTGTTTCCAGGATGCAGGTTTGTCGACTCTCCTTTCGAGATCGTGCCGGAACGTTGGATCATCTCTTTCCCAAGCAGGCAATATCAGGCGTTATGCAGCAGGCGTCCCAATCCTCGTTTGCACCACTCATCACGCGAGGATTCGCGTCGCAGCGCGCAAGAAGTGACCACGCTTGTCTGAACCAGGCAAGCCTGTGAATAATAATACATCTATGGATGGAAAGGCAAAAAAAAAAAAAAAAAAAGGAGATCGTTCTCCTTACATACCGGTATCCGAGATGCTGGGACCCTGTGTAATTTGGTGAGAGTGTAATATTGCCCGTTTCTTCTTCTTCTTCTTTTCTCTCGTCTTTCTGTTGAGAGGACCCCGGGCCATCTCACGGTGACAAGGCTTCGTAAAATAGGAAAGACCCAGGCGGGTCGTCAGGAGACAAAACAGGGACCCATGCCTGCCCGTGACCCTTTGAGATAAGGGCAGCAAAGGGTGGGGGTAGGACGGAGCAAGCAAGGGTCGGGATACACACAGCACAGACTTGCGCACAATATTTTACTCGATCAAGCACGACTCAGGAAAACGAGATACAAGAAGTCGAAAAGTTACAAAGTCACTATGTAGGTGCCATTGAGTAGGAAGAAGACAAGTCTTTCTTCCGAAAGAAAAGGAAAGAAAGAAGGAAAAGAAACCGGTTCAGCGAGTCTCAGATGGGGGTTGTCTCAAACCATCAGGTTCTCGGGGAGGGGCAGATGGGATACTGTAAAACAGCTTCTCGTGATGGAGTGATCACACACGATGGCGAGGTGCGGGATTGTTACCCATTCGAGCATGGATCTTGGTGCACCTGACACAAAAGGGGGAGGATGACCTATTCTGGGGAGCCGAGTGGGCGATATACATCATCGCTACATCGAGTTGGTGCCCGGGAGGAACGCTATAACATGTATCGTAATGCTCCCGCTCGCGAGAGAGAGGGAGTGGGAGAGATCTGGAAGGAGAACATTTGAAATCGTGCGTGTAGGCCATGAGGGTGGATGGTGGAGGGACGGCAGAACACTGATTTATTTCAGGGGTCTCTTAGTGGAAGTGTGGTTCATGTGGAGAAACAGCTGGAGACTGACTTCATGCCACGCCCCGCCACTTTTCCATGTTCTCAGGCTTGATGGTGGCTCGGTGCTCGTCTCCCTCCCAGTGACACTGGGTCTCAAAAGCCTTATTTCCTGTGGAATGGACCGGATCTTTGGAAGAGAGAAGAGACCTACACTATTTGATTATGGGCCCGTCCACAATGTGAGAATTAGGGCTTGCCCTTGCTGGCAAAGTGGGCGGTGGCTGGGTTCATGGGAATTCGGATGCTCCGAATTAACCCTTGTTGGCAAGGAGGAGCTTCATTCGGTGGAAACATTTGAACTTCAACTTTGTACGTCCGAGACCACATTTCGACGTGCAACCTCAGCTCAAGCTTGATACAATGGATCAATGCAGTTGTGTAATGTTAATGTTACGCTCCCTCCTCAGCAAAGATGGCCTTCAATGTTGTTGGTGGGTACATACACCAGCTTAATTGCTGCTTGCTCGTTTGACATGCACCAATCCCACGTCATCATTCAATGGTGGCTCACTCCCAATCCCAATCATGGATCAAATTGATCCATGCCTCCGAACAAAAACAATGGCTGAGCAGCGGAGTCTGTAGTGTATTAGTGCAGGCTTAACCGTGGCAATGTGGATGGAGAAGTCCAGCCAATGCCGACCCTAGCCTAGGACCAGGCTCCTTGAACCCCTCCCCAGTATTACTCCGTCCACTCGAGGACCCTGGGGTTGGTCAAGAGGGCACACGGCTGAAGGGCTTCTTTGCTGGTAACGCTGAGTGGGCCGGTCTCATTCTCTCAAGCAACTTGAACACACACACACAGGGTTCTTCCTAGTGTATTACCCAGGCTGAAGGAAAGGTGGGTTCGCGAAATCCTTGGGGCTGTCCCGTTCATCGGATGGTTCGTGACTCCTTGTCTTCCTCCTCGGCAACAACGATTCATTGATCCATGTCTTCAACAGGCCGAAGGGCCTTTTGTCGCGTGCGCGTTATTATTACCCTTCTCTGCGGAAGGAGGGCTGCTCATGGCCCATACGTGATGCTATTATTACTATTATCTGCCCGGATTTGGACGGTTGTGAAACGACTGAACAATAACCGGCCGCTAGGGGTTGGATATCGGATGGACGGGCGAGGTCTGCCTATTTTGCTCCTTAGCAACCCCGTTAGAGATAAATATACAAACTAGGACACATTTGCTTCGTTTCCACGGTTAGATCGATGAGTATTCGGCTAGCCATGTACCGGTATTGACATCCCGTTGAATAGAGTGTTTGATAGAATTTGCGACCTTCTTTGGCGAGCCTTGCCCCTGCCACCACTCCCTTTTTTTCGTGAGCGAGCCTGCGCAGGCCGCGTTAGCACCCCCAGAAACATCTACGTTGTGGATGTTTTCGGAAGTTCTGACTTTGCACCATATTGGGCTACCCTAGCAAGCCTAGCTTTTGCATAAAATGAGTAATGGGATCAACGAACGGGCTTCCAAGAACAAAGACCGAAAACCGGCTACATCTGGATCTATTACTTTCCTACTCCATATGGAAAGATCCACTGCTTTGCGTGGCCCGCCCTTCCGTTGCTGGCTGGCCACGTCCCGTCCCTTCCTTCATTTTTGTGGTGGCCGTGCACAGCCGCGTGTTACTTTGCAAAGCGATGTCAAACATGCCACAGGAGGAGGTTCTTCCAAAGAAGCTCGAAGCCCCAAAGAAGAGGGAGGCAATGGACAACGGAGAGGACAACACTTTTCATCGAAAATGCAACTAGGACCGTCTATCGCTCTGCCGACATATCACTTTGGTAGTGGAAAGAGGGGGGATTTGCTGTCGTTCCAAAGTACTTCGTGCCCACCAACTTTGGATGTTGGCCAGAATATCAATGTGGCACCCCCAACGCTGAATCGGAAAATGTAAAGAAGCCCGTGATCCACCACAGAGTGTGGCAAGGGAAGACTGGTGTCGTGTGGGATGTCGTGGGTTGTCCCACTTATCGATACCGATTGGCTCTGGCCTGCCTGGTCACTCACCCTGATCATCCCCTTTTGGTTTTCCACCCTTGCTTTTTCCCGTTCTTTGTTTCTTGTTTACCCTATCCGAGGACTAGCCTGGGGACCTTGGCCCGGGAGCAACATCAGACCTTGCCCCAGGACCCAGACTTGCTAGACTCCTGTCTTGGTTCGCCAGCTATGCTGTAGGTGGGAGAAAATTTTTTTTTCTTTTCCGTGGCCCGTCGCCAACTCTTGTCTTTGCTTCGCCATTTGGCCGCGCATCTCTTGTCATACTGAGACAGCTCTCGAACCCTACTCGCACAAAGGGTATTAGAGTGGCGGTCTGGGGGCAAGGAAGCGAAGAAAAGAAAGGGGCTATGGGTCGTGCGATCACTTTGACTTGTCGGTTGCCCGAGGGCTATATTTTATCTTGCGTAGAGACGGGCGTGGAAAATAGTGCAATCGTGATGATAATACAATTTTATTCCCTTTGAGGAGTCCGGTGTCGTCACCATGGCAGCACTGTCGAGCTAGGGAATTAGACTATTTTTTTGGATCCGTTTTCTTCTCGTTTTCTTTTTTCTTTTCTTTTTCTTTTGCTCTCCCTTGGATAAGCTTGTGGTAATACTTGAGAGAGACGGCCTAAAAGGGCCCATCTTCAAGTTTACAGGTATTAAGTAGGTAGTAGGTAGACCCCTCCCAAATCTCCGAAATTACGCCCAGGTGTCTGGGAAGGTGGGAGGCATGAGGTGGGAGGGACAATGGGGCGGACGCTCCTTCACCCGTTCGTTCCCTTGTCTTGAGTGGCCGGTTTCGTTGCCCACACCCCTCATGGGCTAACCCCATGCCATCACCCCGCCCAGAGGTGAGAGGAAAGTGGGAGGGAAAAAGGGTCTCCTTGGATGGGGCTATGGGAAGAAGAAGAAAAGAAGCGACAGAAAGGAAAATGGAGAGGGGGTGTCAATCAAGACGGGTACGGGAACGGACGGGCGGTGCGCGGGTATGGCTCAAAGCTGGTATGTACATGCCCTTCTTTGGCCTGTCGCTGGCAATTGGCCACCCCCAAGTCATCGATCCATCCACGGATCTATGGATCCCATGGATGTCAAGTGTTGTCCAGTGTACATTGGGACATGCACCAGAGCAGCGTTGAGGGCGGGACCGGACGACACATGCCTGGCCTGGACCAGGCACAGATTGTTGTACTTCCTACAGTGGAGCACCCGCAGGAAACTTTTCCTCTTTTCCACCTCACACTTACACCAAACGAGAAAACAAAAGCGACGCCTTGCGGAATCTTTACCATTGGTGAAGGTCCTCGACGAATATTTTTCCTCCCCTTTCCTTTCTCTTCCTGTTGTTCTGGGGGAGCTTGAGGACTGATCTAACATCAGTCTCTTTCGTTAATAATCGTGACTCGAGACTTGCGATATCTCTTTTCGCGGACTTGGAGGCGAGAGAGCTTTTGGGGGCCTGCTGCTGCCACTTCAGTTTTTACCTTGCGCCCGTGATATCGACACTTTGAACAACCTTTTCCTTCCCCTCCCTTCGCCTTGTCATAAAGGGCGCAGAAGGAGGAAAATTTTCAATCACATACTACCCGAGGATTAGAATCAAGTGAAGAAGAGCCCAAGTCTGGACTTTTCTGCTTCGTTCCATCGCGCCAGATCCTCTTCCTCGCAAAACCCTCACGCCTTTACCTGAGCACATTTCACCTGACGGCTGCTTCTTCTGCCCCCAGCTTTCCCCCATGATTTTGACACCAATCCCTCAGCAGCACACGAGCTCAACTTTCCGAAATGGCCGCCGCCGAGGTATTGGCGTCTACAGGATGCTGGCCAGAAAATGCATATGGCTGTCCAATGATCCTGGCCTCGACGACTGGCTGGGATGAAGGCCACGATCTCCAAATCCGCCTGAGTGCTATTGCTCGCATCTGGGTCCGAATTCAAACATATTCAAAGGTACGAAGCGTTTTGGACAAACCATTCCCCTTTCTCTTTCCACCACTAGTCACCAAAGGTTTCCCTGGAGAAAGGACGGGCATCTTTCGCAAGCGCGCAAGCGCTCGTCTTTCTCGATTTCCCCCATGTATCTTATCGCCCACCCTTTTGGTCTCGGCGGCCATCGCTTGAGAGAATATGGCTGGTGGGTTTGACACGGCGTTTGCGCTGGGCTTCCTTTCACTTATTCCTTCTTTTTTAATTTTCTCTCCTTTTTCCCTTTGGCATTTCTTCTCAAGTCTTTTCTCCCTGCCACAGTCCCTTTTATGTTGTCAGATTATCTGCGCTGAAGACCGCTCTTACTCTTGAAGCCCGACTTAATGCCTGCGGGCCTGGAACTCTGTGTCATGGTCGTTCTGTCGGCTTCACAGTACTAATTCTTTTTTTTTTATTTTTATTTTTATTTTGCATGCCCTCACTTTCCCCTCACTAAAATTTCTTTTTCTCTTTTTTCTCTTCTTTTTATTCCCTTTCGTTTGGGCTTAAAATCCATTTCGGGTTCTGGCTTTGTTTATGCAAGGTCATTTACGGGTTTACTTGCGCGGATGCGCATGGTCCCCGCAACTGATGGGCGTGTGCATCTGGCCCGCACCGCCCCATCATCCCTCCGCTCTGATTGCTGTCGAATGGCGGTGTTCACCGCCTGGAAATGCGACATTCGCCTTATTCCACAGCGGGTTCAGTGGCATCAATTGGCTCCCATATTTTGCCGTGGCCCCTGAAGCCAAGCAAAGGCACTTCCAGAAACGCCTGGAGAGGGGTACCACAACCTGCCAAATTCGTGAGGCGACAGTGGTGGGGAGGGGCGTCGCTAGTGTGGCTTGTCCTCTACCTCCCCTCAATCTCATCTAGCTAGCCAACTCGATGTTGTGCCTGTGCCTGGGCCTGTGCCTGCGCTTGGTTGTCGGTGGCTGAAGACCGCGACGGGCCAGCCGCCGATGCTTCATCCACCCCTACATGCACCCTGACCTGGATGAAGCTGCTTGCTGACCGACTGATTTGACATGGTCTTCTGTTTAGACCTGCCGCGACCAATCTCCATCGAACACGAGCTCTCGCCCGAGCCGAAATCCACTCGTAATACCAGACCCCTCTCCGAGATGGTTACGGAGCTTCCCGTACCCGCATGCTTCTGAAATCGAGCCCTCTAGCGACCCCGACCAGGTGATGGACCCAACCGGCACCGGTGCCTTGGCGACCCGCGACTTACCCCCATGGATAACCAGTTCCTTCCCTTCACACCCTCACTCCTCCAATACACAGAATCGCCGTCAAAACCCCCTCTCTCTTTGCTGATCCCTCCATGAGCTTCAGCGTCGATTGGAATACTCGCGATGGCTTTCGCGATGTTGCTAAGAAGAAGAAGAAGGCCGCCCCTGCGTCTAATAAGTGGTCGGACGATGGAGATAAGAAGGACGACGCCGGAAACGGCGACGACAATGCTGGCGGTGCCGGCGGCGGTGACGGTGCCGGTGCCGGTGGCGATGCCGGAAACGGATCTTGGGGCGGCGATGGCGACGGCGACGGCGACAAAGATAATAATGGCGGCGGTGACCCCCTCCCGAGGACGACTGGTTTACCCCGGCCACCACCAAGAAAGGGAAAAAGAAGAATGGCGGAGCCGCAGCCAATACCTCCAAGAACAGCACTTCCTTTCTGCCTGACATTCCAACTTCCGACTTCGGTACGGATTCCTTCCAGGACATCAAACTTAGCGATGACGTGAACGGGAAACTCGATTTAGACTTCGAGTCTCCCTCAGAAACTAAATCCTCCTTTGGGCAGTGGGGCACCAGCTGGAACACCGGGAAATCGGGGAGTTCGTGGGACTTCTCTGCCACCAAGGAGGACGAGAAGAAAGACGAGGGTGATGCAGATGCATGGAGCGCTGGCCGCACCAAGTCCAAGAAAAAGGCGATGACTTTCGGTAGTTTCGACGATATCGAGGAGGAAAACAATGGTGATGCCGATGCGTCCAAGGACAACGGCATCTCTTGGGGTGATTTCTCAACGACGACTTCCAGCAAGAAAGACAAGAAAAAGAAGAAGAAGAACTTGTGGGACGACGAACCGGAACCGGAAAAGCCTGTCGAGGACAACTCGCAAGACCTTGGTGCCACGAAGGAGGATGACGGCTGGGGATGGAGTGCCTCCAGTACGAAAAAGAAGGGCAAAAAGAACTTTTCCTTTGAGGCTGAGCCAGAGCCTGAAGTTGCGGTGGCCACGGACGCCCCTGCCGACGAGGACTGGTTTTCTACGTCGAAAGACAAGAAGAAGAAGAAGGGTGCTTCAGCAGCCATCATAGAGGAACCCAAGGTCGAGGAGCCGCCCAAGGAGGACGACGCCTGGGATACGTGGGGAGCAAAGAAGGACAAGAAGAAGAAGAAGACGAACTTTTTAGACGACTTTGGGCCCTCGGATCCCGCGCCTCCTCCCGAACCTGAACCTGAACCTGAGCCTGTCAAGGAAGATGACTCCTGGGCCGGTGGCTGGGCAGCAACCTCTAAGAAGGACAAGAAGAAGAAGAAGAAGGGCATAATAGAGGAGGTCGCCGAGGAGCCCGAGCCGATTCCAGAGCCTGTTGTGGAGGAGCCGGTCGCCGAGAGCAAGGATGATGGCGATGCCTGGGCCACCCTCGGTTCCAAGGACAAGAAGAAGAAGAAAGGTAAGACTGCTACTACTTTTGACCTAGATCCGATAGCCGAGCCTGAGCCCGAACCCGAACCCGAAAAGCCCAAGGACGATGACGCGTGGGGCTTCTCAACATCAAAGAAGGACAAGAAGAAGAAGAAAGCCTCCATCTGGGACGACCCTGTCCCGGAACCGGAACCGGAGCCGGCAAAGGAAGAGAAGACGGATGATTTCTGGTCCTCCACGGTGACGAAAAAGGACAAGAAGACGAAGAAGAACAAGATATTAGACCCCGAGCCCGAGCCCGAGCCCGATCCGATTCCCGAACCAGAGCCCGAAAAGACGGAGGAGCCCGATAATTTGTGGTCCACGCCCGCAACCTCTTCTAAAAAGGACAAGAAGAAGAAGAAGGCATCTATCTGGGATGATCCCCTTCCCGAACCCGAACCCGAACCGCCCAAGGAAGAAGAGAAGCAGGAGGAAGCTGCCATGGTGGATGATTGGTCTGCTCCTCGTCGAAGAAGGATAAGAAGAAGAAGAAGAAGGGCGACGTCGACAAGGATGAGGAAAAGAAGAGAGAAGAGGAAGAAGCCGAGAGGAAGCGTCTGGAGGAAGAAGAGGAAGCGAAGCGCAAGGCGGAGGAGGAAAAGAAGAAGGAGGAGGAGGATGCGGGTGCTTGGGGTGCGACGACGTCAAAGAAGGACAAGAAGAAGAAGAAGAAGGCATCCATCTGGGATGATTTGGATACCTCCAAGGAGGAAGAGGAAAAGAAGAAGAAAGAAGAAGAGGAGGAAGCGGAAAGAAAGCGACTTGAGGAGGAGGAAGAAAAGAGGAAGAAGGAGGAGGAGGAAGCGGCTACTGGATGGGGTGCCGCGACGTCAAAGAAGGACAAGAAGAAGAAGAAGGCCTCGATTTGGGATGATCCAGTACCTGAGCCGGAGCCTGTGGTGGAACCTGAACCGGAAGAGATCAAGGAGGAGGCGAAAGACGATATGTGGGGAACATCAACATCGAAGAAAGACAAGAAGAAGAAGAAAGCCTCGATTTGGGATGACCCTGTACCTGACCCGCCAAAGGAGGAGGAACCGAAAAAGGAAGAGAAGGATGATATCTGGGGGACAACCACGGCCAAAAGGACAAGAAGAAGAAGAAGGCCTCCATCTGGGATGACCTGGACACCAGCAAAGAGGACGAGGAGAAGAAGAGGAGGGAAGAGGAAGAAGAAGCGGAGCGGAAGAGGGTGGAGGAGGAGGAAGCCGAAAGAAAGAGGAAGGAGGAAGAGGAGGCTGCGAGCGGGTGGGGCGCGGCAACTACCAAGAAAGACAAGAAGAAGAAGAAGACGTCTCTCTGGGACGACCCAGCCCCCGACCCGCCGAAAGAAGAGCCAAAGGTTGAGGACATCTCCTGGGGCACGACTAGCAGCTCGAAGAAGGACAAGAAAAGAAGAAGGCCTCCCTTTGGGACGATCCTGAACCTGAGCCAGTCGTGGAAGAGCCCATCGTCGAAGAACCACCAAAGGAAGAGCCCAAGGAGGACATCTGGGGCGCGGCTACCTCCAAGAAAGACAAGAAGAAGAAGAAGGCCTCGCTCTGGGATGATCCTGTCCCCGAACCCGAGCCCGAGCCCGAACCTGAACCGGAAAGAAGGAGGAACCAAAGGACGATATTTGGGGGACTTCAACTTCCAAGAAGGACAAGAAGAAGAAGAAGGCCTCCATATGGGACGACCCAGTACCTGAGCCCGAACCCGAACCCGAGCCGCCAAAAGTGGAGGAGAAGAAGGAGGAAATGAAGGATGATATCTGGGGGACTACGACTACGACTTCTAAAAGGACAAGAAAAAGAAGAAGGCCTCCATGTGGGATGACCCCGTTCCCGAACCAGTTCCCGAACCTGAGCCTGTGCCCGAGCCTGAACCGGAGAAGGAGGAGGTGAAGGATGATATGTGGGGGACAACGACTTCTTCCAAAAGGACAAGAAGAAAAAGAAGGCCTCCATGTGGGATGATCCTATTCCCGAACCAGAACCCGTACCGGAGCCCGAGCCAGAAAAGAAGGAGGAAGCAAAGGATGATATGTGGGGGACAACGACTTCTTCCAAAAGGACAAGAAAAAGAAGAAAGCCTCTATATGGGACGACCCAGTGCCTGAACCTGAACCCATACCCGAACCCGAGCCGGAGAAGAAGGACGAAGTTAAAGACGACATCTGGGGCACGACGACTTCTTCTAAAAGGACAAGAAAAAGAAGAAGGCCTCCATGTGGGATGATCCGGTGCCTGAACCTGAACCTATACCCGAACCCGAGCCAGAGAAGAAGGAGGAAGCGAAGGATGACATGTGGGGAACTACGACTTCTAAAAGGACAAGAAAAAGAAGAAGGCCTCCATCTGGGATGATCCTGTTCCCGAACCTGAGCCTGTCCCCGAGCCAGAGCCCGAGCCAATCAAGGAGGAGGAGACCAAGGGCGACCTCTGGGGTGCTGCGACTTCTAAGAAGGACAAGAAAAAGAAGAAGGCTTCTATCTGGGATGACCCTGTTCCTGAACCCGAACCCGAACCCGTGCCTGAGGTGGAGGAGAAGAAAGAAGAGGCCAAGGATGATATCTGGGGGACCTCCGCTTCTAAAAGGATAAGAAAAAGAAGAAGGCGTCTATCTGGGACGACCCCGTTCCCGAGCCCGAGCCCGCCAAAGAGGAGCCGAAGCCAGAGGAGGACAAGATTGACGACATGTGGGGCACTTCTTCCAAAAGGACAAGAAAAAGAAGAAGGCATCCATGTGGGACGATCCGATCCCAGAGCCTGAACCTGAGCCTCCCAAGGAAGAACCGAAGAAAGAAGAGGAGCCCACAGACACTTGGGGAGCGGCCACATCCAAGAAAGATAAGAAGAAAAAGAAGGCCTCGATCTGGGATGATCCTGTACCTGAGCCTGAGCCGGAACCGCCCAAGGTAGAGGAAAAGAAAGAAGAGGCACCCGCGGATATGTGGGGAACGACAACTTCTAAAAGGATAAGAAAAAGAAGAAAGCCTCTATCTGGGACGACCCGGTTCCCGAGCCCGAACCCGTACCCGAGCCCGAGCCCGAGGCGGTCAAGGAAGAAGCGCCCAAGGACGACCTCTGGGGGCCGCCACCTCTAAAAAGGACAAGAAAAAGAAGAAGGCCTCTATCTGGGATGATCCTGTGCCGGAGCCGGAGCCGGAACCGGAGCCGGCGAAGGAAGAAACCAAGGAGACCGACGACTTTTGGGCGACGACAACAAGTTCCAAGAAGGACAAGAAGAAGAAGAAGGCCTCTATATGGGATGACCCCGAACCTGAGCCTATCAAGGAAGAGGAGCCTCCCAAGGAAGAGCCTCCCGCGACCGACGACCTCTGGGGTGCCGCTAGCACCAAGAAAGACAAGAAAAAGAAGAAGGCATCTATATGGGACGATCCGGAGCCTGCGCCAGAGCCGGAGACCAAGGCCGCCGATGATGACTTGTGGGGCACCGCAAGCAAAAAGGACAAGAAAAAGAAGGGCCAGGATGACGACTTTTGGGACGCGATGGGTGGTTCAAAGAAGGAGGACGCCAAGAGCATCTCCCTGGATGACTCGGTCAAAGCATCGACGGATCCTTTTGATTTCTGGGGTGCAACAAAGAAGAAGAAGGGCAAGGGAGCGGAGGAGGTGAAGCCCGAGGAGCCCAAGGCCGACGACATGTGGGACACTTGGGGGTCGACCAAGAAGGACAAGAAGAAGAAGGATCTGATATCTTTCGACGACCCCCTGAGGAGCCCGCTCAAGATGCTTGGCAGCCTGACGCCATCGAGGAGCCCGCCGACGAATCCAAAGACAAAAAGAAGAAGAAGAAGAAGGACAAGTCACGAGATGCACCAGTTGAGGTCACGGATGGAGGCGATCTTGAATCTGTTCAGCCTGACGCTATTGAGGAGATTAAGGACGAGGACGACGGGTCGAAGAAGTCTAAGAAGAAGTCCAAGAAGGATATGGCCACCGAGATTCCACCAGAGCCAAAACTCAGCAAAAAGAACAGGAGAAGCTGGACAAGGAGAAGAAGAAGGCGGACAAGGAGAGGGTCAAGGAGGAAGCTCGTCTTGCTCAGGAACAGGCAGCCAAGGAGGCGGAGGAGCAGGCAGCAAAAGAAGCGGAAGAACAGGCAGCTCAAGAGGCTGAAGCGCAGGCGGCCAAGGAAGCGGCCGATGCAGAGATTGCGGCCGAGGAGGAGGAGCTCGCGGCACTCACCGTCAAGAAGGGTCGCAAGAAGCTCATTCGCCGCGACCAGGAAAAGTTTGACCGCTTGACGGAGAGAGCTAGCAAGCGGGCTGAAGAGGCTGCTGCTATCGAAAAGGCCAAGGAGGAAGAGGAGGCCGCCGCCGCCGCCGCCGCCAAAGAAGCCGAAGCAGAGGCTGCTCGGGCGCTAGAGGAAGCTGAGTCCGGCAAGAAAAAGTCCAAGAAAGCCAAATCCAAAGACAAGAAGGGCAAGACGACGGACAGAGAGGCAGATATGGACCTGGATGTCGACCTCACTCCCGAGCAGGTCGAAGAACTCCTCGCTGACCCCGATGCTCCTGCTAAAAAGGCAGTCGACGACGACGCCTTTGACTTCTGGGGCGCCAAGAAATCTCGCAAAGGTATGTTAGCCTCAGGCAATTGTGCTTATGTCCCCCCTGCCCCTAGTTTCCTTGGTTTCCTTCGCCCCCACAACTTCCCCAGATTTTCGGTTGCCTTGGCGTCCAAAATAAGTGGGCCAAAAGGGTCTTTCTTTCGGAACTTTCCGAAATTGCGCTGCTGACTCATGCTGATTCTGGAAGGTGCTATAGCTCAAGACACGGATGCGCAGTCGAGCTCGCGTAGCACAAAGCCCCGGAAAGCTGTAGGGGCAGGGTCGCAGACAAACTCCGAGCTTTCGAGGTCGGAGACGACCAAGTCATTGACGTTCCTCCTCCCCCCACCACCCGCTCCCCCATCCGAATCCAGACGCAAATCCAAAAATCGAGAGACCTGCCTGGATCATTCCCAGCCGAAGTTGACGAGGACGAGTTTGTTGAGATTATCGAATCGCCTGAGAAGCCCAGGAAGTCAAGAAAGTCGCGATCCTCCTCCGCCGCCGCGCCACCTCCGCCGCCACCCATTCCCCCAGCGGTGCCAGACGCTCCGTTGACCCCCGACAGAAAGCAGGTCGAGGAAAGAACGCCCTAAAATCAACCGTGACGGTTCTTCTTCTTGGAGTATGTGGACTGCCGGAAGCGCCCGCAAGGAAGAAAAGAAGGTCAAGTCTAGACCCAAGCGTTCGTCTCCCGAGAAGGAAGAAAAGTCGTCCAAGGGATCCTCATCCGACAAGGCCGAACGTGAGCGCGAGCGCGAACCCAAAACCCCGCGCCCAAGTCACGCAGCGCTGCCATGTTCAGCACGCCCCCAATCACGCGGTCGACCTCGACGCGCGACAAGAAGCGGTCCAGCACCAAGTCATCGTCGCGCCGCCATTCCGTCGATATTTCTAGCGGCCTCATGTCGCCCCCGCCCGAGCCAGTCATTTCAGGCAAAGCGGCCAAGATTCTCGGCGTTGGAGCACCCACGCCCGACAAGCCATCGCGTCGTCGCTCAAAGGTATCGCAAAATTCCTCCTATCTCTTTTTCCACCTCTTCCATCTATTACTCCGCATCCATTGCAATTCTATTGCTCCTCCTACAACGTAGTGCGCCGCATCATCGATAACTAACAACCGTTTCTTCTTGATAGGCCAAGCCCGATGACGATGTCGTGATGACCGACGCCGACGTCGCAGAAAGCACCCGCTGAAGCGATCGGCCTCGAGCGCTAAGAAGTCTGCATTTTCCGGCTTATTTACAAACTTACTCAATACCCCGGCCACGAGCAAGATGGATCGACGTCGCGGCCCATATACCACAGATGATGAGGGTCGCGGTGTGAAACCCGGCGACGACGGGGCCGCAACTGATGCGGATGCCGAAGCCAGAAGAGCAGCGCGCCGCGCGCGCGCGCCGAGAAAGAACGCGAGGCCAAGGATCGGGGCGCTGCCGACGCGCAACGAGCCAAGGATGAGCTTCGTCGCGAAAAGAGAAGGCGAGAAGAAGAGGAGGCGGAGGTCGCACGGCAGGAAGAAAGGAACTTCGCCGGGCTGAGCGACGCGCAGCTCGGCAGCGTGAAGATGCCGAACGACGGGCCGCCGAAGAGGATGAGGCCCGACGAGCCGAGCGGCGCCGACTCCGGCGGGAGCGGGATGCTGCGGGGGTGGGGATGGTGATAGGAGACGCCGTCACCGATCTCACACCTTGGAGACGTCGGAAGAGGACGCGGATCGGCGGCGGAAACGCGAGGCTCGACGTGTAGCTCGGGAAACCGAGGATGCGCGTCCACGGGGTGGCCATCGCCGCCCAGAGGCCTCCGCAGATGAGGGCGGCGTATACCGGCAAAGCAGCAAGAGGTTGTCCAAGAGTAGCCCCAAGCCGGCTTGGCCGCACTCGGGCACGTCTTCATGGGTCAAGGAGCACTCGGATGCGCCGCCGCCGCCTGGGGATGAGCAGCAGGATGGCTCACACCAGACAGAAGATGATGACCCGCGTCGTCGATACCGACGTGGAGAAGACGGGGAAGAACATCGCCGCAGAAGGGTCCGGCGTGAGGAGTCGGGCGGGGACAGACGTGGAGGGTCTGATGGTAGCGACGAACGGAGGCAGAGCAACCGCAACTCGCTCTTCATGGACACCACGCCAAGGAGCAGCTGGTGGAAGAAACTCACTGGTTCTTGATTGATTGATTGATTGGATACCCTACTGGTTTTGGAGCTTGCCGTACGCAATCGGTGTTTTGTTGGCCGTTTCTAGGGATCTCTATCTACGTCTGATCCTCACCGCGAGCCTGGTCATTTTCTATTTTATCTATCCGGATTTCCCTGTTTATTTTTTTCTTTTTCTTTTTCGAACGGTGGATTATGTCCTGTTGATTTGTTAGCGGCGCGTTTGGTTTTTTATTCCTCTTGCTTTTCTCGTTCCCTCTCAACATCCGTTTCTTTTAAACTACGCATACTCGAGTTTCCCTGCCCATGCATCCTCTATGATTTATTGCTCATGATACCGGTGTTGATCTGTTCGAATACCCTTTATTTGATTTCACTTTCCCAGAGCGAGAAGCGACCTCCATCTTACAACCTCGATTGTTCCCCATCTTTCACCCACGTACACACATGCCCACGTAACAAACAGCACATACTTTTTTTTCACGGGTCGGCGAGATTCTGCATTTCTTTTTCAACCCCCAATAAACGCAGCACGCGGACGCAAATATGCACATGCACATCATCAAAGGGTTGGCGGGTGGTTGTCTAGGCGCTAAGGGATTGTCTCACCTGTTTTTCCCGTTCTTTCTCGTTCCTCCGTCTGATATTAGATGTCTCGTGATGAGAGACGGGTGTTTCAGCGCTCGGTTCAGCAATTCTTTGGGGGAGGCGGCGGCGACACCTTTGTTTGCTTCTTTTTCCTTTTTCTTTTGCTGGGAGCTTTGCGTGTGCGAATCCTGGGTGAACGGGAAGGGAGTGGGTCGATATATATAGAGATATATCATATACATATGTTATAGTATATGTATATATATCCTTTTTGATATCCGGGTAGCCAACCCTTCTAGAATAAAGAGCGATCGCTGATTCAACTTGGCTTTCGAGTGCCAGCACATGTTGTATCTTCTTGGAGTGAAATGCTATTGCTGATCCTCATAGAGAACCTGGAGAGCAATTAACCTGTGAAGCCGTCTTCTTCTTGTACACTCGCGGCCAGTGGGTGGCTAGCTGAGTGAAGAGGCGCGAATAGATATAGAAAGCATCAGCGTAGAAAAGTAGATTAATAGGCAACCCGATGCCAAAGGCAACTCTTGTAAAAACATGGTGAAGAACAACTAACTAGGGGTATCATCAAGCTAAACCAGATTCCAACGCCGTCGTGTACATGCAATCTAACAGATCTTTCCGTCTTGGTTAACCCTAATCTTAACTCCAGTCTTCACTCCTTACTTCTTGATCTCCACCTCCGTCCCCATCCCCGTCCCCGTCCCCGTCCCCGTCCCCGTCCCATCCCCACCACCTAGACTCGGAGACTTCCCCAGCAGGCCCCCTAGCCCACCACCTCCACCTTACTGGACGGTGAATAGGCGGGGTTTGAAAAAGTCGACTCTCCGCGAAGAAAAATACTCGCTCATCTCCTCCAAGGAGCACATGACGGTGAGAAGCCCCAGTCTCGTGTAATGCAGATCCGCGACAAGGCCGGAGGAGCTGAGCCGGCCGACGATCATGAACAGCGCGCGGCCGGGGAGCCGTCTCTGCAGATGCTGTTGTCGCCGAGGAGCAGGGCGCGCAACTCGCCTGTGCGAAGCATCTTGTTGGCGCGCTTGGGCGACTCCGCGCGGTGGCTGAGGGAGACCTCGGCCGGAAAGCCGCAGACGGTCCAGAAGAAGGACGTGTTGTTGTACGCGAGCTTACCCACGACGTTGGCCGGGAGAGCGACGGTGCGCATGGAGAAGACGCGGGGGCTAAAGGTGTCCTTTTCGAACTGGGAGAGGGACGCGTACGCGGCGCTCGAGTAGAGCTTCTCGTAGGGCACCATGTTGCCGTGCAGCTCAAAGGCGAAATCCTTGGCAAAGGGCTGGAAGTCGTAAAGTTGATGGCACCCTCCCACTCGTACGTGATCTCCCCGTCCACCCGAGGGGGACCATTTGGGAAATAGCTCGCGGGGCCGCGGGCACAGGTCCTCCTCGCACCATCCGGTGTAACGGTGCGCCCACGCAAGAGAATAGGGAGTACGGCCTTGGCCATGTCGGCCTGGTCCTGATCGCCCCACCAGACGCGGCGACCTGCGTCGCCGGGCCGACCCGAGGCGAAGAAGGGGATGCCCGAAACCTGCTGAAGGAGTGGGTGGATCATTTGGTGGTGCTTGACGATGCCGACAAAGGCGTTGAGGGCCTGACTCTCGTACCGCAGGTCGCGCCTGGTGAACTCCTCGAGGTGCTCCCGGTAGGAGCGGGCGACCTTGTCGGGGCGGTCGCGGGAGTGCGGGGAGGGCCTCATGATTTGAAAGATGCCGCCCACCTCCTCGACGCCCTCGACTTCGGCCTCGCACCGGCACTGGCCGCGGTTACACTCAAAGTAGAATTGCTCGTCGGTGAAGACGAGGCACCGGCGCGAGAGACAGTGCTCCTGGTAGGTCCAGGCGCGGCTCCACCACTTGGAGGCCTTGATGAGGGCCTGCACGCTGCGGGTGGATAGGCACATGGGGGCGATGAGGCCCTGGCTGGCGTGGCGCAGCTGCCATAGATACGTGTCGGACTCGGTGCTGAGGGAGGACCGCCGGCGGGGCGAGTTGGGCTTCTTCTTGAGGCGGCAGGCGACGCGGGGCCGGGAGATGCCGGGCAAGCCGCGGGTCTCGGCGTCGGCGTCGACGGCGACGATGCAGAGCAGGCTGTTGCGGTAGATGATGCGCATCTGCTGGAACTGGCGGTGCTTGAGCTTGTTGTCGTGCTGCGCGATGCAAAACTTGTCGATCCAGAGGTAGCGCGCGGCGAGCTTGCGGGCGACGTGGGAGACGTCGACGAAGAGCTGCGTCATGCGATCGGCGGGGATGCGCTCGCCCACCTGCACGGGGCGGTGGGCGGCGTCGAGGCGGGGCGCAGACGCCCAGACGTAGCTGAGGGTGACGTACGCGGCATCGGGCTTGGCTTTGACGAGGCGGTTCCCGTCCTCGAGGTCGATGAGGAACAGGTCGCCTGGGGGTAGGTCGTTGACCGGGGTGGCTTTTTCGCTGCAGTACGGGTGGTTGGTGTAGCAGTCTTCTAGCCAAGGGAAGACGCAGTCTAGGTCCTGGCGGAATTCTGGGATGAGGGCGGACTATCGTGGTTCCGTACGGGTTAGTGGCTACGGGGATGAGTGGCGGGAAGAAGACCTTTCCCACTTTTTCCCCGAAGAAGGGGAGGAGGAAGAGAAAGGCTTTTGCGAGAGGTGAAACAAGGGAGTTGGTTGGATCCGGGGGAAGAGGGAGAAAACAACACTTGGGCGGATACGAGTTAAGGGCGGTAAACTTACAGTGGTACCGTGGCTTGACTCGCCACCGATGGAGCCGCGTGAGCGCCGGCGCGGCGGATCTGGGATCACGAGGGGCCCTGGGTCAAGGCTCAAGTCTAATGAATCCTCAAGAACGCCAACCTCCTCCTCTCGTGTTGTCTCCAAGGACGGGGGTCAGGAGGAGCGGCGGCCCAGGGCAAGAACGGCAAGAGGCTAGTAGGCATGCTGTGCAAAGACAGGGGGCCGAGAGACTAGTACCCATCTACCGCTAGTTTTACACGGGTTGAAGAAGCTAGTGAGTAGGGTATAGAGGAGAGACACTGTTTGTGTCCATGCATCTGGCAAGGAACGCTGGAACAGTGAATTTCGGGATAGCAGGGGGTTAGGGAGCGAAGTGGAGCAAAGAGACGGGAATCCCATCTATATATTTGTATACTAGGTTGATTATATCTCGGAGGTGACGGGTCATCTTCTTCATGCTCATCCACGACGGAGTCTACGCACACATCTTGTTGGAATGGTAGGAATAGGGCACTAGCATGGGAGGCAGGGAAAAGGAATAAGACGACACATGTCAAGATAGACCAATGGGGACAATATGGGGGAGGGACAAGTTGGCTGTGCATCTTCTCACGCGTGTCCTCGAGGCTTCCTCCTGCTTAAACTTGAAGTTTGTAGGGGAAGACCTTGTTGCTTTGCCGGGTAAGCGGGGCCATGGGAAACCCTGGGCTAGCAGCCGGCTGTGACGCTGCCATGCTCTTTCGTTCGCTCGCTCGCTCGCTGCTTTGCGGATCAGCGAGCACTCTCCCACGCCAAGTTTCGGGCACAAGGGAAAACCCGGGTGGGCGAGTAACAAAGGAAAGTAGAAATGCGCTCATCGCTGGTCGGATGTCAGCTCCGCCCACGATCTCTCCGGGGCTGGCCTGGACTCTGATCCCCTGCCTGCCGGGCTCGACGGATGCACCAACGCCTAACACACACACACACACACACACACAACCAAGGGTAGAAACCGACCGTTGGTACCCCAGCTTCATATCCTAATGACACCCGTTGACGCAATCTCAAGCCCTCCAGCCCCGCGCAGCTGGCGCCTGGCGCTAGGTAATGGTGGGCGCCCTCCACTCCAGAGACTCGGGCAAATAGAAGAAGAAAAAAGGGAGAAGAGGAAAATGGCCTCATGTGGGAGAGGAAAGTGTGGAGATGAGGGTGGTTTGATTTGTTACCCTGTCGGGTAACCCGGACCTGCGCCTCCGTGAGATGCCCAGAATCCAGCGTAGAGGGCCGAATTAGACCGGGACAGAGGAAAAGGAAAATGGGGGGCTTCCTCAAAGAGAAAGGGACCCGCGAAGCCCTGCATGGCCCAAGAGGCGGAAGACGTGGGCGTGTCTTGAGCCAACAGGCAGCAAAGGGGGATCCCTCAGCTCGAGGCTGTCCGCCCGCCCCGTTCGCGTGGAAAGACGCGTGAAATGCGAGCTCCTGCAAAACTCAGGTGGGAGTGGTGGCAGATGGAGGGGAAGGGGGATGGGGACAAGACGGAATCACAAAGGCAACAGGGGGATGAAGGATAAGGAGGGGAGACATAAAAAAAAGAGGTCCCAGGAGCTGTCATGGGCGGGTAGTGCACCTTTTCTGGATCTGGCATGACATTGGCGATCCTCGAGTGGAACGCGGCGGGAGGGGGAGCGGAGAAAGTGCTTGGTTTCCCTCTATTCCACGTCCGCGCAACTGTGCGTGCAGCTTTTGGGGGAGGATTCTGGCTTTGGCTTTCGGGGATGCGGCATGTGCTTCGTGTGTGGGTTGCGAAAGTGAGGCGGACTATCAATCGACGCTTGTCCCCCTCCCCTCCTTTTCCACCTTGGAAATAGAGTCGACCGCACGACGAATACATCGCAGGCACCAGCCCCCGAATCCAGCTGGAAGTCGCGTGCTACCAAGCATGCCGGCTTGGCCTTGAGTAACGGAATGAAGCGTGTGCTTATGATGGGGCGAGATATAATGGCTTTTGAGGGTTTATGCGGTTTCTTGTTCAATGTTCGTGCGACCGGCGAAGAGGTACCGGAGGAGATATGAAGAGGCCAGGGTCAGGATTGGCGGGTATCGATGTAATATTACAGCTCTATCGGAGTTCTTGGGAATATCTGCTTTTGTGCTTGCGTCCCCTTTGTTGCCCGTTCCTCCCTTTACCCGAACGCCCAATGTGATACGTAACTTGGAAAACATGAAAAAAAAGCCCAATTACACTTGGCTCATAGCGTCCTTTCTCGACCTCGAGATGGCTCCGATCCTGTTTCCTATCAACATCGGCCCATGTTCCTCGTACCCTCGTTTTCCTCTCTGCCTCGCCGACCCTTTTCTTTCAACCATGGAAGGAAGGGGCCGAGGCCATATTCGTAGTTTTGAGTACCCAGTTCGCCTCCAAGAATCGAGGGAATAACCTCGATCGTCATGTAGAGAAGGGGTTCAGGCCCCGGGCTAAAGAAAAGATTATCTTACAGGCCATGGTCGCCTTGATCGTCAGCGTCGTCTAGACCTGTCGTTGAAGCGCAGAGTGTTCAAATCACAACACCCCTTAGAAGACAAAAGGAAATGAAAAGATAAAGAAGAAACAGTAGGCGTTTACAATGTAGAGTTGAGATAAGTTCGGAGGGTTGCGAAGGGGATCGGTTGATGTCTAGACCAGGGTCCCCGCCATGCCGCCGCAGATGACATGGATCAAGAGGGACAGGGTCCAGCCGCCAACCTTCTTCAGCCGGCGGATTCGATTCTGGTGGTTTTCCACATTGAGCGCAAACGCCGTGTACGTCTCCGCAGAGAGATCGTCCATGAGGCCAGAGTCAAATGTTGTCCAGCTCCCGTCAAAGTCGGACTGCCGCTTCGCAAACCGGCACGTGATGGGTATATATGTGCGGCGCGAGTTGATGTACGCCACAATCGGACGCACCAGCGCCTGGTTGACGTAGGATATATCGTTGTTTAAAGAGGAACGGCGGATTTGACGTCGTTGAGTCGGATCCGGAGGTCAAACACGAGATAGCGGCGATCCTCCGCCGCCGTAGGCTCCGACTGGTCCTTCTCCGGAATGAGCTCTTGCGGGATGCGGGCACCTAGCCTATCGGTATTCTGCGTGTCCCATGGTAGGGCCTCGACCTCGGGCTCGTCTTCGATTCCCGCCTTCCGAAGTAGCCGTATCCTATTCGAAGTGACAAGATCGTCTAGCTGGTCATAAAGTCGGACACGACTTTGCCGAGTCCTTCCTCTTCCTCGGTAGGGAGCATGACGTCGGCCATTATATCGACCCGACCCTCGTAGATCCACCCAAATGGCCCCGTCACCCCCGGTTTAGATGATCAATCCTTAGACCGTCTATCCTTAACCGCGTTGACTTCTTCCACGCCGAGGGGTTTCCAAATGTGTTTTCGCTACCCAGGCTATCCACGAGGGGCGTGTGGATCGTAAAGAGGAGCCATCATAGGAGCCCGACATATTATTGGCTGATAAGAGGTCGTAGAACAGCCATTGCTTCCGTAGCTGAGGAAGCTCGCAAGAATAGATGCAGGCCTCGAACGGGCGGAACCCTTCGGGCTGATGCACCGTCACCTTGAGGTCGTCGAGCTTGAAGTAATCAAGCTCAAAGTCGCCCGGTTGGTGCTCATGCCGGTACGACAGCGGGTTGAGATCGTCCTCGGCCCAGACTACGTGTCGACGATCAACCTCGCCGCGGATGCCCTTCATTTCCACGTCCTTGAGCAATCCTTTACCATTCCACCATTTCAAAAGGACAGCGTTACGTTGACGGTGTTGATAGTCAGATCGAACTGCGTGTAGTTTCCATCGTCCACCACCTCCTCGTGTTCCTCATGGTAGTCGGCTGCCGAGTGCTCGGCCGCTGCCGAGTGCTCGGCCGCTGCCGCCGCCACCGCCGCCGACCCTTTGCTTACCGACGACTGAACTTGGCCCGGTCGACGTGACACCGACACTTTGCGAAGCGAAATCACGCCATCCTTCCATTTCGGAACAATGGCAGATTCAAACACAACGGTAACGCCGGCGGATTGAGTTAGGTAATCGCCAATCCATGATGCCAAGGTTTCTATATAAAAGTTAGCAAGAATTCTAAAGAGGGAACCCTAGAGGAATCGGGCTGAAACGTACCCTGTGCAAAGACGGTGTTGATGGAAAAGATGAGAAGGGAAAAGAATGTAGTGGTCCCTACAAGGATCCAGACAAGGTGACTGAGAATGAACCACGATACGAAGGCACCCCATTCATCGGCGTTCCACGGCCGCATGCTGCGGATGGATAACCACTTGAAGCGGACCCCGAACCGCTGCCAAAAGCCAGTCGCCGCGGCGAGCAGCTCCTCCTTCGTCGGACGATGTGGGAGGTGTAGGTATTTTGACATGGAAGACGCAATGGACTCGTGCTCGGGTTCGGGTTCGGACTTGGGAATAGAGGGCTTCGTTTCTTTCGAGTTATCACCGAGAGGTTGCCCATCCTTTGGCTTTCCTGGGGAGGGGGCCCTGTGCTCTGGTGGACACCCCGAAAACCCAACCCAACCCGGGAAGGATGGGCAAGAGTCCGTAGGCCCCGCCATGCTAACGGCCGGCTGCGCCGGGAAGCACTTCTCGAGTATAATAATAGTATTGAAGGCGTCGGAGAATATGAACCTCGAAGTTGGAGATGGGCTATCGAAGTGGTCGGTGGGAAAAAGTCGATACTCGAGGCCGGGTCGGATTCTGCGCCCCCGCCGATTTTCGGACCTGGCTGAGGATGGAATCTCGGGAAAAGTTTTGGGAGCAAGAAGCAATGCCCAAAACCTAGGTTGGTGTGCAGCCTGGGCGATGCATGGCCGCGGCGGCGTCCTCGGACTCCCCAGGAACCCTGCGGAGAGCAGAGGGAAGGGAACGGTCGGGGTGGCTCGCTGGACTCGGAAGGGGCCGAAGACTGGGAGAATACCCCTAGGCATGATGGAGCATCATTGTGCCGCCGATGTTGAAGAAAAATCTTGTACGAGCCCTACGCTTTTTCGGCAATCTCCAGGCGCATCTGGTAGATTCCGTAAGGATTTTCCGTGAGCTGTTGGCTGTTTGAGGGGAAAGTTGTGACGATGATGTCAACGACTGCCGTCAGGAAGAAGAACGCAAGAAAATTCGGGAGACGACCTTATCACAGGCAATCATGCAGTCACGTCAGAGCTGAGGCCCGTGGCTGCAACCTGGGTTTGGCTGGGCTGGGCTTGGCTGGGCTAGGCCGTGCTGCGTCAATCAGGCATGGGGAGCTTCTGACGATCAGCGACTGACTCATCAACTCTCGTGGCTGGCATTTCATTTGAGCCATACATGGGGCTGAGGCAGGCCAAGGGCATCTACTTTGAAGGTCTGTGGCTAGTGAACCAGGGGAACCTTGCTCAACTAAACCTGGGCCGCACTGTCCCGCAAGTCTCTCCGAGCCCGAAAAAAATTGCCCCACCGAATTTTTTCTTCTTTTTTGGTAGGCTTTTTGGCACCCACCGATTAAATTGACGGCAACTTTTTTTTTTTTGGGCGGTCAAGTCGATGAGGGGCCGACGCTATCTTGAACCGCAGAATTCAACCCACTACCGGCCTATTCGACGGGATCGCAACGCCAACCTCTAGTCTTTTCCACTCCGTACAAACTTGAGGTTCTCAGAATTTTTATTTTACCTTTTCAAGCACGATTTTCTATTCTCCAGGCTTGAAATAGCGAAATATGCCTGCACCCACCGCCCTCAAGAAGGTGCAGGATGCCCCGCCTGCCACCGACATCCCGCTTCCCGAAGTCGACCTCGACGAAGACCTTCTCCTCGAAACCGGCGATACCCTGCCGGCCCTGGATGTTATGATTGTGGATGCCGAAGCCATCGAGACCGAAGATGCTATCGACGAAGAGGGTCGTCCCAAGTTCGCTCCCGCTAAGGATCTCGTACGTTGTTCCCCATGGGTGAACCCAAAAGCGAGAGAGAGAAAGAAAGAAAATGGTCATTTTGGAAGCGGCCCTGAGAGAGGCCACTAAGCTTTCTCTTTGCTAATTCTCGCCGTCATATAGTCCGTAGCAGCCCGAGTCCAGAGCCGTCAGGTCCGCATACCACCCCACCGAATGACGCCCCTCAAGTCCCAGTGGCCGCGCATCTACCCTCCCCTGGTAGAGCACCTAAAGCTCCAGGTCCGCATGAACATCAAGCGCAAGGCCGTCGAGCTCAGGACCAGCAAGCACACGACCGACCCCGAGGCAATCCAGCGGGGCGTCGACTTCCTTACCGCTTTTGTGTGCGGCTTCGAGACCGACGACGCGATTGCCCTCCTCAGATTAGACGATCTCTATATTGGTAAGACCTGCCGCCTGTTTCTGGTCCGCTATATCCGTAGCGAGAAGGCAATACTGACAGGGCTATCATCTTAGAAACCTTCGAGGTCAAGGACGTAAAAACCTTGCGTATGTATCGGCCCGCCGTTTTGGTTTATCCGTACAATCTCATATCGTTTTGCTAACGTGCAGTACAGAGGGTGATCACCTGGCCCGAGCTATCGGCCGTATTGCCGGAAAGGACGGCAAGACCAAATTTGCGATTGAGAACGCTACGAGGACTCGTATCGTCCTTGCCGATACCAAGGTAATACAGACCCCCTCCCCCGAAATGCTCTTAAGCCCTGCCCTGCCACCCCCTCGCATCCTCGCTAACGGCAACCTACCAGATCCATATCCTTGGTGGATACAAGAACGTCCAGATCGCCCGCGCCTCCGTGTGTAACCTCATCATGGGCAAGCAGCCCGGCAAGGTCTACAACTCGCTCAGGGCCGTGGCTGCGAGGATGAAGGAAAGGTTCTAGTTTTGCAAACCTCGCCGGCGTGACAAGTCGTTATAATTAGCGCCTTCCTCGTCAAGACGTCGTTTGGTAGGCGGGGGTCCTTGACGACCAATGCTTTTCACGAGTTGGACCCGTTGCATCTTGTTTATTTTTCTTGCGCATGGCGTTCTGGGGGTTCTTGGTCAGGATGGGAAATCATATATATATGAACTGGTTAGACAATACCAACAACCACGAAGCTTACGCTCTTCCGACTAAATCGTTTTTCCTTCTCTCTGTTACCCTTCCCAGGTACATACCTGCCCTTCTCTTGACAGTATACCAGACCTGTCGCTGTGCTTTTACGCAAGGAAATGTGCCCCAAGTGCCCCAAAACGAGACCTGAAAGTAAAACCAAAAGATCAAATAACTGAGAGGAGGCTGGAAAGAGACTGATCAACGCTATTTTTCTTTTTCTCGTTCGGTGACATCTAACATAAAGAGAGCCAGCCGACTCCCGATCCTATCATTACAATAAAGATCCCTTCGGCATCCCCCATGCCCAACTTCGCAGAGGAAAGGAGATATTGGAAAGAGAAAAAAAAAGTCAGAGCCCATTCGTCATTCCGTGATGCGAGAACAAAAGGAGATTTAAAGTGGAAGTGATAATCAAGGCGTCCTCTTTTTGTTGGTTTCAGATGCCACCCATATTTCTTTTCTTCATTTTTGGGACCAAAGGAAACACCACTGCTTATTCTTCCGTCTCCGCAACCTCCTCGATGGCATCACCCTCCTCATCATCCTCGTCAAAAGACCCCGCAGGGATCTCGTACAGGCGGACAATAGGCTTGTTGGGATCCTTGACGAGGATAAACTTCTCACCGCCATGTTGCAAGCACATGTCGGCAATGGTCCGGACGATGCCCCAACCGTTGGAAAGAGAGAGGTTCATTTGCGTGGCGAAGTCCCTGGGCTTCCAGCCGACAACACCGAGGATAACGTGCTTGTCATTCGCACGGGGAGTAGCACGAGAGACAAAACTAAAGTAGCCGTGTTAGCGGGAAATTGCTTCAATGGGAATTTTCACGATAGAGAGGAAGCAAGGCGTCACTTACCCGAGCTTCATTAGGTCGGCCTTGGCTAGAATACTTTGAACGGTCCACCTGGCAAGTTTGCAGCTGTTGTTCTTCATCTCGGTGGCAACAACGGCACCGCGCTGGCTGACGAGCTTGGCCCTCCAGTCCAGAGCGCCACCGCTGCCGGGAGCCTTGCTGTCGAACTCGTTAAGCGCCTTGACGGTGAGGAATTGATCGTCACCGCTAATCGCGTTCTTTTGGACAGCATCGAGCTCGGCTCGGACAATCAACGAAACGGGGTTTTCCTCGTTGGTGGAAAGGTCGAACCTCCTGTACTTGTAGACCTTGCTGGCAGGAGGATCGGTATCCTCAGAGGCGTTGTAGAAGGGGTTAGCGTTGGGCATCTCAACCTTGCGCTCGTTCTCGAGAACAACCTGGTTGGCAAAGTTGTGGTTGATGTAGGTGGCCTCCTCAGCAAGAGCACCGGGCTGGTTAATGGTGTCCTTGTTACCATCCGAAGCGTCCATGGGAGCATCCGCGGCATTTTCATTGACGGTAACCATATCGAGAGCGGCGTTGTCCCGCTTATCGAAGAAGACCTTGTTGCCTTGCCTGACGACGACGATATCCCAAGGGTAGACGGATCGGGGAGCACACATGAGCATGGACAGGACATTGTCGGTGGCAAAGATGGTGGCCTCATCCTTGTCGGCGAGCTCCTGGATTACGGGATCGGAAGTAGTCGTGACATTGTACGCGGCACGGTCCAGCGCAGTGAGGCGCTTCTCCGTGCCCTTGACAGCGGGCTTGTCGAAGGATCGGTCGTAGTAGTGAAGGAAACCGTAGCTCTCAACATCCTCACCCTCATCAGCCTCGAGGTTAAGCTTGGAAAGGCGGTTGAAGTCAATCTCCTCCAAGAGTTGCCACTCGGCCTTGACGTTGACGCTGGCGTCTCGGTTTCGGGCAGGCTTGTCGTAGTCCCTCCAGCCGAAGCGACGGCCACCGCGGCCACCGGCGCTCGGCCTGCCAGCGCGATCATAGCCACCGTAGCCCTGCTGGCCTCCACGGCCGGATCTTTGAGTGTCTGTCGTCCCGTCCCCTGTCGCCACGGCCACCGCGTTGACCGCGGCCTCTTGTGAAAACGGCGCCACGTCCGTATCGGGTCTTGCCGCTGTCTCGCGTGTTGCTGACAACCGAGAAGCTTCCCTCGTCTTCGGTGGGGGAGCGTTAAAGATCACGGCATGGTTTGCGCCGTATACTTGTTGGTCTGCAGAGGGTTTAGAAAAGAATTCGTTAGCGGGCGACGCCAAGTCAAGCGGGCCGTTGGAAAGTAACCCGCTGGGCGGAGAGGATTCATACCACGATAGTTCCTGTTGTACTGGTTCCTTCCCCTGCCATCACGATCCTTGGAATCTGATGACCAGTCGGCGACACGGCTCAACTTGTCGCCTTTGGAGAAGGGGGCGTAGGGGACACCGTTTAGGGTGATGTCGGAGGTGACGCTGCAGCCCCAGCCATCATCAGGCGGGCAGCTGTCGACAAGGTCGACGAGGCTCTTGACCGTCATTATCTCAAAAGTCTCGTTTGTATAGGTGAAGGAATCGCTAAAGGTTGGAACGTATGTCTCGCGACCTATCGAGATGGAACAAGGGTAAGAGGGCCAGAGGGGAATGGATACTACCGCCTTTCGAATAGCCTGCTTGCTCGCTAAGTAAAATCCAATTATTTGAAAATTCGTGTGGATGGCGGGGTGAGGTTTGTGTGGGGCAACAATGAGGTGGTACACCCGACACAGTGTCAAGTATGTCAGTTGCTTTCAGCTGCGGCGACGCCACTGTTCAAATGTGGCTGGTGCAAGTTCTTTTTGGTGAACTCACGCCTACGCTAGATTGCAACATGACGATACGTCTTACTGCCCCAAGCCAAGTAATGCAGGCGACGAGGGGGAGGGGAAGGAGATAACGGACAGCGATGGACACAAATAGAGCATTTCAACCTCTAGGCTTCAGACTTGCGGCTTTAGAAACAGTTTAAAAAAGCAATTAATACACTTCGGGGGAGGATGATAATCGCCATCCACTACACTACATAAGTCCTTGAAACATTATCATTGCTGGTATTGGGGTTGAAACCTCGCCAAACGCCTCCCTGTGAAACATGAATAGATTGCGACATCAATAAGGCATGATTTCGGGCTTTGTCGAAAAGATATTCTCTAGCGCATCCCTGACCTCGAACTCTTCCATGACAGCACCAAAGCTAGTTCACAGGCATCAGTCTCAGTGTCAGATTCGAGGAAAAAGCGGGAAGCTACTCACCCATAGCACCGGACCTTGGAAGTGAGCTCTTCTGCGAGCTTAAGGAAATCCTCGGGCCGCAGTTCGTTGAATCTCGGATAGCCCAAGACCATTCCCCAGGCCATTACGGGAGTGATCTCTCCGTCGAGATCGAGTCTCTTGCTGAGATCTAGTAGAGTGGCAAGGTCGCCCTTGCTAAGCTCCCATGTGCGTTGACCTGAACTTAGGTCTCCGTTGACATGCGTATATCCAAAGGGGATATCTGGTGTGAGCTCCGGAAAAGGCTCCGGGGGACAGGATGCCATGAGGGCATGGCCACAAGGCTCGCCACCGGCGTCACCTGACCTCTCTAGTAGCCATGGGAGATGGGTCATGCAGGGCTTTTCGAGACTAAACGAGATATCAATGGATGATTTTCGTTAGCAAACCGACGCTTTTTTAGGACCTCTATCCATAGCCATGTACTCTGATTCTTCGTCATCGCATTTGCGGGAAGGGTTGAGCGTATGGCAATAGTGACGCGAGAGGGTGTGGCAAGGATAGGTTGGATGACATGTTCTGTCCATCAACTCTTCTCATGCGGGGAGGTGATAGGTAGGCGTTCGTGGGGTGGTTCTCGTACGTTAAGACGAAGTCAATGCCTGCCTGCTCATAATCTATGCCTCGACCAGCCTGCGCCTGCTGGGCAGTCAATTGTCGCAGCTGGCCCCCGCCCATCACCGGGTTTGGGCTCGGGTTTCGGTGGGAGTGCGGAGGCATGTGGGCCGATGGCGAAACTGAGGGCGCCGTCGACTGGGACGTGAGAGGGGGTGAAGGCGCTGTGGGAGCCTTGGGCGTAACTATGGCCGGAGATGCTGGCGGTCGAAGTATACCCGAGGCTAGCACTACGCGGGGGCGCCTCGTCTCTTGGGACATTTATACCGTTCTGAGCGAGAACGGTTTTGAGCTGCTTGTTTTCTTCCGAAAGCTTCTCCTTGTCTTGAGAAACATTGCTAAATATCTCCTTTAGTCTCAGTACTTCATCCTCGAGTGCCTTAATGTATAATTCTTTCCGTTCTCGGTGCGTCCTGTAGTAGCACACATGTCAGCTAAGCCCCACTTGACGATTGTTGAGACTGTCCAGGACAAGGAGGTAGGCAACGCGTTAGACAGAGAGGAGAGGGATCCAAAACCATACCGTTGCGCCTGTCTGTTTAATTCCTGTCTGCGAGTGAGGGCGGGCTTGCTGTCCGGTTTAGGCCCTCGTCGCTTTGGCGTGTTTCCATCCACTACAGATATCACAGAGTGTAAGAATTCAGGCCCAAAGATAAAAATGCCAAGAACCCCGCCCTCCCCATCGGGGAGGACGAGCGGAGGGAATATTTGTTGTACCTCGAGTCTTTCGTCTCTCGGTTAGAGTCTTCAAAAGCCGAGATTCAGCGTCGATGGGTTCTTGTCTTCGTCTTGATCCATCACGTCGTCTTGCTGGTACAAATCGTACGAGGGCGCGACAGCGGTGGCTAGTGAGCTATTCTTGTGGCGGTTGGACCCCGCGGGGGCAGTATGGAGCTTAAAGGGCTCCGCAAGTGAGGGCGGGGACGGGTGGGCTGCTCCTGAGTCAGTCATGATCTCAAAAAGATGTGAAGAAGCCACGGCGGGCATTCTCCGTGAGGACTCGCTCAGGCGAGATGCAGAATTTCGGCCTTCGAAACCGCAGTACAAAAAGAGTGCGTAGGTTGTGGGCGCGTGGGTTGTGTGAGAGTCATGGTAGGAAACACGGGAATGAAAGCACGGCACGGCGCCCGACTGGGTCTATATGAAGTGAAAGAGAACTTATGGGCCAACGAAGGGGAGAGTCGGAATTCAATTACCTCGAAGCGAAGAACTGGAATGCAAGAGGCAGCAGGTGTTCAATGCCTGGTTCGAAGGGGTGATCCGGCAGAACGGGAAGCGGACGCAGGGTAGAAATAATTGGTTTGATGGTGAAGAAAGAGAGGAAAGATCGGGGGTTGAAACAGCAGGCATCAATTGATCGGTATCAGCCCCTTTGGCGTCGTCTTCTCCGGGAGAGCCGTCCTCAAGTACGATTGTAGGGCTGATTGGGTCAGGTCAAGAATCGGGGACTACGAGGGTTTCGAGTCCGTCTGAAGAAGAGAAGGTTTGGAGGCAGTGCCCGGCTTGTTGGGTCCTCAGTCATCAATCCGATCAAAATTGAGCCAAGGTTCGGCCTTTCGCTATTACTGAAACTTGACGAGCACAGCCGGTTCACCCAGCCTGGGGCCTCGTCACCCTGATTGGCGCAGGCCGCGTCAATCCGCTCCTTTTGCACTTGTGCACACGGATCTCCCTTCACTCAGAGTTCACTTTGTTCAAGAAAATTGATTTCATCCACGGATCAGTGTCACACCCCGGTTCTCGGTGCGGGGTTCGACGTTGCTCAAATACCCCTACACTAGTGCTTCGGGACCCCCAGCTGCCCACGCACGGGGGCCCAGTGGCCGGCCATGCGCAACAAGGTCACGAGCTTAAAATTTCCTCGAGTCAAGACACGGACCTAGATGCTTCTTTCTTGTCGTGGCTGTGGCCCGATGGACGCCGTCTTCTAGTTGAGCCATCGGCGGTTCTCCTCGATGCTTGACTAAACGCGATATATTTGCCAGGCGCTATACCTCAGTATATTCAGTGCCTATGGGGAGGGGCTAGAAAGGCGGAGACGTAATGGTTGACACCAGATCAGGTCTCAGATGTCTCGGGAGGCTGGAACCAAACATCAATTGCTGTCTGTGCCCTTTCTTCTGCAAGCCCGGCGCCGTGAGAAAGAACAACACGCTCCATGTTTCTCGCAGCTTAGCGCGTGGGGCAGAGGACATAGCACAGCTTGGGGGTAATAATATCTATGCCTAATTGATAGTTAATGCCGATCGGTCAAGTCAGTGGGTTCCGTTTGGACCCTCGATTGTTCGGTTCATGCCATCCTGCCGTCGCTGCTGACCTTCATTCCTATTGCATTGTGAAGCTGCACAGGTCCATCGCTCTTTCTCCATTTAGGATCCTTTTGCTTCCCAAGGTCCAACCTAATATCACCACCCAAGTCGGAGCATGTTCACAGATAACAAAGGGAAGGAAAGTTGGACATTGTAGCAAGGTGCTCATGCTGCATGTTCAACGCGACTGCCGTCAAATCCCAGCCCGCCACACAACTGACTCGACGCCTCACGCCCGCGGCTTCATCCCGCTTGCCCTCTCAGCTCCTCGCCGTGGCCCTTACATTTCAACTTCGACATTACTCCTTAGAAGCACCAAGTATTCAGCACGTAATCTTCGATAAGAGTATATGCTTTTTTTTTTCTGTTTTCCTCTTCTTCGGTGCCCTCTTCGCTCTCATATATCACTCTAATTCGGCCATGGTCGGTCACATCCTCACCCATGTTCGCGGCATTGCGATAGTTCTTCCTTGGGTTGCCAGCTTGTGCTTGGCTGATATCGCACTTTCGCTTCTTCTTCCTTTCCAGATTTTTGTCCCTGACCTCGTCTACGAGGCCTCATCGGTAATAGCATGGACCATTTGGCGGTGGATCCAGGTTATATTTGAAGTTTTCAATGGAGCAGAAATCGTTATCTCGGGTGACCCTTTGCCCTACGGCGAATCCGCGGTGGTCGTTTCGAACCACGTTGCCTGGTGCGACTTCTTCACAATCCAGGCGCTAGCTGTGCGCTCCGGAATGCTCAGTCGTTGCCGCTATTTTGCCAAGATCCAGCTTCGTCTTGTCCCCTTCCTAGGATGGGGTCTTTGGGCCATGGGTATGCCCTTAGTAACACGAAATTGGCTCAAAGACAAGCGCGAACTAGACCGAGTTTTTGCAGGCATCGTTAAGAGGCGGTGGCCGACTTGTAAGTGCTCAAGGAATCCCAGGCGCCCTTCTCCCATTCTTCCTCGGCTTGCAAGCTAACCGAAACATAGGGCTGGTCAGCTTCAGCGAGGCAACTAGGTTTACAGAGGAAAAGTATGAGCAGTCCAAATTGTGGTGTAAAGAAAACGACAAGCCCCAGCCCAAGCATGCCCTTTATCCAAGAACAAAGGGGTTCATCACGACTGTGCAGCACCTACGACAAGCGCCCCAGATCAAAGCAGTGTACGATGTGACTATTGCCTATGCGCATAACGGGCAGTTTCTCCAGGCCCCGACAATGTGGGATACTATCCGCCTGCCCGAATTGACGCGCACTTACGGCCATAAGTTCCATATCCACGCTCGCCGCTTTCTCATAGAAGACCTTCCAGAGACTGATGACGAGCTCGCGAAGTGGCTAGAGAATATTTGGGTCGAGAAAGGAGAATGGCTAGAGAAGAAAAAGGAAGAATGGGAGAGCTCATCGCCAAAGAAGCATGCATGAAGAGGGGCAGGTCCACGGAGAGTTAATCGTGCTGTTGAACGTAATTATCAGGTATTACTTAAGGATATTATCAAAGAGTATCCATAGATTATATTAAACCATCGTTGACCCTGTTTCTTACGCATGTAAGCTCCTCGTGGATCACTCGTAGAGAACTATACCTGGGTGCATGGCCCTAGTAGGACGAGCAAGCCTTTCTTCCTCGCATATATAGCATAGCCAGTACGGTCATGCGTGCGACTATCCATGACAGAACTTTCTGGATAGGAGCTCAAGGTGCGGCGAGTATCACTTGCAGCTGCTATCAGGCATATGCCTGGTACACGCAGGAAGGTACTGGACTAATTCATGCTGTGCACCGCGTCAAGGTGGGTGGGGTAGCGCCTCCAAGACTTCAAACCGCTCCGCCTAGTTTAGGATTGATGATCTATGACATATTCGTAATTTAGGCCTTTACGATGGAAGATGCGGATGGAAAAAGAGAAAATGTAGCAACCAGGCAGGCTCGACACGGATGTGGGATAGATATAAAGAGGACTTAGCTTGGGGGTCGGTGAAGGAAGCGACCTCATAGTATCTCGACTGCGGTGACTTGAGAGGTACATCACAGACATGGCCGACATCTATTGTTCTTATCATCAATTGGCCAATGTAGAGATACTCAAGGCAAACCATTTCGTGGCCAAGGGGCGTTGTACTCTTCGGATGGGGTCGGCGATGGCCCAATTCTAGTCTGATACTGGAAAACACATGGCATTTCCAAGCGGAAGGTTCTTGCGGATGCACCCACCTTCTTGCGCCCACTTGGGAAGGAGAAGAGGGGGTTCTTGTTATCTTGATGAGAATTCGCTGGCGGTAATGGGGGGGCCATTCTTGACGAGGGTGGATGCCAAATGCAAGTGCGGCGAGAAGGGTATAGTTGTAATGGTTTCCTTCTATAGGCGAGAAGGCATGGAGGATAAAAGGCCCTAATCAAGGTAATATATCCAGAGGCCGAGAGCGTCTAAAACAGAAAGCTCCATAAACCGCATCCCCCAAGGGTTGTGCATCCTGCTGCAGCATCTCTCCTACCTGTTGCTGTTGCGAGCCGCTAAGTTCATAACTTACCTGACTAACACGAGAAACCCCGCATGTACGAAGTACTATCCTCAGTGCTGACATTTACTGTATCGGCGCACTAGCGAGTGGATTGCGGTTCAGGGTTGCATGATGCGTCGGTGCGACTCACCCTCTTTCTCCTTTTTCTTTTCTTTTACAAAACGACTGAACAGTCGCCCGTGGTAAGAATTGAAGGGGAGGGGGATTAATTCCGAAACCCAGAGAATACGCGTGGTGGGGTGACGACAAACGACACAGGAGAGGCGAAGGTGATGGTGATAACCGTCATGCTTTCAAGCCGAGATGGTCGGCCAGGTGGGGTGGATGGGCATCGTACCGGGCAATGAATCAAGCTCGAACGCCGATGCTTCCAGACTTGTAGTGAAATGGATGTCTCTATACTCAAGATTCATTGGTACCTACGACGACTAATGCTAATGCGTGGCTTCAAAGGGGTTTACCTGGGAGCTTGTCACGCTAATCTGTGCCGAACCTACCGGCCCGTTGACGCTGGCGAACGTTGAGTTGATTTGGCGTGAGGCAGAATGCTGAGGTGACACACCTCCTGGATTAGTGATGAATCTCAATCACAAGTCACTTGAGCAGAGTACCGATGAAGAGAAGATAGCCGACGTTGGAGGCTCAATTGAAAGACCAAAACTTGGAATAGCACTAAAGTCTGAACAAAGGTCGAGCAACGGTTCCCCGGAGGAGTACTGCACTGTATGACACCATTGCCACCTAAGCGGACTTCGTCCCAGCTCTTCTCCTCCACCGCGATCGTACCCGAAAATAGGAGTCGGGGCGTCGTTATCGTCGAACTCACCATCGCAATTGCCTGATCCGAGTCGGCAGGACCAGAGGCTTTACGCCACGGGACCCGGCGTTGAATTCCCCGGTCGTTCCTTCTCCGTGTGGGGACCCCACGATCGGCCAGAACACCAACGCCTACCTACCCTACCCTTGGCGCTAGCGCAAAAGGGCATAGTGGCAACTCCTCCCCAGTGAGCGAAAGAGGTGCTGTTTGGTTGTGCAGAAAGGGTCTCCAACGCCGCCAAACAGGTTGCACTTGAGCGTCGCGCACATCTATTGTCTGGCGATGGAATGGGGTGATGAGGCGGGGTACATCGTACGGGGAGTAAGGGGGTCATATCATGCAGATGGCCAGAAGCAAATTGGGTCACGCTCATGCTGGATGCAAAGGTTGATCTTCCGGGGCGTAAAAGGGGATTGTGTCTGCATGGCGTCGTTTGCCTGGGTGGGAGCACTAGTAGTCTTTGTAGAAGGTCCATATCACTCGTGTCTCGACAACCCTGCTAATGTGGAAGCTTGTCTCCCGTCGACAATCGTGGGCTCAGGCTATTTATCTTGGTACCTGAGTAGGTGGATGGGACCGGGGCGAGTTGGAATGCATCAATTTGATGTCTGCTATTGCATGGATCGGATGGGGCCTACTGAGCAGTATGCTGTGACTTGAAGAAATACCAACCCCAACACCGCCCATTTCTCTAATTTTGGATCTAAGGTCCTTGACGCAGCTGCTTGGTGGCAGGGAAACTTCGGCTATGGTGTGGCATGAGGAGGCTCCTCTCCGGCCCCATCCCCTCCCATGTAATTGGGAGCCCTGGGATCGATTCGGCGATCATTCGTCCTAAGGGTGGTGGAGATGACGCTGGATTTGCGGGCTTGTGGATGAATGCCATCGAGAAAAGATCCTAAGATCGAGACTTACAAGGTGTGAAGTCTGGGGCGTTGTACCTTCCTTGAGGATTATCCTTTCCAGCAAAAGGAATACAAACAATAATACGCCAAAGGTCGACCGCTTTACGCGGTTCGGCTCTTGTATCCAATACCTTGTTCTCCTCCCTGAACGCGTTGTGGAATCTTTCCTGGGCAGCTGCTCCTGCATAGGAACTTTCCTGTGATTGGTTAAACCCCATCCGCAGCCCCGCTTCTGATGCCCACTTGACCTCCTCATGGCACGCGAAGACAGGAACACAGCAACAGCCATTCTGGAAGGAACCTCCCAGACGATCGCACTCGTCGATTACTGGATGGATAGAGGGATGAACTGGACCTCCCTCGGTTTGTTGTCGGCAAGGGTACGATGTCTAAGCTGTCCCGCTACCAGTGTTTTGTTAATGCCCTTCATTCTCTTTTACCTAATTCAAATCATGGACAAAGTCCTAACTTTGGTGGTGCGCGGTACATGGTCCGTGCTTGTATTTTTTCTTACTATCGCAAACACGAAATCGATGTTGTGTACTAGGTAGTAATAACTCGCTTGCCTCAAAGCCGACTCGTAGTTCCATACGCCCCTTGAGGGACTGTTCGTTCCTGCCGACAGTGTCCGACGCGAGAAGTTCTGTGGTGCCGGTTCTTCCTGGGGGCTTGCTTCATGACGGGAAGGGGAGTGCCCTGAAATCCTGCATTTCATTAGTTCTAGCATAGATCAGACCAACGCCAGACGGGGCTGACCAGATCCACACCCTTCATGGTAATAGAGTGAAGCAGAGTTTTGGTGTTCCTTACCCAACGTTTTCCCCCTACCATTCCCGCAGCGCCCATTGATTTGATCTGACTGGGCCCGAGCTACGCTTTTCGCCAGTCACGAGTCACCTAACCTTCCGACTCCAAAATCTCCCCGGTCTTCATTATTCTTCCGTCACCACCATCGTTCTCATTCCTCTTCCCTCGACCAAGCCTTGCGATTTCACCGTTCTCGGGCGCGAATTATCAGGCCTGCAGTACAATTTTAGGACACCGCAACGCCTGCCTGATATCTTCGTCAACGCCGAATAGTGCCGAAAGCCTATCTGTTCGCAGGGCACGCTGCCCACCACTCTGTGGTGTGCACCAAGGGTGGTCCGAACGGCGATTGTTCTCGCGATAGGTCAAGTTTCCTCGTGAGAAGCACTGCAATCACCCTCGTGGCTTCCTCTCGTCATGTATCAGGCTGTCGCCAGCTTGTAGTACAGGCGCCTGCGCCCTGCCATCCACCGGGCCCCGCATTGACATCTATTCCCTCGATCGTGAGCCGAACTTAAAACCCTGGCCCTCTCCGACCTATTGCGGAATCGCCGCCGTAATCTTTGAGAGACCGCAACCCTTCAGCCATCACTATTTCAATTGGGACCATGTCGGACACGACAACACCACAAGAGGCCGCCGAGCCGGCCAAGGCGGCGCCCCTTGCCGTTTCTTACCTCCGAGCAGAGTCCGCATACCCGATGGAACGGTCGATGAGCGACAACATACGGGAGGAGAGAGAGGATCTGAGAGAGGCGGCAGAGCAGACTCTCAATGTCATCGTTGACCTAAATCTTGATGGGACCATCAAATGGGTCAGCCCATCTTGGGTCGATGTGATCGGAACTCAGCCAGACGCTATTCAAGGGAAGCCCTTGTCCGACGTCATTGTTAGCGATAACAAAACCCTTTTTCCGATGTGGTTGAGTCGATGAAGAATGATGATTCGAAGAGCCATCGGGTACGGTTCGCCGTTGCCCTTGGCTCTCTGTCCAAGCTACTTCCCCTCGATGACCTTGCGAGTGGCAACGGGGAGGATGTATCGCAGGTTATCGACTTGGAAGCGCAGGGTATCATGGTGTACGACGGTGCCTCCGGAGGCGAAAGTCATGTAGGTTCACCTAGCGTCAGAGATGCTTCCTTCCCGGTCCTTCCGCTCCGGATCCCTCGCTAATATTGACTTTGCGGCGCGTAGACAATGTGGATGATTCGACCGTGGACTGCCCCCGCGAGATCCAAATCGAAATGCCTGCGGTCATCGTAGACTCGCTCGGTTCTGGCGCTGAGGTTCTCGCGAGCTATCTTACCCAGCTAGCAGAGTCTGGAGTTGATGATCCTGAGCTCCATCCACCACCTCCGCCGGTCCTTTGCCGTATCTGCGAGCGTCAGATACCCCCTTGGTGGTTTGAGAAGCATACGGACCTCTGTCTTCAAGAGCATAGAGCCGAGATGGATGTACAGATGGCCCAAGAAGGGTTGACGGACCATCGCCACTCGATTGTCAAAGTGCTCGATGCTCTTGAAGTCAGACGCAGTCGTACCCTGACTGGTGACCTCTCGTCGCTCCTTCTCCCCGTTGCCGAATACAAAGGAATGCCCATCGGACCAACCAGTTCCAGTCAGTCTTCGCCGTCTTCATCGTCAGCCACTTCACGCGAAAGGACCGGGTTCGGACATGCTCGGGGCCGGTCTTTTGCCGTTCGACGACCCCAGGCAAGGATTGTTGAGCTTCTAGTTGATTTGTGCGACACTGCGCTCGAGATTAGTTCACCAGCCATCAAGGAGACGTCGTCTCATATGGGTGGTGAACTTCGAACGCAATCCCCCAATCCGAATCACGAATCTCGCAGGTCATGCAGTGGCAATCCCCAAGTACGAACACACTCGAGCAAGAGCATGGCCTTGCGCTCCTTTGTGCGGACACGGAGCGAGTTGCCAAGTCAAAGGTGGAGGCTGTTCTCCGTCACAGGAGAATTCTCGAGTATGCTGAGCGTATTCGCGTTGAGTTTGCCCTTCTCGTCCAAGATTGCATAGACGAGGCGCTGAGAAAGGCTGCTCGTATTGCGGCGGGCCGTCTGAGTGACTCGGCAGAGGAGGAAGAAGATGAGCTTCCACCGATGCAGGATGAATCTTTCTTTGGCTCTGTCAGTGACCCTGCTGCTTTAGCCTTGGCCTTGCAAAATGTCAGCCTCAACGAGAACATCTCGAGAACGCGGCCAACCTCATTTGTGGAGTCTCTCCAGTCCTATAGCCCACAGGAATGCCCGACGCCAACTTCCAACATGGGTGGCTTCAATATGGTGATGCCGCCTCGGGATTCCCGCCGTGATTCATTGCGCAATACTCAAAGAGAGTCGTTCATTCTTGGCAGCGAGGCGGCCGAAAGTGACGGTAGCATAAGGTCCTCCTCTGTGGCGTCTCGTAATCCCCAAAGGACGGATTCCCCAATCAGCGAGTTCGGCGGCGATCTTCGTCGGGCCGCTAGTACTCGGCGCCATCGGAGAAGTCTCATTCTCCCGGGCGCGTCTTCCCGCGGCGCCAGGAGTCGCCTTCTCGTTCAAACCAGCCGTCGTCGCCCCTTCGAATCCAAAAGCCTCGATCCTTTCCTTTTCCGAATGAGGGTTTCGCTTCCCCAGAAGCGTCGCCGATGCTCCCAAGCAGCGAATTCAGCTCTCCTGTCCCGATACCACCCCCTCGCTTCATCATCATCGCAGGCAGTCTTCCGCTGCCCTATCGGAGTTTATAATGAAAGCACCTCCGTCACCGCGCTTAAGTGCCCATAACGCGCCGCCGCAGGCTCGACCGACGCAGCCCTCCATCAAAGACTTCGAGATCATCAAGCCTATCTCGAAGGGCGCGTTTGGAAGTGTCTATCTCTCCAAGAAGAAGTCGACGGGAGAGTACTTCGCTATCAAGGTCCTAAAAAGGCTGACATGGTTGCCAAGAACCAGGTTGGGAACGTAAAAGCGGAACGCGCTATTATGATGTGGCAAGGCCAGAGCGAGTTTGTGGCTAAACTTTACTGGACGTTTTCGAGCAAAGAATACCTTTATTTAGTCATGGAGTACCTAAATGGAGGTGATTGTGCGTCACTCATCAAAGTCCTTGGGGGTCTGCCTGAGGAGTGGGCAAAAAGTACCTTGGAGAAGTTATCCTCGGCGTCGAACATCTTCATAGTCGGGATATCATCCACCGCGACCTGAAGCCAGACAATCTCCTGATCGATCAACGGGGCCACCTTAAACTCACCGACTTTGGCCTGTCTCGAATGGGTCTTGTGGGTCGACAGCAGCGGGCGCTTAAGAGCGAAAACGAGTCTGCTCCTGATCTGCTCAAGCAAGGCCCGTTCGCCAGGTCTGCCTCTATCACATCTTCGCGTTCTACCTCGTTGGACCTGCATGGTAGCCATTCGCCAAGTTTGACCCCCTTGATCACTCCCGGTAGTGGTGAATTGCTTGCCCAGCCATCCTACTTCAACATCGGATCTTCGCAATCTGATTCGCGCCGGCTGACTGGCCAGCGGAGCGATAGTGGTGGTAGCGAAAGCTTAGTGCAGATGTTGGGAGGATTCTCTCTGAACGACTCTGAGGCTGGGTCACAGCCCCATAGCGCCAAGTCCCACGCGGATGAGCTTAGCGAGGCAGCTAGCCAAGGATCCCCAGATCTATCGACGATGCAAAGTCTATCGCAACAGGGCGGTGACTTTTATGGAAAGAACACGCCCCCTCAATCAAGCATGATGCCGCCTCCCATGGCCCTGTTCGACCCAGAGGACACCAATAGAAGGTTCGTTGGCACTCCCGACTACCTAGCCCCGGAGACTATCAAGGGCGAGAAGCAAAACGAAACTAGCGATTGGTGGTCTGTGGGGTGCATCATGTTCGAGTTCCTATTCGGTGTCCCCCCTTCCATGATCGCGAAGCGGAGCTTGTTTTTGAGAATATTTTGGCCCGGAAGATCAAATGGCCAGATGAGTCCGAGTGCGAACCTGTGTCAGACGAGGCCAAGGACCTGATCAACAAACTTCTTTGCATGGATCCGAACGAACGGCTTGGCTCCAATCAGGATGGAAAATTTACCTCGGGTGGTGAGGAGATTAGGAGCCACAGCTGGTTCGGTGACGTCAGTTGGGATAGCTTGCTGGAGGACGAGGCACAATTTGTGCCGCAGACGGAGAATCCGGAAGACACCGAATACTTTGACGCCAGAGGTGCCACCCTCCAATCCTTTGCGGAAGAGATGGAAGATCAGAGCTCACCACCCTCGTCCGCGGCCGGATCCGATTATCCCGAGCGTCCACACGACGCGCTTTCGAGGGTTCGGTCACAGGTCAACTCGATCAAGCGTGGGCTTATGCCTTTGCACATCCCACCCCATGTCCGCGATCACAAGAGCCGGCGGCTGAGCGAGCCGGTTCCAGCGGACGATTTTGGCAACTTCTCATTCAAGAACCTACCTGTCCTGGAGAAAGCCAATAAAGACGTGATCCAAAAGCTTCGCGCTGAGGCTCTTGCCGTGCAGAACAAGCAGGCACCCTCGAGCCAGGCTACGGCCATCGGCGCTACCTCGCCCGGCCCATCACTGGAAGGCAGCCCCAATATGTCAATGCCAATCCAGCGTACTCTTTCGAACGCGAAGGCATCGGCCCGTCCGCAGAGCCCTTCTGGCATCAGCCACGCCAACTCCTCCCCAAACCGCATGTCGCAGCCCTCATCGCCGCTTCTCGTTTCCTTTGTCGCTAGTCAAGGAGCCGACGGGCGGAGAAAAGTGTCTAGTACGTCGTCGAGCCTCTCTCAACCGTCCGGCCTGTCATTGCCGCCGTTTGAAAACCTAGCGAGGGTTCCTCCGAGCCTGCAGAAGGCCGCCAGCGTAGCCACCTCGTCGCCAATCAAGGCTCGCGGGGCGGCCCCGCCTCCTCTGGCGCTATCTCCCCAAAGGGCATGAGCACCCCGCGCCAAGCGAGCGGCTCCTCGGGTACCCGCTCGCGATCGCTCACTGTCGGATCACAGTCACAAGAGGGTAGCCCTGTCGCGTCCGAGACTCTAGTTCAGCGGCACAACAGGAGGAGTCAGGTATTTGACATGTCACCTTCATCTTCCGATAACGAAGGGGAGAAGCACAACGCTCTCCTACGTGTGCAACGACGCCGCCAGAGCTCTCGGCGTCTCTCTCAGATTGCGGTAGAAGGCACCCTTATGTTTCGCCCTCTCGATGTTCTGATCTGTGAAGATCACCCTGTTTCGCGAATGGTGATGGAAAAACTTCTTGAAAAGCTGCGCTGCCGCACCATCTCGGTGCCAAACGGCTCGAAGCCGTTCGCTACTCGACAAGTGAGATCAAGTTCGACATCATCTTCCTCGAGTATAAATTGCCCCACATCAACGGCGCCGACGTTGCGCGCATGATTCGGGAGACGAAGAATGCCAATTCCCACACGCCCATTGTTGCTTTGACTGCGTATCTCAAGGAGCTCCAGGCGCCTCACTACTTTGACTCGCTTATCGAAAAGCCCATCAGCTCGTCCAAACTCACAGAGGTGCTGCGTAGCCTGTGTCAGTGGAAGCCTCCATCACCCAACCAGAGCCTGTCGTCGCTTCCCGTCGCATACCCACACCCGGCACCCATGGCATTGCGACAAGCCAGCCATCGATTGGATGACAGCCCAACGAGCAGCTCGTCCCTGTTTGCGGGACGCCTTAGTGGCAGTCTAGCTTCCTCGAGCCGGGAGCAGTCAATTAGCTCTAGCCTGTATGGCGACTCTGAGTCAATCTCCACTGATGACATACCCGTCGTTGTCAGTCGAAAGCCCACGGGCGAATGGGAAGAGGGTGGTGGTGGCGGCGGCCTCGGTATCCGGGATGAAAGCATCACGATGCATGCTGGCACAAAGGCGGTACCAAGCCTTGTGACCCAACAGTCGGCCCCGGGCCAACTTGAGGCGTCGCGGGGGTTAGTCGACAATTTTAGGACGAGACGCGAATCGGTAGAGCGGCAGAATTCAGAAGGTAGCACGGAGTCTGCTGACGACGAAGACGAGGAGTATGGACTTAACCGCGACAAGCCGTTCCGCCTCAAGACAAGCCTTCCTAGTTCCAAATTGGGGATAGAGATGATGCGAGCGGACAGCCACGACAGTGTCACGTTGGGTTCCGAGAGTACTCTTGAGCCTGTCACTCAGGTTGTGACACCATCGCACGAACTCGACGCTCCCCGCTTTCACCAGGGGAGCCAAAGGAAGTCCGGACCCCCAGACTCGGGCATCCCACGGGAAGGGAGCGGTCTCGGGATCTCAGTCGAGGAGACGCCGCGGCCCAATTCGTCTGCTCGACAGACCTCGGAAGACGAACCTACCCCTCGCCCCCTTGTTAAAACGGGTTAGTTCTCAGCAGCAGGTCAAGTCGAAGCCGCATCACATGGGGTGGACGACGAGGGGATGGCCTGACTGCTGGGGGAAAAAGAAACGAAGAAAAAAAGTGTGCTGTTCCAATATTGGCTTGAAAGTTGGCTCTCCCCAGCCTTGGTGCCTTTCTTCCTACATCACCCCATTTTCTCTTGATCCTTTTCCTCTTGTTTTCCCTTTTTTTCTATGTTGTTTGCATCCTTTGAGCGCGGCGTTTCACTGAGGGGAGAACAGATATAACTCAGACTGCATACGGCGCATTCAAGTTTGACTTTTTCCTCTATCCTCACCATCTTCACTCCATTCTGTTTTGTTCTGCTATGGGATGATCAGACTGTTGCCAGTTCTATTCTCCTTTTCTCCTATCTTTACCTTTTTCTTTGTTTCTCCCTCTACTTCTGTTTCTTTTTTTTTTTTGCTTGATAAAACCAGATGAGCAATTTGTAGGCTGAGCTACCTAGAGACCATTTGATGTGTTTCCTTTTGGACGCTTCCCTCTATCCTCTTTCATTCATTCCCACTCCCTTTTATTTGCCTTTTGTTGTACTTTGTTGGTTTCTGGCCTTGTGGTCATTTTCAAAAGGCAGTGTCCACTCTTTTCCTGCCCCTTTTCACCCTTTCCCCCCTTACTTTGCTGTCTCAAAGATGCCTGACTTTCATTCTTGGCCACTTTCTTTTTCCTCTTCTTATCCCCATTTTCATTTGTTTCTCTTCTCTTTTCCTTTTACACTTAGCACTCTTCAATTAGCTTTATTATTTCAGCTTGGCGAGTCGAATACATGTCCCGTTTTTTTCACCTCGTATATGCTTTACTTCAGCCTGGGAATCGAAGAAGTGAAATTGAAAGGGGCGACGGAAATGCTACAGCTTTGTGGGAATCCTCAGAAGGCCGGGGCATTACCGTCCGTCCGGTGCTGACCCGCCGTCTCGTCGAGAAACTACATGTACGGTTTGTTTGCCCTTTTTGCGTTTTGGCCAAAGAGATAGAGCTTTTGCGTGTTCTCCGTCTGGCGGAGGGGGCGTTGGGTGCAACATACAACGGGAAAGAGTATCAGCAAAAGCGAGCAGCAATCACTTCGGGACGGGGCAAAGACGAGCTTTAACATAGCCAACTTTGAGAGTCTATCACGCGGCATGACAAGGTTCCTTCTGTCTGCCGCACAGGTTGTCACCAGAGAGGGTTGATGTTGAGTGAAGGGAAGAGAGGTTTTCATTTCTCTACATGTATGAAAACATACTACAGCAACAAGACGGAATTGCGAAAGCAATCACTTGTGTTTAGCGGGGTGCTAGGAAACCATGCAAAAGAAAAAAAAAGGAAAAGGAAAAGGAAAAAAGAAAGCAGAACCGTATCGTTCGAGCCGAACGGTATTGATGAGTGCTCATGGGAACGGGACAGCTGCATTTTTCTTGGGTCTATGGGCGTCTGCGATAAGTATTACATGTATCTGTGTCGCTTCGCGAATGGGATTATGGAAATGGTTCATCAATGCCTCTCTTGATTGTCCACATGAAGTAGTGAAAGTAACTCGATGAAGGTGACCATCCTGGCCCTTGGATATATTGCTCTTTTCGCAACACTTTCTTGTTCCGCACCCTCAACTTCATAGACATTCGGCGGGCGCGCTGGATCTCAGGGGGCGGCCTCCTCCTTGCACGAGTCCGGGGCCGGAGCGAGAACATGGACGACGCCAAACCTTTGCTCGGCCTTTTTTGCCTTCGAACCAAGGGCAAACAGATCCATAGATGGGTTTGCCGACAAAACCTATTACTGGCCCAGAAGACGGTCAGGTGTGGGGAGCTGTCAGCGTTGATACTGTGTCTCAAGAGGCTGAGACAGGCATGCGGCGACGGCGGCGGCGACGTGCGTGCCTGTTTGACAGCACGCAACATACTATCAATTGATATTGATGTACATTTAGTAGCCAGCATCCTCCACACCTCACAGGTGAGCCCGGTCGGTTGGCTGATCTTTCAGCGATGGGAAACTTTGCAAGGGCCTCTCTCGATCTCTTAGCCTAGGAGAATGAAATCCATCGTATAATAGTCAATGGCATCTTGCTTTTTGCCCTTTTTTTTTTTTCACGAGCACCTCCGTGGATTGATTCGCCACGAGGCAACTGGGACTCTGGTGGCTGCTGAGAGATGGAGCGTGGGGCACTCAGCAGCAGATTTGATTTTTTTCTTTCTTTTTGTCCCTTCTTTTGGGGAGGTCCCAGTATTATGACAGTCTGGGAGCCTATCAGAGTGTTGTGCGGATCTAGACCAGCGGAACCAAGAAGGGAAAAGAGTCCAGCAAGAGACGGGCCCCAGAAAAAAAAAAGTGAACAAAGGAAAAGAAAAAAACCGGATTCCCCACACCCCACTTCAAACTTGAAGCCTTTGGTTGATGAAATTTCCTTTCGCCTTACACCAAGACATGGGACAGAGAAAAACCTCGAGCCTTAGTTAGCTACAGCAAAGTAATCGCCAGCGCCAGAAAGGGTAAAAAAAAAAAAAAAAGTTGCTGCTCTCTTTGCGCCCAAACCATCCCTCCCCTCTATTGATACCCTACCCCCCTTCCATTCTCCCCCTTCCCTCCTTCACCGCGCCTCCCCATCCGTCAAAATATCCTCTCCGTCTTCTCCCACCGACCCTCCCTCTTCCCTCTGGTCTTGTTTTGGGAGTCTCTGTATTCCATTCAATTTCTGGTCCGGCTCGAGACCAAGCACGAAAGTCGCCATGAGCAACGAACATATGGAGGTGGACCTCGCGGAGGAGAAGCTCAAGACCATGGAGCACTCGGAGCAGCATTACTTCAAGAGGTATGTTTTCAACGGCCCTTCCTCTCTCTTGCCTGCCTGTCTTTGTCTGTGTTCGTGGCTACGGCGTTCCGCTGAGAGCACCGTCCCGAACACACGGCACAGGGCGCATCAAGTCCGCACAATATCATCTAACAACATTCTTTTGTCTTTACCGCTAGTTACGATCATCACGGTATGCCTCGTCACTCCTTCCACAATGCACCACCGCAACTTTGCTTGCCAGCGCGTGTGGCGCGCAAGCCCAGCTTTTCAACGCGCTCCCCTTCCCCTTAAAACCCTCGATTGATTGCTAACATTTCCGGCTTCTCCTTTGGGGATTTTTTTAATCTAGGCATCCACGAAGAAATGTTGGTATGTGCTCTCCTCGTCCTTATCCTCGTCGTCGCCCTCGGTGTTGTGTCGCTGTGCTGCTTGTCTTGCCCCTCTCCCACATCTTGGTCGCTGGTGGGGCGCTCGCTCCCTGCACCCCTCCACCCTCTACCCCTCGCATGCTCGCATGTGCAGCTGCTCCACGAACCTGCCAACTGACGAATGATGGAAATTTTGTAGAAAGATGAAGTCCGCACGAAATCGTACATGAGCGCAATCGTCAACAACAAGCACCTGTTCAAGGACAAGGTCGTGCTCGATGTCGGCTGCGGCACCGCCATCCTTTCCATGTACGAGAAAATCCAGTCGCAGCCGAACCATACGATGGATCCCCCTTTCCTTGTCTAACCACATTGTTTTGCGTCCTCTAGGTTCGCTGCCAGGGCCGGCGCTAAGCACGTTATCGGTGTCGACATGTCGACCATCATCTTCAAGGCGCGCGAGATCGTCAAGGTCAACGGCCTCTCCGACAAGATTACCCTGATCCAGGGCAAGATGGAGGACGTTGAGTTGCCTTTCCCCAAGGTCGATATTATCATCTCGGAGTGGATGGGCTACTTCCTCCTCTACGAAAGCATGCTCGACACCGTCCTCTATGCCAGGGACAAGTACCTCGTCCCCGGAGGCAAGATCTTCCCCGACAAGGCCACCATCTACGCTGCCGGTATTGAGGATGGCGACTACAAGGATGAGAAGATTGGATGTGAGTTCCTGCCTTTTTGGTCCCTCTTTCTTTTTCCCGCCTGCCGTAGAGTAGCCATGCCCCCGGTTACTAACGTTGCGAAACCCTCAAGTTTGGGATAACGTCTACGGTTTTGACTACACTCCTCTCAAGGAGACGGCCCTCTCCGAGCCCCTCGTCGATACCGTCGAGCTCAAGGCGGTTGTCACCGAGCCTTCTTCCGTTCTCGTCCTCGATCTTTACAAGTGCACCACCGCGGATCTCGATTTCAAGGTTCCCTTCACCCTGAGCTGCAGGCGTGACGATTACATCCACGCTCTCGTCGCCTGGTTCGACATTGAGTTCTCCGAATGCCACAAGCCCGTGCGCTTCTCCACCGGTCCCCACACCAAGTACACTCACTGGAAGCAGACCGTCTTCTACCTCAAGGATGTCCTTACCGTCTCTGCCGACGAGCTCGTGACCTGCTCCATGTCCGTCAAGCCAAACACGAAGAACCGACGTGATCTTGATATTCTCGTCAACTACAAGCTGGAGACCGATGACCCCACCCGCCAGGCTGAGGGCAGCCGTGAGTACAAGATGTGCTAAAAGAATGATGGCTGAAAAGCCCCCGGCGACCACAATCGAAACGGGTTGCTCTGGCCTAGTGCCACTTCGCTTCAACTGGTAGTGTAGCCCCTCAGTTGAGCGGAAAAGACGTACCTGTAAGGTGGGGTTTGGGCCGTGAGGAGACTATTATGAGGGAAAAAAACCCCCGAAAGACGGAGGAAAGGAGTTGTGGCCCCCGCCTTAATACCTGCAGTCAGATGATGGATAAAACGAGCGACCTGTTTAGCTAGCCTGCACGACGCCCTTAGACGAGCATATCGCCCTCGTGCCAACCCCCCTCCCCTCCCCGGTTTCTAGTCACTTGGCGAGGATTTCCTGTTTTTTTTCTTCTTCTAGGAATCAGGGTCGAGGAACATAGTGGTGGGGCTCGGCTACAAAAAGCTCCGTAACTGTTTGATCTGGTGGGTCGGCTATGCAAAAGTATGGAAGGAAAATGATGGGGAAAAAAAGAGAAAGAGTGGAAAAAAGCATCCTGGAGAGAAAGATAAAAGGCGTCTAGAGGGAACTAGAGAGAGAGCAAAAAGAGAGACAGAGAGACAGAGAGAGAGGGTATGTGTGTATAGATCCTCCGCCATAATGTCAAGCCTGCCCTTTGAGGCAGGTACATCTTCGCCGATGCGAGGAGCCTCGCACAGACTGCGCATCACTTGACGTTTCAATGTTTTGCAATTTCCCTACCGCTGCCGAAAGAAGAAAATGTAAGGGAAGTTGGCTGGGTGTGCGCAGCTCGCCGTGAGTTTTACTCTTGCATGTCCTGCGCCGCTATGTGATCCGTTGTGTCGGTGTCGGCGCACACAAAACAAGCTGTCAACTGCGGTTGCCTCCCCACGCTCAGCGGGTTTGCTGCCTAGTTTTTCAACGATGATAGATTGGTAGGCGAGAGACTTCCTGCTTCCCGTGAGTCTATTTATGTGCCAAGAGGATTTGCTTCAGATGATGGGTCGAGGTGTTGGAGAGAAGAGTCATCATTTTCTCCTTCTCTTTACGTTTACATCTACGCTGTTGGTGCCGAAGGGGAAGAAAAACGGATAACCAGAAGTAAAAGAAGAGGAAGAAATCTTGTATCATTAAGTTATAAAAACAAAAACACACATATCCCACGTCATGTAAAGCTCTCCTGCCCAACTTCTCCGGTTTCGATCTTGTGAGCTTTTTCTCCGGCCTTTTAGTTTGCGGTTCTCCTGGCACGCTAAGAATCGCCACTTCCTCTTGCCTCTCCCCCTTTGGCTCCTTTTTCTGGGCTGCTTGTTTTAATTTTTCCCGCTCTTAATTACCACCACCGTATTTCTTGACCCAGGAGGCAACCCTGCTGGCCAGCTCGTCCGCCTCGGACCTCGACGCCGCCTCCGCGTAGACGCGGCAGGCGTTCTCCGTGCCGCTAGCGCGGGCGAAGCTACGGCCCTTGGTGTACTTGAGGACGCACTGGTCAATCTCATACTGGAGGCCCTCGGGATGAGTAAGGCGGCGCTCAGCGTCGGTGGTTTGGAAGGCATCCTTGTCGCCGACCTCGACCCGGACGAGACGGTTGGGTAGGTCCGAGTAGGTGCTGGCCCAGTCGTTGAGTGTCCAGTTCTTGTGCGCAAGGATGACCTCGACGAGGAGCATGTCCGAGAGGGCATCGCCCACCGTTTGGTTCACGAGGTCACCCACGGCGGCCAGCGTATCGAGGGCCGCTTTCTGAGCGGGAGACTGAGGCTGGGTCTCACGGAAAGAGCGCAGGGCCTGGGGGAGAATAGGACGGTACCGTGGCCGTTGGCCTCGAAGTAGACACCCACATCATACTTGAGGGCCTCGTGGTGGAGGTATTTGACACCGGTGGGTGTGCAGACGACAGGGAGATTCAGGTGCTTCTCGATATAGTTTGTGCTGGCACCGTTGGCGTAGGCTGTCTGAACGACGCCGATGCGGAGTTCATCTTGGAGATTGGCGGATCGGACGAGATCGCCAATGAAAGAAGCGGCAAGAGAAGCGATGCGGTCTCCGTCAAGCATGAAGAAGCCGGTCTTGGGATCGACCCAGTGGTAGATCAGACGATCGGCGTCTCCGTCGAAGGAGCAGCTGCGAACACCGGGAACGGGGCGGGGAGTCGCGGGGGCTTTTGCCTCGTCTTAACGAAATCGGCACCACACTAGCACCGAGCGAGGATTGTCAGCATGGACGAGTAATAACAATGATGAAAAAGAAAAAAAAAGGAAGGAAAAAGAAAAAGAAGAGAATAGATGGATAAAACAAAAACTACACTTACATCGAGGTTAAGAGAGTCGGGATGGAGGACATCATCATTCACAACCTTGACATCGAGGCCGGTGGTGTCTTTGGGGACGTGCTTGAGGAACTCGGTCAACTTGGGACCCCCAACGCCGTTGGCGCAGTCGACAATGAGCTGACCCGCGACTTTCCTTCCGCTGAGGGCGCGGACAAAGGCCTCGCCGAGCTTCTCATAGTATCCGGCCTCGCTAGTTTTACCGTAGCTGTTTACGGTACCCTCCGTGTTCACGCAGCGTGTAAGGTAGTGAAGCTGAGGGGTGGTCAAGATCTTGTAATCCGTGTGGTCGGTGCCGGTCGCCTCGAGAGCGTCGGCGAGGGCGGCGACCAAACTGTGGCCAGAGGGGCGAGTATCGCGGCCGTAAACGACCTTGGCAGGCGCATCAAGATTGACCTTGAGCTGCGCCGCTAGGTTCCTGTACTCAACGACGAGCTGCTCGTCGGAGGGCGCATTGACAAGCTGGGTGGCGAACGCTTCCCAGTCTTGCTCGAGCATCTCGCCCATGGGATCGACAATCTTGACTCCGTTGTCTGCTGCGGGGTTGTGGCTGGCAGTGATCATGACGCCAATGGCCTTGCTGCTCAGCTTCCGGCTGCGAAGCGCCGCAAGGAGACCGACTCGAAAGGTGACTCCATCGAGCAAGTCGGCTTTCATACGGAAACCGGCGGTGCCGTATTTGTAGACTCGACCCTCGCCGAGGAGACAATGGGGTGCCTCTTGGAGGCGGCGATAATCTTCTCATCCATAGTAAAAGTATCGAGGCGGGCGAGGATGGTGGGGTGTTTAGTAACGGTTAAGAAATCTTGCGATCGCGCAAAACTATCCAACCCACTATTGTCAGAACGAAAAAGTCAAGCTAAAAGAAGTACCGAGGTAGTAACTAATGAATTGGCTCTGGTGCTAGATTTGACTAGGATTGAACTGATTAAATATCGTAGGAAGATGGAAGTAGGCTGGAAGCTAAATGGGGTGAAACGAGCAGAAAAGGAGAGTAAACACACATGCAGGAGCTTGATGATGGATGGCGGGGGAGGGCTTCTTTTCTTTCCCTTTCTTAGCTTTTCTTCTAGGCGCCTCGTTTTTTTTTTTTGGATTGCAACAGGACCAAGAGCAGAACTTAGGGGTATCTAAGTATCAAATCAAGAGTGATGGGCTACAGAAAAGAGTCGGCAACTGGGCTATGGACATGAGGAGGCTTCAGCTTGGAAACAAGCCCTGATGAGGCGGAGTTGGCAAGGATCCATGGATATATATGAAAATGGATCAATGGCGGCTGGCACCTTCCTTCGGATTCCCTGGGAAGGACCCCTCCATCTGCGAAGAACCGAGAGCACTCGAGGGAATCAATCAAGAACATTGAACCCCGCCAGGAAGAATCGGCCCCCACATCCCACATCACATCCCCCACCCACCACTCCTCACGGGAAGCTTGCCCACGACTCGCAGCTCGCTTCCAGCGTGGTCCTCTCTGCTGGGCCATTCCACCTACTTGTTTCGCGATTAATGCTCTCGCGCGACTAGCGCTACCACGTGCTGATCCCTCTCGATTTTTCCCGACCTTGGCTCGAAGGAGCGGCACTGATAATGAAGATTGTATACATTCACATACGTTTGGGGTGTTTTCAGGGACAGCCCTTGTCTGACCTTGCATCACCAGTTCCGAATAGGCTTTCGGCCGTTCAGGCAAACCTCTAGGTAGAGCATCAGCCCTAGAAGGGGGACGGGCGCTGGGACCAAACCTTCACGTCTGCCCTGGGCGGGGTTTCGTCATCGTGGGTGCTCGGCTTGTGTGGACTAGGACTAATGTGACCTTTGCCCCAATGCCACATGGCATATTGATGTCTCCAACTGTCTATTAGTTCGAAACATCGGAACACGGTATGGTATTGTCAAGATCAGCAGGCGGGATGGCTCGTCTGGCGACCCACAGCGGCGGCCAGCCCTGAAAGGCCAGGAATGAGATCATTTGGATTCGCTTAGGGGACTCCGTTTTATTTTGTTGAATATTGCCAACTGATTTGGGTACTCAAGTCTAACCGGGGCCCAAGATTCCCGTCGTGAATACTACATGCAAGCTCCACACCCTGAGCCCTCACAGCCGCACGTCTGACTGCCTTCAGTCGCCTCTTCTTTGGGAAGGAAGATGCTCGTATTGCCTGCGGCCAGGGTTCCCACATTATGGGTGACGGGCGGATGCGCCTACACTGAAAGCTGTCCGCCTTGTTTCCGACCAATGCCCCTCTTTCCATCCAGTAGCGGGGTCATCAAGCTTTGCTTTGTCGACCAACTCCTCGCACTGGCTTGAGGGGTGGGGCGGGACGTAGTCGGACCAGTCAGTTTCGGAGGGAGCGGGCCAAGTGCGAACAGTGGCGTCCCAACCTGGCCCATTGAGGCGCCCGAAACACTGGAACCGCCCAAATGGTCACCGCAAGTCTTTCATCATCCCTGGGTCCCTTTTCATTCAGAATCTGGCGCTTGCACGAAAATAGTTGAGCGTAGTCTATCCAGAGAAGGTGTGCCTCGGGAGTTAGTCAACGAGTTGAGAGCTCACTGGAGGAGTGCTAGTGAGGTACTATCATATGTAGTGTGGAGACGGAGCGTCACATGACTTCGCGTTCTTCTCGCACCGTGGCCCATTTCTCTTACTTACGCGTCGCCACTCTTGAGAGCCAAAGTAAACACTTGGGGATCATCCTGGGACGATTACGACAACACCGGAAGCTGAAAATCTGGTTCTTCGCGATGGAAGAGGAAGAGCGCTGCGCAAACCCGCTCCTACTTGGTTGGGTAAAGGAGTGGCTGGACTTTGCTCGTGAAAAGAACAGCAAAGGCGTTCTCGTTTACAAACACGCTTATGACGCCCTCAACTCCTGCCCCATCACCTTTCGGCACCCGTCCCAGCTCCAGCAGCTCAAGGGATTCGGGCCGAAACTTTGCCAGAGACTTACGGACAAGCTCAAGGCTCACTGTGAGGAGAATGGCTTGCCGATGCCCAGCGCTGGCCGTCGCCCGGCAGGTCTAGCCGACGCTCAGGCTGGGACAGAGGAGTTGGCTCCTTCACCGCCCAAGAAGCGTCGGAAGAAGAAACCCTACGTTCCGGCCTATCGGTCTGGAGCCTACGCCATAGTCATGGCGTTGTCAAGTCTAGATGAGAACACACCGGGTACTCAAGGGCTTCCCAAAGCCCAATTGATTGAGCTGGCCCAGCCGTTGTGCGACTCCTCCTTCACCGCGCTCACCGGTCCCACCAAGTTCTATACCGCTTGGAACTCGATGCGGACTTTGATTGACAAGGACCTTGTCTACGAAAAGGAGGCCCATGAGGAAGTACACATTGACGGATGAAGGCTGGGAGGTGGCCCACCGTCTGCAGGCCGTCGGCGAAGCAAACCAGCCGAACCTAGGGGCGCCGAGCCGAGCCCGGGAAGTTGAAGACGAGGATGAGGTTTTGGATGATGACCATGATTCCCTCTTTGTAGGGGATCACGCCATGTCAAGCAAAAATGTGGAGTCTGGCACAACAGGCCAAGGCTCTGTCCCCACGGCTCAGCATCTCTCAGCTGGTCATCCAGCGCCATATGGTGACCTGATAGCCGATTTCTCCACCACAGGGGATGGCGATGGAGGCCTACCGTCATTCCGTCCCATCCGTCTCGAACCCGGATCCTTTACTGTTGAACTCGTGCTCGACGTTCGTGAGATTCGTGCGACCAAAGACCGAGATTATCTGCAGGAAGAGCTGATGAAGCAAGGGGTTAGGCCCATAATGAGGAGCTTGGACCTTGGCGACGCCCAGTGGGTTGCAAGATGCAACGACCCATCCTTATTAACGCGGCTTGGTGCTGAAGGCGAGGAGGTCGTTCTTGATTGGATTGTAGAGAGAAAGCGGCTGGATGACCTAGTGGCCAGTATCAAAGATGGTCGATTTCACGAACAAAAGTTTCGCCTACGAAAGTCGGGTGTCAAACATGTCATTTACATCGTTGAGGAGATCTCCATGGATGCTGCTGTGTACCAGCGGGTAGAGGATGCTGTGACGACCGCCATGGCGCAGATCCAAGTCGTCAACGGCTACTTCTTGAAAAGAACTCAGACGATGGACCAAACCATTCGGTACCTTTCCCGGATGACCCATCTACTGCGATCTCAATATCAAGCGCGGCATATCAAAGTTATCCCGACAAAGGTGCTTACGGCGCAGAACTACCTACCCTTGCTCGAGCATCACCGCCGGATCGATCCTCAAGGAGGCTACTACGTTAGCTACCCTGCCTTTTCGTCGTTGGCTTCAAAATCAGATATGCTCACGCTGCGCGACGTATTTTTAAAGATGCTTATGACAACGAGGGGCGTCACGGGGGAGAAAGCAATCGAAATCCAAAAGCGTTGGAAGACGCCGTACAACTTTGTGAAAGCTTTCGAGGCCTGCGGGCACGGGGAGGCGGCCAAGAAGCGGAAGCGAGAGCTTGTTGCCAGCGAGCTTGACTTTCTGGTTGCCCCGCGGAGAAAGATTGGCAAGCAGCTGAGCGAGAGAATCGCCGAGGTGTGGGGAGGTGTTTGAGGCAAGAAGTGCGTCACATTTCGATCTGTCTTTAGTACAGCATACTATGGACCAACCCTCTTAGACTGTTGATCGCCCCGTCTCGCCTACGCTCGGCTCTGAAGTTTTTCGTCGACAATCCTGCGTACAAGCTTCTCTAACAGAGGCACACTCGCGCTTTGGCTACCTTCGGTGAGGTGAGCAGCCATCGCCTTCTCGGCGTACTTGGCCATCATGTCGACCTCGACGTTGACAGTTTCACCGACACCCTTTTGAGCAAGGACAACCCGCTCCTGGGTGTACTCGATGAGCATAATCTCCCACCAGCCCTCTTCATCGTTCACCTGGGTGATTGTGAGGCTTGTTCCGTCGAGGGCGATGAAACCTTTGTGCACAATGTACCTGAGCCACTTGTCGTCCTCGGGCTTGAAGCGTATCGTTCTCGCGCTGCCGTCTGCTCTGACGTCGGCGATCTGGGCGACCATATCCACGTGGCCCTGCACAAAGTGACCACCCATCCGGGTGTCCGCGCGCACGGCGCGCTCGAGGTTGACGCGGCTTCCCGACGTCAGGCTGTCGAGATTCGACACGCGCAGGGTCTCGGGCGCAACACCGACCGTGAAGGCAGGGGTTGATTGCGTAAGCGAAGTGATTGTCAGGCAGACACCGTTGGTGGCGATGGAGTCGCCGAGCTGGGCGTCGCTAAGGAGGGCAGAGGTCTTGGGAACCGTGATTGTCATGGTCTTACCCGTCTCCCGGTCGCCCTCGATGGCGGAGACGACTGCGAATAGCTATTAGTCACCTCGCAACCTCGGCATTCTCGGAGCACTGTGGAGGAAATTTGGCCCGCGTACCGCCTATTTCTCTACGAGGCCTGTAAACATTTTGGAATTCTTGTATGGAATCCACCCCGCTTAGACGGAACCTTTTATTTTTCTTTGAAAAAGAAATTCAAGGAGTGGAGGCAGATCAAAGTTCTCCGTTGTAGAGTAGCACTGGACTCTCAGGGTGGGAATGTATGTGCCGAATGGGTTGAGGTTCTCGACTCCGACGTCGTTTTCCAAGTTCTCCTCGTTCCCCGGATTTTTGTCACGTGTTACGGACCCTCCCGCCCCGTAGCAATGCACGCCATCCGAGACACCCAGTCTAATGGGACGAAATGACGAGACGAGTGAGATGTTATTATTAGATATACGCAAATTCGACCGCTAACTGTGAACTGCGAATATAATGGATATATATTGCCATTTCTAAACGAGGAGCCCTATAGTTGGGTTGATGATAGCTTGAACAAGTGAGATCGCAACCGCAGCTTAGTTCAGGTCATTCTTGTCCTTGTCCTTCCTTACTTGGCTGGTGGTAGATGTAATATGACCTCCTTTGCATACGCCGCGGCCGTGGCCGCGGCATATTTCTGCCATATCTTGTTTTTATGAGAATCTGCATAATCGCAGATTCCCGGATTACAAGAGCGGGCTCGCAGCTCACGACGCCAGCCGACTCCATTTCGAAGCAAATGGCCTCGTGGTCCTTATAAAGCTGGTTCCGCTTCTCGCTTGATATGACAAGTGCGTTGGAGGAGGCGATGATGCCTTGATGAACGCGAGGCGAATCCGTTCTTCGTTCGGCGTTTCTCCCGCGGCTTTTTCTCGCCTTTCCCCTTTTTCCTCGCAAAGTCCCTTGCAGGCCCTGTTGGGATTCAAATGCTGATAGGTATCCGCGAAAAGAATGTCCTTTTCAGCACCAGGGTCGCCAAACTCGTCGCGTTCCTCCTCCTCTAAACGGCCCCGCAGCTCCTGCAGGGTTTTCGAGATACCTGACTTATGACCCCTCACCGGACGGCTACCCTGAGCATTTTGCACCGCGGTGAGCAAGGCGCGGGATGGCGGACATGTATGACCGCTGGGGTTCAACTTGCCCTTACTCTCCCAGGCACCGCGCTCGAAGTGTACTACACCACCTTCATTTCCTCGAGGCACACCGACGACGACGTCACCCAACACAATCTGGTTCTGCGGGTCGGTTCCATAGCGGGCATGGCCCCAGCGATTCCAACTATGAATACGTGTTTGATATTTGGAAATGAACTGCGCATGTAAGCGTGGGCCGTTGCGGCGGCACTCGTTCCAATCACCGGGCAAACGGCCACCACGACCCAGTGATCTCCTATTCGCCCTACGGGATATCCCGTTTCGCTCCCTTGGACTATCTTGAAACCCCTGTTGTCTAGAAGAGCGAGTGCTGGTGTGAGTTCCAGTGCCATAGGAGCAATCCACGCAATGGTGACCTGGTTAACATCGGGTGTGTCATCGTGTGTTTGTGCGCCAAACTAATAAGGATCGAGAGTTAGCCTCACTCCTGCTAGACATTGGTTCGAATTAGTAACCACATACATAAGGGGTTTCCGCGGCATTCATCGTTCCAGGGGCTGCTTCTGATGGCGGTCTGATGGCGTCGAAACCTTGAGTATCCAGGTCTCCGGCCCCTCCTCTGTTGACTTTTGGAGGAAATTTGCCATGAAGCTCTTCTAACTTAATTTTATAACCAGTTTCGAGTTCTTCCGCCAATGGCCGAATGATACACGAGAGGATATATTGCCGAACTGGACCGTCGCCCTGTAGATTTCTACTCGCGAAAGTTGGTGGAGGATCCTCTTTCAGGCAGAAGTGGATGGCCTTTTTCAAGGCGGGAGATATCCGCTTTGAACTATCTAGATGGCTTTGCTGTTCTAAGTCCAGAAGCTGTTTATAAGCTCGCTGGCCGTCGCTGTTAACCTGTTCTGCTTGAGACTGCTTTTGTGACCTTTCAAATCTCACGCCAGTAACTATCTCGAGAAAAATGATGCCAAGATATAGGAGAGCTGGATGAGAGTGGTACGGTTTACAGAATTGCGAAGTTGTCGACTCCTTTTGATGATGTGGAAGCTCAGCGGAAATGTAAGGAAAGGCCAGTGGAGAGAGATTCGAGCTGTTGACATGACGGCTGAAGTAGACTCTGCTGCTATCCCACTCTGCTCGGATCCAGGTTTTTGGATAAAGAAACAGCATGGAGGTAGCCAGGATGTAACACAAGATTGTCTTCTCCTTGGATTTGTAAGTGGAAAATTTCGAATCCAGGGTGCCATCCCTCAAAAACTCGTCGAGAGAGTCCATGGCTTCATGGTGAACGATACTCCTGCGCAATTCGGGTTTGAGATACCGTAGTTCATCGTTGACAAGAAAGTCTGCTTGAAGCCCTCGTTTGCCAGTAACAACTGGCAGATGTCGTTTTGAACGATCCATTGATCATCCCTCTCGTCGAGCAGCTTTCTAGATTCATATCAGCGTCAAAATTCAAGCTAGTTTGGTAATTCAAGCGATCTTGGCCTCGGTCCTACCTTATCTCAGTCACCTCGAAATTCGTCACTCTCCATCCACCACGAGCTGTGCATACCGGGAGGAGGATCTCAAATTTTGGTAGTGGCAAATAGTTTGCTGGCTTCGTCAATGCTAGATGACGATATCTGACTAGGTTAAGTTTGGCCTCCTCGATCTTGGCTGCCCCGAGGCTCTTTGTGAACATTGGCACTTCCAGTGTTGCTCCAATGACGTGTACACCTTTTCCGCCAGCGCCTTGATTCCGTTACTAGGGTGCTCGTGGAGGGGAAGCTTTGTTCCCTCATCTTCTTCAGAGGAGGGCGGAAGTACACGCTGATTAAGTGCATTGAAGCCTCCTTTACTCGTTGGAGGAATTTGTTACGCTCGCCTTTGTTCTCTACCTCCTTTCTCCGGAATAGAGAAACTTGGCTACTCAGGATACGAAGATACATCCCATGAAGACTTGTCGATTGCATCGGCAGGCTGGAGCATTTCTCAAAGCCTCCTAGTTCGGAGGTTTCGATGGCCGCGGTGAGAGCGCGAAGACGTGGATATTTCCCCTTCAGGATGCTTTGCCGGAGTGTGCTACACCACAGTGAACCACTAATCAGCAACCACCTCAGTAGAAAATAGTGAAAGGAGAGCACTTGAGAGATCTATGGATACTTTTGATCGTATATTGGAAAGGTCTGTCCATCTTCTTGGGAGCCGGGTTTCAAAAGCTTCTAGAAGGCGGATAATTGTATCGTTGCTTAGTCCATGCGCCCACTCTCCGCGAGATACTGACAGTATATGCCCTATGTGGACGATGTCAGAATAGCAGTCGTGCGCGTCCGTGGATAGGCTATCATCCAGGTGGTCCCTATCTATGAACTCTTTCGCAAGAGCTGCAAACGCGGGAGTGATCTGGCCGAGCAATTCGAGATGCGTCATGGAAGCTATGAGCAAAACCGGTTTTCGTTATCGCGTAGCAGGAAGTGATGAGGAGTAGGTTCCATAGGAGCTGTGCCGTGTCACCGGGGTCAATATTTCAATGAATGGATCCTAAGCGGAGAGCCACGACCGCCTCTACATGGATGTATTCATAGTTCTGCATTGGATCCGTTGAATACCCTCAGCCTTACCTTTGCTGAATGTACAGGCCAATTCCCCCTTGTAAATGCTCTCCGATTGGCCAAACCCCGCATCAGAGGGCCGAGAGGAGATGTTCGCCTTAACCAGCAGTTGCTCCTATCTCGAGAAAAGGCTTTATATTCAAATACTCGCTGATCAAGCTAACTTCTGAATCCATATTCCGGATGGATCGCCATCATCTACTCCATCAGTCCATGTCTCGGTGGATGCCATGGATGTAGCGGTTCAAGCCTCAGAGGTGCCGTACGGAAAGCCATAGTACCCAAAGAGCCACATTCTTCAATCCTTGAATTGCCGCTTTGCCTCATATTCACTATACGAGCCTCTATATCGCCTTTAATCTGATAGAGTAAATGGTCTTATCGACGATGCACCATGGAGCTCGTGGCAAGCCCTCGAGACACCACTGGTATCAAGGATCTAGCTCTTGCATGTGAGAGACTTCTGCGGGAGATCTCACGAGATGCTGGGGACCAAGATAAAACCGACATCTCCGCCACCCAGGCGGATTGGGCATCCCGTTTATGTGCGGAGTTCAATGTATGGTCCGCAAAAGTCGGCGTGAACAGCGATGGGATCCGGTCCATCGATATTAGACTTATAGGTGTACCCGAAATATACAGCCTCCTCAAGCATTTATTGCAGTCACTCGAGCGAGACTTAAGTGGTTCGGTCCCTCTCTCTTATCAACTTCATGAATGGTAACTAATATTACGAGCCTTGGACTAGAGTTGCAACAGCCTGATAAAGTCCTCATACGCATACAAACGCGTGATGCTGGGGTTGAGTCAGATGATACAGAGTCCACTTCCTCTTCACTCTCTTTCGACTCCCTATCATCTCTCGAGAATTCTGGAGTCTTGGAGACATCTCAGAATGAAGATCCAGCTTGGAAAAGACGAATTATTCTGCAGAGACACATTCAGGACACTATGGACCGATTGTATGGGCACGCATTACTTATTGAACGTGCGGGAACTAAACACCGCCGGCAACGAGTGGAGCTCTATAGACAGAAAATGGGGCCACGGGAGATATATGAAACATTCAAGCGAATTGGAGAGCAGAAGGCCAGGAGCACATTCCCATCAGCATCAGAAAGCTTTCAGCAACGAATTGGGGAGTCATTCGCTCGCAGAAGAAATCGGTTCGCCTACTTGAAAGCCCACCAGAGGAAGAGGGCCGCCGACGCTGGTGTACAGAAACAAGGTTCACAAGTCGCCTCTATTCCTCAACCTACTATTCCTCAAACAACACTCAATGATCATGGTATCCAGCCCCGTTGACCGAGATTCAAGGTGTTCAAGGAGGGTGGGAAAAAGCAGCCCTTGGCCACCCAGACCAGAGCACGATATACTCCACTACGGCGATCACTAAACTCGACACTAGTGTTGAGCGTGAGGGCACTCAGATTGCAGAGAGTGTCGCTTCAGTGGCACTACGACATGTCCAATTTCCCCGCCCCCGAATCAAGGGCAACGGCTTCCAGTGCCCATACTGTTGTCTTGAGTTCCGCCGTGCTGAAGCTGGCAAAGACCGCTGGAGGTAAGCGTGGTCGTCTTCCTAGGACGACATCCCGCCTACTAACTAAATGAACCCAAGCCGGCATGTGATGCATGATCTTGAGCCATATTTCTGCACTTGGGATAACTGCGAGACGCCTTTCGATGTACCAAATACCTTCAATGGCTTTCTAAGGCACATGGCTGAGCACGTGGAAGAGAGATATCTTGTTGAAATGACCAATGGCGAGTACGGCGAGTTCGACGGTTCCACATTCGAGATGCATCACTCGCAAAACCAAGAGTTGTCCCCAGAAGAACTGTCTTTGATGAGGGACGTCCACCAACGCAAGGGTCCATTCATCTTTCAGAGCTGCCCCTTCTGCGGTGGCTACCCGGATGATGTTGAAAAGCGCCTCCAAGACGGCAATAGAGAAACGCCAGAAGCTCAAGGCGAGCTGAGAATGCATATAAAACGGCATATGGATGACATTGCCCTTTTCTTGCTCCCCTCGTGAGGACCAATTTCCCGATGACGACGCCTGCGATGCTCACAGTTCCAGCGCCTCACTGTTCACTCGTCGAAATTCAGATATCGGCGTCTTAGACGAGCCGGATCGCCCTAAGTCAGTTTGCGGCCAAGCGGATTGCGACTGTACGGATACAAGAAAAGATTCCGTGAATGATATACTGGGCGACACATCCTCTGCGGGGCCGGATGACCGAGATCAGGATCACGGAGATGCGGATGATTGGGCTCGGCTTTTCCCCAGAAAGCCCATGTCCGATACGGATTATAAGAAACTTCAGCCTTTCATTCAACGGTATAAGGGGATGACGGAATATGGGGATGAGGGAATGGATACTAGAGGTGCCTTCGCTACCAAGGAAATCACCATGACTGATGTCGAGACTACTGTTGTGACAGCACTACACGCACCTAAGACAAGCCAGTTCACTGTGGGTTGGATCGCACACACGTCTTTAGAGCTCACTCCCGCAATTTCTATGATGAAGAACAGGGTCAAGATGGAAAAAGGCGGGAGATTTTATTTTACAGGAAGCATCGGGCGTCAGTGGGTCGTGATGACCGTCCACGAAACAACCAGTGGGGCTACTACCCTCCAACGCATGAAAGCGGAATTCCCGAAAGTGGAACATATCCTCATAGTTGGAATAGTAGGAGGAATGCCGTACTACGGTCTCGACAAGCGCCAAATTAAACTCGGAGACGTTGTCGTTGACTACCCAGAGGTAATTAAGTTGGCCATGCGTCATCGCCAGGCTAGCAGCCGGCGTGCGAAGCGCAGCGGGCCTGAAGCCGAATATCGCGTGCCCGAGGCTTTGCAGGCCGCGGTGGATAATCTCCGAACTACACAAGATGTGTTTGGGACAAAGATCCCGGAGATCCTAGCTCAATTACGCGTGCCCGAGGGGGAAGAGGGGGAAGAGATGAGGCCAAAATTCATGGACCCGGGTGGCACACTTGATAACACTCGGGCATCTACGGCCGTGCGGGAAACGGATTCACCTCGCATCCATTATGGAATCATCAGCCGAATGAACCCGCTTGCCGCCTCAAGTTCAGAAAGAGATAGATTTTACAACACGTATAATGCCATCGCCTTTGAGATGGAAGGCTCCTCCGCGATCACGGGAAGTTATCCGGCGCTGATAATCCGCGGAATTTGTGGATATGCAGGCTTTCACGCAAACGAGACATGGCAAAATTACGCAGCAGCAACGGCCGCGGCCTACGCAATAGAATTACTGGAGTCCTTCCCAGTAGATCCAGGTAAGAACTATCGTCAGATTTGCTATCGATACCCACGCCCTGATCTGTAGCAACCATCATGTAGCTAACTTCTAGTAACCGGCGCAATAGAAGGTGCTTCCGGATACGATCGAACCCTTGATAGCATCCACAATGAGAAGGGAACCCGGAGCCTTCTACACATCCTGGCTGCAGCAGTACGCCCACTGACCCTGGAAGAGACAGTCTTTGCTCTGTCACTTCAAGCCAGCGACGACCAGTCATATCCCGGCCTTGGACAAGACTTAGGAAGAAAGGTATACGCTCGCCAGTCCATAAAAGATCTCTACCCCACCATCTTAACGATTGAAGATGGGGCTGTACTTCTTGATCCGGTCGCGAGAAAGTTTCTTGTTCAAGATCTCCCGGTGTCAGCCCACGTATCTAAATGGGAGAATTCATTGGAACCTGAAAAGTCTCATGCGCTCCTGGCCCGTATTTGCATGCAGCACTTGCTCTTCCTCGAGTTTGAAACCAGCCCACTCCAGCACCATGAGAGATTGCCCCAAGCCCAAGACACGAACAGCCACACCTTCCTAGATTATTCTGCCAGGAATTGGGCTACCCACCTGCGTCACTCACGCAGTGATGGCGTATCACTGATAGAGCCTGCCCTAAGGCTATGTGATCCATACTCAAAACATTTCCAAACTTGGATGAGTATATATTGGACCACCATGAATCTACAGGCGCCCCCCGATAGACCTCACATCCCTCATAGTTGCGTCTACCCTCGGGCTCCCGTAGTAGTGCAACATCTTCTTGATGAAGGGGAGTTGATTGACTTAAATCACTGCGATGGCGTGTATGGACGTTCTGCCATCTCCTGGGCTGCAGGAAATGGCCATAGTGATACAGTAAAACTTCTGGCCGACCAGCGCATGTGGGAGAAACGTCACGAATGGGATGGAGAAGCCCAGACACTAATCCTACATGCAGCAGGGGATCATAATGTTGATCTCCCAGACAAAGAAAATCGAACGCCGCTCTCGTATGCAGCATGGGGGCCATGAAGCTATCGTCAAATTCCTAGTTGGTACGGCTAAAGTTGATATCAACTTAACAGACTACAGGGGTCGAACACCGCTCTCGTATGCAGCGGAGACAGGCTATGAAGCTGTTGTCAAACTCCTTCGTGAAGCTAGAGCTGATATCGACTTTTTGATAAAGAAAGGCGGACGCCACTCTTATATGCAGCTCAGGCAGGCCATGAAGCTGTTGTTGAAATCCTTCTTGAAGCTGGAGCTGGTATTAAACATTCTGATCAAGATAGGCGGACGCCACTCTCATATGCAGCTGAGGCAGGCCATGAAGCTGTTGTCAAACTCCTTCGTGAAGCTAGAGCTAGTATCGACTTTTTGATAAAGAAAGGCGGACGCCACTCTTATATGCAGCTCAGGCAGGCCATGAAGCTATTATCAAACTCCTTCTTGAAGCTGGAGCTAGTTTCGACTGTTTTGATCAAGAAAGCCGGACGCCACTCTCATATGCAGCTCAGGCAGGCCATGAAGCTATTATCAAACTCCTTCTTGAATTGGGAGCTGATTTCGACTTTTCTGATAATAAAAGCCGGACGCCACTCTCATATGCAGCTCAGGCAGGCCATAAAGCTATTATCAAACTCCTTCGTGAAGCTAGAGCTGATATCGACTTTTTGATAAAGAAAGGCGGACGCCACTCTTATATGCAGCTCAGGCAGGCCATGAAGCTATTATCAAACTCCTTCTTGAAGCTGGAGCTAGTTTCGACTGTTTTGATCAAGAAAGCCGGACGCCACTCTCATATGCAGCTCAGGCAGGCCATGAAGCTATTATCAAACTCCTTCTTGAATTGGGAGCTGATTTCGACTTTTCTGATAATAAAAGCCGGACGCCACTCTCATATGCAGCTCAGGCAGGCCATAAAGCTATTATCAAACTCCTTCGTGAAGCTAGAGCTGATATCGACTTTTTGATAAAGAAAGGCGGACGCCACTCTTATATGCAGCTCAGGCAGGCCATGAAGCTATTATCAAACTCCTTCTTGAAGCTGGAGCTAGTTTCGACTGTTTTGATCAAGAAAGCCGGACGCCACTCTCATATGCAGCTCAGGCAGGCCATGAAGCTATTATCAAACTCCTTCTTGAAGCTGGAGCTGATTTCAACTTTTCTGATAACGAAAGCCGGACGCCACTCTTTTATGCAGCTCAGGCAGGCCATGAAGCTATTATCAAACTCATTCTTGAAGCTGGAGCTGATTTCAACTTTTCTGATAACGAAAGCCGGACGCCACTCTTTTATGCAGCTCAGACAGGCCATAAAACTATCGTCGAGCAGCTTACACGAGCTTCGCAGGACTAGGTCCGTGACGACTCCACAATCCACACCTCAGGATGGCCGCCGATTCATCTGTGTCCTCTGCACCATCTCCTGCGAGCTTTCTCAAACAATATACCGCCTCAACTCCACGAGATGGGGGTGGGGCTTACTCTAACGTTGCAGCTCAAACCACATATTAAACTAGAGATGTCAGCTAGAGCATTCAACCTCAGCAATATTTTAATCCATTCTCCACTAGCTCCTAACCATTAATTTTCATGATAAAGCTTGGGTTTCTCGGTCGCATGCGGTTGTAGTGACTGAAGGGTGGCTTTGATGGGATGTGAGCCCCTTTCCCGCATATAACAATGGATCCATTATTACTATAGATTGAGAGGTGGGTGATACCACTTGACAGCCTTCTAGACCAGGGTTGCAAGGTCTATAGATTGGACTAATTCGCGTTGTGCTATAATAGTCGTGGGTGGTAGGATACGAACGATACGTAGTATCTATAAGACAGGTATTGAAGCATATTATATCACGAAGTAGTTGCACGCTCGGCAGTTTATCCCTGTGGTAAAAAGCGTTGGTATTTCGGTTTTTGTATGGGCTCCCCTTCCAAATGCAGAACGCGATTGAGGATATTCCTCATATATAATAGAAAATGTTGAAAAAAGACACTGACCTGACGGCCTATCGCTCTTATCTTATGCCTACACCCACGACGAGAAAAGTACTCTATTATCAATCCACCTAGTCATCTCAATGTTTCATCTTCTAAAGTTCAAATGTTTCTTAGGCGAGAGTGTTGCGTGATGCGCAATCGATGGTGGGTTGCAAATTCTTTATCGATAAGCGGCGATAAGATAACGCTCGAATTTTCCCCCACCAGCAAGAAAGCACCCTCAAGCAGCTCATGAGGATTGGACTTTGACGGACGTTGCGCACCCTGAAATCTAATTCCTCAGCAACTACCGCGGCTTATTTGTAAAAGAAAGATTTGTCCCACTTCACCTGAAGCAGAAAACATCAATTTTCTCTGTGGCTCCGGCAACATACTCATCGCAGCGCCGACAGCGTAGGCCGACCCTTACCACGATGGCACCCACCCGGCCCAGAGGCAAAAAGACAAGAAGAAGGCCAAAAGCCTTCCTCTCGGCCTGCTTCTCCAAGAAGCTACTGCCAAAGTCCAAACGGGCGACCACGAATCCGCCGTGAAGCTCGCCGAACGAGTGCTCGATGCGACGGGCAAAGATGGCGACTTTGAACTGGCAGCCCTGAACCTCTTGGGGCTAGCCTACATCGAGATGGGCGACGTCGATCTAGCGCGGCCGAGGCTCCTGAGGGCCGTCGAAATAGACGCGGACGGCTCCATGGACGAGCGTGGGCGGGGGCGCGGAAAAATTCCTCTGGCTCGCGCAGATCAGCGAGGACGGCGGCCGGGACAGCGTGGACTGGTACGAAAGGGCGCAGCGGTGCTTCGACGACACATACAGGCCCTTTCGGAAAAGACGAAGCGCACGGCGCTCGACGATGCCGCGCTGGAGGAGAAGAGGCAGGGTCTGGCGGGCGTGCTGTGCGCCGTGGCCGAAGTCTACATGACGGACCTATCGTGGGAGGAGGACGCGGAGCAGAGGTGCGAGGCGCTGGTGACGGAGGCCACGATGGCGTGCCCCGAGTCCCCCGAGACGTGGCAGACGGTGGCCAACGTGCGCATCTCTCAGCAGCGGGTGGATGAAGCCAAGACGGCGCTGCGGAGGAGCATGGAGCTCTGGCAGGAGCTGCCCATTGGGGACCTCAAAGTGCCCGAGTTCGCCACGCGCATCAGTTTGGCTCGGCTCCTCATGGAGGTGGAGGTGGAGCCGGTGGCGATGGAGGTGATTGATAGGCTTGTGGCGGAGGACGACGAGAGCGTGGAGACGTGGTATCTCGGCGGCTGGTGCCAGTATATCCAGGGCGAGAAGAAGAAGAAGACGACGACGACGACGACGACGGACGCGGAGGCCGAGGAGGCGCGCAAAGAGCTGTGGACGTCGGCGCGGCGGTGGTTGAGGCAGTGTTTGAAGCTGTATAAGCAGCAGGACTACGAGGATGACCGGTTAGGCGAGCATGCTAGGGAGCTCACGCGCGCCATTGATGAGGTGCTGGGCCCGTCTCCTGAGGGGGAAGATGATGATGAGGATGATGTTTGGGAGGACGATGACGACGAAGGTGAGGGGAGCAGCGATGACGAGGATGAGGAAATGGGCTAGGCAATGCGCTCGCTCATGAGGGGGAGCTCGGAATCTTTCTTTTTCTTTGCGTTTTTGTTGTCATGTCCTTTCGGAGTCGGGAAACCATAAAAGTTCCAATGTCTTTTCAGGCTGCATTATATAGAAGGAAGGGGAGGGGGGCGACGAGATGGACGAAGCATAGCCACCTTGTTGTGTCGTGAGGCGGGCTCTTTTTTTCCAACTTTCTTAACGTCAAGGAAGATATATCAAGCATTCACAAGCCTATGAATTACGGCCACTCTCATTCTTTCACACAGCCTCGTGTGTTTCTAGTATGCGTTCAATCCGGGAGAATACACCGGGGATTGCAATCCATTGTCATGAAAAAGTAAACCAAAAAGATCCTCCCCCAACAATGCATGGGTCTCACGCTGCTTCCACCTTGAGCTTCTCCACCCCCTCAACAGGCATATCGTCCTCATCATCCTCCACCTTTCCAACCAAGCCCGCCTCCCAAAGCTGCCTCCCGTCATCTTGACAGGCTCCTTAACCCTCGCCTTCTTGAGCTCCGCGAGCCGTTCCTCCTCCTCCTTGAGCCTCTGCTCCTCCATCTCGCGCAAGAAGCCCTCGCGCCACTTCATAAACGACTCGGGCGTCACAGACGTGCCGTGAAATTTCTTATTCTCCTCCTGCTCCGCGGCGCGGGCGGCCTCTTCGCGCACCTTTTCGACGGCGGCCTCGCGGTCGGCGATGAGCTGCTCGGCGGCTTCTTTCACGGTGGAGACGAGGGCAAAGACCATGGCCATGCCGAGGTTCTCCTCGGCAGCGGTGTTGAGGGCTTCGAGGAGGACGTCGCGGTCCTCGGAGAGGAGAAGTTGGGGTGGGAGGCGGCGTTGGGGGCGGACATGAGGTCGAGGTGCGGCGCCTTGTCGGGGTAGTCGTCTGGGTAGCGGACTTGGAGGAGGAAGGAGGGGGTTCGTCGTCTTCTTCCTCTTGGACGAGGTCGAGGGTGACTAGTATCCTGAATTCGGTCTCGGAAATGTCTGTATCCGTGGTTAGGTGTTTTCACGTTTTGGTTAGGTGACGTTTGATCAAGCGCGGAGGGGTTCGGGGCTCGAGGCTGCGCGCGGGTTGGGGAGATGCAGATTCATCAGCCTCTAATGCTAGGGGTGTTCTCTCTCACCTGTGATCTCTTCGGGGAAGATGGACTCGAGGACCTCCCTCTCCTCAACCTGCTCTTCTCGCCCCATCTTGTTAAAGGCGACGGCGTCTATTCGAGACTCTCGGCTAGGGGTGGGGCACCGACTCGGGGTCAAGGCCGATCGGTATTGCGCACTACTTGACTGGCGCGAGGGTCTAAAGTCGCAGAGTAGGTTCTTTTATAGTATCGGGCTCTCGCTCGTGCCGAGGTATGGTGGCTTCGAATTGCTGGCTGGTGGTTTGATAGTTGTTGTGTGAGGCTGACTGCTTTGCAGGTGTTGGACTGATTGATGGGAGTTGATAGTGGGGTAAAATATTTTGGTGGAGGGGTATTTTTCTTTGCTTGCTACACTTCCCGGCACGAACATGACGTGAACTGCCCATCTCCACATGGTCACTACAATTGAATACATCTATCCATGTATTAAACAACCTTTTCCAATTCGGGGTTTATAATTGAAAAGGGGTAGAAACAACTTCTAGTACATGCCATCTTTGCCTCTCTCTTTCTTATCTCCGTTTTCATTTTTCTTGTATCACAAGGTGACTAGACGGTTCAAGGGAGCACGAGATGAAACGAGACATTGGTGGTTGAGGGAGAAGATATCATTTATTACATGCAACGTAAATTCATCAACAATCGAAGAAAAAGAAGAAAGGTCGTCCTGGGCGTCGATATTTGTAGGGCCTCTCTTCCCAATGGTGGACGTGAACGTGACTGCACTGTTCGCGATGTCGAGCGCGTAAAGGTCGGCTGGTTGCGACCTTGAAGCCGATGAATCGGAGAGCGACCGAAGAGTAAATCCGGCTTGCCCATAGCACCGCGGAGATGACCTAATTAGGGGTATATCTCCCTTTCCTAGTAAAGCGCCTAACTGCGAGATATTTCCCTTGTCGAGGCATTGCGAGGATCCCCGTGCTCCTCCTTCGCCATGCCAAAGCAATCAGTCCAAGACTCGGCTGCGCGATATAGCTAAGGGTTGATCGAGATTCCAAGTATAGCCTTCTCCTTCCTCAAGACGAGGGAGGGAATCTGGTGATAGAATCTGGAATGAAACAAGACAAGATAGTAAAGGATGTTGCAATCACTTTTATGAATCCTTTTTGCGTTCGAGGCCGGGCTCGCTTCCTCCTTTGGCTCCCCTTCCGCATCGAAGCCCAGCGCATCAAGCTCGCGGATCAGTTCGTTGATCTTGATCACCTTGGCAATCTGCTCCGGCAGCAGCGTCTCGCCCCCTTCCTTCTTGTTCTTGAGGTCCTTTGCCTGCTTCAGCTTCTTCTTCAGATTGCGCGCCTTCTTTTGCCTCTCCACTTCCGGGTCCGCCTCCGCCTCCTCCGTCTTCGCGGGCTTTGCGTCCTCCTTGGCCGCGGGTTGCGCCGCCTTGGCGTCGCCAGCAGCTACGCCGCTCTCGTCGGCCCCGACGGCCTTGGCCTTCTTCCTCGCCTCGCGGCGCTTCGCATTCTTGTTACTCGTCGCGGACGAAGCCCCGGCCTTGGCGCTCTCGTCGGCCTCCTCGGCGACCGCGGCGCCCGGGATGCCCACGGTCTTGGCCCTGTCGCGAAAGGCCTCGGCGGTGCGGTTCTTGTAGAGTTCAATGTCCTCGGGCGGGCGGTAGCCCGGTCGGATCTTGATGGCTTTCCTCGTGCTGCCGTCCGCGCGGGTCGACGAGGGAATGTGGCGCTCGCCGCTGACGACGTCGGTGATGATGCCCGCGTTGGTAGGCTGGGTCCCCGTCGGGGGCGTCGGAACGGAGGGCATGGCGTCTCCCCTGTTGACGAGGGCTTTGGACTCGGGGAGAGAGGGCGGGGCGTGGGGTGGTGCGTGGTGGGTGGTGCGCGCGCGGGGGAAGGAGGGGCGGAAGGGGATTGGGGGAGGGGAAGTGGGTTTGAAATATTTCAGAGTCTGGAGCTTTGGATGGTTTTTCTTGATTGTATTTTTCTTGCTTTCCCTGGGCTTTGCTCTCGCACCTACCTCGGGTGGTCTCGCCGCATGCGGGAAGGTGCGATCCCCGCTATTGGAGGTTGAATTGAGCCCTGGATTTTGTTCTTTGATTTACCTCTCGAGGAAGATAAACTCGGGTCCGGGTATCGCGGGGTGAGGGCGAGGGATGACGGTTGGGATTGAGGAGTTGGAAATGGCTGATGTTGGCGTTGACAGGGATAGCTAGGGCTAAGCTTCTAGAAGCGGCATGGAAAGGCGACGTCAGCCAACGGGCGGACTCATGCGTCAGAGGACAAGTTCAATGGGGTTTTGTGCCTGTGTTTCAAAATGTGGCGTGTATTACCGAACTGGTGAGCATTTGAGGGGAACCTTGGATATACCTTGATGTAGGTCCCTCAAAATGATGCGCCGCGCCAACGAAACGGGTCTCAGAGTTCTTTGTTCACTTGTAGAGCAAGATAAATAAATATGCAACAATCTATGGATGTCTCTTGAAGAAAAAGAAGAAAAGAAGGCCAATATTGAAACCATCGGCGCAGGCAATAACCCAATCAGGGCGCGGGCGCATACCAGACACCGAGTTACCATCAAAGGATCCATCGCCTCGCCCTGGGCATCCGCAATGTGTAAATGGGGCTTTGAGATGACCGAGATTCTTCCACTGACGTGGCAAACGATCCTCGCGGAATTGAGATATACAACATCTGTGCATTTTCCCACCAGCCTGACCACTCAGCATGAAGCAGACGCATCACGCATGCCCTTCTAACATGGGGTGGCCACACGGCTGTTATATAATGACATCCTCGTGGCCTGGACCCTTGAAATCACAGAATCACGGTTGCGATGGCGCACGTCTTTACCGACTCGTTCAACACTAAGATAGGGGCCGAGTGAGACGCCATCTTTGACAACGCGAATACGTACCACCTACAAGTCTTCGAGGATACGCCGCGCCCGAGACCAATCTTGCCCGGGAAGGCTGCCAAAGGCACATTGTCATGCTCTCGGCCATACCTTTGCTTCGAGCCACCCATGGAGGATACGCGAGGCGGGGACGTTCTGTGGCAGTATTGCGGCTAGAACAAGGGTCGCGAGTATAATGCCGTCAAAGGAAGACGAGTTTTAGTTAGGAAAATGGCCAGAAAAGGTACGCCTATCCCTGCTGCTCATGCCATCTTCAATTGTCTAAATCCAAGTACAACTTGCATAATGGCTAGGGCGACTTGTACGACGCTCAGAAGCAGCGAGGCACCACCAATCCATATGACTGCCCAGAACGTATAATACTTTTCTGTCTCCCTTCGGTCTCTGTACAAGTCAAAGAGCTTCATGGGCTTGTGCCGCTCCCCAAACATCTGGAGATTTAGAAGGCGGTTGCCGAGGAAGGGGAGTTCGGAAGACATAAACACGTTACCTACGGTATCTAATCCATTGTTTAGCAGAGAGTACCTCCTTTGCAATTCTCGCGCCCTCATCGTGCACAAATCTACCAAGAACGCCTCGGGTTGTACATCCTGCCCCTTCCCCGCCCACACCTTCTTAAAGTGCCTTCTCGACTTTTTGTCCTGGGCAAAGAGGATTCTGTAGGAGAGCAACACTTCCCGCACTAGATTTCGTGCCTCCGCGCTGGCGCCATACTTTTGACATACAAAATGCCAGGATATCATGCTGAGCTTGCGCGTCAGTTACACCGATTCCTACTATCCACATGACACGACCATTTTGGCCAAAAAGGCCCTTCGCCGACTGGATACTGCATGGACCTTACCTTGCAAGAAAATTCCCATCTCCCGCCATCCAAGTAGCGGCGCAGAACGACGGGTAGCGGAAAAGCGTAATGGTCCTAGTGTCCTGGTTCAAGACGAGATGCTCATCGAGCGAGTTCGTCCAGTGCACGGAGATCTTGCACGTGGCCAGCAGGGCCGAAAGCGAGATTTTGGGTAGAGAAAGCAGATCCGCAGTATTACGTGTGGCGTGACGACAACGTGGCGCGAGGTAACGGGGTGTAACGGCTTCTAGGTGCTGAAACATCTCAAGTTCCCAGAACAGCTCCGAGAGTGGACTGTAGTTAAAATACGGGCCGACCGGCACCGGCCTAGCCGAATTCTGCTGGACAAAATAGAAATCTGCGTACACTCCGACGGCAGGTTCGTACAACGTGGAGAAAACGCCGATAGTTGCAAAGAGGGCCTGCTGCGCAGGGTCTCGGAGAGTCCGCTGTTTTTCGGTAGCGATACCCGCCGCTGTGAGTATGTGGTCAACCGCCTTGTCGAATGTCGGTCTCGGAATGGCAAAGCTTGGAGGGCTCCTAGTATTGAGAAGGCTTTGAAGGCTCTTAACCATGAGAATGATAAAATCCACCAGGCTTCCTGACACGGAATCGCCGGTTCCGCTCAGCTCAGCGGCCTGAAGGAGTGGTTGAAAATGTGCGGCATGCGTCGAGCCTAGACAATGCTCGGCATAACGCAAAAATGACCCAAGGTCCGGCATCTGGCTTTCTTGGGCGGTAGAGCCGAAGAGAATTGGCAATATTCGCGTCCAGGGCGTCACTGTCGAGTTATCCATCTCCATATTCTCAATGTGGGATGCCACACGCTGCCGCATGTAGAGTCCAAGATGGCGGCGCGAAAGAGGGCATGGAAAAGAGAGCAGAGCGTTGAAGATGATGTACGAATGTTTTGGTGCGAAGGATAGGCCACAATAGGCAATTTCTATTTCATCTGCCCAGGCACATCTCGTGATGCGACAAGCCACCAAGCCGCCCTCGAAGACTTCACCGACGGTTAGGTGTGGGAGTCGAGCAGAATGTTAACTCCTCCGCATGTTAACTTGGGCCATCGTGCACAGCCATGCTGCCCGAAGCCTTGTTTTCCTCTCTCCTAATAACGCCAGGAGAGCGCTGGATAAGGCGAGGGGGCTTAGGCACCTATGAGGTGGTTGACAGAGCACTAACCTCGTGTTACACACGCAACCCCCGAGTTCGCGTCAAAATATCTGATTTCCCGAATTGGTGCGGTCATGGACGAATCTAGGCTCGCGGGGTCCAGCCTTAGCTTTCCATCCTCTGTCAGTCGACGCTGAATGCTGGATATTCGCTACCCCGCGCAGGATCAGATCTGCGTATGCCTGCAGCCAACAGACACGGAGCCTGGCCCGTTCTCAACGACAATGTATGCGGCGTCCCTTGTGCGACGCTCCATGTTTCCCTGCGCCCATGGCTTTTTTGAAGATGGCGCCTCACTTTGAAATCTTTTGAAAGGCGGAGTCAGTGATTCACTATGGAACCGATCATCTCCCACTCTTTATAAGTCACGAATTAGCAACCGTCTCTCCATGATTCAGATAGGCATACATACACGGCTTCGTCCAGTTTGCGCTTGAGAAGTCTACAAAATCGTTGGTCCTACTCAAGATCTTGGCGAGGGTGCCTCCTCTTCATCGTCTGAGCAATGATGGTTATGGCCGAGCCGAGCTAGCGAGTGCTCGTGCTCGTGATGTAAAGTATGTTTTCAACGAACTTACACCTAGGGGGTGGAATGGTGATGAAACCAACATTGCCTCTTGGAGTGCTGTGATTGCGGAGTGCAACAAGACTCTGGAGCTGAGGACTTGAGACGGGCCTTTCGCATCAGAAGCATTGTCGAGTTCCGTGCCGAGCTTGATCGCCTCCTTGAGAAGCGCCAGGGCAAGACCGATGCTACCCGACACGTAATTATGCTCTTGTATCCCACGCTGGAGCAGTATGATCAGTTCAGTCGGACCTTTGTCGAGATGATGTTGCGAAAAGGCGAGACCTCGATGCTGTGGGGCTTGCTTTGCTTGGCCATAGAGATGCGTTCAATAGCGATATGGGGTTGAAAACCTGGCGTGTGATACTGGATGTCGCATCCATCCTAAGCGCTCTTCCCGGATGGCTTTCCTTGACACCAAGTGGTGCGATCGAAAAGATTACTTAGATACTACAGAAGATAGGCCACGGACCTCGCAGGATGAATGAGTATACCACATCATTTAGCGATATGAATCGAATCAAGGGTGACGTGGTGCAGATAATCGCGAGCCCATCACCCTGTGGCTCGACATCATCGCCTTCTCCCGTTACCAAAGTCTGGATGGTAAGCATCCCCCGCACTTTGGGGGACTTTGAGTCAGATTCCCTATTCTCTTGCTATTGCTCTGAACTAAAAACGACATAGATGAAGGGCGGGGGATGATGTCTTGCGGAGGCCCGATATCTTGAACATATCAACCCTCTTGCTAGGAGCTGGGACAGGTCCCAGGAGAATAACATCCAACCGCTGAAGCCAACTGTTAACTTTCGCAACTTGATGGCCAACTGCGCATGGTTTGTGCACGACAATGATGCCACCGGTGTATTATCTCTACCGGGAGCAGATACACCACGTATCAGAAGCTGCCGGTTGATCAAAAACCCCCATTCCAGAGTCCGATATACTCATCTTCCTTGGTATCCGGCATCTTAGGGCCGAGGGGGACCTTGAGTCCGCATAGAAGTGGGATCCCACGAGTCTGGCCATTAGGGAGAGCCTGCGATAGGATCACGGCTTGGAGGTGACCAACTGCTACAACTACCTCACGCTGCGTGTGATTCAGTGGAACGCCGCGACGAGGCCAAGAAGCTTCTGAAAAAGCCTTGTGCCATCCTGGAGAGCAGAGACGATGAACTCTATGCCCGTCTTCTCTGTCAGAACAATCTGAGTTTCTCGCGCAACCACTTCTCGGTAGGGTATTTTGAAAATTCGGAAGCGATGCTTGATCGGGCTTGCGCTCAGGCTACCAAATTCAAAAGCTGGTACTCGCTCTCATTGTAAGTTTCCCCAAGATACCCAAGGCTCTTCAGATCCCCAGAACGCCCCCAGGATGACCCAAGCACGCGCTAAGCATTCAACCCCATATCCAGCGCCCACCTAACCAAGGCCGACCTGTACCTACGTTGGTCGCGATACGATTCCGCCGAGGCAGAAGTAGCCCTCGCTCGCTCAACACTCAATCAGTCGGGTGGGTACGCCTCGATCAGCTGGACGAGCGGGATCGTTTCGTATCGAGCCTCATCCGTCGCGATTCTGCAAAGGAATCAAGAATTGGCCATTGATGAAGCCAAGAGCGCAATCGCCATTGGTCAGTTGTACAACATGGCGCCCGGCGCTCGCGCTCGCTTTTCGCATTTGCTGATGAAGGCGTATCTTATGAGTCCGGAGCGGTACGGGAAGAAGCGGAAGCGTCTCGGCGAGAGGACCAGCGACTGAGAAAACTACTACCTCCCGGTAGGACGGACCTCGACGACGAAAGTGACGAGACGTTTGACAAGCTTGTCGATATTAGCGTGAGGTAATGACTAGACCATACACGTTACTATCATTTCTTTACCATCTCTACCCGCCTTGGGACCTGTAGTGATGTTACCTTGGGGACAGCACTTACATGTAGCTTGAGATGACGATATCACAAGGACCTGGGCGTATCCGGAGAGTGGGCGGTGTTAGTACTACGAATAGCTTCTAGAATTACGAGTTTTAGACTATAGCTTAGGAATTCCGGCTTCTACGTCTAACAGATCTCTCCTAGGGCCCTCATATAACCTTGCGCCTAGCAACAGGATCGCTGGTCACCTCTTAGATAGCCTGCAGTTTGGTCGCTCCTCGATGACTGGAGGTTGGCGTGCTATGTATTATAGCAGTTACTCCGTGGTTATCAGCATCATGGCGATAATCGTTCCCTTAAAGGGACCGAAAGGGTGTCACGTAGGCGCAGCCGCGCTTCAGCCCTTCCGATCTTAGGTATTATAGCAATGGTTCGCGGCCTGATCGACAATCGGTCTCGGGAGGATTACGCGCCTTTTCAGAGGAATTCTCCTGAGAAGAACCTGTAGTGAAAGTGAAGTGCCCCGTGTGTTAAGGAACGTACATCCAGCGATTTGATACCGAACTGCTGGATTTGGAAATTGGGTTTTATCACTGAGGCGCGTGTTCATCCGCCCTCGCGTCCAGCTTACCCGAACCATCGATTTCGGTGGGTGAGTTCGAGGTGGGAGAAATGCGCCGATGCTGGCTAGTTCGGTGTGAACTATTCTCCGCCATGTTCGTGGTGCCAATCGAGCTCGGGCTGGGCATGCATGGGGCTTTTCCATGGCTGTTTCCCCCAAACATTACATTACATATGTGATCAATGTGCCCCAAAGGAGCCGAAGGGCAGGGTTGGAGCGCTTGAAAGTGTACATATTCGAGGCTTGAGAGGTTGAGAGGTTGAGAGGGGAAGCGATCTGCCTCAAGTTTCTCACGCGAAGACTAAGACTTGTATCCCCTTGTTGGTGCCACAGCCGACGACTACATTCCATCATCGGGCGCGCAGAACTCTCTCCTTGTGCTAGCATTGCGAGCAACGCTGGTGAGGCATGTGCAATGGGCTCGAGTTCCACACAGCGGGGCAAACGAGGAGAAAGCTCAAACTGACGAAATCAACTCATTCCTGGGCCCACTCTTAGGTTCATCCACATTCGCGTGAGCCTTCATGGGGTAGCAGGCAGTATAGAAGGGTGTGTGTATGCATTCTCTGTGCCCCTCGGCGCATGCTTCGTCAGGGTATATTTCACGATGCGAAGCCAGGACGAGAGGGAAAAAGGACATCTGCCGCAGGCTTTGATGTTGAAGGCCGCAGCAACCTGAAGCGAGCAGGTTACCGCAAACACACCCCAATAACACCGAACATGCACTCAGGTCATTAGGCTCTGGGTTGCGCTCGTTTATTCCGCCATTCCAAGACCTCGCCTATGGTGATGTCAGGATGATGTTGGGGCGGTAGCATTCTCGATGAACTGACGGTCAAGAGGGTCGGCAAAGTATTGGCTGGTACCTATTATCTGGGTCATATCGAATGGTATTATTGCATGCGTCTGGAGCTACGTACTTATCGAAGTAGAAAAAGCAAGTGCAATTTTGGGTTATGAAGGCGCTGCGAGGTACCGGCGTAAAATAGTGTACATCCTTTGATGGGGCAATTTAAGTGAGATTGATGGGTTGGTTCATCTTGCTAGCGCCATCGGGCTCTGCCACACCGTTCCTAACCTAACCAGGGGAGGAGGAGAGAGCCCGGGGCGAGCATGGTAATCAAAGTTGGACTTGTCAATCTTCCGAGTGTGGAAAAAGGGTGCGCGGGCCTTCTCTCACTCAGCATCCATAGATCCTTCTTGGCCATGGGCGGCCGATGATGGCTCCACGAGCCGTCCGTGGATCGATGGCTGCAACACGGCCTTTTACGGGCAGTCGGTGAGGATGTGGACAGCCAGCACTGTGACGAGGACTGGGCACCGTTCAAGCTGAAGGGCAATAGCGTGCTTTTCCTTTCTGTGATGGCTCTTGGGCCTTGAACACGTGTCTCAAGCTATGCGCTGGTCTAGAGACAGCACCCGCCGAGATCTGATTCGTCCACCTTGCATGTCGCGCCAGAGAGAGAGAGAGAGAGAGAGAGAGAGAGAGAGGCGATGAAAACAAGCTCATAATACTAATATAATTGTTGCTGTTCTTGCCTAGGTTTTCTGTCCGTACCTGGGAGGTGTGCTTTCGCGAGAGGAGTCTATCACCCACACACAAAAGCAAGAATCGGGCATTGTCCATCCCCCACCTTCTCTCTCTTTGAATGGGTCGGTTGCCTCAGCATCGTTTTGTTGGTCAGTGTTTGTTGATGGGCACCGAAACGCATCGGCGCTAAGTCTTGTGATTGACGGCACTTGCAAGTTTTACATGGGGTGGTGGTGGTAGTATCTGATGTAATGCTGCAGCATCTATGGTGGATGGCGTGAAATGATTTTTTCTTCGTTTTTAAACCCGTTCTTGCCATCCTATAACCCGCCTTGGAATGGATGAAGAATATTAGAATGGCGGAGGCATTTCTCCCGTCCGCTTCAGCGCCCCCTCCCCTGACGAGCCCAGGATGAAGGGGCAGTTAATAGGACCACTGCTGGACTGGAGGTGGGCGTCACCGCTGCCAGCTACGTAATTACTTTTTCCTTGTCTTCTCCCTTGCCCGTGCCTTGGTGCTTTGACTATTACTTGTCTTAGTGGCGATGGCTTTGGACCGGTATTAATTAAGGGTCGCAATCTGCGGTTCAGCACAGCATGGATCCCGCTGGAACTGGTAAAGTTTCAATCGACCAGTGATGGGTCCGTCCGTTGGTCCGTTTCGATTTTAACTCAAATTCCTAGCTGTGCACGGAGAGGCCTCCTAGAGTGGATGCCCCACGGAACGGTGATCAAGTGTTGGCATCGGAAGAGCTAGGTACCGAGGTACCGTGTCAAGCGTGTCTCTATTTGCTGGATCTAGTACCTCGGTAGTGTATGCTGTATGGATCCGTTTGGTTTTGATCACCGTCACCACAGCGCAGCGAGGTCGGCGGCCGTCCATTCTATTGACCGCATGCGTATGGTGTGAGAAAGCAAGAGGGGAGATTGGAATGCTAACCAGCAAACCAAGATCAGTCAATTGATGGCTGCAGCCCGGCATTGGGTATATGACTGCGCCTAGGCCCGCCACCCGGTTAAAGGAACGAGATGTAAAAAATGGCAGAAATGTCCATTGTTCGGTTGATGCGTCAACGGAAAATGAGCTTGCAAAACAAAAACTAAAAACAGCGGGTTGTTTGAGATTTCATAAACATCCGCTTCGCGCTGACCGGTGGCACCTTCCCGTTGATTGTGTCCACGGCACACCCCAAGCAATTCACTCCCGGACCGAGGCAGGTATACTTGGAGGAGGCGAGCGCCGTCACTCATACGATCAATTATTCCGCGGAGGGTGGTTTAGCACGGAGGGGGAAGAGAAGAAGCGAAGAAGATTGAAGATTGAAGCACGGGGACAGGGACTAACCTTGGATATGACGATGGACAGGGGAGCTGGGGGCTGAATGGAACTTGGCTAGCATGGCGAGTGTGGCTAGCGGTGATCAATTGATCTTGGTAGAGTGTTCAAAGAGGTACCTGTTGCCTGGGTGGGCCCCTGCAAACCTTAGCTTGGACTGCCACTGCCGCAGCTGTGTCGTCGTGGACTCTGCTGCTGCGGCGGCAGCAATAACACGAGTGTTCAGAACATGGATGGCAGCACCGAACATTGAAATCTTCTTAAAACGCCTTCCGCACCCGATGATACTTCATGTTCGTACCTCTGCTCCCATCCCGCCTGTTTATTATACAAGCAGTGACGACCGACCACACGTGGGTGCAACTTGGCCCCTTACATTTCCTTCTGAGCCTATTCTTGCTATTGTCGCTACTACTTGGAGCTACTGCTCTGGTGCCTCTCCTCTCCTGGTACCTTGATCCTCTGCCGGCGCGTTTTTCTACATCATCATTGATACATCGTTTACATATCTCAGTCTTGTGCCACTTCAAGGAATGGCAATTCATATCTCTTGAAACTTCCCACCCACGATCGCACACCCGTTTTGGGTCCCCACCTCCAAATAGCACCTACTTACTTCCATCTCTCTCTCTCTCTCTCTCTCTCTCTTCTCTCCTTTTCTCTTGCTTCCTTTCTCTCTCACGCCTCTTCTCTCCAACCCTGAGAGCCACTTCTCACACCAACGTTCGCGTCTCTAGATATCAGCTGTTTACATTCGTCGCTCCTTCTAGCTAACCTGGCGCCCGTTGTGGTGTCGCACAAGGCGGGAAATGCCTGACCGACAAAGCGAAGAAGCTGCTTCCACAATGGTAAGTCTTGAACCTCTTCACTCTTGGTCCTCCGTTTACGCCAAGAGCCGACATCCCCACAGTCGGAGCTATCTCTTTGCCCGCCCAACTCAAATGTTCCTGACCACCACCGAGAGCTTCCCTGCAAACGCGCTTTTGTTTCAATGTTCTTTATATTTTCTTCTTCTTCTTTTATCTATCCTTTGAACGCGAGATGTCTTCACGCTGGCAAGAACTTGAAATTAATCAATTGGCCATGGTGATTGGGCCCCCAAAAACATACAGGCCGACCCAAAATCGTCGCCAGACGAGAAGAAGCTCGATAATGGCACGGCCGACATCCACCACCACCACCAGGAACCCTCCACCTTCAAGATAGATTTGCACGATGCGCTCTCTCCTGACCCCGGAACGGAGGACATGTACCGAGCCGAGAACAACAAACTTGCCTTCTCCCCGGTCAATTGTCCAAGCTCTTGAACCCGAAGAGCTTGAACGCTTTTACGCACTTGGCGGTCTCGATGGCTTGGAGAAGGGACTGAAAACCGACAGGAAATCCGGCCTGAGTGCTGATGAGGTTCGATTGGATGGTACTGTCACCTTTGACCAGGTTGCGACGAAGGGTGCCTCTCCCTACGGGAACCTGGGCGACACCCCTCCTCGCGTGAAGACAGAGGCGGAGACGACGGGTAAGAAGGGCAAAAAGGGAAAGAAGGGCAAGGATAAGGGTGCCATCACGATCCCTCCGCCGGAGCCCGTGAAAGACACGGATCCGTTTGCCGACCGAAAGAGAACCTACCGCGACAATAGACTCCCGGAAAAGAAGCCCCGGTCCATCTTTCAACTCGCCTGGATCGCCTACAACGACAAGGTTCTTATCCTCCTCACAGTCGCTGCCGTTATCTCTCTAGCCCTCGGTCTTTATCAGACCTTTGCCCCCGGGACGAAAACTCACACGAAGAAGATGAACCCAAGGTGGAGTGGGTAGAAGGTGTCGCCATTCTCGTGGCTATCATGTAAGCTTCCATCAGTGCCCCCTCTACATCTCTTCTCTTCTTCTCGAGGATGCCTTTAACTAACCACATATATTCAGTGTCGTTGTTCTTGTTCGTATAGATCCATCTTTGTGTGCCATGTTCGGCCGTGTTGGCCGCGGTGGATGGCTGCTAACTGTATGTGTGCCACCTCTAGGTCTCGACCATCAATGACTGGCAAATGGAGCGCCAATTCAATAGGCTCAACAAGAAGAACAACTCGAGAACCGTTAAAGTGATCCGCTCCGGAAAGTCCGTCGAACTGAACATCTTTGATCTCTTGGTCGGCGATGTCGTGCACTTGGAGACTGGCGACGTCATCCCGGTCGATGGCATCTTCATCGATGGTCATGGGGTCAAGTGCGACGAGTCCTCGGCTACAGGAGAGTCTGATTTACTCAAAAGGTTCCTGCTGAAGAGGTGTTCCAGCGCCTCAAGGAGCTGGGTTCCTCCGAAGTGGATCGAAAGGAAGTCGACAAGCTTGATCCATTCATCATCTCTGGAAGTCAGGTAAACGAAGGAACCGGTACCTTCCTGGTCACCGCAGTCGGCGTACATTCTTCCTATGGTCGCACCACCATGTCTCTCCGAACCGAGCAGGAAGACACGCCTCTTCAGCGAAAACTCAGCCACCTTGCCGATGGAATTGCAAAGTTTGGTGGTGGTGCCGCTCTCTTGTTGTTCATCGTCCTATTCATCATTTTCCTCGCGAAGCTACCTAAGAACAATGGAACCCCGCGTGAAAAGGGCCAAGAATTTATGGAAATCTTCATCGTCTCCGTCACGGTCGTCGTCGTCGCTGTCCCCGAAGGCCTACCGCTTGCAGTCACGCTCGCCCTTGCCTTTGCCACTACCCGCATGATGAAGGACAACAACCTGGTGCGAATCCTCAAAGCTTGCGAAACTATGGGAAATGCCACCACTATCTGTTCCGATAAAACTGGCACTCTTACCCAAAATAAGATGACGGTTGTTGCTGCCACCCTCGGCAAAGCGCTTACCTTTGGCGGTGATAGCAAGCCCCCGTAGCCGATGCCGGGACGGAAGAAAAGGCGAATGTCGACGAGACCCCGGTCAGCCAGACTGTCAGCAACGGCTCCACGCTCCCAAGTGCTGCCAAGTTCTCCGAAAGCCTTGGAAGCACCGCGAAGAAGCTCCTCGTGCAGTCCAACGCTGTGAACTCGACCGCTTTTGAGGGCGACCAGGGTGATGGACAAACGTTTATTGGCTCCAAGACCGAGGTTGCTCTGTTGACCCTTTGCCGCGATTTCCTTGGCGCTGGTCCCATCCAGGAAGAGCGCAGCAACGCCAACATCGTGGATGTGATTCCCTTCGACTCCAAGAACAAATACATGGCAACCGTTGTGAAGAATGCAGACAAGTATCGAGTTTACGTCAAGGGCGCTTCTGAGATCGTCCTCGGCAGATGCAGCAAAGTCATCACCGATGTCAGTGGCGACGAGATTTCCACCGCTGACTTGACCAAGGAGGACACGGAAACTTTTCAAAATACCATCACCTCGTACGCTAACCAGACTCTTCGAACCATCGGCTCCTCGTACCGAGATTTTGACTCATGGCCCCCTCCCGACTATTCCAAGAAGGATGACGACACCGCCGCAAGCTTCGACGCAATTCACAAGGACATGACGCTTGTTGCCATCTACGGTATCAAGGATCCTCTCAGGGAGTCCGTCATTGGCGCAATTCAGGACTGCCAAAAGGCTGGCGTTGTCGTACGCATGGTCACGGGTGACAACATTTTGACCGGTACCGCCATTGCGCGTGAATGCGGCATCTACCATCCCGAGGAGGGCGGCATCGCCATGGAGGGCCCCGTTTTCCGACGATTGAGCGAGGAAGAGCGTCGCGAGAAGATCCCCATATCCAGGTCCTCGCCCGTTCCAGCCCCGAAGATAAGCGTGTTCTGGTCAAAACCCTCAAGGAGCTCGGCGAAACTGTTGCTGTCACCGGTGATGGTACCAACGATGCGCCGGCCCTCAAAATGGCTGATATTGGATTCTCCATGGGTATTGCCGGTACCGAGGTTGCCAAAGAGGCTTCAGACATTATCCTGATGGATGACAACTTTAGGTATGTCTTTTGAAACGCCTTGCCCCTTGACTGAATCATTTTCAGCAACGTTTACTAACGGATCCTCGTAGCTCGATTGTCAAGGGAATGATGTGGGGCCGCGCCGTCAATGATGCCGTCAAGAAGTTCCTCCAGGTATGAATCCGCATGCTCAGTTAACAGCCCCTGCCTTTTTCTTTTTTTCTTGTTCTTCTGTTACTGCAAACGCTGGAGAGGTTCGGAACTGACTGGTTGCTTCCCAGTTCCAACTTACGGTCAACGTCACCGCCGTCGTCTTGACTTTTGTTACCGCTGTAGCAGGCGAGGCAGTCCTGAACGCTGTGCAACTTCTCTGGGTTAACCTCATCATGGACACTTTCGCCGCCCTTGCCCTTGCCACCGACCCGCCTTCTCGTTCCGTCCTGGACCGAAAGCCGGAGAGGAAGTCGGCCCGCCTCATTACCGTACGCATGGGCAAGATGATTTTGGGTCAAGCCATATGCCAGCTCGCGATTGCCTTTACTCTCAACTTTGGTGGTAGCACTCTCCTCGGATACGACTTGAACAATGAGCAGGAGAACACCAGCCACAAGACCCTCGTTTTCAACACGTTTGTGTGGCTCCAGATCTTCAACGAGCTCAAGTAAGTTGCAGCCTTCATCTACCTGGTATTTTCCCTGTTCTTGGCACATGAGCTAACACACCACCTTAGTAACCGCCGCCTCGACAACAAACTCAACATCTTTGAAGGAATCACACGCAACTACTTCTTTGTCATTATGAACTGCATCATGGTTGGTGGCCAGATCCTCATCATCTTCAAGGGCGGCCAGGCATTCCAGATCCGGCCTCTTAATGGCAAGGAGTGGGGATTGTCCATCGGTCTCGGCGCAATCTCTCTCCCATGGGGCGTTGCCATCCGGCTCTTCCCCGATCGCTGGGCGGCTGCCATGGTACCCAAGATCCACATCAAGATGCCGTGGCACAAGAAGAAGAAGGCCGATGACGAGGCTGGAGGAGATATCGAGGGTGGCAAGAAGGCTGGATCCATCTCCTCTTCTTCCTCAGAGCTTGGACCTCCCCGAGGGCCTCTACTCTAAGCATGATTCGCGGCCGGCGAGCCACTGAGCCCATTAGCAAGCGAAGTCGCATGCACGCTATGAAGGCTAGGGTACATGACGCGGGTCACCGCGCTGTTCATGGCTCGTCATGAGGGGTTCAGTATCAGGAGTCTCCCACTCAATCAAGCAATTCCATTGGATTGAGATGCGTGGCGGACTCCGAACCTCTGTTCTCTTATGTCCTCTCTTATTACGCCCCACTCCCTTCTTCTTTGGGTGCTCGGGTGCCTATTCCGAAAGCTCTTAATGGCTGGCGTTTCTCTTGATTTTGTATGTACACGTGTACTGGGCGGCGGTTTGATTTCCAATCTTTCGATTCTTAAGGAGTTTTATATGGATTGAAGCTGGAAGCGCTGTTAGACGGTTGACGCTTCTTTTTAGACTGGTTGAAGGCAAAAATGCAACACCTGTTATTTCACAAATTTGAAATGGGTGGATCATCTACTACTTGAATCGCCTTTGATGCCTGGTATCTGTTTGACAGATCTGTGTGCTAAATCTGATTTTATATATATGCCCGTTGTGAGATGAGGGAGAAGTAAAAGAAGACATTGCCCTTCTTACATATTAGCCAGCTCAGGCCGTAAAAACGTGCACAGTCAGCAATCACACATCTTCGGTTTGCTTGCTCCTTACCGAGGTGTTCATGATTACATAATATTGACTGTTTCAGCCAATGAATTCGTTGGTAATCGAACAACGGGAAGTTCCGCTTAGTTTTTGAGATTTTGGTGAACCACTCCGGAAAGGAACGCAAACCTCTCGATCCATCATTCCACCTCCAGCCGACCGACCGACATCGTCCAATTGTCTCCGAACGGAACCCCTGTCGCTTTATAATCCGGTGAAATCGTGCAAATCGCACTCGCAAGTTACAATGGTGAGCTTGAGTCCCTCGCGCCAGCGTTGGCGACGCTGCTGTCGGCCCGCTCTCTTCCCGCTCCAAGAAATGGCTCGCCTCGTGCTAACCAGAAATCCCAATGTTTTCTCTCAATAGGCCTCCTCTGCCCTTTACAAGTGAGCGAACGCGGCGCGACCGATCTACGTTTGAATGCGGTAACCGGGGAATGCTAACCGATTGACCAAAATTTGCAGCTTTATCTTCCGAAAGAACTACACCATGCTGGCGACAGTCTTCGCTGCCGGTTTCGCGTGGGAGATGTAAGCTAGCCTCTTCACCACTCCCTTGTTTATATTCTTTCTCCGGAAACAATGGACGGATACGAAGCTATGGAGCGTCGCATATATCATCTATGGCGGGCGGTGATTTTATGGGCTCACAAGTCACGGAGTGGAAAAAGGATCCTTTACTAACATTATGTCTCTACTTGAAGCGGCTTCAACAAGGGAATGGATCGCGTTTGGGATAGCTGGAACCGTGGTGTAGGTGTCTCTCCTCCTTGGACTATATGACTCGTTCACAGAAAACTAACCCTGCCCATTCGTAGCGTCAATGGAAGGACATCCGACACAAGTATGTTGAGGGTGGCGAGGACGACGAGTAAATACGGGACACACAATGTGTTTTTGATTCAAACTGGGGGCCTTGGCCTCCTCGCGGTTCTGAGGGCACTCAACCCCATGTATCATATTGACGGTGGACATGATCTTCCATGTCACGGTTAGGCATGTTGAATAGACCGAAGCCTTTAGATTTTGCTTCTACATGATGGGTCGCTGTCTGTCCGAGACGTGCATGGCGGCTTTTTTGTATATTCTCAGCGTGTCCATGGCAGCACGCCTGCCAAATGGTTCTTCGAGCCTTTTGCACTAACGAAGCTGCAGGTCCTCTGGAGGGATCATGGATATACTGACAAGGTGGCGAGTTGTATTTTCGGGCATCGACGGGGCGGCGAATTGGAATGGCTGTAAGGCTTTGCCTCAAAGGCATCAAACTCGAATATGCCGGGCTACGAGGTCTTGCCCCCTTTTCTAGTAATGGATGCAATCTTCTCGTTTTATGTTATGCTATCTAATAGCACATTGCCCCTCATCATTGTTTAGATGACGTGGATGGTGAGGCCCGCTGTCCTCCGGAATGTTGATGGCTTGTGCTAGGTACTGTGTCGATTCTTTATATATTTTCTTTGAGGGAGCTTTAGGTAAATCGCATCAAGTTGATTCTGATCTTTGATTTTGGATTATTGTTGTTGTGCTCTGAATTCAGCAAGCTGTTTGTTGCTAGCCCTTTTTCGTCTCCTGCTGGTCTCATGAGCGAGTATGTGTGTTGATGTGATTTATGTGGTGTATGAAGACGCTGAACAATTGAGTGGGTAATCAATCATTTGACTCTACCTCCTGCTTTTTGTTCCCAGCCCTCCGCTCCCGCAGGGCCATCAAAACTATTACAGCCCCTCCAACATTGAATATTTAAATTTAAATCTTCCATCCACACAATCGATCCGTCGATTTGGCCTGTTCCTCGAAACATTTCTTTGGCATCCTGATATTCTAATCAATCCCATCACAGCTTTTCTGCTCTTCCGGTCTGGAGAAATTCGGACGACGCGACCTTTGTTTCACCACCGCTCCAGGGACGACTAGCCCCACCACCCCCAAAGTACAATACACAGCTCAGCCCCGCGGCGCTTCGTGCTCAGTCAAGCTGGTGAGTGCGCCACTTGAGCTCCCTGCCTGGGCTCTACCACCTCGTTCCCTCCTCTCCGATTCTCGCCCGGAGGCGTCTCGACCGCCCATTACAATTAGAACGCCGACCTGGAACTTGACGACTTACACCCTCCCTTGTAGTCGGCTTCCAACCGACAAAAAAAAACTCACCCTTGATCGGAGTTTCTCCGACCATGCTATTTCCATCTCCTTGACCGAATCCTTACCGCCGACGCGATGGATCGCCCCATGTCTACGCAGGAGCAGCAGCTCTGCAACCTCTTGGTGACTCTACCGTCCCGTTTCAACTATGTATACTCTCAGCAAGCGGAGAAGGAGCTTCTCGAAGGCCTGTACTGGACTCTAGCTCGCGGCAATGATGCTAATCTGAGCCTCTTTTTCCCGCCCGGCACCAACCCGACGACGATGAAGCTGAGCGACGCCCAAGGGGCCGTGGAAGGGGCGGAATATACCGAAGCCGCGAGGGGCAAGCGATGTGGACACATATTCAAGGCGGGCGAGGCCTCGTACGCTTGCCGTACCTGTAGCACCGATGACACATGTGTGCTCTGCAGCCGGTGCTTTGATGCGACCGACCATACCGGACACATGATCCGAATCAACATCTCCGTTGGCAACAGCGGCTGCTGCGACTGCGGGGATCATGAGGCCTGGAAAGTGCCCATGCATTGCACCATCCATTCCGAGCTCGAAGGCTCCGGCGCTGCGACAGATAAGGGCAAGGCGACGAGCAATGTGCCCGAGGAGGTCAGGCAGTCCATCTCCATGGCGGTGGCCCGCGTAATCGACTTCATTTGCGACGTCATATCGTGCTCGCCCGAGCAACTTCGGCAGGCCAAGTCTAAGGATTCCGTGAAAAAGGACGAACTCGCCTCTCGGCTCTCGGGCGCCTCCTATGGCAGGGATGAGCCTGTGCCGAATGACGGCAAAGTTTTGTACAGTCTTCTCCTGTGGAATGATGAGAAGCATACAATTACAGATGTCCAAAATCACGTTGCGCGTTCTTGCCGCATTGCCGAGGCCACGGCGTACAAGATGGCCATCGAAACCGATACGATTGGGCGGAGTCTCTTGAAGCATGACAGTGACGTTGAAAAGCTCCTCTCGACGGCTAAGAAGCTCGAGGAGATCCGCGTCACCGTCACCGTGAGGTCTTCTCGTGATACGTTTCGCGAGCAAATGTGCGCTAGCATGATTGAGTGGCTTAGCGACATCGCCGGTTGCAGCGTTGGCAACGACAATACGCTACTCCGCCAGATCGTGTGCCAGGAGCTCCTCTCCCCTTGGAGGCAGGGCAGCTCTGCGGCACACAGTGCTATTGGCAAAGACGGGATCGACGACGAGGCCCTCATTGCCTTTGAGATGGAAAGGGAGCAGCGCTTCCAAAGACATGTCATACACAATTTCCAGCGTCTCGCTGCCCAACAGGCTGCACGCATCCAAGTCAACCGCGCGCAAGACCCGGATAATCCTTGGGACCCCGAGGCAAACGTAGGAATCGATAGCGATGATGACATTGAAGGTTTCCTTGATTTCGATGACGAAGGTTCAGTATCTATCCAGGATGAGGAGGAGGAGGAGGAGGTTGCGGCGGATGATGACGTGATGATGGTTGATGCTGCGCCTGCGGCTGGCAACGAAGGGGAGGCCGAAGTTGGGCCCGAATGGCCCCAGAATGAGCAAGCCCCGTTGGAGGACGACGAGGCGACCATGGCTGGATATCCACCGCCGCCCCTTCCCCCACCAACCACTGGCGAGGCGGCTCGCAGGGCCATTGGCCGAGAGCGTGAGCAAACTCCCTCAGACTCTGATACTACGGAACTGGCAGCGCCAGCAATATACGGAGCCAAAGCCAACGCCGATATCCCCAAGACTCCCGGAAAGACTCCGAAGCCCGCGGGCTCGAAGCCTGGTCGTTACTGGCTGGAGGCCCCGCAGGCTATCTAGCTAGACGCTGTGATGAGCCGGCGGAGGACGTTTTTCAAAGGGTGAGATTAGATTGGCTAATACTGTTCGACCTGCGGCTTTGGAAAAAGGTGCGGAATGACCTGCGCTCCCTCTACATATCCACCGTCGTCCAGGTACCACAGTTCAAGCGCATCCTGGGCCTTCGCTTTGCGAGCCTGTACACCATACTGGCCCAGTTGTATCTCATTGGTGACAGAGAACCCGACCATTCGATTATCAACCTGTCATTACAGATGTTCACCACACCTTCCATCACCGCCGAACTTGTAGAGCGTGGGAATTTCTTAACGAGCCTGCTGTCCATCCTCTATACTTTCCTCACCACGCGCCAGGTTGGCCACCCCTGGGACGTCTCCTCAGATGCTGTGCTCGCTTTTGACAGCGGCTCCGTTACTAACCGGCGCATGTATCACTTTTACATGGATCTTAAATTTTTGTTCTGCTCGCCTCACGTGCAGGAACGTATTCGCGCGGAATCGAGGTATCTAATGCAGTTCTTGGACCTTGTCAAGCTGCACCAAGGCATCGGCCCGAACCTTCGGGCAGTCGGGGAGCATGTAGAATACGAGACCGACAGCTGGATAACGGCTTCTCTAGTCACACGAGAAATCAACCGGATGTCGCGGCAGCTCTCTGACTCCTTCCGCAACTGCCCTCCAGATGAGCAGTCGAGTCTATTCCGCGCTATCCGGACTGTGGCCAAGACCGTCATCATCAACTCCATCGGCGCCGAGCGTGCGCGCTTCAAGCATGCGGAGATCAAGGATGAGATCAAGTTCAAAACCCTCCAAGATATGGAATTTGACGAAGCCACGCACTACAAGGTTGTGAAGTTTGTTGTGGAAACCGACCACATCAGCTTCCACCACGCTCTTCATTACACGCTGTCTTGGCTCGTAGAATGCGGCAAATCCTGCTCGGCAGATGAGATGAAGGCTTTACTAAGCTTTACGACCGAGGACCTCTGGGCCAAGCCCCGGTGCATGGGCAAAAAGACAAGATCCAAGCATGAATATTCCGCGGAAGACTATTTGATGGCCGCCCTGGACTATCCTCTGCGCGTGTGCGCGTGGCTAGCCCAGATCAAGGCGAACATGTGGGTTCGCAACGGCATCAGCCTCCGACATCAGGCAGCTACCTACCGTGGCGTGAATCAACGGGACGTATCTCACCATAGGGACATTTTCCTATTGCAAACTGCAATGGTTGTCTGCAACCCTGGCAGGGTGTTGGCTTCCATTGTCGACCGCTTCGGCATGGAGAATTGGGTCAAGGGCCTCTTTGAGCAGAAGTCCGAGTCTCAGGACGATGCGCAGCACCTTGATGTGGTGGAGGACATGCTCCATCTTCTCATTGTATTACTGAGCGATCGCACCTCTCTAATTCCTCCGGAGCAAGAGCCTAACCAAACGCTTCTCTCCATTCGGCGGGACCTGATTCACGTCCTCTGCTTCAAGCCGCTCTCGTTTAACGAAATCACCAACAAGCTCCCCGACAGGTACCAAGAGCAAGAGGATTTCCACCAAGTCCTAGAAGGTATGACAACCTTCAAGGCACCAGAGGGCGTGTCGGATGTGGGCACGTTTGAGCTTCGAACAGAATTCGTCGAAGAGGTGGATCCTTATATTGCTCACTACAACAAGAACCAGCGCGAAGAGGCTGAGATGGCGTACCGCAAGAGGATGGCGAAGAAGACGGGCCAGGACGTGGAGGAAATCGTGTACGAGCCGCGGCTCCGACCCATACCATCTGGCCTGTTCAAGGACTTGTCCCGGTTTACTGGCACTGGCATGTTTGCGCAAATCATCTACTACTCTCTCCTATACCCCCTCCTCGCAGCCAAGCTTACCCCGGCCGTTCTCGGGACTCGCATTGAAACCTTCTTGCAGGTCGTGCTTCACCTCATCCTCATTGGCATCGCCGAGGATGACGTTGCCAAGGACGCTGTGATCGAGGAGCCCCTCCAGTCCTTTATCCACATGGCGCTGTTGAGACAGGCTCGCAGCAATTTCATTTCCGAAGCACCCAATGCCAAGACCATCGTGGCGCTGCTTGACCTACTCTCGACCAAGGAGGAGTTCAAGGCTTGCCACAAAAAGATTGCGCTGATCCTCAACAAGATGCGTCGCAAGTGCCCGCAGCCATTCGATATGGCCTACGCCGCGCATGGGATTCCCTTGGATCGTATCAATACTGCTTCGCCAGCCGTGCAGACAGCGGAGGCAGAGCGAGACCGGAAGAAGAAGGCTGCTCTCAGCCGGCAGGCCAAGGTTCTCGCGCAATTCCAGCAGCAACAAAAGACATTTATGGAGAACCAAGGGAGCATTGATTGGGGTTCAGACCTCGAGAATGACGTTGATATCGAAGAGCCGATGGAAGATCGAAAGAATTTCTGGAAGTACCCGACAGGCACTTGTATCCTGTGCCAAGAAGACACAGACGATCGCCGCCTCTACGGCACATTCTCGCTTATTACCGAAAGCCGCGTACTGCGGTTGACGGATTTCAAAGATCCCGACTTTGTGAGGGAGGCGTACAACACGCCGTGCAATCTTGACCGGTCAGCAGAAGAGATTCGGCCCTTTGGAGTCGCGCACGAGAATCGAAAGGTGGTTGAAAAGGTGAGCCAGTCGGGCGAGAGGATTTTGGAGGAGCGCCAGACGATAGGTAAAGGGTTCCCTTCGTCCTTGTCGATACCCGGGCCTGTTTCGGTAGGCTGTGGCCACATGATGCACTTTAGCTGCTTTGAGACGTACTTTGAAGCTACGCAACGGCGCCAAGCTGCTCAGATTGCTCGGCACCATCCGGAGAATCTCAAAAGAAACGAGTTTGTTTGTCCCCTCTGCAAAGCATTGGGCAACGCCTTCCTACCCATCCTATGGAAGGGCAAAGAAGAAGCCTACCCCGGTGTCCTGCAGCCGCTCAAGCCATTCGCCGAGTTCCTCGAGGGGTGTTTCGAAGCAGCAAGAACCAAGGGGCCCCGTCGATGCTGCGAAACAGCGCTCCGGTAGAACCCGCCCTCACCAAGTTCGCGGTGTCATCCATGATGGGCGACTTTTCGGAAAAGGCGCCCGAGCTTGTGGGCGATGCGTGGAGGAAGGGCTCAGCCCCGGCACAGACATTTACCATTGGGACGGGCCTCGCCTCTCACTCGATCTCCATCTCTGAATCCAACGTACGGGAGAACCCGGGTGCCAACCAAGGGGAGTTGTTGGCGAGTTGTTCAAGGTTTACCAACGCCTGCGGGATACTCTCAGGACCAACGATCTAAGGGCAAGTTCAGAGCAAGAGCACAGTCTTGTGGAGTCGCGCCAGTCAAGCAAGACTCTCGTCGAAGCTGTTGGAATGACAATCTGCTCGGTTGAGACGCAGCAGCGCGGAATTGAGGCTGACTACGGAACGACTTTGCTTGACAAGATTCCCGAGCAGGTCGTCACGCACTTGCGCATTCTGACAGAAACTGTCGAGTCCTATATCGCGTTTGGCGGACTGAGATCGCGCAGCGACCAAGGCTTTGAGAGAGAGTTCCGCGCAAGCTGCGACCGCCAGCATTTCCAGCTCTTTGCAGTTCAGTACTATGAAGACGAGGGCCGGACACCGGCCGTGCTAAAGTTGGCCACCGACCATACCCCTCTTTTGAGCCAAGATGTTTTCCTCTTTTTGAATAAGAGTACTTTCCATCTCGCGCGCCTGCTCGGCATTGACCCCTCCAATCTCTTGCTCCTCTGCTACCTTGCAGAGCTAGTCAAGGTAGTCCACTACATGGCAATGCATATCCCTATTGATGACTGGCTCAATAGGCTCATCAAACGAGGGACGCCGAGCCAAGATCTACATACATTTGCGGAATTCGCCCTCCGAGTCACGGATATTTCCCTGGACCTTAGCTCCAACAGGCGAGATGACGTGTACGACCGCATCTACGGAGACAAGGAAGGAAAGGATGAAGTGTTTAACCAGCCTGGTCTGCAGACACTAGAGGGTTTATACACGCTTGCGAAGAAGTACGCCCTCGTCTTCCTGCGCAAGGCCGTCGTCCTTTTCTACGTCAAGCACGGCATCGATCTCAACTGCGCGGTTTCCACCCGGCCTGACGCGGACGAGCTGGACCGGCTCACCGAAGTGCTCAGGCTACCCTCGTTTGGCGAGATGTGCAGCTCGCTCACGGACGTGAGCGCTTCATTTGGCTGGCCACACGACACCAGGACCACGGTGGCTGGGTGGATCGAGCACCAGCTTGACTGGATGGCCAAATCCAGCGACCGCCCTTCCTCGATGCCGCCCGAATCGGCCGCCCTAACCCATCCGGGTATTCTTGAACTCGTCGGCCTGCCCAAGAATTACGACGCCTTGATCGAGGAGTCGACCAAACGGCGATGCCCGACGACGGGCAAGGATCTCTCGGATCCGATGATGTGCTTACTCTGCGGCGAGATCTTTTGTAGCCAGAGCGTCTGCTGCCTCAAGCCGGATCGCTCGGCTGGTGATCAGGATAGAGAGAGCATTGGGGGTGCCCAGCAACACATGCGAAAGTAAGTTTTTCTTCCCCTTCTTCCTTTCTTCCCTTCCGCTCCCCCTTTCCGTCGTCTCCCGTGCTCTTTTCGCACCGAGTCTATTTTTACGTTTCACATACTAACTCGGTCCTCTTCCCACCAGGTGCCAACGCAACATGGGAATATTCCTCAATATCCGCAAATGCTGCACGTTCTACCTCTTCCATAAGTCGGGCTCCTGGAATACGGCACCCTACATAGATCGCTACGGTGAGACGGACATGGGCCTACGTCACAGCAGGCAGCTATTTTTACACCAGAGGAGATATGATACGACGCTCCGCGCCGCGTACCTCAACCACGGCGTTCCAAGCTTCATAAGCCGCAAGCTCGAGGGGAGATCAACAACGGCGGCTGGGAGACTATCTAAAACGCTACTCTCTTGAAAAGAGATGGAAGTACAAGGGGGCGTAGGGTGGCTAGCTAGCATAGCTAAAATCAAGTGGAGGAACGGGAGGTGGACGTGGTGGGATATTCACCCCCCTGGTAGCGCTTCTTTTCCTTTTACCTCTCTCAGTCCCCGTTCCGCCGCAACTACGTGCGACAGCGACACATTCAATCTCTCCTTGTTGCCAGTTCCCGTTCCCTCACTCCCTTTATCATATCCCTTTCTGTTTTTTATTTTTACTTTTGAAACACCAAGACCCTTTCTCTCAAACCTGCTTCCCTTGCTCTCTGGCAGGGGGCGGGGGAACGTCATCTCCCCTTTCCGACGCACTTTTTCATCACCTTCTCTCTTCTTCTTTTCTTTCATTGACGCCACATGATGAGAAATGGGGATGCTACAGATACACATAGACCAAGCATAGGGATAAAATACGAGAAAAAAAGAATGAAAAGAAAAACCCTCCAAGGAAAGGGGAAACCCTCCCACGGAGATGACGTGCTTGTATATGGTTCCAGGCGTAGTGAGGTGCAGTGTAGACGAGCCGTCATGATGATCCCTACGCGAATACAGCTTCTTCATGTCTGATGTCGGTGTGGCGGAACATGCTTGAAAACGCGCCAGGATAACGAAAGGGGGTATTCTCGGTTTTTATTATATTTCTCGTTAATAAATGATTTTCGCCAACCCTCGCCTCTATCTTGAGCCCACGACGCAAAAGGCTTACTCAACCCGAACTAATTTAGGGAGTTGATGCGATCAATGCAGAAAGCCTAGACTGGAATTTTACCCACTACTTCATACCTCAAAATATCCTACGTGCCCTGAATCTCTACATCCTCGTCTCCGTCCTCCGTTTTAATCTGCACGCCGTCCCCCATCTCCACGCCCTCCATCATTTCCCCAATCTCCTGGACGCGCGTGTTGGTATCGTCACCAGCATCCGGTTGCGGGGTTCAGCCCCGTCTTCGCGGGCGGCAGAGCCGGCCTCGGGCAAGCCATTGGCGAGGGAGGGAGTGTTGGCCCCGCCGTCCTTGTACACGCGGACGACGCAGTCCTGGCCAGCGCTGACGAGGAGGTCCGGAGCGACGTCGACCCAGAAGCACACGCCGTCGTGGCCGGGGAGGACCTGGACGACTTCCCTGCTCTTGACGTCCCAGAGGACGATGGTGCCGTCCTCGCTCGCGGAGGCGATAAAGGCATCTTCGGGGCCCTCGCGCTCGCTCGCGTCTCCTTGGCTAGGTTGCGTGGCGGTGGCTGTGTCGGCGGGGCGGCGGGTGCGGGTGTGGACGCCAAAGGAGCCGCCAATGGCGAATTTTTCGTTGCGGTGACCCTGGTACGTCTTCTTGACGGCGCCGGAGACGTAGTCCCAGAGGCGGATGCAGTTGTCGAGGGTGAAGGCGAGGACGAAGCGGCCGTTGGGGGAGAAGCAGACGTTGGCGACGCCTGGGTTGTCTTCGTGGACGAGGGTGCGAAGACACTGGCCGGTGGAGGTGTCCCAGACCCGACTGGAAAAAGAGCCAAGTTAGTAACGAGAAAGCGAAGAAGAGGTGAAAAGGGGAGCTTTGTAAAGATTGAAAGGCGGTGGAGATATTCTTTTTCGTTGGGGCGGCTTACATCAGGCCATCGGTCGAGCAACTCACGACCAAGGTTCCGTCGCAGCAAAAGTCGATACCGGTGACGGGGTCGCTGTGGGCAGGCAGGCTGCGCATCAACCGGCCGGCGCGCACGTCCCAGAGGAAGACGGCCTCGTCGTAGGACCCCGAGGCGAGGATGTTGCCCTTGGGGAGAAGGCGAGGCAGTGTATGTAGTTGTGGTGGCCGAGGAGGGTTTCATGGGGGCGAGGGCGTTTTTAGCGCCGGGCACGCTCTTGGCGCTCTTTTCGGGCGGCCGGTGACCCTGTCCCAGAAGCGGATGGACTTGTCGTCGGAGCCGGTGGCGAGGGTGTTGCTGTCGGGGCTCCAGGTCACGCAGCTCACGCCGGCGAGGTGGCCGACGAGGGTGTCCATGTGGGCGCCGGTCGCGGCGTTCCAGAGGCGGACGGTGCCGTCGGCGGAGGCGCTGGCGATCCAGCGGGCGTCGGGGGATATGCGGACCTGGGAGATGGGGCCGGTGTGGCCGCGCAGGGTGAGGGTGGGGCGGAAGGAGGTGCGGACGGGCTGGTGGGGCGGGGGCTTTTGCGGCGACTGGCTCCTGCTGCCCTGGGAGCACGTTTCGTAGCGCGAGGGGAGCGCGAGCTGGACTCGGCGGAGCGGGATGCCCTCGATCGGCGCGGGGAGCCGGAGGGGAGGAGGTGGACCTCGATCTGGACCTCGACCGCGACCTCAAGCGCGACCTGGACCTTGACCGCGAGGGCGAGGGTGATGGTGACTGTGTCCTCCGCGGTAGCGACGAGGTGCGCCGCCGCGACCGACTTCTCGATCTCCTAGGCGAAGCGGACCGTCTCCGGGGCGATCTCGACCTCGACCTCGATCTCGACGGCGGCGACTGCGACCGGGACCTCGAGCGAGGGCGCGACGTTCTCCTCGAGGCTTCGGGGGGCTCTTGCCCTTGAGCGGAGTATCGCCGCCGATGAACTGAGAGGCGGTCACGGAACCGGAGCCGGAGCGGCGCTCGCTGCGCTGGTAGTAGGCATCGTTGAGCTCGTCGGGGCTGGGACTGCGGCTCGGGGAGGTGCTGCGCGGCCGTCCCTTGCGCAGGGATACGCGGCGGGCGGTGCTCCGGGCGGCGGATCCGGGCTCGGCGGCGACGGGGCGGGGGATGGAGCTGGGGTAGGCGTCGCCTATGAGCTCGTCGGGGAGCTGTAGCGGGGGTGGAGGAGTGGTTGTTGCGGATCTGGATGCGGCGGCGCTTGGTGGAGGCGGAGGGTGAGTTTGTCGTGGTCGGCCATGGTGGCTGGCGGCGGTAGAGTGGGGGACGTAAGGGAGGCAAGATGGATCCCTAAATGTGTGTGCGCGCTGTCTGGCGTCGTGGAGAAGGGGAGAAGAAAGGAATTTGTAGACTACATGTAGCCGCGAGGGTCGCGAATGAAATCTTTCTTTAGGCGTCGGGACGCAACAAATATTAGGTGGAGAGATAGGTAGCTTGCGGATCAAGAAGAAGCCACGATGCGCGCCGGGGCGGGGAGAGGTAGGACGAAGTAAGCCACGCCGCACGCGACCTGGGGAGTTTGGCGCGGGCCCAACGCCAACGGGGGCGTCGCTAGCAGGTCAATTGGCGCGCAAAGAGCATGATAGAGTATGAGGAAGCGTGGGGGTTCTGGGCTGACGACTCGGGAGCTCGTGCTCTTTTCGTTCTTGTGTCTGGCGTGTTGGGGGTTGTGGTGTTGGAGAAGGGAGAGACTCGATGCCGTGCTGGTTGCTGGTGGTTTTTCTGGCGTGGGTTGGAATTTGGAAGGACAGGACGCGGTTCAACCAGACTGAAAATGCCCAAGCTTGAGGTTCCCACATGCGATGGAATTATGGGATTGATACATTTATGCTTCTATCGGGAAAGTACTTTTCTACTGGGGTTGGTGGGGTTTTTGTCGTCAAGAGCTCCATTGACCACACTGAGATTAACAAGGCCAACAGTCAATGGCATTGCACTGGAATGGATCCATTCAAACATCCTCAACCTCGCTAGCAACCTCGACACTAGCGATCCGTCCTAGCTCAATCAGTAGAATCTGACAAGCTAGTAAGAGCTAAGCTTGACAGCGATCCACGACGCGTAGATAGTCATCACAGCGAAGAAGTCAAGGGTAAGTGAGGAGGGATTGCGAGTAGCACGTTAAGGATAGAAAAAGGGAAGGAATCCCTTACTAGCTAGGGAGAAGAATCAAGCCCTTTGACTGCCTTGATTCTGATACCTATCTTCTACTGAATACAGGAAGCTCGACTGAAGCCACCATATATATCCGGAAGAGGGGGCGACCGTTCTGTATCACACTATGACACTGGATCCATCCATTTCATTGGCCGTATTGGGAGTCTATAAATTGCCTTGCCCAGCCTGCTCAAGTTTCTCATCCTTGTGTCTTGTCGAAGACAGCTCAACTGTTTGTGTATATATTGGATTAGTTGAGTTGCCCGAACGACCATGCTCCGAGGACTGAGGGTGGAAATATTCCTGTTGTGTCACACATCTTAGTACGTGGCGCGAGTATCTCCATCCAAAATCTTTCTACAAGTGTAGTTCAGACCGACCCCGTGACACCGATGGTAACCGCGATGATGCGCGGACATCTATATCACAGTCGTACAAGCATCAACCGTTTTTGGCTGACAGCACCGATCCTTTGCACTTTGCAGTGGACAGGAGCCGCTTCCTAGCCACTCGTCACTGCGAATCAGTATCCGTCTCGACCCCCTCAGCCAAGCAGTTCTGATATGTAGAAGGTGTAAGGGGAAAGTCCACCATAGTTCTGATGATCAGTTCCTAGACAGTTGGAAGAAATGTGTAAGAGCTGAGGGGGCGCACATTACCCAAGCGAGACATATGCGAGAGCACGAGACACCAGTCTTTCGGGCAGCAAGCTCTTTGGGTTGGAAATACACAGAGTCCTCTTCGCGAAGCCCTGTCGATATCCGTCTACTTTTGAAGACATAAGATAGACATCGTTGCCCTCTTCTTTCGAGTAAGTTTGTCGGAGCACGTTAATCGCCATTCTAAATTGCACAACCTCCCTCTTCACTTCTGAGTGTGCTCTTTCTGTCGACCTTGCCTCCACATGTACCATGTCTGCCCCAGCTGATCAGACTCCCCGAGCGGGCCCAGCTCAACCCCACAGGTCCCGGTGGATCCTTGGGTATGTCTCTAGGACCAAACCTTGCAACACTCTTTCGTGGTTAAGCCCTTCTGCATTCTAGGCCGACGTCTCTGACAACTAGGCTCAGTTTGGCTACAACAGCCTCCCTAATGACCAAAACGACGCAAACGACCCTATCGCTCCTGGGCAAACGATGACCCGGGCCCCGGCACAGACGTTGATTCTGGGGCGGTCCGTAGCGCGTACACTTCGGTGAACACGGCTGTCCTTGACGTCACTCACCATGACTCTAACACGGGGACGACACAGAGCGGGTCTGACGAGGTCTCGATGGCTACAAACGATCCTGCTGTGCCGAAGCCGGGGCCCTAGATGGTACCGTATACCTGGGTGATAGGTTCTTTATAAGAGCGGTGATTTGTTTGAGGGCCGCAACCTCGGGCGAATGGTATATCATAGATATATCTGTTGGGAATCCTCCATTGTGATCCTGATTTGCAGTTTCGTATTGTTACGCGGCAGATCCCGGGCTATGGCATTTACTCTGCTAGTGATTGTGGAGCGAGAGAGGAAGACGCCATGTTATTGCTTGCAAGAGCAAAGCTATTGACAACTCGTACTTGGAGCTTGAACATCTCAAGCTGGCTCTGCTCACATCGAACCGGTTCCAAGATTCAAATGCCCTTGAGCTTTGTGGAAGAACTCGCCTGCAAAGCGTTTTGACAGATATCATGCCAACTTGAGGAACTGTCCCTCTTGAGATGGGTAGGAAGCGTATCCTCTTTAGGGGTAAATGTGATCCTTTTCCTAGAGCGCCTTTGCGCTTTCACTTTGTACTCCTCACGCTTGCTAACGTGTTTAAGCTCATAAGCCTACTCACTATATTTAACAAGCGAATTAGTTCCCCGAATCTGCTATATTTCTAATATTTTTATCATGTCTACTGCATTTTCATACCCCGGCCATATTCTTTCATCACTTCCGTTCTTTAAAGTAAACGAGGCGTCGTCCACTAGTTCGGTTCCGGAAGGGAAATCTGCTGCTTGTTGGACCAAAAATGTCAGGGGAGCATTCCTTGTCATTTTTAGGTCGAAGAGCACTTATATCCTGCGCTGCTTGGATCAAGGGGCCAGTTATTGATCGGTGTGCCAGCCCAGCCAGGAACGGAACCAGGTCTACTCCGGCTGGCGCGGCTCAAAGAGCGAGAGGCATGGGGCACGTACCCCCAAGACTCAAGTTAGACTAAGCCCGTTTTGCATTGATCTTGCTTTTTCAGATCTAAAGAAACTGCATGTTCTCATCCACCTTTGTCGTCATCACTTTTGTCTATGCAGTAGTGTTCCAAGCTCCGTGCAATCTGCGTGCAACTCCTATTTCTAGTCTAGAACCCCTTTTTCTCGATTTCTATCAACTTTGAATACTACTTGACTCCTCGTCCCTAGCCTCCCTTTTACGCTTCTTTTTTGTTTCCTTTTCTTACTTACATGTACCAATTGAATTGATCAATCGCCCCCTTGCTCCCCCACACGGCCAACCACGCTGTGTAACACCTCGCTCCACCCTCGCGGTTCGCGACGACAGCTCCCCGTAATTTAAGTCGCATCCTCCATCTGCCGTCAGGTCAAATCCTTCGCGCAGCTTCACCAACTTTATTTCCAATCTCTCTTCTCTCATCCGCGCGCCCGCTCTCCCCATTTCCCCATAAACGCGAAACTCTCTCTCTCTCTCTCTCTCTCCCTCGTAGTCTTCTCTTTACTATTCTCCCCCAAAATGGACCAGCTCCCCCGACATCAACGTCATCACCCTCAACTGCTGGGGCCTCAAGCACATCTCCAAGCTCCGCGACCAGCGCTTCCCCGAAATCGGCCGCCGCATCGCCTCCGCCTCCCCGCAGCCGCACGTCGTCGCCCTCCAGGAAATCTTTTGCCAGGAAGACTACCTCACCATCCGCCGCGAGACCCGCTTCGTCCTCCCCTATGGCAAATACTACCACGGCGGCGCCTTTGGCGCCGGCCTCGCCATCCTCTCCAAGTGGCCCATCGAGGAGAGCTCCATGGTCGCTTACCCCTTAAACGGCCGCCCCACCGCCTTTTGGCGCGGCGACTGGTACGTCGGCAAAGGCGTCGCCTGCGCCAAGATCCGCTTCGGCCCCGGCCGGCGAGACGTCGTCGAGGTCTTCAACACACATGTAAGCCTCACTAGACCTCAAACAACCAAAAAGAAAAAGAACCCCCAGCTAACCCAAAGCCTCCCTACCTCCCCAGCTCCACTCCCGATACTCCGGCGACCAAGCCCACACCTACGACTGCCACATCGCCTCCCAAGCCTGGCACATCGCCAAGCTCCTCCGCGGCGCCGCCGAGCGCGGCCACCTCGTCCTCGCCCTCGGCGACTTCAACATCCTCCCCGCCACCCTCCCCTACCGCATCATCACCGCCCACGCCCCCGTCCGCGACGCCTGGCGCCTCCTCCACCCGGACAGCGCCCTCGGCCCCGCCCACCACCCCGCCGAGATCGCCCGCCGCCGCCCCATCCCCACCGCCGACTACAACCTCGCCCACAACGGCGCCACCTCTGACAACGTCTCCAACACCTGGCGCTGGGACTCCACTCAGAAACGCCTCCTCGCCCGCGGCCTCGACCACGCCGCCATCGTGCCCCGCGACTCCATCGACAAGCCCGGCAAGCGCCTCGACTACCTCTTTTTCGGCTCCGGCGACCTCGTCCCCTCCGACTCCGCCGGCTGGGTCGTCCGCCGCATGCGCGTCGGCATGACCGACCCCCACCCCACCGCCCGCTGCTCCCTCAGCGACCACTACGCCGTCGAGGCCACCCTCTCCTTCCACATCATCCCCTCGCCCCCTTCTCCCACCCCGGCGCCTACCCCGCGCTCCACCGGCTCCACCGTCGCCGCCCTGTCCAACGGCACCTATCTACGCACCCAGTCCCCGCCCCCGCCCCTCCCGCCGCCGCCGACCTTCCTCATCCTCTACCTGTGGCGGCGAGGCCCGCGACGACGGTGACGACGACGACAACAGGGACGACAGAGACATCCACCGCGCCACCGCACAGCTCCACTCCGCCATACTCGCCAGCACAGACTCCTCTTTCTCCACCGCCGCCTACGACGAACTCCTCGCCCTCATCGCCTCCTACACCCGCCGCGAGCTCGCCCAGCGCTCCCGCCGCTCCGCCCACTTCTTCGCCTCCCTCGTCGTCCTCGTCGGCTGCCTCGTCGCCGTCTGGTTCTCCCCCACCCCGCCGTCTCCTTCGCCCTCGTCCTCGTCTCCAGCCTTTCTCTCCTCGCCGGCGCCATCGACGGCCTCCTCGCCCTTCTCTTCTTCGGCTCCGAGCTACGCGCCCTCAAGGAATTCGCATGGGAGGTTATGAATGCAAAATGCGGCGGAGACTTGACCTTGGACTCCATTGGCAGCCCCCAAGCGACTCTGCTCACTCTACCAAAGCTGCACGATGAGTATGGGCTAAACCTAAGGCTTCCTCCCACCCCAGTGAAAACAGGACTGTATCGTGAGGAAAGGCTGGCCTCGCGTCAGCATACCACCATTTTTCAGGGGTGCGGGGCAAGGGAGAAGAGGTTGTTTTGATTGTCAACTTCTCCCCCTTCAGCAACCGCATAATTACACATCAATGACCAAGCGTTCTTTTTGCATTGTAGCATATAATATTAATAGTTGCCCAGGGAATAGCAGCCAAGTCTATCATTTAGGAATATACAAAGTAATGATGCTGTCAAGCGCAGGTATTGGCCAACGCCCGAGGTGTCATGTACCGCAAATCCTACCATGAGCACGCATCAAGTGTAACGCGTGTTGTCGGGTTTGGGGAGGACCATGTATCCACCGCCATCCCTCCCACGCTCCAGTTCCAAATGGTGCCACCAATTCATTTGCGACCCATCCCCTTTCCTCCAAGCTAGGCAGTCCTTGCAGTGGTTAGAGGAGGAGCGCCATGCGTTGCCTCTTCTCCTGCCTCGCCAACGTGATGTGTCGCTTTGCTTCCCCTCGCCCCATCAGTCTCATATGCAAAATTGTAGCCATACACCCGCCTTCTCCTCCAAGTATATCCTAGAAATGCTGTCCTTCTTCGGTGCAAGAGAACCGCCTGCTTTAGCTTCGGATCCCTCAAGAGCGGGTCTCGTGGGCGTCTCTTATCCTTGAGCCCGTACGCCCGTACGAATTGCTTGAGCACATCCCGCTCCCGAGAGAAGAGTCCCTTTTCCCCGTCAATCTTCTTGTCCACCGTGCGAGGGTCGTAGGGGGCATCGACGAGTTTGACCGCTGCGGCATGCACCTCTTCTCGCATACCCCTGAGCAGAGCCTGAACATCACCAAGGCCTAGTCTTTGCTCTTCATTGGCACTAGCTGCCGTGGATGGCCAGTCGCTAATGCGCTCGTCGTCTTCAAAGTATTGGGTATCGTCAACGGATCGAGTTTGCGGAACAAAGGGAGGCGTCTCGAGATGAAGGCGCTGCCACGGTATATTTCGGAACCAGCGGTGTGCTTTGATATCTTCCCCATCGTTTGCAAAGACATACGGCACATTTGGACCCCCGTGAAGAGGAATGTTTCCGTCTCCCAGCCGGTAACGATACGAGGAGAGCCGTTTTTCCGGGTTTTGAATCAGACACCTCAACAGATCCTTGCATTTTTCCGTGACAAAAGGCTTACATGGAATCTGGAAACCGACTTCATGGTTCTATTCATTTTCATTTTCAAGGCGGTCAGGTCAGTAAATAGGCTCCCACCCCCTCCCCCAACCCTGGGCGAGTAGCTCCGTTTCGGGGGTACCTAGGATAATGGGCTGCGTAGACTTACCAAGATGTTTCTTTTCGTCTGCTCTCTTCCCTCTTCCGAGTAAAACGGCGTATGTCCGTACAAGCATTCATACAAGATGATCCCAATACTCCACCAGTCACAACGACCGTCATATCCAGCGCCTCGGAGCACTTCGGGCGCCATGTATTGCCTCGTTCCGACAACTGAACTGGCGGCTGTACGGCTCCCACATTTCTCTCGCTAGTTGAGCAGATGGCCACCGTTGCCGTTGAATATCTTGTCATACTTGTTGTGTCCTAGGCATTTGATTTGCTTCTGGAGCGCCGTTTGGTCAATGAGGTCACAGGTGTCGCCGTCAACCACGATTCCGAGTTGGCGAACAAGTGAGTAGCGCTGATAATTGTAATATGCCGTGTCGTGGGACCAGTGTCCGTCAAAAGCCAGGCCAAAATCCGAAATCTTCAAGTGCCCAGAGGATGAAACCAGAAAATTGTCGGGCTTGACATCGCGGTGGATGCAGCCGAGCCGGTGAGCCTCCTCGACGCAGAGTATCATTTCGGCGATATAAAAACGGGCGACGCTCTCCGGGAGAATATTCTCTCGGATCAAGAGACACAGAAAGTCTCCCCAGGCATATAGTCCATGACCAAGTACAGACTCTTCTCGTCCTGAAAGCTAGCAAACAGCGGTACAATCCTAAGCCAATATCAGCGCTGTTCAGTCTAAAGATACTCTTTTGCAAGGGAGAAACCATTGAATCTACTCACCAGTTAGAGCCTTCTGCCATGACCAACAAGTCTCTTTCCGCCCGCAAATGGCCCTCTTGTGTGCTCTTCAACATGTCCGATTTTCTTATGACCTTCATGGCGTATACTTGCCGACGAAACGAATTCTCCGGCTTTGGTTTCTCACTCACAAGCTTTACCACACCGAAACTCCCTTTTCCGATGAGTTTCAGGGTCTCAAAATCATCAGCACAAGAGCTCGATGCCTCTATCCTAGCGCATCGGGAGCTTTTTGCCTTGAGTACCCTCGTTTCTCGCAAATGCCAGCTCCATTGTGCGTTAAATGCTTGCCACAAGTTCTCTTTTTGTTCAGTGAACAAATCAGAGTTCAGAAGGCTGGATTCGAGATGCTGGCGGCAGATTTCGCGGAGAGTGGGTTGGGACAGGAGGGAATGAAAATGGGTTTCTAGGTAAATCCTAGCGGCGGCGGCGCGCTCAACTGTCTCGATGGTAGGCTTTACTTGCTCGGATGGTGCTTCCTGGATAGTCCCGAGCCCATCAGAAGTCGATGGCCCCGTAAGTCTACGGGCGATTAACTGCGACTGTTCGGGTGATAGAGTCCATTCGGGGCTCGAAGGGGAGAATCGTGAATCTACAGACGTCTTGGTGGTAGATGGTCCTAGAAGGGGGAAAATATACTACTCATATCGGTTGAAGGGGAGGGGATGGTAGGATGGGTAAAAGCCATGGGGCAAAGGCCGTGTTTCCAGCATCCTCTCCGGCTCGGCCATCGTTGCTGCGTGATAGGGAATGGCGGACAACGATAGTCGAGTTGTAGTCAGATTTAGGTACGGGGATAGGTTGATAAGATGGAGAAGGTGGAGTGGTAACCCTCGGCTTGAGCAGAGAATATCCTTCCATTGATGACTGCGGTGTTGCAGTATCAGGAGCCGGGGAGAGTCTGCCCGAGGATGCATCCATTGTGTTAGTCTCCCGATCTGAAAAGCCCAACCTCACCTCGAAAGGAGGCGACGAGTCGTTAACCTACTATTGCTTCGCCGCATCGACCTGACCGCAGCTACAAGGTCGGACTAGACCCTGGGGCCCTTCCCGCGCGGCCGACTGAATACATATCGTCGGAATTGGGGTGATGGCTCTGTATCCATGGCCAGTCGAATGGGCGAGGTTATGTAGGAGAGGAATGATTATGCCACCCTGCCGTCGTCACACCCTCCTTTCGAGATTCCTCACGGAAAACCTGTGAAGATGTGTGTAGCTATGAGAAAAGATGAGGGCGTATTCAAATGTTTATTTCTGTCGGCTGACGATCAAGACTGTCATTTTTGACCGCCGGATCTTTGATAACCTGAAAAAGAGAGGAGATAGGATGAGCTAAACGAAGGGCGGAAAGCTACTATTGCTTTCAAAATCCAGATATTGTTTCTAACGAATGTGTTGTAAGTTATTGACGACGGCGGTGATTCTTCTTTTTGTTGGTTGGCGGTAGTAAAACAGGTTTTATCACTTATAGGGAGGAGAAAGAAGGCTCAGATCTTAGGTGGGCATGGTAACAAGTCGAGGACAGAAAGGACATAGACTCGAGGACGTTGGCTCGAAGAAGTTGGACAATTGGAGGATTGCTCCTACCTCATCGTTCTGTGATAGGAGTGTTGTCTGCAGTGTGATGCAATGTTTGACGGAAGCATCGAGGCTTGATCTTTCCTTCTCTAGCAAGGCTCCTACCTTATAGGATGGGTTGTAAAAGTAGGCGAGGGTAGATTTGATGTGCCTTGGATCTACGATGGCTTCATATAGGTCTCTATATGACTGAAGATTATCTTGCACATTTCCACAAACTCAGCTCTAGAGGTACATGTACGTTCTGAGCCAATGTAGGCGGTAGACTAGGGAATACAGCGTACTAGATGCACACCTCGCGTAGAGAAAGGCAACTGTGAATACAGATAAGAAGCTCCTGACTGAAAGTAATATCTTATCTAGTTCTCTAGTCTAGGTTGGGACCCTAAGATAAATGAATGTACCTGATGCTATATAAAGGGGAGGAGCACGACTTATAAACTCCATGTTATGGGGGTATCGACCCCAAGGGCAAAAAGTAAAGAGACCAAGAAACGCCAACGCCAACGCCAACGCCAACGCCAATGCCTTGCGGGGTAGTAATTGTAGAGGTAAGAAAAAAACGCTGATGCATGTACGAAACAATAGGACCAATTGTGAGTCTGTTTGGGTGTGAGGGTATGTCACGGAAAGGCATGAGGATTTCTTGCGAGGGGTGCTCGATTGCCCCTCCTCGTGATGCCCTTTCTCACGGGCCTCTCGCCGCGGACCCTGGACACAAATCAAATGTAATTGCTGTTCTTCCCTTCTTCTATCGGCTTCAGCTTCGGAAAGCGCATTTGCTTCAGTCCTTGAACAGCTGTTGGGGTCGCTATGATAGAAGTCGGTCGGAACACCTCCCCGCCGTACAGCTCCTGAGGGCTTGTGCTTTGCTGCCAGTCGCTCCCTTTTTCATGGACAATGGCTTCATTTGACCCCAATTCTGAAGGGTAGGGAGATGGAGATGGAGTGTGCCGGGACAAGGAGGGAGTGCTATAAGGATGTGGCGAATAATAAGGGTATGGGGAGTTGTATATGGGCTTGGAAATGGTAATGGTGCGTTCAGCATCCAGCTTCGCCTTCTTCTTCTTCCGAAGTATGAAGAAAAGAGCCGCGACGAGCATGAGTACGGCAAGAGCCACTCCGATACCGATGCCTGCAGACGCTGCCGCCGATAAATGCGGAGAGCTTCCCTCAGAGTCTCCGTTCTGACCCTCGGGTACTTCTCCTGTGGGCGCCGCCGTGTCGGACGATTGCGATCCCTGTCCTGGCGGTGCTGTCTAAGCCCAGAGTTAGAACTGAGAGTGAACAAGAGGGGTCGATGATGATGATGATTGTTTTCTTACCGCGGACGCTACCGTATAGGAGAAGTTTGGGTCGTCGATAGCGCTGATAGAGCTAACGAACCACTTTTGTGCGGGCTGGTACGCCGATGTGTCTATATCGTCGTTCATGAAGATGGGGTTGCCCTTGTGCACATCGAGCCAGTACTTGGTTCCGTTCTTGACGTTGATGAACCTCTTGGCCGTCGTGCCGTCATCCCACTCAAAGATCTCCCACTTTTGCTCGTCGACATCTTTCGCTGATGCAAGGCACACGCCCGTCTTGGCACGGTGAACTTCGTCCTTGTTGTAGCAAACGGCGAGTTGCAGCTGGTTCCCCGCCTTTTGGGATCGCATGTGAAAGCGGTTGGAGACGTTGTCCTTGGTCGGGATGAACTGCCAGTAGTTTTTATCGTTGCCCTGCATGCGGATTTGGTTTTCCGGCGGGCCGACCACAACGAGGTTGCTATTCAAGGGCTGGTTGCCGGTGTCGACCCGGGCTTCGCTGAGCTGATACCAGACATTTGGATCAAAGGTCGAGCCCTTGCCTCCCATTGTGGAGGAGGATGCTTGTTGTCAGTTAGGCACGGGTAGGTTGTAATTTGGAGAGTGAGTTCGCTACAGATCCGTGGAGCACTAGAATCGAGCTATCGAAAAGGAAAATCGGTTGGACAATTCATGATTGGGAGCAACGAAGATTCGGACGAGGGCCGGGGGACGATATACTTCTACAGGAAAAAAGGAACGTTTCTTATTAGTCTCCAGGCATTATTACGGGCACTTAGAGCATGATGTAGAGGCGGACCGACTCCCGACCATCTGAGGGTTCCCGCTCTAGGGTACATTGATGTATGCCCGGCGTCTGGGCGGCCTAGCCCTTGAATATTGGACTGGGGCATTGTTACCATAGTAGTTGGTAGGAACGCGAGTGTGTGTGGCGTCGCGTGAAGCTTGCTACCAGTGTTTGTGCTGCCGGTCCCCAAGATCTGATAGCGAGATGTTCCATGAATGGCTGTGGCCAAGCGCGCCGGTTGAATCCTCCGCTCCATCCCGCCTCCGGGTCTCGTGCGTCCGGTGGGGGCCGTCAGCTAATCCTGAACCTGGCATAGGACGGGCGTCTTTGGAGTTTTTCAACGCTTTCTTATATCTCACTAGGATCTATCGTGATACCGTTAGAGAAGATGTTTGTTTTTTTCTTCTTCCAAAAGCCTCCTTCTTTTTTTCCTTGCTCACACCATAGCCAAGCGGACAGACGAGGAACTCGATGGAGAATGGCACGCAAAGTCTTGACTTCTTTGCAGCAAACCCAAAGGCGGCCGCCGCCAACGTTGGGATTGGGTGGCCAGCTGCGAAGCGAATTGGAAGAGCGGCAATCCTGCTTGGCTGGGCTGTGCCGAAACCATGCGCCGAATTTAGAATCGGAGCACCTCAAGTGTTTTCTTGGTAAGGCTGTACCTCTTGAAACAGCGGTACAACAATTAATACCTATTGGCTGGGTGGGTTATATCGATGAGCTGCGCCAATTCCAAGACTTGGACAATTTAGTTTGGAACCCATCTCAAGATCAAAAGTTGGAGGGGACAGCATCTCTGGGGGCGGCGGTGTCTCATCAGACGCGATGCCCTTAATTTATCCACACTTCACTATCCGTCAGGTCAGCCTCGAGATGCGCCCTGCCGCCCGCATCGCCACAACCTCCCCAAGATGCCATCACCGTCCGTCGGGCGAGGAGGAGGGGCTCTGCATCGTCCGATTTCCACCAAGACCTCCAAGATCATGCAAAAATCCTACAGATCCTAGACGTGTCGCGAGTGGTGCAACGTCTGAATGCTCAAACTCTTAAAGAATTGCCTCTAGTTTTGGTAGGTAACCAGTGACGAATAGTCGCTGATCTATTACATCGCGCGGTGTGGTAGGCAGGTACGCCAGTGTGGAATATGTTATCACGGCGGCTAGTCGGGGATCCCTTTTACAGAAAGCGCGATGATCAATTGATCTATGGCACGCACATACAAGAACATCTGTTGCCTTGATGTTGGGGCAAAACGTTCATAGATGTTCACCTGTGTTAATGGATCCCTCTAGGCTGGATAATGTGGTGGATGAAATTGATGCATTTCGTATTATCGGCCTAATAAGCTATATTCTTTAAACGGGGTGGCGCAATGCTCCCTCGCCAACGTCCCTCAGGTTGACGATTGAAGCTAATAATTGCTCTCATTGCACATTCACCTACTTCGTAGCAGCCATACGAACACCGGCCCCCAATATCAACAAACACCAAACCTTGTTTACAACAAACTCCAGAGACCTTCCGCTCGACTCCGAAATGGCCTCCAAAGACCCTCCGCTCGACGAAATCCAATGGCGCTCCCCGCAGATCGTCGGGGAGATGGGCGGCATCCACTCCAACACCGTCCTCCATTACTTTGCGCGCTCGCCCTTCTTTGAAGAGACTTCGAACAACGCCATCGTCACAAACCAAGCCTTCCACAACGCCGGAATGTACCATCTCATCCAAACCCGCGAAGCCTTCGAGGGCCGACTACGCACCATGGCGGGGCTCGAATTCATCGTTGCCCAGGAACCCGCCGAGATGGGCCCCGGAATGGGAACCGGCGTCTGGGTCATTCGCAAGCAGACGAGAAAGAAGCGACCGGGAGTCGAGGACGAGATAACGGTCCATTCTACGTACTTTGTTGTGGGGGAAAACATTTATCAAGCTCCCACCCTAGCGGATATTCTCGTCTCTAGAATTGTTCGTCCGCCTCCACTCAGCCCCCTCCTTGCCTTTTCCTTGAGTATTCCACGAGCAGTGAAACGGGTTTAAACTTGCATAGGCTAACTCCACCTTCAGAATACGATTACGGATGCCATGAGCAAGATTTTGCCGGCTGCAGATAGCGTACGCACTTGGACGCCCTCTCTTGGACACGTGTACCGTCAACCGTCCGCCACGAATAAGCTAGAAGATATTTCCACTGAAAAGTCACCTGCGGCCAAGGAGGAGGGATCCAAGACCAAGGATACATCCCTCGAAACTGAGCTGCAGAGGCTCGCGGAAGAATCCTTCTTTCGGCATCTCAAGTACGGTGGGGACTACATCGACGAGAGGCCAATCACGGGCCAGCCTGGCAACTTCCATGTTGCCTCGACTGGTCGTATCGAGAAACCCGTCAAGCCACCAACTCTTCCCAACAAGGTGGAGGGCATTGGCGGCTTGGGCTTGCCCTCCCCAACTGTCGGCAAACTTGCCAAGGAAGGCAAAAAGGACGGAAAGCCCGAGAAGAGCCCCAGGCCACCAAACATGCCCAAACTCAAGCGACGAAAAGCAAGCCGGGCCCTGTATCCCCGACCACTTGAGGGGACCTTGTACGCCTTTTATTTGCCCTGCCTATTACGTATCTCTGTGTAGGCTTTTCACCGCTTGGTCAATGTGAGGAGTAGACGAGGGAACAAAACACGCTCGACAAAAGGAACACAGAGGGAAACATCAGCGGGTGCGTTCTAGCTTGGGGCTCGATCAAATATGCGCGACAGGTACAGCTTCAGAAGACGCCCTTATGACTTGCTCTACTCATTGCGTGACTAGTCCCTTGATGGATAAGATCGTACCACGCCTCCCTCAATTAATTGTATACCCGCCATCAACCGAAAGCGCCGCGCCCTGAATATAAGTTGCCTTTGAGCTACACAGGAATAGGACTGCGTCGGCAACCTCTTGGGGCTGGGCCATTCTGCCCATCGGCGCCACGAACATCGCCGGGTCATCCGGTGGAAGATCCTTGGTCATTGGCGTCTGGACGAGCCCAGGACACACACAGTTTACTCGGATATTATGTTTTGAGTACTGAGGCAAGGAATCATCCGTCGTTAGCATTGGTGGGATATAAGCCGTTTGCATTCGCGAATCCGCGGGGTCCATATGTACTCACGTCTATGGCATCAGTCTTTGTCAGGCTGACCACGGCAGCCTTGGACCCGTTGTATGCGGCTTTAACCAGACGCCTTTCGTTAGCGGTTTCCAACACCTTTAAATACGATACAGAGTGGTAGACTAGGATGTAGCTGAATCGACATACGAGTTTCGGGTCGACTGACGATCCCGAGGTTGCTTGCAATATTCACCACCGCTCCTCTGTTGCCCGGCCGGCCATCATGGGTGGCAAGTGGCTCTTGCTTGAGCATGTGCGATATCTCTGCACGCTGAGCGATCCAGAGGCCGCGGTAGTTGATTGTCGTCACATCGTCAAAATCTGCGACGTCGAGCTTGTGCGACGGGGCCATGCGCCCCATGATACCTGCAAAGAGGAACCTGTTAGACACCCTTGTTCGCAAGGGCAAGATCCCGCGTTGGAGCGAGAAGGGGAAAGGGGGCCGGGCGTGCCAGCGCAGTTTACGGCATAGTCAATCCTGCCAAGAGCGTGATGAGCTGCGGAGATGGCCAAGTCGATATCCTTTTCATTGCGAGCGTCAAACTCGAGCTTGAAGACGTGCGCGGCCGGGTCGATTTGCTTGCAGAGCTGGGACGTTTCCTCGAGCCCCTCTGCGTTTCGGTCGAGGAGAGCGATTCTGCTGCAGCCCTCTTGAATAAAGGAGATGGCTACCTGCCTTCCAATACCTATCACGATAGTAAAGTTAGGTTGCGGGTATAAAAGAACCCGGAGTCTTTTCACCAAGTGCTTCTGTTTCCGTGTTCAAGGTTGCGTGGTGTGATGCTGGTGTCCATGATGACGTACCCGATGCCGCACCGGTCACGAGAGCGGATCCAGGGAATAAGGCCATGTTTCACGGGCACGACCTCAAAGAGAGAACTGATAGAGAAAGAATTTCTGGTAGGACTAGCGGGTGCTAGGTGTATAGCTGATGGATATAAAATCTGCTGCCAAAAAAGAAAAAAAAAAGAAAGCAACAGTTCTACTGCGTCAGGTCTTTCAAGCATCCCCGTGCCTTATTAAGTACCAATAGTTGCCGGCTCCCAAATAACCCCCGGACCCCGGAGGTGATGGAGAGTAATCGCACATTTCATAGTTTCTGCTCCGCGGAATTTCCAATCTGCATGCGCCCCAAGTCACACACATGTACCTGAAGAATTGGTGGCGTAAATACAGTCCTTCTGTTTGGCGGGCCACGCCACCTCACCTACTAAGGGGTTATTATACTTCTTCTTCTTGGGCTGCCCTCATGGCCGGAAATGGCCGAGGACCGGAGCCACGTTGGTTCGATCCCGACGGTAGCGGTGAGAACCCCGGAGGCTTGCTTCTTGCCTTCCCGCTGCCGATCGCACCTTGGCAAATTTCGAGGGGCGGAAGTGCTAAGTTGCGTGAACGGAAGAGCATGTTCTCTAAACGTTCACGTCAAAGGCCTGGGCTCTCTGCGGGTTCAAAACTCAGAGGACTTGCCGCGCCAGATCAAGTACGTCGAGGAACGCCTCTTGGTCTGGCGTTAGCGATTCCATACCGAGACCGAGAACAAGGGTTCGTCGATCCTCGGGGTTCTTCATCGAGATAAAACTGGCTATCTGCGTACCGTACAGGTGTCCCACGGCCTCCCTTTCGCCGTTCCCAGCTCCCAAGAGCGTCGTTGGAGTTAAGTGAGACCCCGGGACGAAGCCGGAGCGCGAGGAAGGCAGGTGCATTTCAACTGCACCAGCAGGGAGCTGAGGAGAGGTACTTGGATCTTGATCCACTTGTCAACACGGTCTGCGGTGGGATAAATGGTCTAGAGAAAAGGCAAATTTTGATGGAGGTGGGAGCGAGCATACCCATTGAGATAACCGACCTCCTTGAGAGATGGTGACGAGATACTTGTCTGCAAAGCTCATGGCTACTACTTCAGTAGGAACGCCCTTGACTTTGCCCACAGCCTGTCGAGACTTGGCCGGGAAAGGCTCCTCTTTACTTGCTCCATGCCTGTGTTTGTACTGGTATAAAGCGTGTGATAGTATGCCGCACGCCACGCGAAGTAAAGGGATCCGGAATATGGGATTTTGTTTGATGGATGGCTGGAAGGAAGGCTTAGAGATGACCTCAATCTTGCATCACCAGAGAGCTACTGAAAGGTTACAAACCTAAGCCGAAATGCCTTAATAGCGATAGAAGGAGCTCTGGATCGGCTGGTTAAGCTTGGTGACTTCAAGGCGGTGCTTACATTCTCCAGGCACCTTGGAGCCAGCGTTGGTGGCCCCGCTGAATTGCCCCACCTTGAAAGTGCCAGTGACCCCAAAGCTCTCCAACAGCTTCTGCCCTCCCCACTCACCGCCTGCCGCATATAGGGCGGTGAAGAGTTTGTCCTGGCAAAAAAGTTGTGGAAAGAAGATCCCACCCCAGAGGAATTGGAAAAAAAAGTCAAGGGAGCGCCGCCGAGTTTACCACCCACCCTCGAGAACGGGCCATGGGAAAATTGTGAAGTGCCGCCAATCGATCTTCGCCCTCCCTCACCGACTGCGCAATTCCTCCCTCCTCAGTCTATATAGTCGTTCGCACCCGTATCGACCAATATGGCGAAGAAATTCGTTCCCCGGCAGCGGAAGCACAAGGTGCTCGCCCGGCAGCGAGCGCAAGAAAATGCCACCCACGAGGTCGACGACGCCAATGCGCTGGAAATTATCCCCGCCCAAAAACGAGAGTTGGAAGAGCGGAAAGCCAAGATCAAAGAGGAACTCAAGGCTGAAGGCGTCAAAGTCAGCTCAAGAAAGCAAAGCGCTTGGAGAAGTTTATCGAGAAGAAGATGAGGAAGGAAGAAGGCCGCGTTTTTGCAGAGAAACTCGAAAAGAGCAAGGTCGATACTACTCTGTTTTCTAGCACCAAAGCTCTTGGCCAAGGAAAGGAGACCAAGAAACAGTCTCTCAGGAGGGCGCTCTTGGAGGAGAGGGCGGGTATCCAGGACGAATCGCGCCAAGACCTACTTTTCCAGAAGCGAAATTTCGCCCCTGTCCCAGCGGCTACAGAAGAGGATGAAGAGTCTAGTGGAACATCCGATGAGGATGAAGAAGTGGAGGATGCCGAGGAAGTACCCAACGCCGCTCTAACAAAACTTTCCGTCTCCAAACCGATCGATACAAGTTCGCACGAAACCAGTACACCTTTAACGCAGCCCTTGCAGGCAGGATCAGGTCTGAAGAGGCCGTTAGATGTGGATGATGAGGGTCGTCCCGTGCTAAAGAAGAGGCAAAAACGAGGCGGCGTTGTCACAAAGGTGTCCTTGATCCACCCAGAACGCCAAATTACGCACGAGGACGACTACGAGGAATGGGGTGGGTTTAGCGGCAATAGCGAGCAAGATGGCTCTTCGGAAGAAGAAGATTTACTCGACGATGATGAGGGAGAGGACTCTGGAGAATCTGAAGGTGACGAAGAGGACGATTCCGTTGAAAATGCCGATTCAAGCGACGAGGAAAATACCCACGGCGATAGCGATGGCGAAGAAGATGAGGACAGTGATGAAGATGACGAGGATGATGACGACGATGCCATGGATGAAGATGATGACGAGGCGGAATCAAGGAAGGCCCGGTCATCGGCCTTCAAGGCATGGGCGCACCAGCAGCGTAATGAAGCGCTTGGATATGCGCCAGTGTCAGCAACACCCTCGGTGTATGAGATCCCGAAGCCGGAAAACTTCACACCTCGAGGTCCCGAGTCAGATCCCCTACCGAAAGAGCTCTTGCCCACCCAAGATACGGAAAGGAAAGCCTTCGCTGTGGCGGTGAAGCGGTCTCCCGAGATCCAGGAAGCTCGGCTCAAATTGCCGGTTGTGGGAGAAGAGCAAAGGATTATGGAGGCCATCCATAACAATGACACCGTCGTCATCTGTGGTTCCACAGGTTCAGGAAAAACTACACAGATCCCCCAGTTCCTGTTCGAAGCGGGCTACGGTGCCCCCAACTCCCCAACCTCTGGTATGATTGGTATCACTCAGCCAAGGCGAGTTGCTGCTGTGAGCATGTCGAAGCGTGTGGCCCAGGAGCTTGGCGAGCACTCCAAGCGCGTAGCTTACCAGATTCGATTTGAAGGCACCGCTGACCCAACCACGGCCATCAAATTCATGACGGATGGTGTGCTGCTTCGCGAGGTGGCGCAAGATATTTCACTGCGCAAATATTCTGCCATCATCGTCGATGAAGCGCACGAGCGGAGCGTAAACACGGATATCCTGATTGGCATTCTAAGCCGTGTGATCAAGCTGAGGAGAGAGATGGCGGCCGACGACCCGACAATCAAGCCCCTGAAGCTCATCATCATGTCTGCCACGCTTCGCGTCGACGACATGACACAAAACCAAGCCCTCTTCGCTATACCACCTCCCGTAGTGGAGGTGGAGGGCCGCCAGCACCCGGTCACTGTCCATTTTGCGCGCCGCACGCAGGCCGACTATGTCGAAGAGGCATTCAAAAAGTGAGCAGGGGCCATCGAAAGCTGCCCCCAGGCGGATTCCTCATCTTCTTGACCGGCCAACACGAGATTATGAGGTTGAGCAAGCGGCTCAAGGCGGTGTTTTGCAAGGGACAGACCTCTAGCCTTCCCAACGTCAAGATCTCCGCGAGTGAGGCGCCCATGGAAGTGGAGGACGTTGACTTTGGGGACGTGGACGACCGAAATGACGACGGTGCCTATCTCTCCGAGCCGGAGAGCGACGAAGGCGATGAGGATGAGGAAGATGAATTCGAGATCGACGAGGACGATACGGAGCCGCCTCCGCTGAAGATGCAAATATTGCCGCTGTACTCCCTCCTCCCCACGCGAGAGCAGCTTCGGGTGTTTGAGGAGCCTCCAGAGGGTACTAGACAAGTCATCATCGCAACCAACGTTGCAGAAACCAGTTTGACGATACCCGGAACACGCTACGTATTCGACTGCGGGCGGGCCAAGGAGCGACAATACGATAAGCTAAGCGGTGTTCAAAGCTACGATATCGGCTGGATCAGCAAGGCCAGTGCAAACCAAAGATCGGGTCGTGCGGGCCGCACAGGGCCAGGCCACTGCTATAGGCTGTATTCCTCGGCCGTCTACGAACGCGACCTACAGCAGTTTACGGATCCCGAACTACTGCGCATGCCAATTGAAGGCGTGGTACTCCAGCTCAAGGCCATGAACCTGCAACACGTAGTGAACTTCCCGTTCCCCACGCCACCAGACCGGCAAAGCCTAGCCAAGGGCGAGAAGCTCCTTGAGTACCTCTCTGCACTCTCCCCATCGGGCGCAGTAACGCAGGTTGGCAAGACCATGTCGATGTTCCCCCTTTCCCCACGATTCTCCCGAATTCTCCTCGTCGGCCACCAGCAAGGCTGCCTGCCGTATACAATCGCCCTCATCGCCGCACTCTCTGTCGCGGAGATCTTTATCCCCGAAAACCAGGCGGTGCCGTCTTTGGCAGAGAAGGGCGACGACGAAATCCTAACAGCCGCAGATGTGGCAGCGGAAGACAGACAGGTCGCTATCCGCAGAAAGTATAACGCGGTGCATGCCAACTTTTGCTCGTTAGATGGCAAGTCAGACGCCATTAAGTTACTACAAGTCGTCGGAGAGTTCGCCCACGACCCCACAGAGGAGTGGTGCGAGACGCACTTTGTGCGATTCAAGGTTCTCAAGGAGATTCAGCAACTTCGCAGGCAAATTGTGGACCTTCTCAAAGCAAACATTGCCTCGTGCGCGACGCTCAAGTTTGAGGATCAGCTGAGCCGACCGACGGAGAAGCAAATTATCGCACTCAAGGAGATGGTGGCCGCCGGTTTCATTGACCAGGTTGCGATGCGCGCAGACCTTTTACCACATCCGCCCGAGATGTACAGGAAGCCCCGTCGAGCCATTGATGTTCCATACCAGCCTCTGATGCCCATTAGGGAGACTCAAAGGACCCGGCCGACAGCCTTGTCTACATTCATCCGTCTTCGCCGCTGGCTCACCATAGCACGCAAGAGTGCCCGCCATTCATCATTTACGCGTACCTCCAGAGAGCGTCCACGGGCGGGCTGGATCTCGATAGGAAGCCCAAAACGAGGATGCACGCACTTACCGATATTTCGGGCCGGGAGCTGGCGGCGCTGGCCAAGGGCACGCCGCTCATCAGCTACGGCAAGCCGATCAAGGAGACGCAGCTTCCCAAGGCTGATGACGGTGCGGCGATGAGGGAGTGCTGGGTCGTACCCTACCTCCGTGCGGAGAACGTGGCGGGATTGGGGTGGCCGTTGCCAGTGGTGAGGCTGAAGCAGAAGAAAGTTCCTGGAAAGGGTTGGCAAGCGGCTAAATGAGAGACGGATGAGGCCAGGCGATGAGCTGGTCATTCGCATTTTCAAGTGGAGTTGTTTTGGAAAGTAGATAAAAAGAAAAGAGCTGGCGATAGTGTGTATACCCTTGATCTATAAACATTGACATATCTAGTCTTCTACCCTTTATAATTCTTCCAATGTCCTCATCTTGCCTTGAAACCCCGTCCAAGTTCTTGTTTATTTCAACTCGCTTGGGAGACTTGCATCACCATGGATTTCGCCTTACCTGCTTTGCCATATTTGGGGGCCTCAAAAGACTCAAAAGCTAACCAGCACTGCGCCCTGCGACCAAGGGTCATTTCCTCTCGTCTCATATCTCCGTTGGCCCACGGCAGCCTGATGATTCGCTAAAAACATGGGGAATCTGGGGGTGTGTCACCACGTTGCAAGGGATCGTCTGTTTATCAACGGAAAGGGATATACGCTGGACATAGTGTGTACCACCCGAGTGCGCGGCAGCCGAACAGGTGCATAATTAAAAACCTCTCGGCTAGCGGGACAGTAGCGAAGAGAAGAAGAGAAACGACGGGCATTGGAGGGTGCGAGACAGTGGATCAATACGGTTTGCACCCGATTCCGAGAACCAACAGCGACCCTCAATTTCATGCGAGATATCGACATGGCCCTTAATATAAGGCGCAAGAATGGCTGTCACGTCACGGCCGGCTTATGGTAACACGGGCGGGGGAACATGTCCCTGATACAAAACCGAACCTATCCCCTCTGCTTTCCGTAGCCCTCCTGGTCCAACGGGGTTTCTTTCTCTCACGAGACTTGCCTTTTTCAGTCTTTGGTTCGTTTCTTTAATCATATACCATTTGAGAAGAGAAAGATCAAAGCAGAAGAAAACCCGATTGAGAAAACTGAGGCACCACTTTCGAATAGGGTGAAAGGTTCCCCTTTTGGGACCCCCAGAAAACCAAAAAGAAAATGAGGCTGCTCAACGCTTACACGCTCGACTTCCTCGAGGTCGTGGATGGAAACCCCCGCCGTACGCGGCGCTATCGCACACGTGGGGCAGCGACGAGATCACGTACAAGGACATGGCCTGGCTCCAAGAGTACCGCCGCCTGTACGAGACCCCGACCGAGCCGCCCGCGACCAACGGGGGTTCCGGGAAGGGCAAGGAAGTCGACCCCACCAGCCCGGGCGCCGCCGCGCAAGCTACGCACCTGCCGGAGAATCGTCCGCGCCGCCCCCGCCAGCAGAGGCCGATCCAGAAAAGGAGGAAGAGTGCCCCGAATACACCGAGGCGGCGGAGACATCGACGGAGGAGCAAACCACCGCGAGGGAGCTCCGCGCCCGCAACGGGTACCGAAAGATTCTCAACGCCGCCGAACACACCCGGGCCAGCCAGATCGGGTACCTGTGGATCGACACGTGCTGTGTTGACAGGTCGAGCAGCGCCGACGCGTCCGAGGCCGTGCTCGCCGCCCACAGGCTCTTCAAAAACTCCGCCATCTGCTTCATCTACCTCGCCGACGTGCCCGCCGACGACGCCATCGCCGACCGCGACTCCGTCTTTCGGCGGAGCTGGTGGTTCACGCGCGCCTGGACCCTGATCGAGCTGCTCGCCCCGACCGCGAGGGTGTGGTTCGACCAGTCCTGGAACTTTATTTTCCCGACTCCCTCCTCCTCGCGGAAATCACCGGCATCGACTTCACCTTTGTCGAGGGCGCCGACTACGGCACCATTCCCTGCGTCGCCAAGAGATTGTCCTGGGCCGCCCACCGCAGCGCCACCCGCCCCGAGGACGTCGCCTACTGCCTCATGGGCCTCTTCAACATCGCCATGCCCGTCCTCTACGGCGAGGGCCAGCAGAGCGCTTTCCTCCGCCTCCAGCACAAGATTCTCAAAAAGACCGCCGACCCCTCCATCTTCGCGTGGGGCTACGAATGCTTGATCCTCAGCGACGGCCAGCGCACCTTTGCCGTCTCCCCAGACGAGTTTGCCGGCTGCCGCACCTCCGGCTGCATCCCAAGCTCGAACCCTTGAACGAGAGCATCACCGCCCATCCACGCGGCCTCACCATTACAACCGATATCGGCTCCGCCAGGTCCAACCGCGCAACGTACCTTTTGAGTACTTCGTCCTCTTCCCCGAGATTCTCGACGACAGGAACCTGCAAGACGCCATTGTTCTACCTGTCGGCACCTACCGTGACGTCGCCGATATCTCCGCCCACTCCCCATATTATATCGTATATCCGGCGCGCGGCCGGTCCGCATATCGCGAGGCTCTTTCCTCAGGATGAATCACATCAAGGCGCGGTCCATTTACCTTAGGAGCAACCTTTCTGGAGTCGTCAAGCTGCCCACCTCCCATATACCCACCTCCCTCGACGTGCTCTTCGCTCCGAGCCTCTCTACCCTGCCCTTCCGCCTCGTCGAGATCTTCCCCCTACCCGATACTCCTTTACCTCTGGCGGCTTCATCTCCTTTGGCCACTCCCCGGATGCCTCTCGCCCCGTCACCATCTTTCTCCGCTTCGAACAGTCGGGTGCCTTCAGGGACGCATTCGGCCCGGACCGTCGCCGCTTCGTCGTCATCTTACAGTACGACCCCATCGTTTCTCGTGCAAAGGATATTGCCGTCGCCGACCTCACAGCCAGAGTTATCGACTGCACCTCGGCACCTCTTTTGTCATTTATAGACGAGTTCTACAACTCTCCCAAGCGGGCAGACAGGGCTCTCTGGGCCAGATTCCCATGGGAGGCCGACATTGGAGATAGTCGCATCTGCGCGTCCTTCAATATGAACGGGGATGGCAGAGGTACCCCGAGGCTATCGATAAACGCAAGATTTCTAGAACCTGGTGAGACCAGGTTGGTGACACGTTTAGAGAATGCGTTCGAGTTGAGGCAGGTTAAATAGATATAGACGATACCCTATCCCGTATTTCGCTCCGCAAATGCCAATTTCCCACTATTCTTCTCTTTCTCTCCCCGACAGTGATTATTTGAACTAGGTTAATTCGTGATGGTCCTTACAATAATTATCAATCCAATGGCTAGTTTCGAGATTCCAATCGAGGGAAATTTTTGAAATACATTATTTGAAAATGAAACGCTAAAGTGAGACCGCTTGCCGATTCGTCTACGAAGATAATTCTGTTGATACAATATCATGACGAGAAAGGGGGCCTCGATTTGATGCAAGCGCCAAACAAAGCAAAACAACAAGAGGAACAGAAACCTTTCAAAATCAGGTACATTTTTTCCCAATAGCAGTGTTTATCAGACGATAGGATCCCAAAGAAACTTTATAACCCGGCGATACTTGTCCACCTTTTGCGAAGCCCGCCTCCCCGTGCTCAGGTGTTACTCTTCGACTTGGGAACGAGCTCCACCTTCCGGCTAAGCAATTTCCGCAACTCGGGAGTGATAATTCTTTCCGTAGGAGGCGTAATCTCCGGGGCCTTACCCGTGTCCCTCCTAGGGAAGCCGGGCCTACGGAAGATTGCGGCGTGAGAACTTGCCCGGAAGCGGTAGAGCTGACGGAGGAGGATGTGCGATGGCTCTGAGGTCGGGGTTGAGGGAGAGGAAGACTGTGCTTCTTATCAATCGTATCGACCAGCCGGCGGAAGCGACGGAAAAGTTGTTCGGCGCGAATGAGCGTGGAATCCAAGTCCATGGTGTTGGACAGCTCGTTGACTATGCACTTTGTTAGCCTGGATGCGTTTGATGTCCCGATGAGAAAGATGCGACCCTACCGTATTTAAGCACCTCATCGAAAGCCTTGAGGTGAGTCATGATGATATCACGGTGCTTCTCTAGGATGGCAAGGGCGACGAAAAGATGGAAACTGCTGGTGAGGTAGTCGGTCCAAAGGACCTCCCAGAGATGCAATACGTCAAGCCACTTAAACTCCCGCTTATACCAAACAAGAAGCATTCGGAAGAAGAAGAAGAAATTTGTGCTGTCGGTAGACTGCAGGTGGGCATGGAGTTTGGGGTCCATGAAGAGAACAAGCTGATCGAGGGCCAAAAGCTGTGCCCGCATACCCGACTGGTCGCGCAAGAAGTTACGTTCCATGCGTTCCATGAATTTCTGGAACCCCCAGAATGCGATAGCGTCGTCCTGAATTACGGCGTAGATGGGTGCCAACAGGTCGGACATTCCCTGCACATAGCCAAGGTCTCTATTGTACTCGTTATAGGTGAGGAGCATCTCCTTGAGCTGTTCGAGATGGACGTTTGTACCAACGTCGGCGAAAGGTGACTTGGGGTCTGGGTGCGGGACGTCTTCTCCCTGGAAAGGCGTGACGTTGCGGTCTGTTCGGTGAACGTCCTTTTCTACATGGGTTGTTAGTGCCTGTACTCGACAGAAAAATGAAGGCCTACTAACCTATTCTGCTTCTCTGCTCGCGCCACCACTCGCCTATCTCGCTCTCACCTCCGAGTCCATCAAGCCTCTGCCACCAGGAGCTCTTCAGCCTGTAATATTCATCCCGCAGCGAGGCTACATGGGCCTTTCTTTCCTCGGCTGTCGAGTACCACTCGTAGATCCCAAGGAGGAAAGGCCATGCTTCCCTGCGAACACCGTCGTCTGGGTCTAGTCCGCCGTGAAACACCCTCTCTTTCACCTCGTCGATCGTGACAGAAAGGCGCCCGGTAGTAGGGTCGAAGAAGCTATTCCACTCTTTAAGGGTTACCACCTTCCGGCGTTCTTCGAGAGTCACCATGCTAGCACCATCCACAAGCTCGAATTCACCGACATCGGTATCTTCGAGCTCCATGACATCTTGTGCTGTCCATATTCGCTGCCGTCGATCTCGTTCGCTTTGCTCCGCGATGCCCATGGCCCACCGGGCGAGGTACAATCGGGCGCTATCAAATTCGTCCTGTAAGGTTTGAACCTCCCGGTTCTGGAGAAGCCGCTTAACCTGTGGAGGCACGTTCGGGTTCTCCAAGACATCCTGTGCCGCTCTGCGGGTAAAGGTCGTGACCCTAGCAAACTTCTCCATAATGTTCCAGCCAGTCTCCTTCACAAACTTCATGAACGGGTCCATCTTGGCGTCATTCATTGAACTAGGGCCAGCGGTGGGTCTGCTTAGACCTTTTCCATGGAGACCCGAGGCGGAATCTTGTCTTCCAATATTGGACGGGCTAGATGCGGATTTGAAGGAAAAGGACTCTGTATCCTCTTTGGTAGGCTCGATTAGGAAAACATTAGTCTCGGCAGTAGAACGTTCAACGCGAACATATCTCTTCAACCACCGCAGGACTTCGTCCCCACCCCAAAACATTTCTCCATCTTCGCCAAAGGGATCAAAGTTGTCTCTCGCCCGCTTCTTCTTTTGTAGTATCGTGCTCTCACATTCGCTGTCGTGAAAGAAGAGCGCGGGAAAGCTGTCCCCGGCGCGGGAATTGATGATCACCGAACCGAACCACCAGCCTAGGCTAGGGGCCGAACAAGAAGAGAGAATATGGCGCTGACGGGTATGGCAAATGCATAGTGGCCGAGCACAGCGCTGTGTGTAGTGACGGTGGGTGGCGGAGGGACGAGGTACGACTGTTTTGGTGGAGAGTCGCCTTCGCAAAGGTCAACCTTGACATATATACTCGCCGAGTCACCAAGGGAGGATTCTGGAAGCCAGGCAAGGAGGAGATCGGACGACGTCGCGGGGGCGCCAGAGAGGATGAGGAGGTAGGACGGTCGCCACTCTGAGGGGACTTCTGCTGAAGAAGGGCAATGTATCCAGGGATATTGTCCTTCGCGGATGGCGTGGGATGTATGTACACCTTGAGAAGACATAAAAGTTAGTAAGGGCGTTTCGCAACATTTCGAGGTTCGGAGCACCCATGACGCCATAGAAAACGAAGTTGCTGATTCTCACCTTGCTTTTCGAATATAGCAGCTTGACCCCTCTACCGCTGTCGGTATGGGTGATAGTGCCGTACTCTCCTTCCTCGTCGTCACTCATGGCGTAGAAGCTGGCCGATGGTGAGGAGGGCTATTGTGCAGATGGGCACCGGACATGGTGCTAGCGGTTAGTGGGGGAGGAAGAGGGGAGGAGGGCGGTGTTATAGAGGGAGGGCGCAGGTCACCAACAGCCCAGCCATGCAAGGATAGAGAACGCAAGAGGGCCCGGCAGCAGAATAAAACAAGAGTGGGAGCCTGGAAAACACGTATGCGTACCCACAGCTAAACCCGGGAAGGCGAAAAACTCGAGGCAAAAAGAGCTGCAGGGCAGGCGAGAGAGGAAAATGAGGGAGGGCAGCTAAAGTCGAAGTGGCATGTGAGCGTTGTCGCCCGGATGACGGAGTCAGCTTTGTGCCCCTCCATCAGGTGTGCCTAGTGGTTTCCCTCAGTTGATATTCTTGGAGGGGTAGGCCAGCGAAAGGTAAGTGTACCTCGCAGTTGCGCCTACTTTGGCCACGTTCTCAAGTACACAGGACTCAGCTACCCAACATCCACGTCATGCAATTGCGTATCCGACCGTATCCGCGCCCATCGTCGACACTCGTCGACACATCAAGTTTATGGCTTTAAAAGATTCAAACTAATAGGGTGAAAATGTATTAACAACCACTATTCGGCGGAAAGAGGAGAGAAAAAGAAAGAAAAGGAGCATCAACCCGGATGTGTTGTTGCGTTGAATTCTTTACATCCAGACTTTCAAGCTGCATAGGTTCACTATTCCTGCATGGTGGATGGGGTTAGTTCTTGCGAATCAACCTACCATTTACTTCGTGGGCTGAATTGCCGCATCAGCATAGAGGTCGATTCGCCACGCCCAAGCAATGTATGTTTTACCAAGACCACCGTCGGAGGTCGCCCAGGCGGACTAGCAACTAAAGTTGCCACGCGCCACCAACCAGCACCGATTCCACGAAGTCTTGGTCTCAGATCGTCGCAAGAATCTTGGGGACCGCCTGCATACACACTACCTGCTCGGCTGCACCCATGTATGTGCGGGGTCACAACAGCCGACACCTAGTTTGACAGCAGGCGGGGGAGAAGGAACCAAAAATATAAGAAGAGTTGCTGCATTATGATATTCTAAAAAAGAGCAGAAAAGAAGAAACAAACACCGAATGAAGAACGCCGTCATCTCATGCGGGGCCCGCTAGGTAATCCTCCTGCCCCTCTCCGCGGGCCGCTAGGAAGCCCGCCTGAGCGACTCGGTCGTCCCCCTCCCATGAACTCATCTTCCGTTGATGCCCACGGCGAGTTTGCGGCCATGAACGGTTTATCACTACCGCCCCGGCTGGAAGAAGAATCGTACATGCCTCCGGGTGCAAACCGAGTCTCGTAATCTCCAGCGTCATCTCTCCTATTCGAGGATGAGTATCCGCCGCCGCCCCTCCTCCTCCACGCCCTGGTGGTTGAAACGGTCCTGTCGAGCCAGAGGAGGGGCTCGTTGTCCGCGCACCGCCTCCCCATAGCCGCTGTTTAAGTTTATCCTGCGCCGACGCCCCTCCGGAGCCGACAGAGCTGGGGGTTGTATTATTCGTCTCACGACCAAAGGGACTATTTTGTTGATAGCCGCCACCGCGTTGGCTCGGTAGTCTCGACTGCGCGTCGTTCCCGCCAGCCCTCAGAGATTGGCCTTGTCCACCTTGTTGCTGTTGCTGTTGCTGTTGCGGTGGCTGGCCCCGCCCCCGCCCTTGCCCTATTGTCCCCCAGAGCGAGCTGAGCCCGGTAGGAGCAGGCCCGGAATTTCCAGGGGCCGGCGACTGCTGAGGCGACGTCCGTCCGTATCTAGAACCTACTTGGGGCTGCGAATATGTCGGTGCCACGGGCGGAGGAGCCTTGGGATCGGGGGAAGCCAGCCGGGGAACGGCTTCCCTTGCTCGGCGTAGTATCCCCTTAGAACGCGGCATACGTGGGTGTCATCCTCGGTATCGCCGTCGTTTTCACTCTGAAGCAACCTGCTCTGGAGGTTCGAGATTTGTGATGTCGTGGTGGTGAGCAGCTTCGAGTACCACGATGCCATTGTGACTGGGAAATCGTGAGACACCCGTAACCGCCACTTCGGGTGTGCGGGGGCACGTGCAAGGGTTGTAGTCCGATCTGAACTCCCAGAGCGAGGAACGAGGGGGCTCTGAAAAAATCGGTGTGTCTAGTGGTGTGAAAAAGGTTGATCGGGAAAATCGCAGAATAGGAAACCGGTGTTCGCAAAAGGACCGGGGAAAATAATTCTCGCAGTCACTTTCACGGCCTGGAAGTCGAGAGAAATTTCGCGGGAAAGAACTGTAGGAGGGGATCAAGGACGGACCGTTTCAAGTTCGAGAGGCGAAGGTCAAGCAAGAAGTCAAGGGCTTATGACGATGGAAGCCGGAGTCTGGTGGGGGCCTCTAGCTGACCTGAGCAAAGCCTATTCTTAGAAGCCTTTCCCAAGTTGGAGAAGCTGGGAAGGGCCAACCGACTAATTCTTTGATACTGTGTCTCAGGGAGACGCGACACTGTATTTCATGGACAGTCCCACTATCAAGGACTCAGAGCCCATCACGGCTAAACCTCTTGACTCTGAATATCAATTTTGGACGCTGGTAACTGATATAGATGGAGCTTTTCTTTGTTACGAGTTGGCGACATCTTCAATCCCGAGCCAACGGAGGCTGTGTCTGGCCATCAGATATAATATTGGATGATGAACCCGGATCAATCATTTTTCCTCACTCAAAGCGACCGTCGATTATATCAATCGCGACTCGGGACTCGCTAGAGAACCCCGTGGTATCATTGGATTAACTCTCGGTTTTACCAATACATCAAGTACAGTCTAGAACTGCTAGAACAGATAATGTCTGGTAGGGTTAAGCCTCGTGCTCCCTAACCACCGCAACACTCAATACATGTCCTCATAGAGAACAAGTATTTCCAGACATCCACCCATGACTCGGCGCCTTGAACAATCTATTCCAGTGGAACATGCGTCTCCCTCCCTTTCCGTTCACCCTCAAGTGTTAAAATTGTGACACCTCTCCTACCATCCCCTTTCTGCACTTCCATGATGTGGCACCCGATACGTCAACATCGATCAGTCAAGTTCTCGAACTACCATGCCAGGGGAGCGTCAAGCTCCTTGGCAGGCTTGTTGAATTTGACATCGACCTTTGCCCTCTTGACATTCTGTTTCTTCGCGGCCTTTGCTCGCTTCCTCTTCTTAGCGTCGGTGGTGTCAGGGTCCGAGTCGTCGCTATCTTCGTCTTCGTCATCCTCCTCTTCATCGTCGTCATCATCGTCGCTCTCGAGCCAGTCCTCGAGGTCCTCAAGTTCTTCTTCACTTTCACCAATATCCGAAACGTACTCGACCAACTTTTCGAGATCATCCTCGGCCTGGGAATCGGCCTCCTCCTCAGAGTCGATACCGGAGTCCATGTCCTCGTCTCGCTCAGCCTCGCCCTCACGTTCCATAGCGTTAAGGACCTTCTTCCAGATGGTCTCGCTAACATTGAGTGGCTGTTCGCCATAGTTGCCGGACCGTAACCTCTTGAGAAGCTCTCGCTCAATTGTCCTCTCCAGCCGGGCAGCGGACTCAGCCTTCCGTTCTCTCGCTGCTTCACGGGTCCGGATCTTGGGGGCCATCTTGGGAACGAGTCTCTCGCCTAACCGCTCTTGCTCGGCAGCTATCCTGCGCGATCGAATCTGTACTTGAATCAAGCGAGTAAGGCGTTGTTTGCACTTATGAATGAGGAACTTGGGCCAGTATATGAGTTGTTGGTCGATCTGTTCGAGGGCCTTTTGGTAGTTGGTGGACAGCTTTATCCGTTGCCACAGCTTCGAGGGCATGTGGGCACGCTCAATGGTTTTGATGTACAAGTAGACCGTCTCTTTCTCAGGGTGCTGTCGAATCGTGGCGTACCGAGAGTTTGCCAGAGGGCAAGACTGCCGGTTACAGAGACCAGTGACATTGTATTCATTGCGGCAGAAGGTCTGCTTCTTGTCCGTCCTGGGCTTTTGTTAGCGGGTGCTGAGGGAGGAGAGAGAGGACGACAGGAGAGTGTGTTCTTACTTTAATTTGAAAGAACAGAATTGCTGGTTTATAACCTGCCAAACAATTTCGTCGGAAGCCATGGTGATGAGATTTTACGACGAGTTCACCCACGTTTAACAAGGGGAGAAAAGAGTACCCAAGATGGAGAATTTGTGTTGGCGGGGTGTCGGGTCCAAGAATAATTTTTTTCCCTTCCTGAAGAAAAGACACCGCCCAGGCGCAGGGAAAAAAAAAAAGTTGAGCTAAGACAGAGGGAACGGGCTTATCGATATCCGAGGATCAGCCGGATAACCTTGACTTCCCTTCCTCAAACAAAGTCTTTTCAAAAAGAAAGCTCTGGGGCCAATGACAGGGGAAGAAATGCAGTCGTTGATTATTCTGGGGTTCAGGAGTGGTCGTGCTCGAGCTCCCAAGCTCCAAGAATGCACCATGAGTATTGCTGAGCGGGAAAGTGTTTGATTATCTTGGGCTAGCAGAATCCCGCTCGGTTCCAAATATAATAGCTAGAGGCATTGAAACAATCATCACACGCTTTTGCCCTTTGTTATCATTACCCAATTATAAATTTCCATACCGGATGCACCCATATCTGGCACCTCACCTTCCGGGGTACACACGGGGTCCATGATGGGAATGAGATCGTTAGCGAGCCGTTCCTGGGGAAAGAACATCCGTCACGCGCGATGGAAACCAGCCTCGGTTTGTAATCGCCCACTTCGAGAACCAAATCAATGGAGCCGGCTTCTTTATAGGCGGGAAGCTCCGCAATGGGCAATCCCGGGCACGCGACTCAACCACACATCAACCGCTGTCCCCGATAGCTGTCCAGTTGAAGAAGATACCATATACGCCCTATCTTCTGCCCCAGGCCGCGCTGCTATCGCTGTTATCAGGATATCCGGTCCCGCCGCTGTCGACGTTTACAGTTCGCTTTGCCCCGGACAACCCTTGCCCACGGCGCGAAGAGCCGCCGTGCGCCGTCTAGTCCACCCAACCGATTCGGAGGCAAATGTGCTTGACTCGAGCGCGCTTGTTCTCTACTTCCCTGGGCCTCGTACAGTCACGGGGAGGACATCCTAGAGTTGCACGCCCACGGCGGCCGGGCGACTGTCAAGTCTATCCTCGCCGCGATTCCATCATCCCGGACGCGGACGGGCCGAATCCGATATGCAGAGCCTGGCGAATTTACGAGGCGAGCCTTTATGAACAATAGGCTAGACCTCACCCAAGTCGATGCTCTCGGGGATATGCTCGCCGCGGAGACGGAGCAGCAGCGCCGCGCAGCGGAGAGGGGCAATTCCCGGGTCCTTGGCCAGCGGTACGAGTCCTGGAGGGAGCAGCTCCTACTAGCGCGGGGGAGATAGAAGCCCTAATTGATTTTTCGGAAGATCAACATTTTGACGAGTCGCCGTCCGATCTCCTAGAGAATGTGGTCAGCCTCGTCACCCAGATCCTCCACGGGATCCATCTCCATGACCAAGGGAGTCAGAAGAACCAACTTCTCCGGAGCGGCATCCGCATCGCTCTTCTTGGGCCCCCGAACGTGGGAAAAAGCTCGCTCATGAACCATATCGTCGGTAAGGAAGCCTCCATAGTATCTCCCGAGGCCGGCACGACGCGGGATATCGTCGAGGTCAGCCTGGATATGAGGGGCTACCTTTGTTCTTTTGCAGACACTGCCGGGTTCCGCGGGGAGGGATCGAGCTTGGCTGGGGAAGACGCTAGCGTTGGCCACATCGAAAGAGAAGGTATTAAGCGCGCAAAGGCTGCGGCCCTATCATCCGATGTGGTGATTGTTTTGGGGGCAGTTTCTCGAGATTCGAGAGACCAATGTCGAATCATCTTCGACCAAGAGATTCTGCGGCTCGTTGGAGAGCACAATAAGCCGGTCCTTGTGGCGGTAAATAAGAGAGATGTTGTGGACGAAGCGAGTCTCTCATCACTACTCTCAGAATTTGGGAACGCGATCCAAGGCATACCCGGACTCGAGAACGCTCCAGCGCCACTACCCATATCTTGTAGGGAAGCCCATTCAGGGCCCGGATGTGCAGCGATAAAGGACCCTGGCGGCGTACATACGCTAACCGACAACCTACTCGAACTCTTTAAGACCATGACTTCCGTCCCCACCGATATGCAGGACCTGCTAGGTGTTACCGAGCGGCAGCGGCAGCTCTTAGCCGAATGCCGCATCCACTTGGAAAACTTTATGGCCGAATCAAAATCCAGGGACGACGGCGCCGCTGATATCGTTCTAGCTGCCGAGCACCTAAGATTCGCTGCAAATGCCCTAGCTAAGATAACGGGAAGAGGCGAGGTGCCGGACGTGGAGGATGTTCTGGGGGTTATCTTTGAAAAGTAAGTTCTATGCTAGCCGCCAGTCGTCACCCGCCAATTATAAACGAAAGTTCATAAACCCTAACAGCGAAACTCACAGGTTCTGTGTTGGAAAGTAAGATGTACGATATAGATTGATGTATTATATAAAAGCTAGACTCCGGTTGTCGACTAATATATGTATAACACACACGTTGAAAGACATGAAGATAAGAAAAGAGACAGGAAAGATCCAGCGCCCTGCTAACCCTATAATATAAAAGGATGGAAACCCGCTGGGTTTCGTCCAATACCACATTCCCAAGAATCGAGGAAGCCAAGCCTCCTATGACAATGAGGGGGTAGCCCGGCGTGGAAAAGAATTGAAAGGAGAAGAAAGGAAAGAAAGGAAAGAGAAGAGAAGAGAAGAGAAAAAGGAAACGCCAATCTAATCCGGTGTAACTTCGTGGCCTTTTCAATTCGAGCATGTGCGAATATAACGTGCCTAAACGTCGTGAGTTGTCAAGGCACGGCCAGTCGTTGATGTAATGCTGTTGCTAGGCAAAATTCTTATAGTCTATAGTGGTGTTGGAGGGTGTCGTTAAGGTCGAGGCGCTCGATCTAGGATCTAGGAGCTTTGATCCCGATGTTTTGGGACTTGGAGAGAAGGGACATTTTAGTTGTAGCCGTCGCGGCCCTTGTTGACGGGCTTCTTGACCTCTGCCTCTCCGTCCTTGTTGTAGCCATCACGGCCCTTGTTGACGGGCTTGTCCTCACTGTCGTCCTTGTTGTAGCCCGACCGTCCGAAGGCGACGGCGGAAGCGGCGAAAGGAGAGGTGGAAAAGGCCATTGTGTATGTGTTTTGTGTGTGGGAGTGTATATGTGTTCGTGAGAGAGGAGACTGTGGAGAGACTTCGAAAATGAAGAAGAAACTTGAGGTTGATGATGAAGGAATTGAGTAGTGGTGTGAGAGTAAGAGAATGGTTTCTTTGTGAGATGGTTGTGGATGTGGAATGAAGAGATTCAAGTCGAAGGATAGGAGAGGAATCTCCAACTTATATACACAGTTTCATTCCTCTTGAGGGGCTCATCACGATGAAGCCTTGGAGACTAGAGGCGGGGCTTGGCTTCCGCCGTAATCTTTGCAACGGGGTGGTGGAGTGCGGAACCATTGTTGAAGATGACGTCTCGAGATGGAGTAGGTCCGATATGTGACATGGGGAGAGGTAACGTGGTGGCAGGGTCCGAAAAGGTAAAAGACAAGGGGGAGGGGGCCAAAAAAGAACAGAAACAAAATGACAAAAAGGAACAAAAGGAAAAAGGGAGAAAAAAACAAAGTGGCTACGTCGGCATGGTCGGGCATGGAACTACGCAACAGCAGAAACTCGACGGTCCCGGGAGGCTCGATTCCCGGAGCACTTTGATAAGCCTCCCCACGATACGACGGGCACGTTGTGGGATGGGGCAGGGATTCCGTTTTGGGGATCGGTTTCGGCCGCTGCACCAATCGCTGGACTCCTTGCGCCTGGACTGGACACTATTCAGGTAATGGCTTGGACCCTGATAGAAAAAGAGAAAAGAAAAAAAAAGAAAAAAGGGAAAAAGGAAAAAAACGCCAGTGCCATTTCAGTGACGGAGAATGTCAGAAATACGACGAAAAGTTCCAGGGAGGGAGGGACCCGCCTCATAGGGCTGAGGCGTGCGTTGTTGACTGGAGACTCAAATGGGAGGGGCGTGTATCAACCGTATTGGGACAGAGGAACGAAACGCAGACAGCGACCCTAGAGGTGTGGAAACATTCGCTCGATTGAAACATTGAAGACTGGGAAACTTCCATTGTCTGTGTTCATCATCTCCATTATTCGCCCCTCCCCCACCCGGATTTGCTCATCCCCCAAATAGGTCCTGCTCCACGGGGGCGGATTGCTCAGCCTTGAGATTCTTTCCAAGGCCGAGAGGATCCGTTGGCACAGCCCAAAACCCTGTAGTCCAATGTCCTCCCCCATCGCACTCCTCCCTCCTCCTTCCCCTCGGCGCGCTTAAATTGCCGACGAAGGTCAAAGTAGCCCATTGGGCCTTGCCACTCGCGCAAAGAGATCCCTAGACGGAGGCCAAGGGCTGGGAGGGCTGAGAGGGTGAGCATTCGCAAACCTCGGACTAGCTACCTATTCGCCCAGGCCATGGGGGCCCAGGATCTCGGGACTAGGCTCAAGCGGCGCCCGCCCTTGCTCAGCCCGGCCCAGCGCCCAGGATATACACAATCCTCCCTCCCCCTTATCCCACTATTCCAAACCCAGAACGTTGGGCGGTGGTTGCACAAGCCTAGGTCACACAAGGGTAGACGCTAGCGGGGGCGGTGGTATTCTCACATTTCCTATGCCGCTGAGAATTGGAAAGAAAAAGAAAAAAAACAAAAAAAAGAAAGAGTCCGTCTCGAGACTAAGCGTCGGCTGATCTCGGTTCCGACTCGAGCCTGTCCCCGTCCGCCTTCGAAGGTCGTTGTTTTGCAGATGCCTAGGGCGGCACGCAGAGGGTTGGGCGCCACATGCATACTTTCCAGGCTGCATTCTCCGCCATTCTAGTATGGAGCGCCCCTCTTGTTCATCCATCTCGAGACGGTGAAAGACCTGCCCCAACGCGGCAAGCTATGCATACCGGGCGAGGCTCTGGTCGCGAAAAATGGCTGACTCGATTCCGACGTCTATCAATGTAATTTTCGACTGTGCAGGAAATAGCCGTTCACACCACTCGCTGCGATATATCGAGCATTACCGTGACTGAATCACGCGGGCACGACCAGGCAGCCACACCCGGATGCGTCGGTGGAAACAATGGAGAGGTTCGCAGATGTGGCTGCATCGATGCTGCCTTTATGGGGATCGAGGGGTATGCCTAAGGACTCTTTTGTTTTCCTCTACATAGATGAAGTCATCAGGATGCTCATTGAATTACTCCGATTTTGTGAGTTATCGGGCGTGCCACACACCATGAATCCAACGATGCCAGGCGAGCATCTCCTTGGTGGCATGAGTTTTACAAATCCAGGAATGGATTTGTCGTCTACTGCCATGTGATGAGGTAACCTCTTCAAGCACATGTAAAAGGGAAGGAGCCTTGCTCTCAGCGTAGTACAGCACGAGGCACGAAGATTTGACGTTTGAACGCCAGAACTCGAGTTTGAACCCTCCCAATGTAACCTCTTGCTCCTCACACAATTTCCTTCTTTTTTACCTCACAGCATACAGCGGGGTCCTGCATCAATATCACGGACGGATGTACTCACTCAGCCACAGGGTCGTAAAGACAAGGGAAGAAGGGAAGAAGGGGAGAAAAAAAAACGGAATCCCCGATCATCCTGCCTTGACGCATTAGTTCGGACCCCAAAATCGGCTGTTCAACCGCCAGATTGGTTCTGTCGAAACCCTCGTCACAAACTGCGGCTGCCATTCGCAGGCTCAGAAGTTGGACGGGAAGGTCGGTTGCACCGCCACCCCGCCATTTTCACAACACCGTTTTACCTGTCAGTCTCGCTCAAAACGTCACAATCCCCACCTCGTCGCAAGCTATCCTCCACTGATCAGTGGTTGATTCGGGCTGGACTAGGGCTGGCACTAGTGCGGTCCAACGGTGCGGCTAGCGTTAGTGCCCCTTGAGCGTCATGCCTCCAGAACCCATCGATTGATCAACCAGATGCACATTTGACATCTCTGGATCTGTGGAGTGCTCTTTTTAGAAGTGGAAGAACTTCAACGTGCAGCATCCCCCTGAGTTTGTTTGACGCACAACACCCCATTGGCCAGATCCGAAACGGACGACGCAAGCCACCAAAATTCAGGGCCCCCATCCTTCCATTTCGCCCGAGGCTAAACCGTTTCCCGTTCCGAAATGGCGGAGTGGCTGTGAGGCTTTCTCTGTCTGGAACGTCGCCCTTCCGGTAAGGTGCTGACCGGGCAAGCCCGGAGTGCCGCGATCACTATCTTCCGACTGATGCGACGCCTTTGCTCTCCGGCGCCAAGGAGCACCCGGATTCGTCGGGAAACGCGCCTGGACTTACAGATACACAAATATGATGAAATCCACACGTGTCCGAGGCTAGAGCCGAGGGCCACATATTCTTTCTGCCGTAGGCTCCCTCAGTCGTTATTCCCCCGCTCACCAAAAACGCATGGGAAACGACAGGCCCGATGGGAGCCACTGGTCCAGATTTGGAATAATATCGAGTAGGTTGCAGGTAACGCCCTAAACTTGAATTTCCAAACCATTCCATTTGTCAACAGACCCCCTTGATTACTTGAAGCTGATCATGCGAGAACAGGCATCTTCAGGCTGATGCTACCTTGTACGCAATTGCTGGCGTATCCAGCGGGAGCAGAGTTTGGGGGTGGCCCAACTGCACTCTGCCACCCAAGTTGAACCGGACCGCATCATCATCCTATCCTACTATCAAGAGGGGACGTATGACTCTTGCAAGCGCCTAAAGTGTCATGGTGCACGTTCGTTGCGCCGGGGACCCCATACCATCCTTTCCCTGAAGCCACCGAGCCCCACCCCGTAGCACCTCGACGCCTTGCCCGCCAGTAAGCCTATCAGGATTTCAACCCGCTGCCCTGATTCTTGTCTCTCCCCATGGCTGTGCCTCATCGAGGTTGAACTGCACGCCACTACCTCCGCCCAGCTTTAGTTGCCAGGATCCCTAAGGAAAGGTGCAATGTCCAATCAAGCTCCAATCCCGCCTCTCAGCGGTCGCCACCTCCAGCTTTGAAAGAAGCCATGGGCATGGGCCGACATGGAGCCGAGCCAAAGTTGATTCACACCTGGTCATCATCTAGCCTGGCCAATCCGTAGATGGGGGTGGGATTCTTCCTTCATCTCTTAACACATGGGTCCTAAGAACTTTGTTACTCCCTTGGGCGTCTGACGCCTTGATTGGGTAATCCCTCTAATACGGGGTCTTTGTAAAAGGATGGCGCGGTCTCGGGAGAACTTATGCGGGAGGGACATGCGTTTTGCTGAATCCTCCATGTCCTATCCTCTTGTTCAGCAACACTCGTGGGTCGCCCGGCGGTTTGTCACTAGTTTGCCCCTTTCTGTCATACCCGGTGGTTTGGGCCAAAGCCCAAGTGCGAATGCAACCAGACCCAGGGGCTATCCCACGGCCTTGTCCAATTCTTCATTTCTCGCAACAAATCTTTTCTCTTGTCCGTTGGTTGTTGTCCTCCGTGCAAGTGCACGTCCCCATGTCCGGCTCCGCCGCATCGCCTCGGGCCCGAAATACCAACGAGTCGCCTTGCTGGGAACACTTGATACCCGCGCACGTACCTGCCGCGTATCCCGTCCCTTGCGTCGCGAGAACGCTAAAAAAGCATCTAGCGGTTTAAATTTGGACTGTGGCGCATACCACCACGGAGTACCAAGTCCGCGAGGGGAAATCGGGGAATCGAGGTTTGACCTCCCTTACTCTGGACGCAAGTGTAGTGCAAGCGAAGCTCGTCCAACCTCGTGCTACACGGCATAAGGATGCATAGCCGCCTTGTACCCCTCCTCTTCCTATCCTGGTCTCACCTCGGCGCGGTTCGAGTTTTGCTGGCCGTCTATATTCGTGTTAGGCTGACAAATGTGGCGTTGTCCGAGGGCGAGGGAAGCGACAGATGTTGGTAATTTAGGCCCTGGTGAGCCTTGTGCCTTGTTTCCCTTTACAAATCTGTTGCTCTTTGGCTCACTATGTCCTCTTGTGCTCACCATGCACAGAGACGGCGCGGGTGGAGTCACGCGTGCATGTTGGGGATGAGCTGGGCCGATCCGGGCGTTATTGGAAATCCATTTTCATATCTGGATTTCTTTATTCTTCATCTCACATCCACCTCGTGTGCGGTAAACTGTAAACTACACGGCTAGGAGTTACCTCAAAGCTCCGGCCACGACTAAAAGGAAAGCCTATCTGACACATTCTAAAGCTCATCCCTGACGTGACCCTTCGAGACAGTAGGGATGTCGTTCATTGCCATAATCTTCACAACCATGCTTGTCCACCCAGTAAAATGCTGGGTGCGCTGGCCCTGCCCGTATCCGGATTATATTGCTCCCAAGCAAAACCCGTCTCCACCCACGAGTTGTAAACGGTATCCACCACGTTCTTCCGCAGCTTCCTATACAGTTCCGTGACCTTGGCCTTGAAAGGGCCATCTTGCAAGGCGAGATCCTACGTAAGAGTATTAGTATATGTCCGTCTTGAATACGAGAGGAAAAGCTTTTCCCCGAATGACTTACATGAAGCTGCACGATCGCGAGATAGTTGATGTTGATCCAGATCGGGCTCCTCCAGTAGTTTTCAGCGGTGCCGTAAAACTCATCCTTGACACTCAAGCTGCGGAGCCCATAAGGGCTGAAAAGGTGCTCTTCGTCGCCAATCAAATCTAGAATCTTGCCGAGTTTGGCATCATCCGCCTTCATCAGGCCGACAAGGAAGGGGAACAGGGAGATGTAACCCTTGTGGCACACCAACGTATGCTCTTCGAAGTCATCAATGGTCGCATCGCAGAAGCATCCATCCTTCTCGGACCAGTGAAGATCGTTGAGATTGCGTTCGATGGCGTGGCTGATCTTCTTGTACTCCTCGACATCTTCCGCCATGCCAAGCGCGTCAGCAATGTTCATGAGGGACTTGGTCATGAAGCCAACCCATGACATGAGATCGACATGCAGCTCGCCAGGGTGGGGCGGTTGAGGGCGCGGGTAATCATCGAGACCGCTTGTCAGACAGTGGGTTTCGCTACGTCCTCGCCACCTGTAGGCTTCCTTGGTCGAAAAAGCCTCTCTATCGTACGATTTGACATCTCCTCGCTGCGTCTTGCGGAACCAGTCGTAGTGAAGGCGGAGCTGAGGGTAAATGGATCGTAGATAGGTTTCGCCAAGCTCGGGGAATTCCAGATGGGCGCTTTCGAGGGGCTTTCGGTCGAGTACAAGACCTCCTTGCGCTCTGGGAGGCTACCATTCATCTTGCGCAGGCTGTTCATGAAGTTTTCGATGATCAAAAGAGGGTGGGCGGGTTGGCGTAGTGGGGATACTGGACCTGGAAGTCCTCTGGCACCTTGCTACGAGGCTCGGGGCCGAGAATTTGCTCACGGGCGATCCAGCCGTCATCATCCATGGTGTTGAACCAGCTTTTGACGATATCGAGAGCAAGATCATTATCCCACTCGAGAATGGGGATCAAATGGAAACCTTCATCCCACAAGAATCCGCGGGGAAGAAGGGCCGTGAAGGAACGCTGGTGAACAACTCGTAAGGCCCCTCCAGCTTTTCCTGCTTCCTCGCCCTAGCCTCTGCTGTCTCTTCCCAGAAACGTTCGCTGTCCTCTTCGTACTCGGAAGCGTAAGAACGGTCTACAAGATGGTATCCATTGAAGTACCCAATCCCGCCAACAAGATTCGAAAACATGGTCTTGGCAAACACCTGGTACTTGTCGTCCTTGAAGGGGGCCTTGAGCTCGAAGATCTGGGAAAACTTGTCATGAAACGACTCGCTGTTGGCCGTAATCTGGGCTGTGAGATCGGCTTGGGTAAGCTCCTTGCCAGCGGAATCTGACGAGAACAAGACGTCAAACTCAAAAGGCCCCTCAAAGATCTTTTGCACAATATGCAAATTGCCGGAGCCGGGGCTGTTCGCGAGTTGGTACACGAGGAATGGCGGAGGTCCCTGCTCCGGCTCATATTTTTCTTGTACCTCAGCAATACCGTTGGACAGATGTTTAAAGACAACAGCCTTGGCTTGCCAAAGCACCTCGTCGGGGATGGCGGCTGACCGGACGGTCGTCTTGTCTGGCTGTCGAAGACTAACGAGATCGTGATCGCTCGTAGGGTGGTCTCCGTCTCCCTTGGTGACAACAATTTTATAGTCACCGAGGCTCTCTGAAGTTCCGGAGAACGCCACGTCGCTATCAAAGCCGGTAGGCTCCCCTTCCGTCTTGACCTCGAGCTCACCACCACCCTCTTGAGCAATGTAATATGTAAGCATTGTTTGTAAATTCGCCGGGGCACCTTCTCGAGGATTTCCTTTGATTCTAGCCGCCCAGCTACCTCCGTGGGCGCCGCCAGAACCTTGACAAAGGATACGGTCAAGTCGAGCTGATTCGCAACATCGTGGATCGTTTCGACGCCTCCTCGGCGGATATCATATTCGTCCCAGCCATAGCCAGCTAGGCCTTCATGTTGCTCGCAGGTGTATCGGAAAGCTAGAGAACGGAAGCTAGGTCAGAGGTGGGTTCTACAGATTAGGGAAGTGGCGCCGTTTGGGGGTCTTTGACATACAGTCGCGAATACTCTCAAAGTCGTTCACCTTCCCCCACATGAGGCCAGTCCAGAGGCCCTGTGGGAGGCGGGGCCTCACGCCAAAATAGAGATTGGGTTTGTAGGGACCCCAAAAGAGGCTTTGGTTGTTTGCGCGACTAGCTTCGCTGTGAAGGACGGACTCTCCATTGTCGGTGGTGGTTGCGAGCACGGAGCGAGGACTGCATCCTAGCACGAGCAGTGCTGATAAGGACAACAAATTGACCATTGTGAAAGTCCTAAATGTGCAATCCGGCTGCTCAAATGAGCGCTGGTAGCATCAAGGAGTTAATCTAGAAAAATTGAGCGTGAAGGTTGGGGCCATTCAATGTTCAATGGCAGCGTTGTGAAACCTTCAAGCTTCAAGGAGAGAGCCACGTTGATGTCTACTTGGTGCAAGGCTGAGAAAGACCACAAGGGGCATGTACCGTCTGGGTCTTGGCCCAGTGAGAAGTACACATCCAATTGATCTTACACTCCACGTCTCGTGCATTGGAGCTTCAGCAGGAGCTTGAGCTCCGCCAGTAGCTGTCAGCTGTTGCGATACAACATTGTTCCGCAACCCGCCTCGACGCTCGATTAAGAATGAGCAAGCAGCCCAAGCCAAACACAAGACTATTCTAATAATGTCCCCTCCCGCCCAAATCAGCGTCCAACATCAACGATCGATGTGAGTGCGGCGGTCAACTTAGTCTAAATTTTTAAAATGCGAGTTTATCTACGTGATATCGACTCAATTATTCGGACCCGCTGAATTCCTCAAGGAAATCCTGCCATTGAATTCTCAAACTCAAGTTGACGGGCCAACTCGCAAGACTCTCTTCCGTTGCTTAACGCGGGGACAAGTGTTCGAGATCCCAATGCACCCTGCGATTTAGCCGTTTTGTCTCATCGGATCACTCTCCATGCTTCCCCACTATGACCCCAAGCCGACCCCTCATTCTCCGTCGAGGGGTTTCGGAGGGATCCATGGGTCATTCCTTGTATATCGATGAACCGATACTATGGGGTCACTGATAGCCCGCCTAGGCAACATGGTGTCCGAGCCAGCAACAGCCCGTGCCTCTGATGGACGGCTCGAGAGGCCCACCTGTGTTACGATGCAATAGTTCAATTGACGAGATGTGACCTTTGCCTCGACAGGAGGTAGCAAAGCGAGTAATAGTCCAAAGTCTGAGCTAATATTTTACGGTTCCTTCTTCGCTCATTTTCCCCGTATAAAGGAAAGCTCCTGCCGCGTCCATTATTCCTGGCCCCATCATCTGTGCAAGTGCAACGACATTTACACACAACAAGTTATCTGGAGAGATCGTTTCAGCGCAATCATGGCCACTAATACCGGGCTTGTCCTCGGATTCAATGGAGTCCATCCGTTTTCCAAGGTGAACCTTACCGACCGAGACTCTGTGCAGGAATTGCTCAGGACTCTTCTCGACCCTTTGGAACCCTTTTTTCACCCCAAAAGGCGCGGGTTAGGTGCCCTGGTGGCACCGCCGTACGATTCGACCTTGCAGCTTCCGACGTTGAGGAATATGCCGCCCGCTTTGGGGATTGGCCTGCCTCCTCGCCGGCGGCGGCGAGTATCACGGCACCGAGTGGTGGGTCGAGGGCCTCAAGTCAGGAACCGACCCCGAAAACCCCGAGTACTGGGGCTACCCCCGCGACAATGATCAGCGAATGGTAGAAATGTGCCCTCTCGGTAGGCCGATTCGGAGCATCCCCTATGCATGTGATAGCGCACCTAACGCTGTTTATCAAATCAGGATTTGCTCTTGCTGTGGCTCCCGTATTCTGGGACAGTATGAGTGAAAAGGAGCGGGAGAACGTAGAGACATGGCTAGGAAACTCGATCAACGAGAAGAAGTACGTATCGCAACCGGCACCTCGTAGGATGCGCATTGTGATTTCGGGGTGCTAATGTTGAACTAGCATGCCCAACACCAACTGGCTTTGGTTCCGTGTGTTTGCCAACCTAGGTTTAAAGAAGAACGGTGGGAAATTCTCCCAAGAGCGTCTAGACTCCGATATTGAGCACTTGAACACGTTTTACCGCGGCGACGGCTGGTCCAACGACGGCCCGGAGGGTATCCATCGTAAGTCTGGAAGCGCCTTGTGTTCTGACCTTGAGACGAAACGGAAGCTAACCTGGGGTTCAGAAATGGATTACTATTCTTCGAGTTTTGCCATCCACTTCCTCCAACTTCTATATGCCAAGCTTGCCGGCGAGGAAGATCCAGAACGAGCTGCCGAGTTCAAGCACCGAGCCCAACAAGTCGCCCTCGATCTCGTCCACTACTACGATGAAGAGGGACGGTCTATTCCCTTTGGCCGAAGTGTTGGCTACCGGTTCGCCATGGTCTCCTTCTGGGGCGCGCTGGCGTACGCCGATGTTGAGCTTCCCGCCCCGTTGACGTGGGGAATGGTCAAAGGTATTGTCATGAGGCACCTACGCTGGTGGCAGACGCAACATGCCATGTGGAACTCGAGCGGAGTGTTGTCAATCGGGTACTCGTACCCGAACATGTATGTAAGTATAAACGTCCAGCGCCATCCTTGTCTCTTAGGTATATTGTCTCATACAATTTTTAGATGGCGGAGAATTACAACAGTCCCGGCAGTCCTGTAAGTGACCGTCAAGTCCCTCTTGCGCAGTACTCACTCTTCCTTCTGTCCGGCGTCACTGACCCCAGCCCCATCCTAGTATTGGGCCTGTCTTGCCTTTATCTGCCTCGCGGTCCCTCCGGAGCACCCGTTCTGGACATCGGAAGAGGAAGATCATTGGAGCCAGATCCCCAAAACCAAGGCCCTCAAGCACCCAGGACACATCATGAGGTATGTTTCTCCGAATAAGTAGATAAGCAGATCAAGGACCTTATTTGTTGCTTTTTCCCCGCTCATGAAAATAGAACGATGAGGATAGAGGACTAACATTGGATCGCGAAACTCCCCTAGCAACGTCGGCGGTCACTGCATGCTTCTCTCTTCCGGACAGGCCTGCAGTTACCCTATGAAGGGAACTCATGCCAAGTACGGGTGCTTTGCCTATAGTAGTGCCTATGCCTATTCTGTCCCTCCTGGCCTCTTCACACTAGAGCAGTACGCACTCGCCTCCCAGCTCGGCCTCTCAGACGATGGAGGCGAGTACTGGAAGACCCGGCGCCTTAGTGAGTATTCCGGCCTCGAAGAGCGAGACGGGAACCCCGTCCTCGTGTCCATCTGGAAGCCGTTCCCAGATGTCACTGTCAAGACAACTCTAGTACCGCCGACGGAGACGGCGCCCAACTGGCACCTGCGAATCCACCGCATCGAAGCGGGGCGGGAAGTGATGACGGCAGATGGTGCTTTCGCCATTTGCAATGAGAACAGCAAGGACGGCAGGTATCTCGATCTTTATGACGCCGAGCTTTACGAGGGGACATCCCCAAAGATTATTGGAAACTACGACTTGAACACGCCCGCAGGCTGGGCGACCGGAAAGGATGGCGCGTTCGCCGTCTCCAAGGGCGCTGTGGGAATCAAGGCGCTCGAGGACAGCATTGAGCGATCCGCGAACCTTGTGAATGCGGATCCCAACTCCAACCTGGTTGAGAACCGGACGACCATCCCCACTCTCCAGCACACCATCAAAAGCGGAGAGTCTGTCTGGTACGTATCCGCGATCTACGCCAAGCCGCCGGGTGAAGGAGTGCCCAGGAGCGCCTACCTAGAGGGTTGGAACTCTCCTCCAGAGATCCCCGCGTGGTTGAAGGCGGAGATATCATCGTAGTTACTCTTGGCAGCATGAGTGTTATAGCCTAGTCCAAGGTGTGGTCTATCTCGCGATCAAATATTACAGATACAGTTGATTAGTAGGCTTTTACTCTTCTCTCTTTTCGTGTTCCTTTGTCTAGGTGAGGCCATTTTCCAATCCACTGAGAAAAGGTCACTGGTGAACAGCGAGTAATGTGATCATCTGGTAGTTATCCATTAGTATGATAGGCTGAAGGTACATCCATCTATGGATCCATCAATCGATGTCCCGCACCGCACGAAGAAGCAGCGACTCTGTTGTATAAGCAACAGCATCGCGCTTACTCAGGCACACCCCCATTCAACCCTTCTGTTGGCGGGATTCCTCTTTTGTCCGAGGACCGACCAACATATCATTGATGCTGCGTTCCTTCCCCGTTTCCCTTCCCCAGGTACCGCTCAAAGAAGAGAGGGGAACATGGGGGCGGGGAAGGCGAAGAACAAGCTTTCAACGCTAAAACGAACAAGTACTCCGCACTCAACCCCGGGTTGACGTTACCTTTGCACGCTCTCTTTGTAGCTGGCGACCCTTTTCTCCCCCTTCAACGGCCTAGTCGGGTTGCGGCAACAATAGAATGGATCTCTTCTTTCGCCCGAATGCCTAGCGCGCCGGCTCATCACTGGGCCTAGGAGGATTTAACTCCCCTGTCACCCCCACCCCCACTGCAAACACGCCTGCACCGGGGCCTAGCATCATCGGCAGATGGCCCCACGCGCCCGGCGCGCGAATGCCGTCGAGGAGTTGAGTGAGAAGGAAAAAAGGAATGCCAGGCCAAGACGCGGTTTCCAAGACGACCCCGTATTTTTGATAGCTGGCGCCGTCATGTGTTGGCGGACACTTCACTTCCAAAGCTTCTTCCAGCCCGGGTTGGGTCACCAGGGGATAGCGTTTAATATCCATCCAGGTCTGGTATTCGTGGCTCCCTTGCCCGACCGGATAATTTCATAATAGTGGGAAGCTACACAAAGTATCCATGTGGAGCTGGAGGATGGAAAGTCTCCTTGGATGGACGCGGCGACAGGGGATGAGCCGGCCAAACTTGTGGGCTACGATGCGGAAAACGGGACAGCACATTGATCATCCATCTTGGCATGGCATCTTTGATAGCGCCAAAGTCCTGTTTACCTTTGCTCAGATCGACCACGATTCGTCGGTTCGGAGGAACAGATGTGTCCATGGATGGCCAGTGGCACGGACTCTGACTGATCGATGAACTTGCGTGAACGAGGTATGCCATCCCTGGTGCTCTCAACGCTCTCGACGCTCTCCACTTTGACTTGCTCTCGCTCAGAGCCGTCTCTAGGGGAAGACTGGAACACCGAGTCCAACTTTGCAAGCCCCGAGTCTGAGTTGGTTGAGCGCGGCCATTAATACGCGGTAGCCAGAATCAAAGTCGAACGATGAGCCATCAAGCGCAAACAAAACTCCACTTCATCTGAAGGCAAGGGTCGACAGGCGGTTCAGGGCCGCCCCTTGGCATACTTTTGATGCCCTTGTCTTCCCCGCATTTTGGCTAATATTGGGAAGTGAGGGTGAGCCCGAACGGCTAATAAGAATGAACCCAGCCAGGAAGGACAGCGACCCCCTTCCATCACCCACTCCCCTACTCCGCACGCCACAGTGCTGGGATGTCGTCTCCAACGGCACCAACTACAGCTACAAGTACCACGCCACGCACGCTGCAGCCAACGAGGATCAGAAGAGAACAAACAAAGAACAGGGCCCCAGCAGCAGTACCGGCCGGGCGCTACCCTCCACCTTCTTGGCCGCACCGCTCGACTTGCTGATCCGCCAAGTGTTCCATTCGTTTCCCCTTCCAGGCAAGCCACCCGTTCATCAAGCCGAGCCTAGAATCATGATGGGCGAGGGCATGAACGGTCCGAATGGCATGGGCAGAAACGGATGGATGGATGGGAGGCGCCCCTTTCTATTTTGCTATCTCTGCTAGTCCACATGGAGAGACCATTGGTGGGCGCAATTTTTCCGTCTCGTTTGCCTCACCACGGTTTAGGCTGAGGCAAGAGAGAACGGATCAATTATAGCGAGAGGTCGCTAACCACCCAGCGGCGCAAAAGAAGCTCGTCTCAAATGGAGGGAGAGGAGAGGAGAGGAGAACGGAGTGGCGCACTTGAGGCTCCTCGACCCTGCTTCGCTCCACACCCACCTCGAACTTGATTGTACAGCAGTGTCTACGACATGTCGCCTCAATGCCTGTTCCCACGCGTTAGCGGGGTCTTTCCAACGTGGCTGCACCAAACAGAACTCGAGTCCTGAAGCTTTTTCTTTCTCTCTTTCTTCTTCCTTCCTTCTTCTTTACTTACGTTCACAGCACACCACCATGATCCATTGGAGGGACCCATTGATGTCGGCAGTGTTCCCTGTTTCCCGACTTCTTCCATTATCTCTGGATGGACCAACCGCATCTCAGCGTGGCCTCCGGGATCATGAGTTTTCTCAGATTCCTTTTATTTCCCTAAAACCTTCCCTCTCCCAATTTCCACGCACCAAGTGAGAATTCCGCTCAATCCCGTTGTTTGGTCCCATCGCAAGTGGATTGAGAGCACGGTCATAATCTGAGCAATCGGACTGGATCAATTGATGCACGAGCAAGTGGTGTCATTGAGGCCATTGGCAGCCAAGACCCGAAAAGCTGCAGTTTCATCATCTCGAGCTACGGTTTTTTCTTCTCTCTATCTTGCACCGCGCCTGGGCTCCTTGAATTAGATAAATACAACGACAAAAAGAGCTTAAAACACACCTCGGACTCGCTTTCACCGGAAGCATCCATTGATAGAGTCCACTACGCTCGTACGCTAGTGCGGACGGCTTCCGGCGAAGGGGGACCCTTGCCTTGCCCTGACAATCTGACAATCGCTGGCCGAGAGCGCTTGATCAAGTTGACCAAGCCGGCAAAACGGTCGCCGCTGCTTTATCTCCGGCACGAGTTCCAGGGTGAAGGGCACTCTAGCGATAGTGATTTTCCTCGTTTTCACATGGGTCGTGATATTACCATTGCTCCCTTTTTTCCTCCTTTTTTTTTTGGCTCGCGGCGACCCGACAATTAGTATATTATTCCATCCGTTCAATAGCCATGCGGAGACGATCCCTTCCGTTCCAAAACCAATCAATCGCCCCGAACCGAGTCATTTGAGCCACGCGGAGAGAAGTCTGTCATTGAGAAGCAACCCATCTTGGTCCGGTTGTGCTGGTGTAACTGTGACTTTTTTTCTCCCCTTGTTTTTCTCCATCATCCCCTCCCTTACTCGCTTGTAAATATATACATAGGATCCATTGGATGGCTTTCCAAAGACCATTTCATCGAATGCTACTTTCCTAGAGCCAATTATTATCTCCTTTGGCCCATGCTCTTCATTCTTTTCTCAAGATGAGAGGTGCTGGCTCGATCAAGCTTGTTAGTTAGTAGTGAAGCTCCTTGATCCCTCCACGCTGCTGCCGAGCAAAGCGGCGCATTTGTGAGAAAGTATGAAAAGGTAGAGGAACAAGCATCCGAGATGGGCGCTGCGCAGGACAAGAGGCCGGCTCGATGCAACCAAGGCCCGGCTCACCTGTGTATACGGTGTACTTTGGATAGGTTGATCATGTTGATTCTACGCTTCCCCAAGGTCCCCGGGTGCTTCTATCTCAGGTACCCCGACGGTGTAAAAGCCTTGATGCTCTACTTTGAGCATGCATCTCGTTGGCCGACAACCCTCCATTCCACTCTTGCTTGCCGTTCGGAACTATCTTGTTAGCCCTCTTGTCGGTAACTTGGAGTCACGGAAGGGAAAGGAGGGGGTGTGTAGCGAGCCATAGCAAGTACATTCGATTGCTGGCGACTTATTGGGACCCATCAAGTCGAGCTCGGTCTAAGAAGCTCGGGTCTCTTCTCGATACAGTCCAAATTGCGGGCATCCCGTCCATCCATGCTCGTAATATTACGAGTATATCCTGCAGCACCCAGCTGTCTGGGTTCTGGCGACCCTGAGCCCTCTCCTCCTGTTCTTTTTCTCTTGGGTTATTATTTTCGTTTTCTTACTTTCCCTCCTCCCCCTTCCTCCCTTTCCCTCCCTTAGTATCCAATTCTTTTTTGGTCTTCTCCTTTGGATTCTCAAAGGGATTCGGAGGTTTCGAGTCGACACCTTCTCGCGAGGATTCAAGAGCTCACCCTATTGAGAGCCTTCTAAAAACTGCCGAAGCTCGCACGCAGTTTCCTGTCATCTCCGGTCTCGCCCCGACTTGAACCGAACTACAGCTTCGCCTTTTTTCCCCCTCCTCTTCTCCCGATAACTGCGAAGATGGGCACATTCGCAAAGGTCTTGCGCGTCATCGTGCGAAACGATGCCATGCGCGAAGAGTATGCCTTTTTTTTCTTACACCATTCGTTTTTGGCGGCTCTTTCTTGCGCCTGGCCAGCGCCCGCCCGCGCAAAGCTCTGACTAACACGGGCGCTTGCCTCATTTTCTAGTCCCCCGGCCATTTACAACTGGAGGGTCTTCACCTTGGTTTGCGCTTGTAAGTATAATCGTGCTCTTGAGCAGAAACTCCCTAAAAGAATGAAAAATTAAGAAGAAAAAAAAAAAGAGAAAAGAGAAAAGCGGTAAACAAAGGCCGTGGGGCCCAACTCAAATGTTATGTTGAGGGGACGGGGTTAGAAAAGAAGCTAGAAAGCTAACTTGTAATTTGTTGGATAGCTTGGTATGGACGATGCGGCTAATCCTAACGCCCTGCCTCCGATGTTGGTAAACTAACATGGTGGCTTTCTGCAGCTTCGGTGGTATGCTGTTCGGTTGGGAGTAAGTTAGGACCTCGAATCGTCATGGAATCTGTCGTTCTATGACAGCGTGTAGAAGCGATTATCTTTGGAGAGTGCTAATATCCCGGTGCAGTATCGGCGCCATTGGCGGTGTCTTGGCCATGAAGGAAACTCAGACGTAAGTCTCCCCGTCTGCCGGCCACATCGACACTTTTCGTTGCCGCCTACATCATGGGATTCCCTCGAGATCAACCTAACAACGCGATGCAACAGGCAATTCGGATACGCCGACGCTCTCCAGCCAGTCAAGGATAAGCACGACCAGGACAGTAAGTTGCTTCGGCCCCATTGAAGAGGGTGCTCGAAGGCCTATACTTTGTGAACAAATCCACTCGGGTAGGCTGGGCTCAATTGCAATCCGTCTAACATTGGAAACCTTCAGTCGTCTCCACCCTTCAGGGTGGCTGCTTCTTCGCCTGTCTCATCACCCCCTGGCTCGCTGACCGCTACGGACGTCGCCTCTCTCATCGGTACCGGTCTCATCGCTTGCATCGGTATCATCATGCAGACTGCTTCGGCCTCCAGCGGCTCTTTCGCCCTCATGTTCGTCGGTCGATTCGTCGCCGGTCTCGGTGTCGGTGCCGCCTCCATGTTGACCCCCTTTACGTCTCCGAGTGCGCTCCCCGTGCCATCCGCGGCGGTTTGACTTGTAAGAACTCCCCGAAGCGTTACCTCGATCTGGAGAGCTCCGAGCCTTATCGTGGGGCTTGATGATTGGCGCGTTTTGTAAGGCTAACCTTGTATACAGCTCTGTACCAGCTCTTCATCGTGACTGGTGTCATGATCTCTTTCTGGTATGTTGGAAGCCTAGACATCACTTTGGGGCGTTTTCCCTGGGCGGGGATGGAGCTATCTACCCCCAGTCGATCGCCAAACCTCTGATTCTAACTTTCGTTCCCTTAATCAGGATCAACTACGGCTCCAAGGCGCACTTCAAGGGTATCTCCGTCTTCATCGTTCCTCTGGTTTTGCAGGCTCTCCCTGCCATGTGAGTTGCCCCTCCTCCGAAGCTTTTCTCGTTTTATTGCCTCTATTTCCCTAACAGTAGCGCTAATTTATGTTTGTGTAGCCTTCTCTCCGTCGGAATGTTCCTCGTCCCTGAAAGGTTAGTCGATCAAGGAAGATAGAATAGAGAAACCGGCCCTCGCATATCACAACTACATCCCACTAGAAGGGAAGGGGAGCATCGCCTCCCCGTCTTCTTTGCTTCCCTACTCTGCCTATCTCTCTTCAATGATATGACTAAACTGACACGGAGTTTATAGCCCCCGTTGGTGCGCCAAGCAGGACGACTGGGAATCGAGCACGACCATCCTTGCTAAGCTTCGACAGTGAGTTGGCCCTTGTAGTAACTGACGAACGAAGGAAAGGAGAAAAGAGGGGCAGGTGTCCTAACGCTTTCTATTTTAGGCTTCCTGCCGATCACGAGTACGTTCAGAGCGAAGTGCGAGACATGGCCCAGCAACTTGAGCAGGAGCGCCTGCTTGTCGGTGATGCCTCGACCAAGACTCTTCTCAAGGAAATGTGGCTCGTTCCGTCTAACCGTAAGCGAGCCCTCATCTCGGTTATGCTCATGGTTTGCCAGCAGATGACTGGTGTCAACGCCGTTGTAAGTAGTGCCCCCGTTGCGTTGCGAAGGGCGATTTTGTTCTGCTCGCTTTACCCCTCGACGCTTCTTTCGCTCTCACCTACTCTACAACGAGGATAAAATCGCTGATAAGGCCTCTCTCTTTCCTTTTACAGAACTACTACGCCCCGCAAATCTTCCGCTCTCTCGGACTCGATGGCGATCTCGTCTCTCTCCTCGCGACCGGCGTCTACGGAATCGTCAAGGTCGTGGGCTGCCTCTGCTTCCTCCTCTTCTTCGCCGACTCCCTTGGTCGCAGGCGCAGTTTGCTCTGGACCTCCGCCGCGCAGTGCATCGTCATGTTTATCGTCGGTATCTACGGCCGCGTTGAGCCCCCGTCGAGGGCCGAGACGTACGTACACCTTTTTTATCTGTTTCCTTGTCTCTTGCCTTTTGTCGCTGAGGGCGTGAAGGAGATAAAAACGGGACCTAGCTATTAACTGTGCTTACAGATTACCGGTTTCGGCATCTTCGCCATCGCGTGTATCTACCTTTGGGCTACCTTCTTCCAGTTCGGTTGGGGCCCGGTCTGCTGGATTCTCGTCAGGTAAGACGCACTTCCATGGCGTGGACGTCTCATTTATTGTTTCTTGGACACCCGCCTTCGCCAAAAGGGGAAAATGATGTGCTAATGATTGTGCCAACAGTGAAATCCCCACCGCGCGTCTCCGAGCCCTCAATGTCGCTCTGGCTGCTGCCGTTCAGTGGCTCTTCAACTTCATCATTGCCCGAACGGTGCTCGAGATGAAGCGCACCATGGGCACCGCCGGTTACGTGAGTTTACTTCCCATTCTAAATCCCCTTCAAGGTTTTTAGTCCAAGGTGATGGATGATGAGAGATTCGGCTAACACTCGGGTACGCTCTTCTTTCAAACAGGGCATGTTCTTCCTCTTTGGCTGCTTCTGCGCTCTCATGGGTGTCTTTGTCTGGTTCTTCATTCCCGAGACCAAGGGTTTGTCCCTGGAAAAGATGGATGAGCTCTGGGGAGCCAACAAGGATCACGAGAAGAGGGTGGAGCTCGAGCGCGACGGAAGCGTGCACGAGGCTACCCCGCAAAGGCATCTCAGTAAATATTGTGGCAAGGAAGATGGATCGCTTTGTCGATATATCCTTGAAAATAAGAGGTGAGGGGAGAGATGGAGACAAGGACAGGGACGGGAGCTTAGTACCGCTAGGGAGCCCAACTAGGTCGGACCGTAGGGCCAAGTTGAGCGGAATGGCAGCTGCCCGACAGAGCAAGGCCAGATTGATGTTGGGAAGGAAGACTTGATATCCAGCACATAGGTGCATGCGTGTAATGAAGGCGGCGGCCCTTTCTTGTCTCCCTCGGACGGGGCGTCGAGTGGGCAGCTAGTGCCCGTTGACGTTGGTATATATATCATTCAGTGCAGTTGTATTTGGCCTCGCGGACGTCGATTGTAGGTGACATGTGGCTGCCGCATATTTGAAAGTGAATGCATCTTTACTTTGTGCGAGATGACCGCGACCGATGGAACCCTTCTCCCAAGTCAAACGGCGCCCGTTCACAACATTGAACCTGCAACTGATGCTGTCTGGTGTCGGGGTAGGAAATCGGGAAGGGAAGGAGGGGACCAAGGGAAAAATACATAAACAGCATTGAGCCCCTTCTGTGACTCTCCTGACAAGGAAACTCGGAAATTTCAAAAATGCGGGCGTGTCGGCCTCCCCGTGGGTTCAGTGTTGAGCTAAAATGCATTATACGTCGCTAGGATCCAGAAAAAGTCGATGTTTTCCAATCGAAGTTAAGTGTCCGGACGGACAAAGTGAAATCAATTGATGGGGGCGGGGCTCCGAGTAAAGTTGACGAAATTGGTGCGATCTGGAACCTCCACAATCCTGCTAGTTCACCGAGACAAAAACCATTTACGAGATTGTAGTGCCCGTATACACCTGCAGCTTCCGCCAATTCCAAAGGACGTGCAGGGAGGATTGAGAACGGACAGACAAAGCTCCCCTACTTAGGCCCCCGTCGGACGGTTCGAAGGAGGAGGAGCCCGGCGCTCACTTTCGACCCCGAGAAACCACCCCCGTACCCACACAATGGCGGCGGATCGGAAAGCTGCCGAGGCCACGGCCTCCCGGCAGACCAACACCATTCCGGCCCCCTCGTTCCGTAAGTAGGACCTTGCTATTTTTCTTTCCCCCTTTTCAGTTTCCTCAACTCCCCTTCTCACCGAGAGGAGGTACTCTCGATCCCTGGCGCTGACACTCTGTCGCGCAACGGGTCCCCTTTGGAGGCCCCCTTCGCGCTCTTCGCACAACTCAAAGCCACACACAACTCGCCGAGGACGTGGCTTCTAACGTCGGCCCTTTCCCCGCTGCAGATACGCCTCATCCGCCTCCTCCTCGCGCACGGCGATTACGTGGTCGCGTGTCTGCCCCCGCACGAGGTCGAGGACGAGCTGCGGAGCGCCGAGTTCCGCGAGCTCGTCAACGAGTGCAAGAGCACCCGCAAGGACCGCGAGGGCTGGAAGGACAGGCTGAGGGGGTGCGGTGCGATGGGAAAGTCATGGGCCAGTGCTCTGCTGCCGTGGCCGAGGCCATGGCGGCGTTTGGGAGGATCGACATTCTACTCTGCTGCAAGTCTGAAGGTGGGTTTCTACTCTGTTCCATGCCCCCCTCTGATGCTATCGCGCTTTCTCCAATTCACCTTACCTCGATATTTTTCTCTATTCTCGTTTGACCGAGGCAAGATATGGATTCTCGGCAAGGGGGAGCGGGAAAAAGGGTCTATCTGCTCTCTACCATGATATGAGCACGGGTTCACGAAGGCGAATACTAATCTTTATGCCTGCGGGTCTCAACAGCGGTCATTGGAACGGTGGAGGAGCTCTCTACGACGCCGGTTACGCAGAATCTCGTGCGAGACCAGTTCGAAACGCTCTTCTTCTCGCAAATCAACTTTATCAAGGCTACGCTGCCCACCCTGAGGGAGCAGCACACAGGCCACATCATCGTGCTCACCAGCATCGGAGGGCACATTGGCACCCCGGCATGCCGATATACACCGCGGCTACTTGGGCGCTCGAGGGCTACTGCGACTCCCTCGCCTACGAAATCGCCCCATTCAACGTCAAGGTCACCATCGTACAGCCCAACAAGGAGATCCAATCCCTGACCAACAAGATCATCTTCGCCCCGCCTATCCCTCCCTCCGAGAACGACATCAACATGGCGCCCAGCGTGAGGACATGCTCACCAACGTGCTCAACATGACGCCCGAGACGGCAGTTGAGCCTTCCACCACGGAAATCATCTCGCGCTACCCTAAGCTCCCCGCTGCCGCTCTCGACAAGCTCGTTATGGAGACGGTACACGCCCTCACTGCCATTGGCGGCCACGAGAACCCGCCCGCGCGTCACATCGTTGGCTTCGAGGGCGCCATTGCCGTCAAGGACAAGCTCAAGACCGTTACCGAGGAGCTAGAGGACTTTGTCGAGGCGAGCATCGCCGTCGATATTCCCCAGGTTGGAGGCTCCGACATAAAGGAGGAACGGACCACGAGCTCCCCGCCACGATTCCCGGGACGTCCATGACACCCAACTAAGGTTTACAGAGTTTGTGACTAGCGGGGATTTCTAGGGCGTGGACCTTGGAGGTATTTCTTTCGGGTCGGTGGGTGGTAGGTTGGGGTTTATGGATAGGGTGCGGTGTCTTGGACTGCTTGTTATGCTTTTGCTTTGGCCTCAAGGAGGCATGGTTCATCGGTTGCTCTTTGTTTCATGTTTGAGTCTACTCTCCCTCTCCCTCTCTTGACGGATTTTGAAAACCGTGGTGCTAGATGAAGAGCTGCTAGTCCCTACAGCCCATGAATAAATTATATTCTCAAGCTATCAATGGCTTCGCCTCTCATGATGATGTGGCAGGCGGCGGGATCACTAAACTCATTTCTAGGCCTCTAGGTCGATGATAACGAGTCAGGTTTTTCTCACGAACCATTCAAAGAGTCGTCCAACTGCTCGCAGTCCCCTAAAGAGGTTGTTGATGGCCTCTTCGGTTGCCTCCTCCAGTAAGTGCCTTGCGCAGTTGCAATGCATAGCTAACCAGTCTGTTGGACCATTTTATATAGTTTAATAAGCACCAGCCTCGGGAGAAACAAACTCCTTTCGATGACGAGGACTCGGGCCCCTTCGTTTCTGTCTTTCTTTTGGTGCTTTTTATATTCGTTGTCCACCTTCCCGCTCTTCACCTCTATCTCGAAAGCCACCCATCGTCTGGTATCTCTCTCACCCCACCTCAGTATAAAGAGGTAGGTGACCTCTCTAGGCGCTGTTCCAAAAGTCTACTCCGTCCTGAAATATGGACTAACTTGCTCGCGTGCACTTATATTCATACCGGATCTTAGAAAGTCAAAACAATACGGAAAGAAGATGTGCAAGACCAAGGGCATCAAGTACACGTGCGGCTGCAAGCACGAATGCGAATTCACCCAGTGCCAGGCGCGGTGGGGGACTAATGTCAGATGCGAGGTTATCGCCAAAGATACTGAAAAATATCAACCCACCCCTGTCCGAAGCATTTGATCGATGCGGACACGGCGACGCCTAATAAGTCTACGGAAGCAGCAGGTAAGGGGGCCGGTAGAGGGAAGAAGTGGGAAAATGGTCTGAGAAAAGTGGGTTGTACTTGGTGTCTTGGTCTTCAATGTAAAGATGGAGAAGGTTTAGAGAGCAACTCGAGGTTCTATGCTAGGAGGCGCGAAGCCATTGCACTTGTCCGCTCAGAGCTATTCCGTCAGTGATTGTTGAGTGGGCATGCACACAACCATCCAGAGCATTTGATAGCTCCCTTGTATCCTCCCGATTCTCGGCCCCACCAAAGGTTCCAAATCCCACGTGCTGACTCATCCTGCACCACAGCTCCTGCACCGCAAGACAGGATGGTCAATCTAAGATGCCACAACTTGACAGGATTCTCTGTGTGTCAAGCAGACGAAACCTTTGCCGTACACGATATCTTGTGGGCCCTTCAACGCCAGCGACGGGCGCTTACATCCTTGGGTCCCCCATCTCCCATCCATCTCTCCTCTTTAGCCACAAAGCGATAACGCGTAGATCGCGCGCCAGTACTCCTCGTTTCCACCGACCCAAGCCGCTCGTCATTTCGTCGCGTTCGCTTCTAACCCACCTCTAAAGAACGTCGCCCTTTTTGGTCCACGCCAGCAATCGAAGCTTCCATTCCTCGGGGCAGATTCCCCGGTGACGACGGATCCTCGACCATGTCCCGACGCTTACGCCCTACTTCTTCATTATGAGCTCAGATCCACTATCGCCTATAGCCCCCGCGAGGGTGAGGGCACTTATACTACCCCTGGGCCAGATTCGAGGCCCCCGCTTCTCCAGTTTCGTCGACCGGCTCCAAGACGAGCATGTCGTCCACCTACGGGATATCACCGCCGATGGCCGGCCAAACCGTAGTGCGTAACTCACCTACCCCTTTGCGTTCCTCTCTCTACCCCCCTTTTTTTCCGCTCATACCTTCCAGAGCTATGAAGCAATTAGACGGCGTCCGACACAACCTGCTTTGTCCTTGCTTCGCCACTAACAACTCCTCTCAGATATGTTCTCCCCCTCGCATTCCCAGCGGGCGCCATCTTCTACGAGCTCATCACCCACATGCCGCCCCCTCCCACCTCGCCCTCTACCCCTTCGAAGTTTACCGCGAGCCACTAGCGATAATTGCCGTCGCCGACGGAAAGGAGCTGGGAAACGAGGCTATTGGGAAGCGTAACTCCATTAACGGGAGGGCACCAACCCTCATGGAGCAGAACCTGCGCTCGCTGGATCAGGAGCTCGAGGGGCTGCGCGACACTTTTGGCAAGGCACTAGTCCACCAAGTCCTCATTTTCGACTATGAAAAGCCCCAAGGCCGCGAGATCCACATCCCCGAGGGTATCACAGTAATTCCTCCCGTGGAAAAATCGAAGCGGACGACGATGAAGAGCGTCATGTGTGACATATCTTCTCTACTTCTTGCCGAGATGACAACCCTCGCCAAGTCCATCGAAGGCACAAACTTTATCGACTCCCCAGGGCAGATCCCTAACTCTAGATCATCCAACGGGTCTTCTTGGAACAATAGCGAGGACGTGACGAATGCTCACGCGAGAAGAAACTCTCAATTTATACCAGGCACTCGGTCTAATTCAGCAAGCGGACTTGCTGAAAAGGTTGATAGGAGCCATGTGCGCATGTCAATGCCACCGGTGCCCTTCAAGTCATCTCCATCTATTATGCACTCTTCAAATCCGTCCCGATCATCGACCCCTGGAAAAAGTGGCTTATCCAACCCTCCTGCAACATTTGATGACCTTCCGGGGAACCAAGATTCGGGACCCTCTAGCCCGGAGCAGAGAATCTCCAGGCCCGGAACGGCGGAAGGGTTCCGGACGTCGAGCCAGGATCGCGTCTCCGTCCAAGGCTTTGGCGCGGGAGGGGCTAATGATCGATGGAGACTGCGGGGCAAGGCTCGGGGAGTCATCATCATTGGTTCCATGTACCTTCAGGCTGGAAGGTGGACCGACGCCCTTAGGGAACTCATTGAAGGTGCCACTATGGCCCGCTCCGTAAATGACCATGTCTGGCACGGAAAAGCCCTAGAACTTATCGTTGTTTGTCTTCTTCTCTTGGGTTGGGCCGGTATCGACTTCCAGGTTCCCGTCGTCTGTCTTGCGCAGCAAGAGAAACAACCGAGCGACGGCGGGTTAAAGGACGTGGACAATCTCGATCCTTCCCAGCCTCTCCGGTTTCGCAACCTCCAGGTGATACTACCCGATCTTCTCGATCGCATCATTGGACTTTACTCGCGCATATCATCGGAAAGCCTACCATCCTTTCCACTGTCCGAAGCCATTCTCCGATTCTGCAAGCTCCTTTCCTCGCTTCATATTGCGGACGGGGTAGTAGGCGAGCCCTTTTTCCGTTCGGTTATACGCGGGGAGAGCCCAAAGCCGTTGACCAGCGCTCCCCGCCTTAGCGTCAAGCCGAGTCGCCAGTTCATCGCCAACTTTGCTTTTCGCGCCTTTCCTTCTGCGGTGGGGGAACTCATTACCATTGTAGACCGTGTCACTATATTAAGCGGCATAGCAGCGGTTCTGGGTCCTTTGGGCTATCATCGCAAAAGGGAATGGTGGTACGAGAGTTGATTTCGGTTCTCATCAGCGGACTGGTAGAAGCACGGACACGTGGCGCTGCCGAGGTCGGCATCCACCCGGCCGCCGGGCTAGTCGCCCTCGCTGCTGCCGACGGGCACCGCAAGCCCGCTGGTTCTGTGGCGCTGGAGCTTCAAGAAGGGGATGTAGAGCAGGGGATTGAGGCATTCCTTGGCATTTTGAGCAAAACGTACGGAATCGTTGGCTACAACCCGGGTGACCATTCCACCGAGGAGAACGGCAACGGGACAGATGCTGATACGGTGGCCCGGATACGAAAGCAGACGGCATCTCGCTTCTTCGGCTTTCCCAGCGTCAAGCTCGGCGTACTTCGTGCTTGTATCAACTTTTCCGAGGCCCTTCCCGATTTCAATGGGGTTTTGAAATTCTCGAGCGATCTCATGCGCACAGCGGGTTCAGGCATCGCTCCTGGGCCCCGGCGAGAGGAGGCCGCGCCCATTGTCCCGCGAGAGGAGCAGGTGAGGCTCGTTACGAATATCACAAAGACCTATGCGCTATCTCAGAGGCTAGGGCTCAATAACTTGGCTGCGGAATATTGGGATGAGCTTTTGGTTCGGGCCGTTGTCCTCGACCCCCTTCCAGCCGCCAAAGCCTCGGTCGCGCATTCCAAAAGCGTGCTTCCGGGGTCACGACCTCGCGCACGTCGCAAGACGTGGATCCTTTCATCTATAACCCTTTCCTAAAACAACTTGACAAGGCTGCTGTGGAGCAGACGTTGGTGGTTGGTGAGCCTGCCACTTTCCGGGTAACTCTCCAAAACCCCTATGACATCGACCTCGACATCGAGAGCCTCAAGGTGGTGGCCGAGGGTGCCGACTTTGAGCCCTTCGCCGATAGCACGATCATCGGCCCATATCGCACTCAGGTACTCAAGGTCATTGGAACCCCGAGATCCGCAGGTGCTCTCAAAGTCACGGGTGCCATGGTGCGGGTTCGCGGGTGCCGTGAAAGGCACTTCCACATCTTCTCACAGCCGTGGGTGCCTGAGCGGTCGAGCACATACAAAGCCACGGGACTCGCAGCTCTCGAGAAGAACCTAGCGTTGGAAGGTGCGGCGCCCGCGAACCTCCAACCAACGGAGCTTTCGCTCAAGGTGATACCGGAGCAGCCTACGGTGATTGTCAAGTCTACCACTCTCCCTCAATCGTGCGCCATGATACTCGAGGGCGAACGGCAGACGTTCTCAGTCACTCTCAAAAACACAAGTCAAACCACCCCTGTGGACTTTATGCTTTTTCCTTTGAGGACTCGACCCAAGGGCCATTGCAGGCGGCATTGGCTAATCGCGACTCGACCCCCACCGAGTTGTACGAGTACGAATTAGTCTTGATGAAGAAGCCAGCGTTGAAATTGAAAAAGAAGCCTCAAGAGAAGCGCTACATCGCGCCGGGGGCGAGGCGACATTCGAATTTGAGATTTTGGGAAGCCCGGTCTCACAAACGGGACTATCCAAATCGACTACGCCCACCTCGGCGTGCCACCGGAGGAGGTGGTTGACCAGTTCCACACACGGCGGGTGGGGGTGCAGCTAACAGTCACCGTCAACGCCAGCGTAGAAGTGTCGCGACATGACATTCTCCCTATCCTCGAAAGTGTCCCGGAGCCCATATGGAGCCGCTTCAAGAAGAGCCGGGAGAACAAAGGTGACGATGACCAGGCCGACGAACTCAAGAAAGAGGAAAGCGGTCTAGTCTCTGCAGATCGATACTGCTTGCTATCCTTGGACCTTATCAACGCCTGGCCCAGCACGATGCTCCTACGCATCGAGACCGACGATGGCTTGTCCGTCGAGGAGTATATTTTGCCGGGCAATACCTCGCGCGTTGTCTTCCCGGTGCGGCGCATCTTCATCGAAGACCCACATGCGGCCATACCGACTCTCAACCCCAAGCGTAATCGGCAGTTCGTGGTAAGCACGAGTAAGACAACGCCTGACTTTGAGCGGGGAGTGCGCGAATCGTTCTGGTATAGAGAGAAACTTCTCGACTCCCTCAAGGCAACGTGGAAGACCTTGACGGGCCCACAGCGATCAGGTACCGTCGAGCTGCGGGCCATCCGGCTCGTGAGTCGGATGGTCGACTCGCTCAAAATCGAAGATGTGGGTATCGATGTGTTCGTTGAAACCCCGGCGCTAGTGGGGAAGAAGCTGCGGAGGACGAAGAACATGGTAAGGGTCAAGGGCGCGAGCGCAGCGCGTCACCCACGACGCTATTTTTGGATGACTTTGCCCAGGTACGAGTCCGGTTGCGCAACAGGACAACGAAGCCAATCTATCCACTTCTACGCGTGATGCCAGCCCTATGCCACCGGCCGACCAACGTGGCACTCGATTATGCGAGGAAGTTTGCCTGGAACGGTGCCCTCCAGCAGGCGTTACCTCTCTTAGACGCGAAGAGCAACACTGATGTGATCCTGGGCGTGACGGCCCTTTGCCGTGGCCAGTTTGAGATTACGGCGTCCGTAGAGGAAACGGCGCTCTGGCGGGAGGATGATGAAGAAGGCGAGGACGGTGAACGCAAGGGAAAAACTGCAGACGGGGGCAGGGCGCGGTCGGACACGCAGACCATGCTCGATGCGGTCTTGGGCAAGAGGGAGAGGAGGATATGGCATGCACGCAAGCCGTGTTTGGTTACGGTCCGGGATCGCGACGAGTGATGTGGGGGAAGAGGGGATCTTTTGTGAACATGTAACCTGCTCCAATGTCAACGAGCCAGGACAAGATGAGATGAGACGAGACGAGATGATATGAGAAAGACGAGACGAGACCAGGTGAGGAGCAGCGTTGTTCCTGGGACGAGAACAGCTGTGTAATAATTTTATGAATAATGCTTGTTAGAGAGCCAAAAAGAACTGAAGTTTACAAACAGCAGTCCGTTTTCCTCGGCCGGTCTTGTCATTGTAGCCGACATATACTCGTATTGGCTATTTAATCTTTTACTTTCCCTCGAGAATGGAAACTTCCAAAATGTCAGATGCGCTCGTGTCTCATTACCTCAACAAAGAAACACAGATTTTGTAGGCTCGTGGTGTGACCAAACCATCATCGCCAACCACCAGTCGACCCTTGCTAAAGTGTAGATGTTGAGTCGTCCAAATTAGCTAGCGGGGCCTGTTCCGACACTGCCGCCACTAAAAAGGAAAAAACTTGATAGTCTGCCCCTGGAGCGAGTAGGGAAACCCCTAGCAGCGGGCGGGACCCCGAAGCTTTCCGAGTGGCCGCTACGAGCTCACCGCTCACCGAGAGAACTTTATTTTCTTTTTTTCTCTTTCTTTTCTTTTTCCCTTTTTTAAGCCTCACATTCGCACCTTCCCCAGGTATTCCTTCTCTCGTGCGCGCCTTCCAGCCGGCTTTGACAAGGGCGGAAATAATTGCGCCATTGTGAGAGACATATTCCCAGCGAGCCATGTGCCCCATGCTCTCTCGCCTTCATCTCCATCTTTAATAGCCTCCCCGTTGAATTTGACCGCCCTCCCCAACCAAATTGGGTCTGGGGGTTCTCTTTGTCCGTTGATCTTTGGCGGCGTTGCTCAGAGGATCTTGGCAAGCAGGCCTTTTTATCAGCACCAAATGGCTCGCCGTCGCATTCTGTTCCTCGATGCATATGACTCATTTACGAATAATATAGTCTCCCTTCTCGCCACTTTGCTAGACGCAGATGTCAAGATACTGCACATAGACGATCCCCGGCTCGACCCAGAGTCCCCCACCTTTTCGGAGGACTGGCACCGCGAGCTCGCCCACTTCGACGCTCTCGTCTGCGGGCCGGGGCCGGGCTCGCCCACCAACGACAAGGATGTCGGCCTCATGCGGCACGTCTGGGCCCTGAGCGACGAGCATGTCCTCCCCGTCCTGGGCATCTGCCTCGGGTTCCAGAGTCTGCTGTGCAATTTCGGCGCCGAGATCCGCCAGCTCCAGCAGGGCCTCCACGGCATGATTCGCGCCGTCGGTTTCCGCCCGGCCTCGGAGCCCGCGGAGAGCGACATCTTTACCGGCACCTCTGCCTTCAAGGCCACTCTCTACCACAGTCTGTGCGTCAACGTCGGCCAGGACGGGATCGCCCCCGACGAGTGGGCGACGGCCAAGTGGCGGCGGTTTCCCGGTGCCCGGACATGGTGCCCTTGGCCTGGGTAGAGGAAGCCCGCGACGGCGGCGGTACCGAGCGCATCTTCATGGCCGCCAAGCATGTGGAGAAGCCCTTTTGGGGACTTCAGTACCACCCGGAATCCGTGTGCACCGAGGACGCGGGCCAGAGGGTTATCCGAAATTGGTTCGACGAGGCGGCGCGCTGGAACGAGCGGCGCGGCCGTCGGCCCGTGGCGGACGGCGAGCTCCTTGCGCGGTTTTGCGTGGCGCCGAGCCACCTCGACGCCATGGAGGGCACGCGCGCACGGAACAAGGTGGGCAGTGGAGACGAGTATGTCAATGGCGCGAGCGCCCTCGCTGGCGTTGGCTTGGACTTTGACTTTTCGTCGCGCGTGGTGCGCTTACCTGAGCACGTCAAGGTGCCTGACCTCGTCGAGATTCTCGGCGGGCCGGAAAGCGGGCGTGACGGGAATGGTATTGACGAAAACGATTATATCGTTTTGGATTCATCCAACTGCGACGTGGTGATTCCCCGGCACGGCAGATGTTCGGGGTCGGCACAGTATCGTGGCGCTGGACGTGGCCTCGTCGCTGCAGCTGCGGTACCGCGCAGGAGATGACCATCTCGAAGCCAAAATTCCCGGAAAGGGCGCCTTTCACGACGTTCACTTGGGGCGGTCGTGGGGAGCGTCTGGCAGTTTGTCTCGGACTTTCTCGCCCAGCGCAGGATTACGGCTCCCGAAGGGTGCGCCTCTCCATTTTTGGGGGTTTCATGGGCTACGTCTCGTACGAGATGGGCCTGCACGACTTGGACATCGCCTTGCCAGGGACCCGGAATCCGGATAGGCCCGATCTGCATTGGGTTTGGGTGACTAGGTCTCTCGTCGTAGACCACCGCGCGGGAACGGTGCAGGTGCAGGAGCTGCGGCCGAAGCTTCGGCAGGGCGGTGGCGACTGGGTCGCTGGCATCGTTGAAAAGCTTCAGAGTTCTCCCAGGTGGCAGGGGGTCACCAACGGCGAACAAGACGGTGCCGCGGATCTTCAGGATTGCAAAGTTGGCCGCAACGCGGATGTTCAGATAACATTCCCTCGAAAACAGAGTACATGGCTAAAGTGAAGGAATGTCAGGGTTACATTGCCAGGGGTGAATCCTACGAGCTCTGTCTCACGGACAAGGTCTTTGTACGCCGGCCCAAGGGCCCATCTTCTTCTTCTCCGCCCAGCGTCGCCGCATCGCCCCCACCATCACTATAAATGGTGGCGGTAAGGCTAATGCGCGGACGGAGTCGTCTTCGCCGACCCACCGCGTGGAAAGCCCTTGGAGCCTGTACAAGCGCCTTCGATCCCGGCAGCCCGCTCCGTTCGGCTCCTTCATCCGCCTCGGGGCCGCCACATTCATCAGCAGCTCCCCGAGAGGTTTCTCAGCTGCTCCCGCGATGGCACCTGTGCGATGCACCCCATGAAGGGGACAGCTAAAAAGTCGGCGGCGGTCCGCACTCTAGCGGATGCCGAGAAGTTGCTCCGCATTCCCAAGGAAGAGGCCGAAAACCTCATGATTGTGGACCTTGTCCGCCACGACCTCCACGGCGTCTGCGGGCCCGGCAGGGTCTCGGTACCGCATCTGCTCAAGATTGAAGAGTACGCTTCCGTGTTTCAGATGATTACCGTCGTGGAGGGCCGACTCCCAGAACCCCGGGGTGAGGAGGCCAGGTATACAGCCATTGACGTGCTATCGGCCTCATTGCCACCGGGGAGCATGACGGGCGCGCCCAAGAAACGCAGCTGCGAGATCCTCCGCGCCGTAGAGCGGGGACGTGAGCGCGGTATCTACTCGGGCGTTGTCGGCTACGTCGACGTCACTGGCAAGTCGGACTGGAGCGTCAACATCCGCTGCTTGTTCAAGTACGACGACGAGTGCGCGTGCGGTTGCCGCGGAGGGTGCGCGGGAGCCATCGGCCGCGACAATGACGTTGACGACGTCGGCTGCGGAGAGGTGTGGCACGTGGGTGCGGGGGCGCTGTCACGACGCTGAGCACGGCTGAGGGCGAGTGCGAAGAGATGTTTACCAAGCTGGAGGGCTCGATGGGCCTGTTTGGGGGTTGCGTTGAAACCAAAGAAAAGAAGAAACAGGCGTAAAGAAGGGCGCTATGATGATGGCTGACTTGTTGATAAAGGTGACTAGGGCGTTTTGTTTGTAATCTGGTGTTTTGGGATCTGCTATAATTAGACGGTAGACGTCTTGGAGGAGTTGTTTTCGTTTAGAGGGGTTTCTCTCTATTTTACACAATGGAGAGGATAGCATGGATTAGACTTGGTTTCTCTGGTTTTGGCCTGTTTTAACATAGAGACAGATCCCCGATCAATTCAACATACAAGATCACCACTTCCAACCATGGAGAAGCTGGCAGGCATGAATCACGTTGACTGAAGGCAAGAGGATGAGGGAAATGGAAGGGAGGCAGGAAACCGGCAAGGACCTCGTCAGCTCCCCACCCGATTATCGTATAACGCGCGTGCTGTATTAAGGGAAGGACATGTGGTGGAAAGGGAAATGACCCATCTGCTGCTGTGGTATCGCATTCCAAACTGTTCTCGTGGAAGCAGAGAGGAGAGAGCGCGCGAGAGAGAATAAGACCAAAAAAACGATTGATGCCAAGCATGTAATGTACAGTACTGCCCTCCCCATCGCTGAGCTCCGCCCCTATCCTATCCGGGATAACCGGCAATGGGTCCTCGGAGCTACCAATCTCCCATCCGTCACGTTTACAAACCGTCCCCCAGATGAACGCATGTCTTTCTCCTGCGTGTCTCGCGCGGTTCTTTTGTCCGTTCATTACGCTTCTTCCGCAACAGCCCAACCCTTAAAATTCCTGGTCTTCTTGGAAGAACATGCCAAAGGAGATGATGGTTCCGTAGATGAGGAGACCGCCGGTTATGGACATGATCATGGCTTCAACCTTGATGAGATCGGCGTGGGCGAGAACGACGGGGAGAGCTAAAGGGCGAGGCTTTGGTTAGCAAGATAACCGGAGAGAGAGAAGGGGCTACGCGCAGGGCGCAGAGAGTTCCTATCAAACTTACCCATTCCCATAACGACCATGAACCCGGTGCAGAACTTGCCCAGGTCCAGCACCGCGGAGCTCGAGCTCTCAAAGTCGTCGGGGTTCGCGCAGTGGCTGCAGATCCAGTTGGGCACGGGGGCGAGGACGTAGGTCGCCACGACGAGGAGAGGATAGTAGACCTTCCATAGAGCGCAAGAGAGGATGACCAGGAGGAATCCTACGGCGAGCACAAAGGAGAGGGCGATGATGGTCTTGAGTCCGGCGGACGGCATGTTGGGCGGTTGTGGAACGACGGAACGGGACTTGCTCTGCAGGGCTCGGCTCGGGTGGAAAGGGTGGGGAGATTGATGTCTTTCTGTTTTAACGGGCGCTGGTATCGCGGGGAGTTTGGCGGAGAGAGTCGAGGGCAGGGCCGCTGGACGTGCCGGGCGTTATGGGCGTTTCGGTGGAGGCGGGTGGTTGCCTGGTTGCCTGAGTGTGCTGTCGAACCAAGCCGGCAACAGAGGAGGGGAAAATTCGGTGGGAATTATTCTTCTCCCACTAGGAAATATAGATCTGTCAAAGAACTAATCTAGAGACGATCGGCTGAGTAGCCCAGAGGGTTGGGAGAATGCGGAGAAGAGCGGATGGTTTGTGTCTTTTGTGAGGGGCGAGGTCGGAGCTGAGGAAGCTATCGCATGTTGCCGTCATCCAGCCTCAGTGCAGCAATGGCGGTTGATTGCGACTGGGGGAAAGGCCCTCAAGCCGCGTGGCCTGACTAAGCACGGAAAAACCTCGCGCCGATGGAGGTATTCCCAGCGCTTTGTCCCAGCTCCCGCTATAGCGACACCCCCGATCCCAGCCAGTAAAATGGCCAAACCCGCCCAAAAATCCATTGGAAGGGGGCGGGAGGGCGTGTGTTAATACCAATAGGCGTGTGGGAGGAGCCCTGAGCAACGACAGCTTGAGCTGCCTGGGACTCTCGTTGCCAGCTTTCTTGCGTGTTAGCTGCGACGCCTTGTGCCCTTTCAAATCATCATCAACCTCGACTCCTCTCCCAAACCTTGCATATTCCATCGACCTCTCTCCCGCCTTTTGCCTCGCCACCACGCTCCCCTCGCCGCGGTTTTTCTCAAACGAATAATAGTAATCCCCGGTCATTGGGGAATCGTTCATTGTTTTCGCGGGAATTCCGTTACCAGCTGCCTCGGGCTTTTTTCTTCCTCTAGTTGATACCCGGTCCCCCTCCTCAATCGGCCTCGAAGAGCGACCGTCGCGACGCATCCCCTCTCGTACATTCTAGCAAGACCCGTGCCCGAAACCGCCATTCAAGATGTTCAGAAACAACTACGATAACGATACCGTGACCTTGTGCGTTGGCCTCCAATTCATTTCCCCCTCTCTCCCCTTCCCACCGCCTTTCCGTGGATGACCTTCCGTTGTTCTCGCCTCGAGAGTGCGACCCCTCGTGGCTAACCCGCAAAAATAGCTCGCCGCAAGGGCGCATTTTCCAGATCGAATATGCCTCGGAATCGGTCAAGCAAGGCTCAGTAGTCGTTGGTCTCACCAGCAAGACCCACGCCGTCCTCGTCGCGATCAAGGTACGAACCACACAATCCCAACCCCGGTCTTTTCCTGCTTCGAGCTTTTGGGGAGGGAAGGAAGGGGCAAGGAGGATTTCCCCTCTAGGCCCTCCCATAATGCACCCTCCCCTTAGTCTTCTCTCGCTTCTCCAAGCTCCCCCTCCTGGAGTGCTCCCCGCTAACCCGTCCCCTCGCACCCGTAGCGCAACGCCGAGGAACTCTCATCGTACCAAAAGAAGCTCTTCGCCATCGACGAGCACGTCGGCATCGGCATCGCCGGTCTCACCTCGGACGCCCGCGTCCTCTCCAACTTCATGAAGAACCAGTGCCTCAGCCACCGCTTCACCATGGCCCGCGCCCTCCGCATCTCGGACCTCGTCGACATGATTGGCGAAAAGGAGCAGTACAACACCCAGCACTACGGCCGCCGGCCCTACGGTGTCGGACTCCTCATCGCCGGCGTCGACAGCCAAGGCCCCCACCTCTTCACGACGCAGCCCTCGGGCCTGACGGAGGAGGTCGTGGCCTTCGCCATTGGCGCGCGGTCCCAGATGGCGAGAACCTACCTCGAGAAGCACATTGACGAGTTTGCCGACTGCGACCGCGAGGCCCTCATCACTCACGGCCTCAACGCCCTCAAGGAGAGCTTGGCCCAGGACAAGGAGCTCACCGTGGACAACACATCAGTGGCGTACGTCGGTGTGGGATCCAACGGCAAGGTCACCGACGTGTTCAAGGTGTACGACGGACAGGACGTCAAGGACTGGATCGAGGCGGCCAACACCGAGAGGGCGGAGGGCATGGACGTTGATGGTTGAAGGGGGCGTGTCCGGTTGAGGCAGGGTGTTTGAATGCTCTGGAGCCGAAACAGGCCCGAGTGAGCAAAGGTTACTTGTACAACTAGATGACGTGAGATTCCAAGCTGCTGAATGCAAAAAGACAAGACGAGAAACCCATCGTTTTTGTTTGTTGAATTCGTTTCATTTCCGCCCCCTTTCTTAACTTCAGAACATGATAGGTCCCAATTCTCATCATAACTTGGCCCTAGGCTAGTTTGCCTTGCTCCCTCCAAAGCTACGGCTTCAAAGTCAAGGGAATCTATTCCAGCGCGCAAACAATAGATGCGTGAGTAGATGAGCCACGCGAAACCTTGGAGTTTCCCCTCCAAAATTTCTCTCGTGCATCCAGCACCAAAACGCCCCTTTCCAAGACGCTCGCGGACCATATCCTTGCTTATGTTTCTTCGATCCTTGGTCTACATGTAACAAAGGAACCCTAGTCCCTTCCCGGATGCATTCCCACGACAACAAAGAGAACCGTCTAAAGACTCCCAGAGATGTGAAGCAATCATATCAAGGTAAAGTAAGCATGTGACGAAGAATTGGAATCGAAAAGGCAATCAAACCACACCATACATGGCCAGACGCACACGCCATAAAAGATTGAAAGGGGAAAAAGAAAAGAGATGATAGAACGACGCTGCTCTAGAAGTTGGGCGAAATGAAACCCCCTTTCTTCCCTTGATTTTTTTTTTTTGGTTGCTATCTATCTTGCTATCCTACTACTCACTGCTCACCCCACTCGAGCTTCATGGCGTCCGCAGAGAGTTTGTACTCCCTGAGTTGGCAGATAGCGCCCTCGGCATCGGTGGCGGTGACGACGATTTTCTTGTTGTTGGCGGAGATGAAGCCCTCGCTGCTAGCCTTTTCGATCCACTGGAGGATGCCGTCGTAAAAGCCATCCACGTTGAGCAGACAGATGCCGTTCTTGTGGATACCGAGCTGGTTCCACGTGGCGGTCTCGAACATCTCCTCAATGGTGCCGTAACCGCCGGACAGGGCGATGAAGCCGCTGCCGGGCCCACCCTGGAACACCTCCTGCGCCATGAGCTTCTTCCGGGTATGCATGTCCGGGACCACCGTGGTACGTCCCCAGATGGACTCGTCTGGGAGCGAGGGGTTGGCGCCGTTGGACGAGGTAGATGGAGCAGCTGCGCCGGCGGCCGGGGCCGGATCCGGGGTGGATGACGCGCTGGGGAGGTTGCGCTCGTAGCGGATGAGAGGATCGGGGATAATGCCGTGCACAGCCGAGGGCCCGGACAGGAGACGAGCGTCTTGGCGATCTCGCCCATGATGCCAATTGTACCTCCTCCGTAGACTAAACAGACTTGGTAGTTAGTAACGAAGGGACAAGGATATCCCAAGTCCTAGCAGAAAGGGATCGAAATGGGAAAGCTTCGGCTTGCGAGTGATAAAACATCCACCGCCAAGTGCTGGCGGGAAACGAGTGGATTGCCTTACCGAGACCGATGTTATGCTTAGCCATCGCCTGGGCGAGCTCGCGGGCCATGGCGAGGTGCTTTGGGTTGTTGCCTGGGTTGGCGCCGCAGTAGACGGCGAACTTGGTCCGAGGGACCGACTGACCAGCTTCCGTCATGGTGACTACGAGAGAGCGTGTTTCTCTTTCCTCCGATGAAGATCCTTTGCCTGCCCTTTTTAAAAGAGACGGAGAGAAGAAAAGAAGCTTTTCTTATCCGTATTACCTGTATTACCCCTAGGAAGAGACTCGTATCAAGATAGGGCAAGTGAGCTGTATGGTGGGGTAGGCCAAGTTAGCTATTAGAGATCACCAGAGAAAGCTCAAGGTTTTTGCAAAAGAAGGACATGCGCAAAGTAGAAAATAGGCAGAAGAAAATCAAAAGAAAGACGAGGCGAGAAGAAGCCAAAGATGAATATCCAGACACAAACATCCAACAAGGTCACAGGAAGTGTATTTTTAGCTAGTTTGCGATGGGCGAAAAAGGATGCAACGTCTTACAAGAAATGCAATTGCGCGTAGGTCTCCGTGCGTGTCTGTGTGTGTGTGTGTGTGTTTGTGTGTGTATATGTGCGTGTGTGTGTGCAACGTAGGTGAGAAGGGCAGGTTCTAATTCAAAGGGATTATAGAACAATATATTTTGAGCATTCAAGCTTTCCAAGATCTTTGTAGTAAGAGAGCTTATAATGCAGTGAGAGGGGGCGAGGGGCTAGAAAAGGCCGATTCAATGGTTACGTCGAGTTGGACATGGAGTTGATGGAGGGGCTTTGCTTTGTTACAAAGGAAAGAGCGGGGCCCGCCACGTTCAAGTACATAGCATTCCCATCCAGACCTTAATACCACAATAATAATCCAGCATGACAATTGGTCTTGAGTCTAGATGGATCAAGTGAATGGACTTGTCCCCATTTCGATGACTCGAACGGCCTGTTCCGGCCCCTCCAACCGCAACTCCAACCGCAACTGAGGCTGACCTTCCGCGACTCCCGATGCTAAACGCTGCTGGCCATTGGCTCTGACCCGTTTGAAACTTGGCAACCCGGCGCAACCCACTCGTAGCTTAGGAGCAAGCATTTGTTGAGGTCATTCCTCCAGCTCCCAGCAGAACTACGCAGGCAGCAGAGCAAGCAGGGAGAGTAATATGAGCAGAGCAGGAGAGAAATAGGAAAGGGTAATCGCCGTGGTTCTCGCCCAATATGTGCTTCTACCCGAATATGTCGAGTCTTCCCCCACTTTGTTTTTAAGCCATCTCCATTGGCAAACACGTGGGTAGAGGCTTTTCAGCTTGAGGTGGCCTGGTGACTATGTAGAATGGAATGGATGTGCACGCCCCTTTTTCTTGTTGCAAGTGTTGGGTGGAGATCCAAGCCCAGGGTGTAACAACTCAGGCTATCATCGAAGATCAATGACTGCGAGGTGCATGATAGAACACTGAACAAATCCTCTTTCAAGGCTGCTTTTTCGTGGTACATGTATAGATATATGACGTCCCCAAGACAGATCCGGCGAATCTCTGCTCGTTGATTTTTTTTCATCTTCGCCAGCTCCTCTTTGGAACTTCCGCCCTATTCAAGATCAGCCCTTATCCTTGATTCAGCACCAAGCCACGGCAACTAAAGGTACTCCTCGTTGGGTCAGCCCGGTCTTACACCCAACGTCATAGCTGGTTTCATCAAAAGTTTGGCAATGTGAACTAACATTAAACCTACCTCGTTACTTGCCCACTTTCCTATGCGTACTGTAGCCAGTTGCGTTAGCTGCCAGGCGGAACCGGGCGGAAAATCAGCCAGAGACGCAAAGTTTTAGCTACTCCCTGTATCAAATGCCAAGCTTATCCAAACGAGCTCTTTCTGACTTTCTTCAGAGCATAATACTATTCGACGATACATCCATGGATGCAGTGATTGATGGCTTCTAAGCCATACACTTGCTTATTCCGTTGTATAGAGGAGCAGGTTGGTTAGTGGCCGAAGATGGCGTTGCACACTTGAAAGTCCGTGCTATACTCTCTTTTAAGGACTTCACCGTGCCTTCCGTATCTCACAATGTTCTCCCCGCTCGTTTAGTCAAGCGAGGAAAGAGCAAGGGGCCAGTTCATTAAGACCCGGAGGAAACCTCCATCGACACTCCATAAACGTATAGGTAGTAGCATGCGCCTCTCACATGGCCATCCATGCCGCCTTCTTTCAAAGTTCATAGTCTGAGATATCAATCGATCTCCATGATCTCCAGTGTGAATATAAATCTATAACCCTCGCAGCACGCGCAAGGGGAAGGACTAATAACGTGCGCTTAAGCTGAAATGGAACAAAAAACACCATTGGATACCACCAGGCAATCGGATACGCACTCTCGGGGATCCCGGTTACTTCCGGTACCGTGTCGAGTAGCCAGCAGGATGGAGGTCATTGAGCATTGCTTCCAAAGAGAATGAAAAAAAAAAAAATGAAAAAGAGGCCCAACGCTAGCCACAGGGTACCCCGGATTCCGGACCTTGAGTATTCACAATGAAACGTCTATAAACGCTCACGAGATGCAATATCATGGCCACGAGTTCTCGTAGATAATGAGGCCCTGCCGCCCTTCCAATGGATTCGTTAGTCTATTCTAGCCAGGCACACCTCAGCTTTCCCCCGTTATAGCTGCATGGATGATACCCGCCTCGAGGTCCAAAGTAACTCGCGTCCCACGTCACAGGGCCTCGGTATTTCATCACCCCTTCTCCATCTTACTTTGAGGTAAACGGGCCATTCCTTTTTCCCTTGAGACGGCGGCGGATGGTCCGCTATGGTGTGCCGGCGGGAGAGTCTACATTCCCTTCTTGATGGTCAAAGTGATAAATATATATATACATGTATATCCCTAGTATGATCGTATTCTAGCGATTCGGATTGCAGGTACTCGGGGGATATGACGGAAAATCTAAATCCCCTAGCCTGTTATCTTTCTATACGATAGCTACTGATAACAAAAAATAGCAAAAACAACGGTCTGCGCCTGCAAGCCCCTACGCCAAAGGGATACATGGACACATGCGGAGCCTCACTCCAGCAAGACCCTAATGAAGCTCGCAAACACTGCCCAGGCAGGTTTTATATTGTGTGTGACTGGGATTCAAACAAGGCGAGAAAACGGACAGAAAGGGGAACGCAATAGTTGCTGCTGTGATGCAGGCTAAGCTGAGAAACATCAATGGCCAACCCCCAATTTTCCAAAAAAGGAAGAAAATAAACCAGAACCGCAGTTAGAAGAAGTAGCAACAAGAAGAACAAGAAGAATAACAAGAAATCGGCAAAGGCATCAATAAATGAGAATCCTCAACACTTGTATTCCATCACATCCTACCATAAACCTTTCCCCCACTCCCATCGTCATTCGTGCCACGTATGGCTCGAATCCGCTTCGACGCACTTGGAAAGCGCACCCGCACCCGGAAACGCACAAGCACAAGCACAATATACGCATCACCGCGTAATACCCATCTAGACATACGCCAACGTGTTGTCGTCCCTAATCCTTCCATTCACTCCCAAAGGAAGCTCACCGCGCGCAACGCTCGGTCCTCGAGCAACAATCTGTAAAAGAGGGAGAAAAGAAACATGTCTGGTTAGCCGTTTCCGTCCCTTTGCACAAAAGAATAGAAGAAATGGACTGGTAAAAGATGGGGGACTTACCTCGCCTTCAGTCTTGTCATCCGTGGTCTTGTACTCGCCGTTATCCCTCAAAAACACCTCCACCGCCACACTAGGCGGTCCGAAATGCGAGTACGGTCCTTCCTCCAAGATGCGGTAGTCGTGGAACCACGTCTGCGCCACCGGGCCCGCCACCCCGCCCGCCGTGAGCGCGTACACGACGCGCGCGCCCAAAAATACCCTGAGCTCCGCGAGCTGCCTCGACGACAGCGCCGGGGCCCCGCCGTTGACCCGCTCGGCCACGAACACGACGCGGAGCTTGGACGGCGCGACCGCTCCGAGCACGGGCCGCGCGGGGGCTAGGAAGCTGCCCCAAAAGGACTGCGGCGACGGGAACGCGCCCTTGTCGCTCAGGGTGCGGAGCTGCGAGCGCAGGGCTGCCGACTGCAGGGCCGACGACACCTTGGACGTCGACTCCTCGTGCACGCGCGCCAGCGTCTCCGGGGCTGCGACGAGGATGGTGGGTGAGATGCCCTGCGTCGCCAGGACCAGGTCGGTGGAGCGGCCGGCGACCGAGTTGAAGGCGACGGTGGCGTTGGAGAAGAGGCCCGCCAGCGTCACCACGAGAGAGTACATGTTGGCCAGGGAGTCGGCGGCGAGGAGGACGTCCTCGGGCCCCATCCGTTCCTTGGTCGGGAGACTGCTGAGAATGGCGCCCACGCCGGCGACCACGTTCTTCTGCGTAAACTTGATCATCTCCTCTAGCGTCCCGGGCTTCCCTTGCCAAAAGACCACGACGGGGCCCGCCTCCGCAGTGTCCTCGGGGAGCTCTAGGCCCGCCTGGAGGGGGCTGTCGTCGATGATCTCCTGCCACGTGGCGACATTGACGCTGCCGCCCATGCCCTCGGGCACCTCGTTCCAATCCATGTGGGAGGAGCCCGCGTCGAGGACCCAGATGAGGTTCCGCAGCGAAGGGTATGCCTTGGCCACGCCGTCAAAGGGAAGGTTCCGGGCGCCGCAACCACGGTGTCAGCGGCGGAGCGGCGGAGCATCGTAATCAGCTCATCGGTCGAGGCGCCAAAGGGGATAAGGATGGTGGTGAGGTTCGGGTAGAAGGAACAGGCGAACAGGGTCACGAGGAGCTCGATGCTGTTGGGAAGGTAGATGGCGACGCGGATGCCGCCTTGTTGGGAGATGTGCTGCCCGATGAGGTTGATCGACCTGGTGATCTCGTCTAGCAAGAGTTAGTTAGCGGACCAGCATTCTCAGCCCCTTATCCATTCACTCCTCCTAATACGGCAGATAGATCCTCCCCTAAAAAAGCCAAGGGTCGGATGGGGCCAGGGGAGCGAAAGCCCTCTACTTACCAATCTTGTGCTCGGTGACGTTTCGAGATCCATGCACCGTCAGCAGCTTGCCCCTCGCACCAGCCTTGACGCCCTCCCTCTCCTCGGCGCCCTGGACGACCTGGCGCCAAACGTCCCGCAGGTCACCGTCGCTCCCCTTGGACCACTTGGAGGCTCCCTTGCGCCGCACGTCCAGTCCCGTGCGGAGCTCTCCGCCCCCGAGGTCCGAGGACCTATACAGCGCGCTCTCGCCCTCTTGCCGGACGAGGTTCGGGAGCGCCTGCCGGGCCAGCCGCAAAGGGTGCGTGTCGGGCTCCACCGACGTGGCGACGCGGTATGTGACGCCCGCCGCGAGGAGGCCCGCCAGCGCTGTCGTGTAGACGTTCCATTGTGAGAAGATGCCCGAAACGCCCTCGTCCATTCCGACCATGAAGTTGCCGGCGCTGCCCATCGTGTCCGATCCTTGTGCGGAGAGATGTTGTTTACAATAAGAAAAAAAGAAGACAAGAACGGACGTATGCGAGTCTGCTCAAAAGCCAAAAACTGTAAGAGAATGAAAGAGGGGGAAGATCGATGAATCGTAAATCGTCTTCGAGGCTCTTGGGTCGACTGTCGCGTTGGATGCTTTTGTCGCGGTGAATTATCGGGTGGGGGAGATGGAGATGGAGATGGAGATGGAGCGAGAGTGGATGTGGCGTGGCGTCCCTGGTTCGTCACAGCCCGAGACGGCTTTGGTGGCTGGGTAAAACGCAAATTCCTGGAAGACGGATTCCTTTTGAAAAGAGAGCCCCGCAAAACTGCACCTCTCCTTTTAGCTTTGGTTTCCCCTGTCACTTGGTGCAAAGTACACAGGAACGTGTTCTGATTCTCGTTCTCGTCGACGTGGTTCCGGGATTTGTTGTTGGTTTGGAGAAATGGCGGGTGGGCGGGAAAGAAGTGGGAAGGGCTGTGCTATGCTGTGCTGGCGATATGGTTGACGGCAAGTCAGCGACGGGGGCGGGCGGGAACGTTTTCCAAGGGGGCGTTGCTTGCTTGGCAACAAGTGAGGGAGGAGGCTCAAAAGTGGGCGGACCGCGACTAGTGGGGAGGTCGTCGGTTCCATTCGCCGGTATTTCGCAAACAGAGGGGGACCCTGTGCCCCTTTGGACAAGACTGCTCATTCAGGATGTGCCGGAATTGGGTTGGGCACGCCTCGGTCGTCCCTTGATGCAAGCAGTTTGATAGGCTGGGAGCCGTCCCATCATTGGAAGAATACCCGTTTGGGGCCAAGACCAAAATGCACGACGGAAACAACATTGAACGCTGGTCTGGGACGGGACGCCATGCCATCCATACAGCATAGATGTACCACATTCAAGGTGGCTAGCCCAGCTTCCACCCCGAAGCCGACAATCGAGGACTGCATCCATAGGTGTCAGCTCATCACCAATCAGCCAGCCGGCGGCCTCTTCAGCGGGACCTGGAAACGTTTGTGTCATCCGTCATCCCCTGCAGTAGATAGATAGAATTGATCCACTAAACGATGATGATGATGATGATGAAATGCACTTTCCTCCGCCTGGGCAATCTGATAGCCGCAATGTAAAGTGCGCACGAGTTTTCGTATGTGCACATCTATGGATCTTGCAACTGCAGCTGGAAGGCCTAGCAGTGGCTCGGCATCCCAAGACGGGTGCTTCCTGTTCGTCAGTTGTAATGATGCCATATGTCGTCCCCAGACATACCTCTGTGCTTGGTGACCCCGACCTCGAAAATATTCAAGGGATATCAAAAGGGAAATTCATCATTGCAAGAATGCAGAAGCATCAAAAAGCTTTAGCTATTTATGTTGCTCGTACCCCATCATCTCCTTACTATGTACCACCTCGGGATCTATGTTAGTCTCTCTCTGGCGGCGAGGTGCTATGAAAATGTGGGAGAAACGGAGGTCTGGCATCAAATAGACTGAGGAGAATGGGGAGAATGGGGAGAATAAAAGGGCTGGGGAGATGCGAGGAGAATCAAAAGAAGAAGCAACAAGATGGACACGATATCAAAATAGACAACGGGAGATCGACCAAACATCTTTTGCCTGCAAAACTCATCGAGTATTGTATTTTTCTTGACTTCTCAGTCCAGACTGGCTAACTAACGTGGGGGCACTCAATAGGCAACTAAAAAAACTGAAGCCTTTCGCCTCTTGCATGTCATGTCCATTGTCCATGTCCGTTAAGGACGCCGTCCCGGCATTGTCGCCCAGGCTCATAATCTCACCTATGAGCCCGGGAACCGCGCCGGGGACCAAGAGATTTCATTCCATGCCTGCCGAGCGCCCCGTCTATGCTGTTGCTTTCGAGAGCAATGATCCGAAAGAACATAAAAGGACCCTGTAGTTGTAGAGAAGGGGGTATCATTTTTTCCACTCAAATCAACCGGCTCCTCCTCAGGACCTAGAAAACAAAAACATCCATGGTTGTCGCATGTTTCCCTTCCTTAGGGTAGAAAGTCCTTGCAAAGGTCCCGCCGACCGGGACCTCCTCTTCCTTGTCTCGAAACAACGTGGCCGAAATAAAGAAAAAGAAAAACCGTCCGTTGTCCTAATATTAACCAGCCGAATGCTCGTCCCTCTCTATCGTGCAAGGCTCCTCCGCCGTACGAGAGACTGATCCGAGCACCGTCGACGTGGCGTGGTGAACCGAGAAATCAACTTTTGTCTATGTGTAAAAAAAAAAAACAAGGGCAGAGAGAAAAATGAAATAATGGAAAAAAGGGCAAGTAATAAAAGCAGCTGTGTCATGAAGAAAGCGCGGCGATGCCATGACCCCCTGTTTTTGTCTATCGTGAAAACCGAATAAAATGCCCTCCAGGCTGGCTGGGAAACAGACCGCGAGAACAGAAAATATGAGACCGGAAAAAACATTATCGTCGTGATGCGGTTGACTTGACAAAAATCCAATTCCCCTTTCCCGGTGGAAAGAGTCTGGATAAAAAAGTCGGGCACCACCAGAACGCCTGCGAAATGCGTTCCAAATGCTTTTTCGTCGTCGCAGGTTTCCCGAATCCACTGTTGTAGGGTATCAAATGCGAATGAAGACTAGCAAATCAAAATCAGAAAAAGGACCATCTCTCAGATGATCCCACGATTTGCCCTTCCTCCGCAGGGCATCCGAGTCATGAGTAAGTAGGCCATGGCTAGCCGTGTGATGAATGACGCAAGAAACAACTTGGCAGAAAAACGGAGGTAAAATGGGGGAAAAAAGACGGTGAAAAGAAGATAGGCTGCATGCGCTGATACGTGTCAATGCAGCCCTGCCAACGTGGCATATTGCCCATGCCAACGCCGGTTGACGCTCGGCGTTTACCACCAAGAGGACTGGCCACCTGAGCCGCCGGGGTTGCCGTAGCTGCCACCACCGTAGGCGCCGCCGCCGCCACCGCCGCCACTGCTATAACCACCGCCACCGTTGTAGCCCGAGCTAGCAGGAGGGGGCCGCCGAAGCCACCGCCGTAGCTGGATCCTCCCTGAGGACCATTGAAGCCACCGCCGAAGCCGCCGCCGCCACCACCAGCACCGCCAAACTTGCGGTAGTCGCGGTTGGCATTGCCATGGCCACGTCCTCGTCCACCACCACCACGACCGCGGCTGCTGCCGCCAAAGCTGGACTCGCGGGCAATGGTCTCGAGGAAGCTGGGAATCTCCTGGTTGGCCTCCCTAAGGAGCTCGATAAGGCCACGGACGACACCGCGGTTGCCTCGGTTGAAGAAGGCGGTCGAGATACCAGTGTTACCAGCACGGCCGGTACGACCGATTCGGTGAACATAGTCATCGATATCGGTGGGGAGATCGTAGTTGACAACGTGGGTGACATTGGGGATATCAAGACCACGAGCAGCGACGGCAGTGGCAACAAGGATGGGGCAACGACCGTTGCGGAAGAACTCGAGCACGCTCACGCTCACGTTGAGTTCGGTCTCCGTGAATGGAAGTAGCAGGGAAGTTCTGCTGAATCAGGAAGTCCGAGAGTGAATCGGCCATACGCTTCGTCTCGACGAAGATGAGGGTCAAGCCGCTACCGTGAGTGTGGAGGATATCCAAGAGAACCGACCGCTTGTCAATGTCCTCGACGTACTCAATCTTCTGAGTAATGTTCTCCGAGGTAGAGCCAACACGACCGACCGAAAGGAAGACGTAGTCCTTAAGGAAATCGCGGGCAAGAACCTGGATATCGCGGGGGAAGGTGGCCGAAAACATGAGGGTTTGGCGTTCGTGGACGCCAGGCATGTCCTCACCCTCGACAATGCGACGAATCTGGGGCTCGAAACCCATGTCAAGCATGCGGTCAGCCTCGTCCAAGACAAGATACTTGATGTTCTGGAGAGAAATCCTGCCGCGCTCAATCAAATCAACAAGACGACCGGGAGTGGCGACCAAGAGATCGCATCCACGCTCGATCTGGCGGAGCTGTCCACCAATATCGGCACCGCCGTAGACGACACAGGGGCGGACCCAAGATCGGTAGGCAAACTTGCGAGACTCATCATAAATCTGCGAGACCAATTCACGAGTGGGCGCGAGGATGAGAGAAGTGGGGAAGGCCTTGCGTTGGTGGCCAGCCTGAGCGGGAAGGTTCGAAGGTCCGCTGATAAAGGACTGCGAGAGGATGGGGAACAAGAAACCACCCGTCTTTCCGGAACCAGTCTGGGCGCAAGCCATCAGATCACGACCACCCATAACAATGGGAATCGAGTACTTCTGAACGGGGGTGGGGACCTTGTAGTTGGCAAGAGTAATGTTCTCAATGAGATGCTCTTCGAGGGGAGGGCAGGTGAAGGTCTCGACGGGGTCAGGGACATTGTCACCCGAAGCCTCGACGGGAATGTCGTTGTACTTCTCAAAGTTGATACCAGTGTGCTGCTTCGAGGGATCATCGGGAACACCGAAAGTTCGCGCTCGAGCTGAGCGTTCTTGGCTCCGGGGTGTGCTTGCCGTTGACCCACTGGCCGGCGCCAGAGCCGCCTCGAGCGTAGCCACCACCGCCTCCTGGTTACCACCGTATCCGCGGGAGCCGCCGTATCCACCACGATTGCCGCCGTCGTTGTTCCACGATCGTCCACCACGGTTGCCGTTGCCCTGCATACCATTCCAGTTACCAGAGGGGCGGGCGTTAAAGTTATTGTTATTGGCGTTGTTGCTAAATGGACGAGCAGTGTTAGCCATGATCAAATTTCCATTTCCTGGTAGCGAGAGAGGGATTGCATACTTAGCCCAGGCGCTGCTATTAAGACCATTCGTGGGCCCGTTACCGTTCATGGGGCCATTTTGGACGACGGGGGCAGGGCCACCGGGGACAGGGCCGCCGAGAGCAGGGCCGCCGGGAACAGGACCGCCGGGAGCAGGGCCGTTTTGAGGGGAGGGCCGTTGCCTCCACCACCGCCGACCTTGCCTCGCATGTGAGGAGGAATGTAGGAACGAGGAGCGTTGGGGCCATCGAGGTTCAGGCCTCCCATGTTGAGCTGATCAGCCATGATGGGTGTTTTGTCCAAGTCGTGTTTTGATGGATGAGATGAGTTGTGAAGGTTGATAATTCGACGCAGTTAGTTCGTCGAAGACTCAAGATGAAAGATTGGGCAGGGCTCTCAAATAAGATGAGTAGAAGCCTGCTAAAAGTGGATGGCTCGGAGAAGAGATGAAGAGGGTGAGACTCTCAACGCTTCTCGATGTGATTAGGGACTGAAGGAGGTTCGCGCGTTGCTTCAACAAACACACGAAATTATATCAGTAACCGGGAAAAGAAAGAAACTCGAATTTCCTCTGGAAGAAACGAAAAATAAGCAAATCTTCAAAAGGAAAGACAAGACGTAAAAAAGGGACGTCTATTCGGGAGATGCGTCGCAACAAAAGATGAGACGCTATATCCTCGTTCTTTTGTTTTAGAGGGGAGATGTTTGATGAATGTGTTAGATGTTGGAGGAGGGTTAAGGGAGAGGGATGTGTGGGTGGAAAAAGGAGGAAAAAGGGAAAGGAAGAAAAATTTGGGTCCTAGTAATAGTAAAAAGAAGGCAGGGCGCGCGGGATGATTTTTTCTGGACCAGTAAGAGACAGTGTAAATTTCTTGATCGTTTTAAATTGCCCGAAAAGGGTTAGGCGCCACCCTGTGCTGTTGCCTCTTCACCGTCGGCGACCCCAAGAGGTCCAGCAGCGATCGGAGGCAGGTGCAGTCGTCTGGTTTGTTGGCTGGCTGCTGGCTCAGGGTACATCCACAGCGGACAAATATTTGATGCAATGGATCCATTCCCTGAATCCAATGAATCCACTGGAGCTCTCAACTCTTGGGATGCAGTGGCAGCATGACGAGAATTGCCCCCGAATGCCTAGAGCTGTGTCTAGGCAGCCACCACAAGCCCCCAAAGACAGCACTGAGTCAACACCACCACTTGATGTGAAAACCCAGTCGGCCAGGCATGAGGGAGGCCGCTCCGCGCTGACCGTCCATTATTGATGAGCAATGCAAATGGATCCATATCCCACAAGCCACGACTGTCCACCGCCAGCTTGCCGAGAAACCTACGTGGTGCTCTAGTGGCCTCCCGCGGTTCGCCCCTTGCTTTCGGGAATCTAGTGGTACACACCAGATTCTCTGACGGCCTGCTCCGCAACAAACAGGATGGTAGCCAAATCGGGCCAGTGGCGGGTGGCGAGCCCGTGGCAACGACGTACACTGAGAATTTGAAACAAAACGCTAGGAAAGTTGGCAACGTACCTGGTATTATTAAGAACGTTCTTGGAAAATAGAATTTTCACTGGACTTGTTGCGGTTAGGTTCGCTTCGCCGAGTCCGGGTGGTGGATGATGATGAACGTATTGGAAGTAGTAACAGATGAAGCCCTAAAACGTTCTTTTGGGTGACGAAAAACCTTGCAGTTGACTTCTATAAGCACGAGATGGAACGAGATGGATCAATTTGCTTGCTTGCGCTACTATTCTCAGAGTCAACGCTGCTCCTGCACAGAGTTGAGGTACCTTTTCCTCGCGTCCTCCTCCCTCTTTCCCTTTCTCTTAGTATCGCTCGCCCTTTCCTTCATTCCTATCCCTTGCCGTTTTCAGGTCCGAAAATGGAAGCAACGAAGTAGTAAAGGGAACCTAGGAGGACGAACCCGCTAACATAGCCGCCTATTTTGCCTTGTGATGTCATCCATCATTACCGGCCGGCGGCACTTACCCTTTACGATGCGCATATGGGCCCGACTCGTCGAGGGCCCATGATAATAGACTGGGCTTGAAGCCGTGAAGTTTCGCCTTTTAAGTGCAGATCGAGAGTTTTCTCCAACTCATCAATAATACCAAGGCGCCCGGGTGAGTTTAGAGATGATTTGTTGTGTTATTGGTATTATGGAGCAACTACGGGTTAGATAGTATTTCAGCGCAGCTAGCTCACTCGCCAATGCATCGTACTTTGGATCCTCTTGAGACCACCGTAGCAGCTAGGCTTGTTTTTGAAAGAAGGGTGGATCCAGCTACGCCAGGGAAGATACCAAGGATGGTTTGGTATTGACATGCAAATCTCCGAGAAGCCAGCGGCCGACACCAAGATCAAGAACCAGAAAGAAACAGAGGGGTAGGCGTAGGCTTTGGGTATTTTGGCATCAAATTACCCTTGTCATCCAGGTCGCGTAGACCCTCTAGCAACAATAATGGTACACGGTAATCAAAATCATGCTCTCTCTACCTCCCTTCCCCCTATCACTGCCTCCTTCTGCTTACGCACTCTTCACAACCTTGTCGTCATCGAATTCGATATCCCGAACGCCATCCTTGGTGACCACCTTGACGACCATGCCCTTGAAGTCGATGGGTAACCGTCTCTTCAGCTCATCCGTGCACAGGTTCAGGAGCTTGATACCCTGGCCAAGGGTGATATCGGGATGATGATGTTTATCGAGGATGGACAGACAGTAGTATCTAGGGGAAAAAGAAAGAGAGCATTAGTATAGGCTTGACATGAGCTTGGCGCGGATTACACAATTATCCACGACAGGATGGGCTACATACTGCGCATATCCGTGGGCGGCATAGGGAACGGGGGCAAGCGCCGCGAGGTAGTCTAGCCAGTAGAGGCTGGGCTTGTGAGTGATGGGATCGACACCGCCAAGGAGGAGGTTGACGTTGTAGGGCTTGCGCGACCTCAAGCTCGACGCAAGCTCGCCGCGGACAAAGTGGGCCAGGGCGGAGGGGGAAAGGTCCGTCTCATTCCTCATCGAGTAGAGCTGCGCGTTGGCCTGGATATATTCGGCGAATTGAACTATTCGAGGATCATAGTCAGCGATATGGCGTCCAATAGCAGTATCTCGTGGTGCACTTGAACCGTACCAGTATCTCCCGCCTCTCCCGAGTACGCTACAAGGGTGTGCTTGTTCAGTTGCCTGGTCTTGTCATCCGATGCCTTGAGGATAGTGGCTCCGCGCATCGCCGCCTTCGAGGCGGCGATGATGGTGAAGTCCTTGCCAGTTATGCCTAGGAGGACCTCCCTGTTTGGGGTGATGATTCCAACGTCAGCGCTACTATAATTCGGTCGCTCGCCGGGTTCATGATTTATCAACTCACATGATTAGTTATCTGTATTTGATGACGATGGGATCTGAGATGGTCTGTTGTTGTGAGTTCTTGGGTGGATGCGAGGTTGGGGGTTTGGGCGGTTCAGTAGTTTGAGCTTGGAGCTTGGGATGGAGTGCTGGCCGGCCGACCTTGCTCTCCAATTCAGTCCTTCGACGCGCAGACCAGCTTCAGCCTGGATCCGCCAGCCTGAAGGCTCAATTTCTGCCTTGTTTCACCGCTTCTCTCATGCACGGACCATTTCCATTTGGAACTGCCATTGGATGCACCTGCCCCACCAATACTTTGGACTGTCCGATCAAGGACTGGCGGCAGAAAAAAAAGTTGCCCATGCTTGGGTCTTTTACAAGGGTGGTGGAGCGAAGAGACTGGCGTAGTACCAAAAAAAAAAAAAAAAAAGTTGAAATCTTGACCAACGTGGGGATTCGACGACGGTGTTGAATTTCACCATTTTCCCCGTTCAACCCACCACAATGTCCTCATTTTTACAGTCCCCGGCTCCCAGAAGAAGAGGAAACGACCCAACGGCACCGAACCCCTCCGAAGCGAATTGCCGGCTCCAAACCCAATGGCAAGGCCGGCGCCAAAAGCTCTGCCCCGCCACGAGCGACCAAGAAGCGGGTAGAGCGAGACGAGTCGATTTCGGGGAGCGACTCGGAGGACTTCGACAGCGATGACGAGGTCGCGAGCAGGGCGAGCGAGGCCCTAGACGCCGGGTCGGACGAGGAGGGAGAGACCGCCGCCGAGGCTCGTCTGAGACTCGCGGAACGCTATCTCCAAAACGTCAAGCAAGAGGTGGACGAAGTCGGCTTCGACGCCGCCGACCTAGACCGAGACCTCATCGCCGCGAGGCTAGAAGAGGACGTCGCCGAAGCAAAGGGGAAAGTGTACCGGAATCTCGCTGCCGAATTGGCCTTTGAGAAGGCCACGCACTGCCAGTTCAAGGCCAACACCCTCAGCATAACCTCGATCGCGGCGAGGGAACCCTATGCGTACACGACGAGCAAAGACTTACACGTTCACAAGTGGAGGATACAAGACCTTGCCTCCAACCAGCCCTCGCAAAGCGCAATGAAGAAGTCCAAGAGACCCGCCCCGCCCCCGAGGAAAAAGCCGGAGCTCGAAAACTATCTTAAGGGAAGCCTCCACAAAGTCAACGACAAGAACTACAAACGGCACGTCGACGAGATCTTGTGCGTCGCGGTATCGCCCGACGGCAAGTACCTCGCGACCGGCGGTGCCGACAAGCGCCTCATCATCTACGACGCAGACACCCTCGTGCCCCGCAGGGTCTTCACACACCACCGCGCGGCCGTGACAGGGCTTGCCTTCCGCAGGGGTACCAACCAACTATACTCGTGCTCCAAGGACCGCACGGTCAAGGTATGGAGCCTCGACGAGATGGCGTACGTGCAGACCTTGTTCGGTCACGGCGACGAGGTTGTCGACATCGACGCCCTCGCCCAGGAGAGGTGCATCAGCGTCGGCGCCCGCGACCGCACCGCCCGGTTATGGAAGGTCATGGAGGAGACCCAGCTCGTCTTCCGTGGCGGCGCCGTAGACAAGAAAGCCCAGGTAGACGTTGACCGCCGATCTCTCCGGAACGAAGGCAGCATGGATCGCGTCGCCATGATCGACGACGACCTCTTCGTCACCGGCAGCGACAACGGCTCCCTCCAGCTCTGGAGTCTCCAGAAGAAGAAGCCCGTCTCCATCGTCCCCATAGCGCACGGCCTCGATCCTCCGCTCAAGCCCACGCAGTACTCTGCTGAAGCGCATCCCAAACCAGAGGCCGCCCCCGTCGCCGTTCCCCGGCAAATCACCGCTCTCAAGACCATACCCTTCTCCGACGTGGTCCTCTCCGGCAGCTGGGACGGCTACGTGCGAGTCTGGCGCCTGAGCGAAGACAAGAAGAAGCTCGAGCCCATTGGCGTCCTCGGCGGCGGTGGTGAAGAAGGCGGCCAAGGCGGCTGGGCCATCACCGGCGTCATCAACGACATTGCCGTGTTCGAGCGGGGTGACAGGGGTGTCGATGGCCTCTGCGTCATAGCCGCCGTAGGCAAAGAGCACCGGCTAGGACGCTGGAAGGTGGCGGGCGGCGGCAAGAACGGAGGCGTCGTGTTCGAAGTGCCGAGGGTACCCCGCGTACAAATGGAACCGTGGCCGTGGTGTCCTCTTCCTCTGACGAAGAGTCGGAATAAGGGTGGGGAAAATGCTTTTGTGTACGTTTGATAGAGCGTCTAGCTGAGAGAAGAGAGAGGGCAGTATGGGAAAAGGGGAAGAGGGGTACGAGAGATTGGCGAGTGGTGCCGGGAACTAGAGGATGGGGGCGTCGAGAAGAGAGAAGAAAAAAAAAGAAGAAATTGGGACGGCGTTTAAAGCATGGGCAGTTTTGAGGGTTCTACCGTGTAGTTGTTAGACGACCTAAAACGCCCCCTTGTCTCTTAGTCTGCATGCCATGCAATCTGTTTTCGTTAATATCATTTTCTGTTGCTCTACAAGAAGGTGCACATTCTCGGACATTCTACAAGGAGTGTGTGATGATGATAATTTTCTATTTCGACGTTGCAAAGACCCGGAAGTCTTCGTCTTCGTCCGTTGCATGAGCCAGTCTATCTCGTATTCCATGAACGCCGTGCCGGAGCACTCATATCGGTGCGTCGAGCGTCATCGAACTCCCTCCCATTTGCTCCTGATCAATGCAAGCCCAAGCCCAAGCCACCAACAAAGAGGAAAAAGATAAATCAGCGACAGAAGGAAAAGAAAAGAAAAAGAAGAGATGGGACTTGATATGGCGGATCGATCCATCAACAACTCATCTCCCCACGTGAGAGCCTTGCATGGTACGTAATATCAACCTGCGCTCGGACGAGCGCAGTACAAGGGAAAACGTGAGGGAAAAGAAACAAAAGAAGAAACAGAGTAATAATAATGATAAGGTAGCTCGTACCATACTAACGCCGTACGCTTTCCGTTTCATAAATCAAGTAAAGTGTCAGACGCAACATAAAAACCAACCCCCAGATCGAAAACAGCCACATTTGAGGGACGAGAGAGCTAGACAGGAGAACTAATCAGTGAGATCAATGGTCTTCATCCTCTTCCTCCGAGAGTTGGGAGACCCGTCGTCTCCTTCAACCGATACCCGAACGGCCCCACCACTAGACCTCCTGGGGACGTAAACGGGGTAGCGGTCGGCATCGCTGGACGTAAAGTATCGGCTCCGAGTGCGGGGCTCGCTCTTCGGCTCTCGTGGCATCGTAGGGTGCTCATCGTCGCCTGTGATTTCGATGACTCGGAATTTACGTTTCTGGGGAGAAGTAGCGTCGCCACGCCGACTATGCGGCGAGGATGGGATAGTGTTAATAAAGACGGGGTCGTCACCCATCACTTCATCAGGCGTCTCGATAGATTGTTGGACTACCTTGGTCGGCTCGGGAGACACCTTGGGATAAAGGGCCGCGTCTGGAGGTGAGCGTGCCATTGGCGAAAGGCACAGCTGGTCATCAGGCACAAAATGTGCACCGCGTAAACTTGGCTCGTGACTTGACACGGAATCATCTCCAGTGCTCGGTGTCTCGAGACCGTCATCCTCTACTGAGGGTAGGACGTCTTGATTCCCGGAAAACGCCTTCTCGGGCATGTCAGCGGTTGGTGGGGAGTGGTGTCTGGTTCTTTCCTGCCATCAAGACCAATCGGTAGACATGCCGCAGGCGCTTGTTCGGCAGCTGAAGAGGAACCAGAAGGTTTTGGGGAAACTTCGAAGTCCTTTTTGCCCCCAGGCGAGCCCTTGGCAGTAGGCCTATGCATAGGGCTCTGGATTGGCGATGGGCCGGCGGACACGGCGACCTTTACGGGTGTCTTACTCTTGGGGGTAGGGGATTCCGCTCAATGCTACACTCATCTAGAGATGCCTTGGACGAAAGACTAGCGTTTCTCCTCTTCTTGTCTTGGCGTTTCTTCTCGTTCTCGAGGCTAAGTTCCACCTTTTGCTGTCGATGAAGGTCGAATATCGTCTCCCGAATCTGGACGCGAAGCTTCGAGGGGTCAACGCTCCACGTTGGTTTTTCTTTCTGCAGGAGCGTGGCGATAAAAGTATCAGGATTGGCAAGGAAATGTTCGACGTAGCCGAGAAGAAAGACGCCACAGTCACAGAAATTACTTTGCTGGGGGATATTCTTAGCCGTCATTCCGATCGGTCCCGGTTGAGGAGGCTCCATGTTTTTCCGGAACTTGATCTCCTCCAGAAGATACTCTCTTAACATTCTGCAGGCCGGAGAATGAGCCGTGCCCAAGGAATCTAAGCTGATGATGCGAGCATCCTGAGGATCGTACTTTCGAATAGGAGGCGCGTGGCCTTTGTGGGATTTTCGGCGGCCTTTAAACGATGTTGACTCGCCCGCATCCTTGCTGTTCATCTCCTGGCTATCAGAAGCCGGAGGTTCCCCTTGGGTCGACTCTTTTTCGCCATCTTTCAGTACGAAAAAGGGCACTTCCGAGGGCGTGTCGGGCAGCCGGTCATGGGCATTATCTGTTTCGAGAGAGCTCGTTTCCGGTACCTCGGGGTGAAGTGCGGCGGGTAGCAGCTTATAGGGGTTGCAGACAATCAAGAGATACCAGTGCGCGTTCTCGTTCACGGGCACAATAATGTAATCATAGGAAAAGAGGTCGACCTTAGACGTCCACTTCTTCACACCGTCGTAGTTGATGGATGAGCCCTTTCCCTGCTTGAGGGTCTCGAAGAAATAGGTGTTCATGAAGTATATGCGACTCGATATGGCCGGATTATCAGCCTCGGTTCTCAGTTGAAGATACCGCAGGTAGCAGAGAATCAGGTTATCGTTGAGGAACTCCCCTTCGTCGAGTCGCTGGATATCATCCCTGTCGACTGTGGCCCTGTCTCTCCCTGTGCGCGGATACACGAGCGAATGATCCCACGATCGTTCCCAGGCCCTGTTCGCCTTGGACCACTGCGGTGGTGATGGCTCTCGACTTCTAAGGCGTTGGAACCCAGGAGTAGCTCGAGTGGAACGGCGGACACCCAAGTCGGACAACGGTTTAAACGGTAACGTGTACAATTTAGAAGAAGAGGGTGCCTTGTCCGTAGGTAGAGACTTTGACTTTGTTAGTTGTTTGTTGCCGGGTTCCTCTGGCGGCAAGGCTTTCTCGTCGCTAGTGCGGCTCGTGGCTTTAGACTCTTCTGGCTCCTTCTGATGCTGATTCTGGGCTTCAAGGAGGGCACCTCGGCGGGCAGCTTCAAATAGCTTGCAGGAGGCCGACTCCATCCAGTCTCTGTTTCGTAGTCAGTCTCATCATCCATGGCAATAGGCCCAAGGAGTACGCTTACGGTTCTTTTTGAACAAACTTCATCGTCACATTCACGGTGCTTCCTTGGAGAAGCTGAACAAACTTTTGGCAGTCATCGTCGCTCGAGAACTCGAGAACTAGTTGGGGTGCCCCATTCGCGAGACTTGCGGTTTGCGGTCGGCGTATGATCAGATTCCGACCTCCAGACGAACCATGCATAACTTGTAGGATCTTTGCCAAGCCAACGCGCAACCACGGAAGGTGAAGGCTTCCCCGGCAAGAGTGATGGCCTGCCATACCTTTTCGTTCCCAGGCTGGGGTGCAAAGGCAAACTTTTCATCAGGCTCATGGACCTGCGATCCAGACGCCGCACGAGAAAGAGATATACCTGACAGCACCTTGGCCACAGCGCGCGGGCTAGTTCCAAGGCCATCCTTACTGAGGGCGCCCTTTGCCTTTGTGGGTAGAACCACGCGGCCGACACCGCCGATGGCGAGCTCATCTTCCGATATGTCATCGCGAGGGGGCCGTTGAGCATGGCCCTTGATGTCGGGTGCGGCTCTTGAAGAGGGGCCTGCACGCTTCGGGGTCGGAGTTGCATCGTTCCTGAGCTCGTCCAGACTAGCCGGGTTCGGGGATACGGAGATTATCGAAGATCGGTCACTATCGTCGATGCTCTCGGGGCCTTGGGATCTCCTTGTGCGGAGTCGTCTCATGCGGCGTTTCCTGGTCCGCGAGCTGGCTACGATGGCAACGTTGCGATATTCCGATTGGCGCAGCTGCAATTTGGAATCGGGACTTCGTCCAGTCAAAGACATGGTACTGGATGCCTCTTGAGACTCGGTATCGACAGAGGCCTTTGTTTGAGGATTGGGAGACACATCGGACAGGTCAAGAGTGGTGCGCAGGCGTTTGGAGGGCCGCAGATCATCGTCTATGGAGCTGGTAGGGATCGACCTAGATTTCGAGGTAGGGGGTGTTGGGGTATCTCGACGTAAAATGAAGAGCTCTTGGAGGGCTTGCCGTGGTCCAGTGTGTTCACGGGTGCATTTGCTTGCCCAGCCGGCGCTAAGGAGACAGAGCAGGTTAGGTTAGTCAAATCAAAGCCGCCAGCTACTCTTGTTCGCTACAGTCCTCGCAATACATACTAGGCGGTCGTTGGCTTTCTGCTTTTGAGAAGCGTGCCAGGCCTTGGCGTGGGAACTTCCCCGTCCCTGATGTTCCTATGGAGGGTTGAGTTAGAGGGAGGCTACTTTGGCATGACGGAGCTGGAGCGGTGTGGATTTCGTGCGGACAAACGTACATGGGTGGCCAAAAAGAAAAACGATCGTCGAAGGTCAGTCGAGGTTTTGGTGTCGTTCGACAGTTCCCAAGAATTTGTTCTCGGCCGCCAGTCCCGCCGTCACCACCTCCGAGCAGAGTCGGACGGAGGTCTTTGGAGTGTCGACGGACCAACGGCCCTTTTAGGGCGGGGGCAAGGCTGAGACGAGGCTTTCGGGTGCAGGGCCTTTAAAAACCGCTTGTGCGTTGGTGCGAGGTGGGATATCGTTTGCGCGAAGGTTGAGGGCTAGGCATGGCCGAAAATCCAAGTCGGAAATCGCTTGGGCAGGAATCGTCGTGGTCCGAGGCGAGAAACGATGGTAATAAATTGAGACTAGGGAGTGGCTGGCATCAGCATGGACGGAGTGCTGTAATCATGCTCTCGGAGTCGTGGTCCACAGCCTTGGGCAACCAGGGAATATGCACGATGCACGATGGGTTGAGGTTATCCGAGCTGGGTAATACTCGGCTCACGATTTCAAGATGTCGCCCCAGAATTTTGATCACACGCCCACCGCCCACCGCCCACCATTGAAAGACCCTTTCTGAAATCTGCAGTACGTAAGCAACAATAGGAAGGCCTGGCCCATGACCATCACCCACCTCGTCCAAGACAACTCACAACCCATGGATGTGACGGATTTGATGGATAGACTGCGATGAAAAAGAGAAAGAAAATCCTTCAAAAACAGAGAATGTCTCTTTTCTTTAAACTTGGCCGATGGGCAGTTCAATCTCACCCCGAGACTCAAATTCTTAGTTTACTAACTCCGCCTGTCACGACAAGAAATGAAAGAGGGCACTAACCCTCAAGGTGTTTAGCACACCCAGTCTGAAGTGAACGGCGGATTGCCATAACCCGCGTTAGCATGCACATCAGGCCAAAAGGCATTCAAGAATCCCCAAGATATTGATCAAGATATTGAAGGACGTAGAGGCACACAAATCGTATCTGCCTCACGCCATTATTCCTGCACCGTTGATATACCAGCCAAGGCCCAAGCATAGTGATACTGCTCCTCTCAAGCACACCCACCATTCAGGCAGCATCCGGCCTAGGTAGTTTCAATACTCGTGGTTCATGAACCATCGTCCGTTTTAAACCGATATGGCACGAAAACTATTGTTTGAGCATTGGCCAGGTCGGCGGCGGCTTGCTGAAGGACGGAGCTGCGCACGAGATACACCTACCCGTCTACGCCCATATGTAAATGGCGGTCAGTCGAGTAAGTTTCCACCTGGGCCAGCCCAAGAAAGGAAACCCCAAGATAGACAGATAGGATGTACTCGACAGGCTCGGGAAAAACGCCGGACGACCCGCAATTCAGCTTCGGCGGACCAGGTCTCCAGGATGAGTTGTGATGCTCGCCTTGATATGCACGCTGGTAGCCAAGCCACGGGCTTCCATAGTCTGGTAGATACGGTGCTTTTATTGTTGACTCGAGAGCCAGGCCTGGCGCTCTAGATTGAGAGCGAAGCCGCCCGTAGTCTAGGCCAGCCAAACTCTCCATTCTCAACAGTAGGCTTCCCTCTACTCGGGCTCCCAGTCCGAGGTCGGACTAGGAGGCCAAAAGTCTTGAGTCCTAATACTATAGGAAGGCAGAAGAGGGCCCGAGAGATGGATATCGCTGCCAAAATCCCAATCGCCTCTCGCGGATTTAACATCTTGAAGCACCAGTGTGTATTGTTGACACACCTTGATGCAGACTCGCCACCCACTATCCTCGACCTTAAGCCCACCTGAAGATAGCAGGAGTGGTATGAACAAGCAAGCCAAAGAAGCAAGCCACGATATTGCCTCGGAGTCGGCCAAGTTGGGACGTGGAAAGATCACCGCGTCCAGGACGCAAGATAACGGAATTCAAGGAAGTACGCAAAATGGAAGCCCGACGCTGTTTTTTCGGTCCATCGGCGAAGCGCATCAGCCGAGGACAAGCCACTTGTCTATCTTGGATAATTCTTCATTCCCCTTCAAGAGATATCGCAAGCCAAAATTCTGCAAGCCAGAGACGCCATTAGCACACCGAAGCTAGTCGAAGTGCCTGGGTCACAGCGTCGAGCGTAAATCACTTTGGCGCTGGCGAATCAAAAGGGCCTGAACCGTGGTCCCGAAGGACCAGACCCTTGCATGGTGACTTCACTAGGGTCCCTTGGGTCCCCAACTGCCGGTGCAGCCGCGCAGCCGAGCCCGCGATTGGACGGTCAAGAACTTACACGAGCTTTGTAGTACACTACGTTCCGGTAACCTCCATTTCCGGTGTAAATTGCACCAGCTCATGGTGGCTGAGAAGCACAGCGGCGGAGCGCCGCGGGTGCCTTACTCAGTGCCCCATCCCAGCCTCCAAGTTGAATATATACGCCAATCTCATCAAGTACATGTAGTGTAGAAACTTGAGGAAAAGGGCATAAAAATAAAGAAGAAAAGTCAGCTAATCTCTTTCAGCCCTAGTGCTGCTGTTACTACTCTTGCTCGCAACGGGATAATGCATATTACTACCCCAAAGATTGTCAGTTTTCCACCCATGCGTTCATTGTGCATGGTAAGTGTTTTTATGGAGCAAGTCCACAACATAAACATGACTTCTGGACAGGTAAAGTGGCGACTTGGGCTTTCTTCAGCTTATGAAACTCTCTCGGAATCTCCTATCTCGCCAATCGATCCTTTGCCAACATCAAACACACTGTACGTATTTCGCCGTGGAATAGTGACCAGGTCTTTGTTCTCTTTTGTTTGCTGTTCTTGGGCTAGCTTAAGCTAAGGGGGATGTTCGGGTCAGGCCACCAGAGCTGCAACGGGGTGGCCGACTCCGTACGAGACTACACGTAGCTCACAACCGCATGGCCTAGTATCAGAGGCCTTTCAAATTCGGAAACTCATTGAGCTGCGGAGGTAGATCTTCTCGGCGGCTCGTGGGCTGAGCGGTATACGTCCATACCTCGTATCCACGAGCCTCATCATTGCCAATCTCAAATACCAGCCCTTTCTTTGTGGTGCGTGTGTAACGGTAGGCTTCATTTTTGGGCCCTTCTTGCTTGTTGCCAGTCTCCACTTCCTGATATTGAGCAGGGGTTTTCTCAGAGAAACATGCGGGCCTTGGCGCATGTGCTTGTCACCGCCAGAGTGGTTTGTGAGAGACACCAAAAAGAAAGAAAAACGAAAATGAAGAAAAGTCTCCTCTAGAAAAAAGCAACTAGGAAACCTACGTGCAGAAGTCAGTTCAACCTGACACTCCTTAAGAAGAAATGCCGTGATCTGGTTCGCCAGCCCCCGTTAAATAGCGATGTGGCGTTGGTGCATACCGCTTTCCAGGACTACATTATCTGAACCGTCGTGAAGGTAGAATTAGATTCGCACCCATAGGCCATAGAGTTACTCCAAGTCTTGATGAGAGTAACAGCAAAGACAAAAGGGGAGAGGGCGAGCGTGAGATGGTTGTGGTATCTTTCCCTGTCGATCCCCATCTTCACACAAGGCAACTGGCGGGTGCCGAGCGGAGGACCAATTCCCAAGCCTTCGCTCAAGAATTGACTTTGCATCGCGAAAAGGTTAATGCCTTTGAGAGGCCGGGAGCACACCCACCAGTTCTAGATTTCTAGGGGCACGCTCAGGTAAGATTGTTTGAACAAACTGACTAGTCTACGCCAACCCCGATTCGGAACGATAGCTTAGACTGCACGGATGGGATGGGATGGGATGAAGTCGAGTTAGAGACGGAAAGAGGTCTTCTGGGCGCTCCGTTCTCGTCTAATACTAGACCCGACGCTTTAGGCTCATGATGTCGCCCTTTCCTCTTCCACCTTCGAGGAGCTGGGTCGTCGCCTCAGCACGCCCATATCTTCTCTCTCCCTCTCTTTTTTCCTCTTTTTCCTTTTCCGGGACAAGGGTTCGCATTGACTTCCTATCTTTGCTCCACGTTTTTCCCATTTTTCTTGCTGTTCGATAGAGGCGTTTTCGTGGAGGGCTGATTATTGGAAGCTGGAGTGGGTGAGCGGAACGCCGCATCGGAATGATAGGGTCCCGCGAGAGCGTCTGCGGAAGCAACGCACGCTGCCTTTCCCGCGTATGTATGTAGTCTACAGCCTGGTTCCATCTCGGCGGGAGACGGGCTGGAGCGAGCGAGGGATGACCAGATCAAAACGGGAAGAAAAAAGAAAGGAAAAGGGAGCAAGAGCAAGAAGATGAAAACGGGTCTACGCCATTGCACGAGCTCGGAGCCAGGGGGTTCGAGCTTGCCAAGAGACTCGGTACCCTTCGAGCAAGCGAGGCCTCTCCACTTATACATTAATGAAGGCCCCGTCGCTCCTCAATCCAAGACGTAGAAAGGAAGCTACCCGGCCAGGTCTAACTCTCCCGCGTCCATGTTATACCATTCTTTCCCTTTGAGTTATACTTGATCACCTCGCGATCCCATCTTACACACCCATAGTACATGTGCATCTCATCCTCTCAAATCGGCTTCTAGGGAGCATCGCAGTTCTCGCTGCTGCACTGCCGCCCAGTCATCTCCTCGACTTGGTTCAGCCCCCTTGAACCGATCCAACTCCCCAAAAACCATGAAGTCGCTCAACTCGTTCGCCAGCTCCGTCAACCGAGGAGCACCCAGCGACGAGCCGAGAACAGGCGAGCCGTATGGCCACGACGGAAGCCAGACTAGGCGCCGCGCCGCCGACCAGGCCGACGCGCACTCTGCTAGATCCCACCCTCGCAGCTCCAACTCAGGTCCCGGGCCGTCCTCTTACATGTCGGAAAGGGCGGGTTTCCAGAAGGGCAGTAGGATCCCCGATGAAACCTTCAAGGACCTTAAGGCGGATGTCGTCGTCGCCAGCCTGTACCAAGCCCAGCAGAAGAGGCTCTATGTGTCGCCCTGGAACGTCGGCCAGGGAGTGGTGCTCAAGAAGTGCAAGAATCACTTTGTGTGCCAGCCTCCAGACCTTTCCATGATTCCCGACGGGGTGTATGACATGGTATCGCAGTTGAACGTCAGCGTGAGTACTCCATCCTTTCCCCTTCTTACTCTCTCCACCGCCCTACCAGACACAGCGTAACCTTTCGTCCGAGCTGCATAGCCTCTAACGAAAAGCCGTGTTGCTAGGTTGCTATGACGGTGAGCACCCCTTGGGTGCAGTCTATAATATCCACCATTCGATCCAGGGACCTGCACGTAAACTCCATTCCTATGAAGGACAACTTGAGCCTTCAAGTGCTTCAGAACCTGTCAGATCTCCCTCGGTGCCAAAAGCACCACTTTGCCGCCTTCATAATAGACGCCGGCGTGCTCGTGGTGTGGGACGACGACCCCAACAACATCATACAACGAATCGCCAAGCTTGAGGCCGACATTGTTTCCCTTGTGTGGACGGCGGAGGAGGATGACGACGACGACGAATCGTCCAAGGAAGTGATTAGGTACCATGGAGACATGGAGGAGGGCGAAATCTTGGAGGTTAGGCCGATCCGGCTCACCAAATCCATCATGGTCGCGCTCTCTCTCACGTTGACCGTCGTGTGTCTGGGTTTGGGTTGGAGGGCGCTGGCGCTCCAAATCATGTTGGACGGGTATTACCTGCGATTGTTGCTCCTCATCGTATCCCCGATGCAACTCTTTGTCAGTTTGGTAAGTCCATCTCCCTCCTTTACCCACCTTTTCCTTCCGTGAGAAACGAGCTTACCGCTCTCGTCTATTCACGCTGGGTCTTGGCTCCGAGCACATTTTGCTAACAATACCCAACGCGACCAGTTCTTCTTCCAAACCGTCATCGGTAACCTATTCCAAATCCTCGGGCCCATCTCCGCGGTGAACGGAAACTCCCGCCACTACTCCGGCAAGGCGCCCCGCGGCTTACCCGCGACGATTTCCTACCCCACGTCACGATCCAGATGCCCGTCTACAAAGAAGGCCTCAACGCTGTTATCCGACCCACCATTGCCTCCCTCAAGGCCGCCATCTCCACCTACGAGATGCAAGGGGCACCGCAAATATCTTTGTCAATGACGACGGCATGCAGTGCATAGACCCGGCCTTGGCCGAGGCGAGGCGCGACTTTTACGAGGAGCATAGCATCGGCTGGGTCTCGCGGCCCCCTCACAACCCAAATCCCAAGGACGACAAGGCGAGGCAATTCGTGCGCAAGGGCAAGTTCAAGAAAGCCTCCAACATGAACTACTGCCTCTCGACAAGCAACAAGATCGAGGATAAGCTCCGCCGGATCGAGCGCCCCGACGGGTGGACCCAGCAGGAGGAGGAGGCTGCCTATGAGGAGTGCCTGGAAGAGGTCATCCGAGAGTCAGACGGCGAGACCTGGGCCGGCGGGAACATTCGCATGGGTGATTACATTCTGCTTGTAGACTCGGACACTCGCGTACCCAGAGATTGTCTCCTAGACGCCGTGAGCGAGATGGAACAGTCGCCAGAGGTCGCCATCATCCAGCACACCTCGGGCGTGATGACGGTCACGGACTCTTTCTTTGAGCAAGCGTAAGGACATTCTTATGATTGAGCCCCTTATCGTTTATCCCCCAATTCCTGGTAGATGCCCAAAATATCAGCATCCATTACTAACGTTGAATCTAGTGTCACCTGGTTCACCAATCTCATTTACACGAGCATCAAATTTTGCGTGGCCAACGGCGACATCTGCCCCTTTGTCGGCCACAACGCCATCCTCAGCTGGCGCGCCATTCAGGATGCAGCATCCTACGTCGACCCAGACGATGGCCGGGAAAAGTACTGGTCCGAATCCCACGTGTCGGAGGATTTCGACATGGCCCTTCGCCTCCAATCAGCCGGCTACATTCTCCGTTTCGCGGCCTACTCCAACGACGAGTTCGAAGAGGGCGTCTCCTTGACGGTATATGACGAGCTCGCGCGCTGGGAAAAGTACGCGTTTGGCTGCAACGAGCTGCTCTTCCACCCTCTTCGCTTCTGGTTCGTCCGCGGCCCGTTCGCACCTGTGTTCAAGCAGTTCATCTCTTCCAAGATCCACTTCTACCACAAGATCACTATCCTGGCGTATATCGGCACGTATTATGCCATCGGGGCCAGCTGGCTGCTGACTCTGATGAACTACTTCCTCACCGGTTGGTATTTTGGCTTGTACGACAAGTACTACATTGACTCGTTCGCCATATACCTGTCTATCATTGTCGTTTTCCCGCTCGCAGGCAACTTTGCGTTATCGATTCTGAGATACCGGCTCGGGGAGCAGAATCTCTTGGCAGCACGTAAGTCTTGTTTCCCCCTCGTTTTCTGTCTCGCATTGTGCGGGTGAGATGAAAAGAAAAGATGAGGCGGCTAACCTCATGCGCATGACAGTGTGGACAAACTTCAAATGGATGCCTCTCTTCAGCATCTTCCTGGGCGGGATCTCGCTTCACGTGTCAAAGGCGCTCCTGTCCCACTTTTTCGAAATCGACATTCAATGGGGCGCCACGGCCAAGGAGGTAGAGAGAGTGAACTTCCTCACCGAGGTTCCGAAGATCTTACGGACGTTTGCGGGCACATTCATCTTCTGCATCGCCTGCACGGCGCTCATCGTGTGCGGATATTACGCCTTCCCATACCAGTGGCAAATCCGCTACTTCGCGTCCATATACCCGCTCGCCACGGTAACGGTGTCGCATTTCTGCGTGCCAGTGTTGTTAAATCCGGCCTTGATGAAGTTTACCTTTTAAACCAAGAAAGAAAGAAGAAGAAGCAGAAGAAACACAAAAGCAGTGATGGGTGACTCGGTTGGAGAGTGGCTCTAACCAGCGGACCGAACGGCACGACCAGCCTTATTTCCTATGTTTTCATATTTTCGATTTGCAAGAGACAAGAGCCATATATATATATATATATGTAGGATAAAGAAAAAGAAGAAGAGAGGAGGGCGGGAAATAGAAGGAAGAGAGGAAGGAGTGAGACAGACGCGTCCGACGTAGTTGAGGGCAAGAGCATGGCTGGCCTTTCACACAACGTTGCTGACACAGGACCTTTACTTGACTTACATAATATAGCGGGCATTTGTAACATTGAACCTGACGTCTTTACTATTTTGACAACAATAATCCCTCTGCCTTTACTGTGTTTGGAGGGTTTTCATCTTTTCTTTCTCATCTTGACATCGAAAGGGTTATCGAGTTGGTGGGTTTCGATCAAATGGTGACATCAATCGTGCAACGCATGTTTGGATGATTTCCTACCATTTTCTCGTATTTCCGTCCTGACGAATCAAGCGAAAAAGCCTTCGTTCGCAAGAACCAAGAATCGGGTCCGAACCTCAAACTCCGTGCCTGTCATTGGATAGTCTAGCCTCGACCCCATGTTTTCCCCTTCCACCCTCTCTCTCTGCACGGCTCCAATCCGACAAATCCGCTCCGGCCAGACCCCCACCCAATCCACGGAAACCCAACGGGGCCTTTTCCGCGGTTCTGGTCCCCAAAGGGGGCTAGAGAAGGACCCGATAGGATGGTTTGCCGAAACACCTGCCAAGATGCAGGCGGCTCCGGGATCCGATTACTGCTGGGGCTGCCAAGACGCCCACCAAAAACGAATGAAGAATGCGCCAGAACAGAAGAGAAAAGGAAAAATAAGCGAACAAGCTAGCACCGGTTAGGGCTGGGAGGACCAGCTATTTTCTCCTTTCCCCCTTGACTGGCCCCCAAATGCGAAGGAGGGGGAGGTGAGACGGGGGTGAGAGGGTGAGAGGGGGCGCTCGGGGAGGGCAGTTCCCTCGTTTTCCCCTCGAAGAACGTAGATTTCCGGGCGGAATTGAGATGTAGACTACGAGAGACCGGTGGAAACTCATAAAAGGAAAAAAGCCACTTTCTTCCCCCAAGAGGTTGAGTGTGGAGAAGAGGCGGGAAAGAAGAAAAAGGAGCAGCGGGGGAAGACCATCGATTACATGGATGGAGGAAAGTTCCGAGGATTGCCAGTTATCTCCTGAGCAAGTGCTCTCTTGTCCTCTTTGCCCCCACCAATGTTCCACAGCACCTGCTGAGCTAAAATAGGGCAAAGGGCTTCAGAAGAGAAAAAAATTATCCTCCCCTCTGACGCCTTTCCCATGGAAAAACGGCAGAGTTGCATCTGTCGATGCACCCATGCATTGCCTACTTGGATCAAGTTTCTGCGTTGTCCCACTCAACCCCCGCCTGAAAGCGGACTAGAAAGCCGGGGCGGCTGGCGCAATGGTAGCGCGTTGCTCTCCTATCTCATTCGATGAAGAGCGCCAAGCAAAGGTTGCAAGTTCGAGTCTTGCGTCGCTCGCTGACCTTCTTTTTCCTCGTACACTTTTGTCTTCCTCGGCTCTTTCTCGAGTCCGTTTGCGTTGTTTATTTTATTTTATTATTTCATTTTATAACGCGCTTTGCCGTCCCTGTTCCCTCCAAAAATTCGGTGGCATCGCCTTTCGAGACGATGTGAAGGCGCACATTGTTGCCCCTGTCGCGGAACTGCGGCTCGCTCCTCGAGGCCTAGCCGTAACCGAGAACGGAGGCGATTGCCCTCATCGCTATGTACTATTATTGCCTGGCCCGAATAGGTGTAGCGAAGCGTATGTGGGCCTTGTTCCAGATTCTGTTTTCAACAGCACATCTGTGGCACAACTTCCGCGTCTGTCTCCCAGCCCTCGAATGTGGTTGCATGAGATAACGGGCAAGCTATCCTCTCCTTGGAGGGGGACTGGCCCACACGTCCGTAGTCCTAGGTGATACATGAATTATTGCTGCTAGTCTGCATATTGATGACAATGTCTCTTTTCTCTCAAACCCATCGGCTTCCATCCGGATTCTTCGTCCCAGGCTAAAAGGCTACTCGTAATGGGAAATACCAAGATAATCTTCAAGATGACAACTATCAGTAAAAGCGTGCGCACCATCTTCCCTCTTTTATGAGCCACCCTTTGTCCTCGCTTCAAGTCACCCTCGATCCTTGGTTGGTCGACCACTAATAAACTGCCTGCATCTCCTGCGTGAGCTTCATATTGACCAGGGGTATGCGGCCTTGTTCCACCCCTGGTTTCCGCGCGTGCGCGGCGGGCGGACTCGGGCGTGGCATGACCACTTCCCTCCCTCGATCTCGGTGTCGAAATTCAGCTGCCAAGCGGCAGAAAACTCGGGAGATTGAGGCTTCATTGAAGAACCGTGGAGGGTGGGATCACCTCTTCTATCTGCATTGCCTCCGCGCGCTGTCAAGATGGCACGCTGCGACTGGCTTTCGTGTGCCACTTCTGCGCCTCCCATTTGTCCCTCCCTCCCAATTCGCTCAAGTCGGTGAAAGGCACTCTGTGGGCGAGGCATGGGCCATCCTAATCTGTGTCGTGGCGGGGATCGGCTGGGGGACTCGTCTCGTCTTTACTCGCTGGGCCGCAAAGAAAGCCTTAGAGTCAGAGCTTTCAAGGTCTTCTTTCTATGCCCTTAAGCTGAGAACCTCAAACTGCCAGATCCTTCCACTCATAAATCCTCGGTCTGTGGGGGCAAGTGGCCAAAGGGGGAGGGGTTTCCCATGTGGATGGGAGCTGTGATCGTAGTCTAAGTATCTGAAATTAAAACCCCATCTAATTTTATCGGTCCTCGAGGGCCTGGAAGACCGTTGTATTTCGCACCATGCACTCTGACGAGTCTTGACAGCCTATAGCCCGGCGGGCTCGTTGTTCGTCGCCGTGCCCCTGGGCACCTGCGATGATCTGCGCGGCCGTATTGCAGGGCATCTCATGCGGCGAGGACGCGGCGGAAAAGGTCGCAGGTGGCGACATGCCAAAGTCTCTCGAAGCAGGTGATCGAGGTTGGCTCGCCGCAAAGGGTGAAACTCGGTGTGCCTTGGGGCCAGGAGAGAACCGTATCCCGGGTGTAGCGTCCCGGCGTCTGAAGGAGATGGTTCTAGTGCTCGAAGAGTGGGCAGTCCCTGTGTCGATGGGTCGTCTTCGTTGATGAGGTGCTTGAGCGACATAGGTCCAGACGACCCTCGATCAGGCCGGCTACCCGGTCCTGGGCTGATGCTGCCCCTCGCACTGGGCACGCTGGTTTCGCTCGCCGCCGAGATGCTCCTTCGCGAAGAGCCTGAACCATCTGCCCCGAGGCCCACCAGCCGCCGCGCTTCGAAACCGCTTTCCCGCCAGATTTGAGGACACAAGGTACCCCTCGATCTCGTCTTCGGAAACGCCCCTCTGGGTGAGTAAAGATCTTAGGCGGGCATTCTCCACGGCAACGTCGCGTGCGGCCCGCTGCATCTCCAGAGTGGCGTGAACTCCTTGGCGCTCATATTCCTGGACCTTGCGCTGTAGCGTCTCGACAAATTCTCGGTGGCGGGCACGGGAACGGCGCTGGTTATCGCGGATGCGTATGGCTGTGGAGTTGTCTGCCGACTGCTGTTCGGATGTCGAAGCAGAAGGGAGAGTCATGTTAGTAGATGCCTGGGGTTTCAAGCTATGTATCAAAAGATTATAAGCCCTGCGCGGTCCAGGTAGGAAGAAAAAACACGGGTACGGAGGAGTAAGAGGAAGAAGGAAGGGGTGGGTTCAGTCACTCCGCATTGTGGGGGATGAGACTGGTGTGGTGTGGGTGGAGGTCTGCAGCGTGTGTTGTGCCCAGCCTTGGTAAGAAAAAGTGGCAGCCTGGACATTTGTTGCTCACCTTGGTCTCCTTCATTGTCAGACGGAGGAAAACGGGAACGGGTGGATTCAAGAAGAAGGGGGGCAGAATTCTTTGCACAAAGGGAAGGGGAGAGAAAAATAAGGAAAATGCAGAGCTAAGGATTATTTACCAATTGAGCATAAAGCCGTTCTCAAAATCCCCGGAAAAGAAAGAAGCCAGGCCATTTAAGAAGAAGGGAGAGTAGGAAACTAGGGTGACGCAGCGGCGCTTGCATGGTATTATTTGCGAGAAGTAATAGGTTTTTTTTTTTTTTTTTTTTTTTTTTTGTTCTCCCTAAGACTAGGAATGGGGCCTTGCGAGCCTTCTCAGCTCCTGGTTCCCTTGGCGGGAAGCATTATTAAGTGGGGAAGGAGAAAGAAGGATTCGAGTCGGGGCTCGGATCATTATGCCTCCCGGCCGGGATATTCGGAGGTCGGCCATGGACCCGTCCGCCATTTCCCCAGGATTGAGGGGTTTGGGCATCGGGAGGCCGCCGAGTCTGAACCGCGATTGGGCAAGCAAAGCGAGGAGCTGATTCCGTCATTTGCCATCTGCCACTACGGGCAAAAAAGAATCTCGGGGGCTAGGGGCAAAGTGCTTGGGGAGATTGAACTGCTTTGCCCATGGGCCTGCTCGTGTCTGGAGACTTGACCCCGACAACCTGCCTGCAAGGTATTAGTGTGGTGCTTGGTTTTGTGGTGGCCTCCACTTGCTCCTGTTGTGGGCGTTATGTTATCTCCTCTGCAAAAGCCTAATAGGTAGCGCCTAGTCCATCCTCGGCATGACCATGTCATTGCGTCGTTGACGGGCCCGTCAGCCGACATCAGCCCTCGCATCATACCAACGACACCTGGTTGGAGCAATTCTACGCCGGTTGCTTACCGGTGCTGGTTGGTCGGCCTCGCATCGCATAGTTACCCTAGGGGAGGGGAGGGGAGGGGTGTGGAGGGGCTTGTTTTCCGTCTGCCAAACCCCCAATCCTGCCCTCGGGCCCCTCGTTTTCGCACCCATCTCGGATTGTGCGAGTCAAGAAGCGAACTTAGGGGTTGTTCCAAACGTCGTCGGCAGCTGTCACACCATGTCGATCCTTGTTTGTTATCCTTGTGGGATTGAGAATGAGTGCTAGACCCGCCTGTCGTGATTGGTGTTTAGCTTTCTTCTGTTTTGTTCCCTCGCCCTTCCTCGCGAGTGACGAGTGCTAGGGGCTGAGAATTCGATCGATGGGATGGGGCCAAAAGTATTATTGCCAGGCCCCATCCAATGTACCTTGACTGGACGACGACGCCATCTTCTTGCCGGGTGGTCTTGGCATATTTCAGCTGGGTATATTTAGAACCTCCGAGCGCGCCAGAAAACCCATGCCTTGCCCAAACCTCGTTAACCCCGGGCAGACTGCTCCGGGGGTCAACTCTGGCCTGTCCTCAACCCTCAATCCACTCACAAATAATAGTATCCATAGATCCTGATTTGTTCTCTCGTCCAGCTCATAAACTGAACGAATGTCAGGGCTAGTTCGTGCAAGGTCCTTTTGTCTGAATGCCCACTTCAGGCGCCACACTGCCGAGCTGTCGTCCCTTGTTTTGTCCCTTAATAAAATGAACCCGAGATCTCTTTTGTGACTGTTTTGAGCCACCATCGCGAGCTGGCTTTCGGTCTTCTTTTGAGATGCAAAGAAACCGTTCCTCGACCGCTACCCGACAGCTCGGGATGCGATCGGAAGCTGCTTGGTCGTTTCACGGAAATAGAATATGCATCGCATCGTAACGGGAACCCTTGACGTGCGGCGCGGGAGCATTAAGCTCAGACGGGAAACCTCGAAACACATTCCACCCCACCCTCCCGCTCACGTCCCATGATGTCCAGCCTTGCCCTCGCAATGACACCTCATTCAGCAGAGGAAAGTGAGTGTGGGGTTGGTTTGTGGTGCCCTTGATAATAAAGATAAGGCGAGCGCAAGGTATGCTGGGCGGGCTACTTTAATCCCTCGTACCTTTGGAGCCCTATTACACGGATCTGGTTTCCAATGCGATGGGGTAATCTCGCACAAGAAGCCAATCTCAGCACCAAGCTCCGCGTGGGCGGACCGTCGATACGAGGTGCGTTGCCAGTCACCAAGCAAAAGCAAACCAACGCTATGGTTTCCTAGTTCAGGAGATGGTAGGGGGCATTCATGGCGCCTTGCTTGCGAGATATCGATAGCTCGCCTTTCCTACTGCCTCTCCGCGATGAACTGTGGGTCGTGATAGCTGGTTTCGGTAAACGCTTCTGAATCCTAGACATTTGACATTTTAGTAATCTACTCCAATGCGGTATGTGGAGCGGGAGGACACATGGGTGTCGTCCTCGGGCTGAAGTTTCAATACCGTCCCATCATGCACCCTTGACCTGCATCCCTCTTTCCTTCCAACTCGGCCCTTTCGACTCCGCCTCCAAGACCAGAGAGACTCGTTCTTTCCCCCTCGAGAATAGAACGCACCTGCCTTCTTCCCCTCGCTCCTCCAGCTGAGCTGATCTCTCACTTGTTCACTATCCACACTTCTCCACCTGCATTCTTCCCCTTTCTGTGCTCAACGAGGCCAAGAATGAGGCAAGCATCCCCCTCCCCCGACACTCAACGTCGAAAGTCATATGCTGCAAAACTACTGCAGCCGCTTGACATCCCTAAGACCGACTTCGATGGTAGGAGTTGAGGACTTAGCCATCATCATGTGATTGATCACAGCTGCGATAACTGACTATCCGTTTCACAGTAGTGCCCGAGAGACAGCGAGCTGTCGCTTCCTTATGGTGCCTTTCAGCGTTGGCTGATCTTGATGCGGAGAGCGCGGCCAGGCATCACACCAGGCTACTGACCCATCACTGTCAGTTTTTGTTGCACTACCACATCTGCCACTGCCGAGCGTCATCTGCTCCTTGGCGACCCATCTGTGTTTTAAACGAACCGGGTAGCTGCTTCAGATATCGGCTAGTCTTGAAACCCACGGTTTTCAAAGCTGCAACGCCGACTAATAAAAGAGGGCATGGGCAAGATGCACTAATGCCCTCGTTAGGGGAGAGTAGTTTATGCCCCTATATACCCGTTGACATGACATTTGCCAGAAGACGGACGCATGTTCGACTCCTATTGCATCCAAGGCACCTTTGCAAGTTTCATCTGGCCTGCATGTTCAATATATCATAGCGGGCCTCGTTCCGCGCCGTGCTTTCTGGCTCAGCCGGCGGCGGGCGGGTGGAGATCGGACCCGCGAGATATCCACGCATCGCGGCCCGCCGGATACGGAGGAACATTTGACTTGTCGATCTTGGTTTCTTCGCTTGTTGGATCGATGCAGCCGTACTTTCCATAAGCTGGCTTTGTTATATTGGCGTTACACCTCCAATCAGGGGTTCCGTATGTGCACGCCTATCCTGGATGATTCAAGTGAAACTCTTGAGCCTTGGCGTATGGTTGAGTTCATCCGCTCTTACGATGTCCAAACCTCACCTCGGGACAGGCTGGGTGTTTGTGTGCGGGGGACTAGATGGGAACATGCATCGGATGTGACAGATGTTGGCTGAAGGCCTGTCTCGCCATGACAAGTGGGATCAAGACAATGTGCGAAATTGCGCCGTGGGCTGTTATTCGTTCATGGCCATCCGTAATTGGCGATCGACACTTGATACGGAAGGACTACTGCGGCTTGATAATAAAAAGACCGGTCCCCTTAGCACACCATCACACGCGAAAAGCAACGTCAGAGGGTTCGCCCAGACCTGGTTGCTATAAATAAGATGGGAATAAAAGAAAAAACGTGAGAAGGATTGTCTTTCCCGCAAAGCCACTCTTTCGTGTTTCCTTTTTCCAGATGCTGCAGGATGCCGACGATGGGTCTTGTTTTTGGGTCCCACGAATGAAGGGTAGGGGTTTATATTGGTCACTATAAACACCTGTGTCATTCATCTAGATTCTTTCTCGATTTCCCCGCTCATAAGTGTACGCACTTCAACCGTGATAGTGATTCAAGGTGACACCAGGGGCCATACCGGGTATTGGGAGAGGTACTGGATGGATTGAATGGATTGAGACAAAAGCAACGCCTCCAACCGGGATCGACGAGGTTGACTTTTTCGGGAGGGCTAACTAACAGTTAAAGGCAGTCGGTTCCCCCAGTCTTGAATCCATGGGAAGCAATTGTAGATAGTAGTCGCGGCGTGCCGAGTTCAAAGTCGATCTAACTTGCCCTTTCGATTTCAGTTGCACAATTCGTTCGCCACCCTCGGTCGCGTTATTCGCCATGTTGCCAACATTGGCAAAACTCGCATCGCTCCTCGGGGTGACGGCCGTTACCGCCAAGGTAATCGTCATACCCGGCGGTGACCCGAAACCGTATACGGGGCCGGCCGCCATCACATCGATTGACACCTTTTTCCAAGAGAGCGTCAAAGGCGAATTCACGAGCCCCGACACCGAGGTGCTCCTCTCGTCGCTCGAGTTTGAGGATATCACGGAGAAGACGGGCCTGCAACCCTCGGCGGACAGCTTCCTCCGAGGCGCGCTTCAAGCATGGGGCCAGCACCTGCACCTGGTGATCAGGCCTGAGGAGGTGTGGTTCACCATTCTTGTGCAAATGAACTTTTACATGAACACGCACGCCGAGGAGATTCGGGATCTCTTTGTCGACCACGAAGGGAAAGAAAAGATTAGCGTGGAGGACTATACGTGGTACCTCGTGCTGGAGCGCTTCCAGTACGAAATCCAGGACCGCGTCAAGACGGACTGGCTCCTCGAGTGGATCCAACCCAACTTTACGACGACCACGGAGTCGGACCGCATGACGGCCAACGTCCTGATGATGGGCCTCATGAAAGCCTACTTCGACTACGAAGGCTCCATCATCTGTGGTCTCCCTTCCGTCACCCTCCTCGGCGAGAAGAGCGACTGGGAGGCCCTCTACGACAAGCTCGACCGCCTGAGCGAGTTCGGGGCGGAGCCCACCGAGTACCAGGCCCGGCTGCGGCCCATCCTCTCGCGGTTCGTGCAGAGTTTCGACGAGCCCGACAGCGACGAGATCAAGGACTTTGGAACAGCATCGTGGTCGCCGAGGCGGGTGGATCTGCGGCGACCCGCCTTACTTCCTCAACGGCTGGCTCACGGGGTTCTGGTACTGGGATGCCTCTGGCCGAGAGTTTGCGCGCAACGACTACGGCGTGGCGACCTACGACGGCGTCACCTACGCCAGGGTGTCCATTGAGAGGTTGCCCGTCGGCTACGCGCAGGCCGAGTTCACGATGCTCGACTTTAGGGAGGTTGAGAAGTTCCAGGCCATGGTCTTGGCTGGTACTCTGGGGAAGAGGATCACGGAGGGTTACCCCGACGGCTATATCGAGGCGTATAAGCGCGCGGCGAAAGCCAAGAGCGCCGACAAGAAGAACAAGGACGACGATAACGACGAGGAAATCGAGGTGGATGATGACCCCGCCAACCACGGCACGATCCAGCCGAGCTCTGGATGGCTTCTTTACGGCCCGGTCGACCACGAGAGGAACGCAACTTTGCCTCTGAATGCCGAGCTGGGGCCCTACCGGGATATCTTACGGGTGACCTCTGCGCCAGCAGGCCAATAGATTTCGAACAGATTGTAGAGAACGGAGCGTAAGCCTGGCGGTTTAGCCGTGGAGGTCGTTGCTAGGATTAGGGTAAGGGGTAGCGGACAAGGAAGGAGTTCGCGAGGGTCCTTGTCCAATTCCATTCAAGCGAGCCACTACTTGTGCCTTTGGCTCTAAATCTATGAAGAAGGATAGGATTATAAAAACGAGAAAAAAATTACAATCCCAACGACTCTTTTGGACTCGAGCCATCTTTGTCTCCATTCTGGCCCCATCTTGGTGTCTGTTCTGGCTCCAGACTATGATACTAGGATGATAAGTGATAAGACTGGGCACGGTCCTAGCACCTTGGTTTCGGCATCCTACCGACGGCTTCGTCCGAGAGTAGACTAAGGGGATTAAAGTTAAGCAGCGTTTCGATAAAAAGGAGCGAATGCAGAAAAGAAGCGATAAAATAAACATTAAGCTTCATATTCCCACATTACCTTAATCTTCTAGGCCCATTTGAAATATTTGACATGAGCATCTATTGTTCCCACTTGGCAACGTTTTGCTATTGATACATAGGCATTAAGGAAGGAAGCCAAATGTATCCATTAGATCCTCGCCGAAAAGTTACACGCACACGTTGGCCAAACTTTTCTCGGGATGCCTCGTCCTCGCTACGACGTCTGCCGTGGAGGTAGAAATAGGGGCCACGAGGGGGTAGGGATGGGGACACCTCCTCCTCCTTGTACTGGTTGTATTATTGGCATCGCCAATCCCCAAGAGAGAAAATCGGGAGGGAAATGCATTTTCCCTTTGAACCTCCTGAGGTGGCTCCGGCGCCCAGTCTGGTTCCATTCAGACGCCTTTCAAAGGTTGTGAACGGTAGCACGAGGGCGCGAGATTGTCAGACGAAATCCGGGGAACTGGGAGATTGCGAATCTCGCGACTCGCGGGAAGCAAGGCTCTGATGTTCTGTCGAAGGTTGATGGAAGCATGGGGTTACCACACCATGGCCGCCACGGTGGAGCATCTCATTCTTCGCATAAGCAATTACTCAACAATACAATGGAACCATAGGTTCTCGAATGATTCGTCAACCCCCTGAGATTCTTCAACGCTCATGATGTCTCCGACTCCCAGCCAGAGCGGCGCCTCTTCCTCATTCCTCCCTTTCCCGCCCCTTTTAATAGTTGGGGATTTTTTTGTCCGAACTTCAAGGACTTCTCGTGGCTTGAGATGAGACTCTAGCTTGGCATGGAGCAAGGAGATGCAGGTCAAAATGAGATTGCTTTCTTGGAGGGAGGCTTGGACCTGCAGCGAGGTGCGCCCAGCTTCCGAGGCGAGTCTCGATGCAACCCTCCCTCGGGGCATGATTAGCCTGATTTTCATCTAGTGTCTTTCCATCGCGTTGCGCCACACTCTGAATATGGCACTCTGAACATGGGGGTTTAGCTTGCCTCCCCGGCATCTCACAAACCAAATTTGGTCAGAATAATGAACCACCTTCTCCAACCCAAAGTGCGAAAGTGCGAGAGAGGCGCCATCTGAAGAAACACAGAAGAAAATAAATGGCTTAAGTGGTAGTTTCGGGCGATTCCCCTCGTAAGGATGTGTTCTTTGATCTGGAAGTCATCATCACAAGAGCCAGTTCCGTGGCCCGTTCCGCAGTTTCATTCGTACCCTGGACCCTCGTGAAGATCATGAGGTTGAAGGGACTTGGACTTGGAGGCAGGCGAAGGAGGGAGCGGATCAGCGATGGTCAGTGTGAGAGCCAGGACTAGGGTTTCGCAACCGATCAACCCTTTCCTCTGTTCTTGAAAAAGGAATGGACAAGGGCGCCACTCGGGGTCTAGTCGTCTTCATCGCCCCCTTTCAGCCAAATCCATCGAGGTGGAGGAGATTGACCTTTGCAAGCAGATGCAACGCTATGACCGTGGCCGGTGCTTGGAACGAGTTTTCCGGCCAATGTTTCCCAGACAGGGGAGGGGTATCGCTCTCAAATCCGCGCTCATCCCCAGCGTTGATGAGAGGAGACGAGGCAGTCTCTCAATACCAAAACTGAAATCTCCGAAAACGACAGTGCAAATAGTACACCAGCAGAAGGCCGCGAACCGTCTTCACCAAGGGGCTCGAGGCAAAGTGATCTGAAGCATGCAACGGTTTGGAACAATATATTTTTGGTTTTGACCTTCCACCGAATGCATCCACGCTTGAAGCACCAGGTCAGGCACACCGTGAGCGCAGCGTTGTTTCCTCGAGGCCTTCTTTCCTCCGAATGCGGGATATCAGGCCATGCTCGCTTCCACGGAAATGGGCATCGCATCAACTGTTAGTCGTACCGAGTCGGGCCAATTTCTGACAAGGGTGAGTTGAAAAGCTGGTTGAGGCTACGTCGACGTAATAAAAGGATCTTGGGAGAGTCCAACAGCAGTTGCCTATTTGGGAGTGGGTGGGGGTTTGGTTGGATGGACGGTATTTCGCTGATCCAATTCATCTTATTCCCAACGCGAGGAGTTCGGAGCATTTTCAGTCGAGGTGTGGCCCGACAGATGCCGTGCGGGCTCTTTCCTGCAGCCAGAGCGGCCGTTCTCGCGGCTTGTACTTGGAAGAATGCATTGATGTAGGTGGGAGGAACATTGAACGCTGGATATTGGGGAAGAATAAAAGAGGAGAAAACGAAGAAGAGGCTGCGCCTTGAGCCTTGAATTCCGGCACGAAGGATCGTCCTTGTGCGACCAAATAATAGCTGGTAAATGATATGGCCAACTCATCTGACTTGGCCCTGTGCATGAGATGACCCGGGCCAAGGAGCTAAGCTGGCCATCATCTCCATGCTTTGAGAATGTGAACAGGGAATAGGTCGAGACGCCGCCACAAGAATCGCACTTGCCGTTTTGTCATTGATTAGTACACCCAGGATCAACTGTCATTGTCATCTTCCGCTGCCTGCTAAACGTTGAAGGAACGAACGATGGACTCTCCCCTCCCTTCTAGAAATAGATCCATGGACTTGATCCATTCTCCCTGTACAAGTATCGATTTTCTCTATGTCGGCTTCCCCACTTCCGAACGGGATGATGCATTGTCCTAGAGCAATTTTCATATTATGTTTCTTCTGCATCAGTCGACACCTTTCGTCGGGGTGGTTGATGGACGCTGTTCATTGTTCTTTTCTTCTTCAACTGTTCGAAGAAACATGAGCAAATTGATCCATTCTATCCAGGAACCAAAAACGCCCCAAAAGCCACTGCACTTTGACCCCGCAAATGATGTACTTGGCCCGTTTTCCGCTTTCCCCGGAGAGGAACGGGGAAACGCTGGCTCGACATTCCACCAACACTTCAGGCGTGTTAAAGACCCCGGCTGGGCACTCGGATCCCACATCCATGTCGCGTTAGGCCCCGGGCGCCGCGCCGTCCTCACTCCCCTTCCTCATGCAACCTTAGTGTCTTGGACTCCACCCTGGCCATCCCATCACATTGATCGATCCACGCCGAATGCGCCCAACAGCGAGTTACAAGCATGTACGAAGTACAACCTACCTCTATATTCCGTGCCTCGACGCGACTCGCCGAGTGCCTCGTACTTTGGGAATATTCTTCATGCTTGGCCAAGAATTTCGGGATGCAGCGACAAAATCTGAACACTTGTACCGGTAAAGGGGGAAGCTCAAGAATAGACCACTCCTTGGCACCAATCCTCCAATCGACATCTGATAACCCGAACTGGGCTGTCCGCTTTGGAAACATTGAAATTGCAGCCATTGTTATTATTACGAGGGAGCCTTCGATGTGGAGAAGCCGGTATTTTGCGACCGAGACAAGGTTGCTCCCTACTGCACCATGCGGGGCCCTCCCTCCCCATCGTTCCTCGCCTCCTCGGTGCGTGGTTCATCACCGGCGACTTCGGGGCACTCGGGCTGGCCAAGCTCCAGCCAAGGCCGCCCTCCCGTCCCACACTGACAGTGAAGGACACACCCTATCGTGCTTTGTTATATACCATCTCATGTCCCCTCCCACCTTTCTGGTTTGGAAGTAGAGGTTTCCCAAGAGCTTTCACTCTCTCAAGCTCCCCCTCAGAAGACTTTTACGTCTTCAGTCACTCGTTTCCAAACATCGATCCACCGATCCTACACACTCGTTTGTATCTCAGCGTCGTACGGACGTAACTATTCGTGCCATCATGCCTTCTCTCAAAAGCACGGTGCTCGTCGTCTTGAGCGCGACAGCCAACCTTGTTGCCGCTTGGCCCACCGTGCCCAAGTATGCCCAGCTTGTCAACCGCGCCGACCAAGTGTCCGATGAGTACGACTACGTGATTGTCGGTGGTGGTACCTCTGGTCTCACTGTGGGTGACCGCCTGACCGAGAACGGCAAGTACACTGTCCTCGTTATCGAGGAAGGCGAGTTTCACGATGTCACCGGCTTCGATTTCTCGCGCATGTATAACATCACCTCGCTACCCAGCCCTGCCCTGAACGACCGAAGCTTCTTCGTCGGCATTGGTAAGGGTGTTGGTGGCAGCTCCCTCGTCAACGGCCAGGTATGGCTGAGGGGCACGATCCCCGAGTATGACGCGTGGAGGACGCTTGGAGGCTCCAAGGCCAAGGACTGGGACTGGAACGGTCTCCTTCCTTACTTCAAGAAGGTTCGCCGTCCCGAGATGAATTCGGCTGCATTCCATGATGTAATCAGAGATTCCCCGACTAACTCCTGTTTCAGGCTATGACCCTCAACCCTCCCACCGACGAGCAAGTCGAAAACTACAAGATCCTCTACGACCAGTCGTACTGGGGTGACGGCGAGATTCAAGTCTCGTTTAGTGACGGTCCCGCCAGCGAGCAGACCAGTAAGAGCCTCCCTTTCAACCATAACCACCACGCTCACGCGCGTTCTCCTACGAAAGCTCCCCGTACTTACTCTTTCCCGCAGTGATCCTCTACGAGGCCATGTCCAAGGTCGACGGCATGACCACACCCGTCGACTCCGGCTCCGGTCACGCCGGTCTCTACTGGTACCCCATGGCCCAGGACAATGTCAACTACATGCGCTCCTATGCCCGCACCGGCCACTGGGACGATCTGACCCGCGCAAACTACCAGATGATCACCGGCTCCAAGGTGTCCAACATCGTCTTTGGCCACGACATGACCGCCACTGGCGTCACCTTCCGCACCGGCAGCGATTCCGCCGTGACCGTCAAGGCCAAGCGTGAGGTCATCCCGCCGCCGGCGCCATCCACACCCCCAGATCCTCATGCTGAGCGGTATCGGCCCCGCCGACCACCTCGCCGAGGCCGGTATCGACGCCAAGGTCAACCTGCCCGGTGTCGGCGCCAACTTCCAGGACCACAGCTACATCCCTTTCATCGGCTACGCTTGGGGTATCCCTCCCAACGATGAGGAGCCCTACTACGGTCCCGGCTCCGGTCCCGGTGCTCACCCCAACCTCGCCGCCATGATGGGCCTGCCCGTCATCACCCCCGACAAGTACCAGGAGATTGCCGCCAAGTACGCCGCCCAGGGCGCCGCCGACTTCCTCCCCTCCCACTATACCGCCGAGCAGATTGAGGGTTACCGCCAGCAGCAGCTCATCTACGCCGAGCTCATGGAGTCGGACAACGTCGTCTTCAACGAAATGATGCTTTCCGGCCCCGGCGGCTCCGTCCAGAACCTCCACCCTTGCTCCCGCGGCGACATCCGCCTCAACACCCAGGATCCCGAGTCCGAGGTTCTGGTCGACTACCGCGCCGGCTCCAACCCCTCGATCTCGAGGTCATGGTCGAGATTGTCAAGTTTATGCGCCGCTTCATGACCACCGGCGACCTCGCCCAATACGCCGCCGTCGAGTTCCTCCCCGGCCCCGAGGTTGCCACCGACGAGGACCTCCTCGGCTGGGTCAAGGAAAACCTCATCCCCTCCGTCTTCCATCCCGTCGGCACCACCGCCAAGATGCCCCGCAAGTGGGGTGGCGTCGTCGACGAGGACCTCTTCGTCTACGGCACCAAGAAGCTTCGCATCATTGACAGCGGTATCCAGCCCACCCTCATCGGCGCCACTACCTGCGAGACCGTCTACGCTGTCGCCGAGAAGATTGCCGAGAAGATTCTCGCCAAGGCCGGCCACGGTGGTGGGGACCACGAGCCCCCATGTGCAAGCGCTCTCGCAAGCGCGCTCTCAAGGCCCTCGCAGCTAAGAAGAACTAAAGAGCATGGAGATTGGGTAAGGAAACCTCTGATTGGATAGAAGGGTCAGAGGATCGGATCCAAGGTTGGATATGAGAGAGGGATAGCACTTCGTAAATATAATTGCCTTTTCTCTCCCTTTGGGACTTTGTATAAAAAGAGTGTCCAACAAGAAGCACTTTATATCACAAGATTCTTTAAACCTTGAAAAAAGCAACGTGATGAGAGAATCATTGATTGGGTTTCCAGTGTACTCAGGCTAAGCTTGCTCGCTTATCTTGTGAATCTGTAACGCGCGGGTATAGTAAAAGTCATTTGCTCGGGTTTGCCCAGTATAAATCACCTTGCGGGATGAATAGTGAGTTTTTATCATGTTAAGGGGAAAAACAAACATGTCCCGCCATCTCTATTTTGGGTACGGCAAGCCGAATTTCCCTTCCTCCCTCTTATTTTTGAGGTAGATTATGAAGTAATACAAAAGTGGCCAAAGACATCCTCGGACGACGAGGCTCCAGTCGAAAGGAGGTCGTTCCCGTGCCTGGTGATCAGCCTCGCCGGAGGAGGGTAGCTGTCACTGGGCAGCCATATCAATATCCTCATCTTCAGATAGACCATCACCGTCATCTTCATCGTCCTCATCGTCCTCATCGTCCTGGTGTACCGGAAGAGGTACGATCGGCGGTAGGGGCGGGATGTAAAGCTGGGAGATGGTGTTCCGAGCAAAAGCGTGGAAGTCAGAGCCACGGAAAGAACACCAGGTCATGTCCTTGTAGCCGCGTGGGCTGGTGGCGTCGGCCAAACGGAAGGAGACAAAGGACTTGGTGGCGCGCTCGGTAAGGAATTTGGCATTGAAGCGGGCAAGGTTGCTCAGATTGGGGTTGGCGGCCATGTGGGAAAAGGCGTAAGCCCATTGGGAAGAGTGGACGGAAGGGTTGTAGGGGCCACGCCGTTGTCAAAGGGAGTACCGGTACCCCAGTGCCCTGCCTCGTCGAAGAGACCGAGACGGTAGAGAGTCAGGGACTCGAGGTTGGGGGCAAAGGCGTTGATGGTGGCGACGAGAGTCTGCGGAGTCACCATCATTTTGCCCAGTTGCAGCTCGCGTACGGTACTCAAGTTTGGCAGCGGGGGCACGAACATGGGCTTCATGAGCTCGCGACAGGAGCCCGGGTGCGAGCGATCTAGATTGATGCGCAGGAAGCTCAGGTTGGTGAAAGGGCGAAGAAAATTGGTGAGAGTTTGGTGAGCGCCTATGCGCGGGGAGAGGGCGAGGGCGAGGCTCTTGACGCGATGCAAGCCAGACTCGTAAATGGCACGTTCGGCGTCTGGGAGCTCAAGACCCAAGAGGTTGAGGCCGCCTCCGGGGCCGCCGCTCTCCTCGACCATGAAGGCGTCGAGATCCAAGTTGGTGCGGGAGATGGCGTAGGCGGTTACGCGGTACATGCGGACGTCGAGGGAAAAGACGTTGCTGTTTGGGCTGGAGGAAGGGTAGCGGAGAATGATGGTGCGTAGGTTAGGTAGACGGGAAAAGGCCTTTTCAAGAAGGTCCTTGTCGGCGCCCGAGCTGAAGACGGCGCACAGGTCGCGGTCCACATTATGGACGTAGCGGATGGCAATGGTCTCGATGTAGGGGCGAATCTAGGGTCGTCTGCTATGTCGCAGAGTAGACGCAGGGAAGATGGGCGGAACCCCACGTCGCGGCGGCTGAAGAAGCGCTTGACAAAGATGTGAAAGAGCACGCGTTCCAGGTCCCGGCAGGAGAGGCGAAGCTGGAGGAGTGAGTCGCGGTCAAGGAAGTCGGTAAGGCGCAGGAGAAGCTCGAGGGGAAGCTTGGTTTTGAGAATGCTGATGAGGCACGACTCGTCCTGGGGCGCTGAAGGGAGGGGGCGGCGGTATTCATGGCGAGAAGTGAGAGGTGGTTCTCGGGGATAGTGCGGCGCAGTGGTGGAGGGTTTACCGCGTAGAGAACGGAAGAGGTGAGGGGCACAGATAGCCAGCTCAAGAGGGTTTGGTTTGGCGTGTGGAATGAAGGGAATGCGGGGTGAAATTGGCAAACTCAACTCGCCAACACGTTCCCAGCAGGAAAAGCTATAGTCACGATTTGAGTGATCCGAGGAGCGAGGGGAAGGAGGAATTGAGAGGCGCCAGATCAAGATCAATGCCACTGATAGACGCCAGGAGCAAGAGGGCAAAGTGGTGCTGATATAATCGAGGACGGGGGTGACGGCCTACCCCGGTTCGAGAAGGAACGATGAATGGGGGCGAATCGATTGAGAGAGCGTACCCGAGTTGGGTCAAGATGGAAGAGGAAGATTCGCAAATGGGATTCAGATAATACATATATTGTTCTTGGAAGAACAGGTAGCACGTTGGATTCACGACGAGAACATGCCCGTCGTCGCTTCTTACATGTAGTTGACGTTGCGGCACAAAACAGGCTCGTCGTGGTTTGTTCAGCTGCACCATTAACTCAGGCACCAGCTGCTGCCTGGGCAATAAATGGAGGAGGGGCGCATTCCCACTAGTACGGTAATGGAACCGACCCAGCTCAAGACACCGCATTACATGCAAAAATGATAATAGGCCTCCAATTGAGGCCCATTGACGAATCCCATCAAATTGAAGGACGCAAATCATTATAAAAGGCATCAGCCAACACTAGCCCTACATCGGTACAGCATAGCTAGCTTGTCGATCATTGTTCATCTCGACCTTGGAGCTTGAGAGCTCCCCGCGGTACCATTGATTAATTAAGTGAGAAAGCCTGAGTCGCTCTCTTAGTTACTAAAGTTCAGTTTCCCACCACAAACTTGGCCTTGGAGGGGCCTTGAAGAAACATTGAAGAGTGATTCACCATCATATTGACTTGGAGAAATGGGCGTGCCTGGAGACCAAGGTGCGGGGGTCGTGAGGCTCAAGTCCATCATCAAAAATTTAGACACATCGTGATCAAGTCATAGAATACAAGGGTGGACCGGAATTGATCGACGGATTCTTTACCTTGATGGACGTTGCGGAGGACCTTAGCTGGTTCTCAATGCGACTGGTTTGTCCTGGTCAATTGGACGGATGTCGCCAAATCTCGAAGCCCGGCGAAAACCCCACCTTAAGAAGCACAAGCATGATCGCATTCTGAGAGCCAGTCCGGGTGAGCGGGACAGCCGTTGGAGACCAACCCTAGCGTGCCGGCGCGAGCTCTCTGTACCCCCGATTTTCCCGACCTCGGCAAGTCAGAACGGCGGGGGAGAGTCAAGGGCTCAATTCCCCACATCCATTGCATCATCCATCGCATTCCCGACGCTTGACTAGGATTGATTGATCGCAGCTAGACACAAGCCGAGCACTACATGGATTTATAATCGATCTCGAATCGTACGCCTTTTTCTCCTTGCCTCCCTTTTTATCTTCTCCCCTTTGCGTGCTGTGAGCTTCTAGATCTCACATGCTACACTAGATCGGAGGGAAAGAAAAAACATCTTCTCCCCAACAGAGCAGCTCCACTCCAATTTCCAAAAGAGAAGAAAAAGAGAACATTTACATCGATCGATACATCTAAACAGAGATACACACTTATATACCCGCACACACACACACGTCTAAGCCAGCGTCCACGCTTGATTCAGGTTAACGATGCCTCAAGCTCTCACCATTCGCAAGGTTGACGGTAAGCCCGGTGAGGTATACTACCCGTACGTTTCCTCCTCTTCTTGAAGCAAGTAGACAGCCCGATCTAGGGCTGCACGTCTCCTTTTTCCCGCCGCCCTCGTAGTCTCCCGGTAGCTAACACTGTGAATGACAGGCTACAGCTCAATGATGTCCCTAAGCCAACTCCCGGCCCCGGAGAGGTGCTCGTGCGCATCCACTCCGCTGCCCTAAACCACCGCGATCACTGGATCCGCAAGGCCCAGTACCCCGCCATATCCTTCACCGCCCCCATGTTCGCCGACGGCTTCGGCACCGTCGTTGCCGTCGGCGACTCTTCCTCCCACCCGGAGCTCCTGAACAAGACCGTCATCTTGTCCCCCAGCCACGGCTGGATCTCCCAACCCGAGGGGCCCGAGGACCCCAGGAACTACGCGATCCTGGGCTCTTGCAAGCTCAGCCCCGTCGGCATGGCCCAGGACTACGTCGTCGTCTCCGAGGACGAAGTCACCCCCGCCCCGGAGCACCTCACCCCCGCCGAGGCCGCCGCCCTGCCCCTTGCCGGCGTGACGGCCTGGAGAGCTCGTCACCAAGACCGGCAACGCCGAAAAAGGCCGAAATATCCTCATCACCGGAATCGGCGGCGGTGTCGCCTTGGCCGCCCTGCAGTTCGCCGTCGCCAAGGGCTGCAACGTCTACGTCACCTCGGGCAGCCCCGACAAGATCGAGAGCGCCAAGAAGCTGGGCGCCGTGGCTGGCGTCTCGTACAAGGCTGAAAAGTGGGACAAGGACCTCGTCGCCCTCCTCCCCGCTGACCGGCCCTTCATCGACGCCGTGGTGGACGGAGCCGGCGGCGACATTATCCGCCGCGCCGGTACCTTCCTTAAGCCCGGTGGCGTCATTGCTCAGTACGGCATGACGGTCTCTCCCAAGATGGAGTGGTCCATGGCGGCGGTCCTGAAGAACATTGAGCTCAAGGGCAGCACCATGGGCTCTCGGAAGGAGTTTCTCGAAATGGTCCAGTTCGTGCGCGAGAGCGGCGTGAGGCCCGTGGTGAGCAAGGTGGCAAAGGGGCTGAACAACCTCGAGGGCGTCGAGGGCCTGTTTAAGGATATGGCCGAGGGCAAGCAGTTTGGGAAGTTGGTGCTAGAAATATCTCCAGTTGGTGAGTCGTCCAAGTTGTAAACATCAGTTCAACCCAGTGTGAAAGAAGACGGGGCAGAACAAAGCGAGAGGAAGAGGAACGAGAAGGAGAAAGCGCCGTTGAAGCCTTTATAATGGTAGTTTCTGAATTGACATGATAGAAGAAACCCGATGAACGAATCAAGACTCGCGTGATAGGTTAGTCTTACTTTCTTCCACACAGGTCTCGGCGTGCCCGAGCTGTGCATAATCTACAGCGCAGTCGTGTGGACACACAGCCGCGGATAGCCTGGATAGTAAATAGTATCTTAAAAATAAAAGAGCATATCTCATTATGCAGGGTCCACCACCCTTGAAAGAGCTAAACAACAGCTATGATGATGATAGGAACAGAAATGACCCTTGTATACGCCAAAAGATAGGTGACATAGGAAAGAGAGAAGGATGAAGGAAGGGATGAAGACGACGGACACGACACACACACAGAGTGAGTCCTTTGATCCGTGTCCGTCCGTTTTCTTTTCTTTTTCCTTGTTTACTCCTCATCATCAGCCTTGCTCTTCTTCCTCTTCTTCTTCGGGGCCCCTTCCTCGGGCGGAACAAAGTCCCTCTCCCTCTCACGCTTCTTCTCCTCCATCTTGACCTTTTGTTGCTCCATCTTCTCTGCCTTGGCCGCCCTATCCTTGGCCTGTTTTCCGAGGAAGTACTCGCCGCTTTCGATCTGAAGATCCACCTTGCTCTTCTCGGGAGCCGGGGGAAGGGTGTGTAGGTTTTCTTGGTTTTGTCCGTGACCTTGAAAGGCTTTTTCCTCTTGCTGAGCGTCTTCTTCTTAAAGTTGGGCAAGAACCTGTCCCAGCTCTCGTTGGCCAGTTCCGGGTCCTTGGCGAGCTCGCGCTTAATCATGAGCTCCTTGATGTGGTAGATGGGGTGGATGTTGGCCATGCAGTCCTCAATAACTCTCCGAACCTCCTTTAGTCCCTTGTAAGGCCCCATGGACGAGACCGTGTTTCCGTGCACGAGTATGTAGGATTGCGTGAGCAGCTCGAGCGCCTTGAGCGTGGACCCGTTAGGGCCGAGGATCCGCTGCCGCCTCTTGACGAACCTCTCCTTGTTGCGCACGAGACTCCGAATCTTGATGATGTCGCACGCCACGCCGTCGTCCAAGATTTTGACGGCCTGGGGGCGGGGACGCTCCTGGCCAAGAGCCGTATCAGATCCCGCGCATCGAGAATCGCGGCCGGGTCAAACGTTTTGCGCGTGGTCTTGACCGTCATGGAACCCTCGACGAGATCCAACTCGCAGGCGATACCCCGGGTTTTGAGCGACTTGGTGACCAAGGGCCACGCCTCCTTGAGATAGACTTCGCGGTACTTGGGGAAGAGGGTCATGAAGGACGACTCTTCGGCAAGGTTGCCGCCCTTATTGTCTTCGACCTTGAAGGTGTCGACCTTCCATTTGTCGATATCGTCCGTGTCCCACGGCTTGTCTTTGGAGTGATTCGAAGGCATGGTTCTCGGATTATAAAATAGAGGATATCGTTTTTCTTCGGCGGCGGTTCGGACTTGTCGTATTAGATTGATGAAGCCCAATGCTTCGATTGAATTGGGGTTAAATGGGCTGTCGTATTTTTTTCCTTTCTCTTCAGAGGAAATGGTAGGATAACTTTTTTTTTTTTTTTTACTGTCTTGCCTGCACCCCACCTTATCGGCTTATCGCGATAAGAGCCAACCCATGTAAGCTTATATAATCAAGAAACTAACCACGATCTCCGAACAAAAATTTGGCGACGGCATCCAAAGCTCGCGCTGGGTTTTCGAGGTCGACGGCGACGACAACAACGACGATCCCGACAAGCGAGCTACGACACTCATCATTTCCTAGAGCCCCGGCCTCCAAAAACAAAACGCGATAGAGAAGAACCAATCACCATCCAGTCTCACGATGTCGAAAGGAAAGGGAGCGGCGGTGGACCAAATCGTCAAGCTCATCGTCGGAGCTGGGCAGGCATCGCCTAGCCCCCTATCGGTCCTGCGCTTGGAAGTAGGGGTGTAAAGTCCATTGATTTCTGCAAGGTACGGCACTGAAGCCTCTCGACTGACATCATCCTTTCCCCGAGACTCTCTGCGTGTTGTTTCAAGAGGGATGGCAGAAGAGTCGCCAAAACAAACAGAGGGACGTGTAGCTAACCAGGGCCATTTTTCTTTCTTTTTCCCCTTGAGCAGGAGTTCAACGCGAGAACAGCACACATCACACCGGGGACGCCCATGCCGTGCCGCGTAACGGTACGCGCCGACCGATCGTTCCACTTCGATATCAGGACGCCGCAGACCTCATGGCTGCTGCTCAACGCAGCGAACGCGCCCGAGGTGAACGGGAGGAGGAAGGGAGCTAGCAAGCCGGGAAGCGAGACGGTAGGGACGGTGTCCCTAAAGCACGTGTACGAAATTGCCAAGATTAAGCAGACGGAGCTACGGTTGTCTGGCCTCTCGACGGAAGGCATATGCAAGTCTATCATCTGGCAGGCCAAGTCTATTGGCATCAACGTGGTCCCTTAAGGAAAGGGGAAGAGCAGAAATGGGGAACATAGGACGGAATGGGAAAGAAAGAGGGGAGAGGGGGGAGGGACTCTCCCAGCGGAAGCGGAGGTGAAGGGAGACGTGAGGGAGGGGGCCCGGCTGCTGGATGATATCACTTCGATTGCGGATTTCAGTTTGCCGAATGCGAAGCCTGGTGGTTCAGGCAAGCTGTAGCGCCCTGATACAGCATGGAATGCGGAAAGCCTCCCTGCTGTCTCTGTAAAAGTAGCCAATGTACGAGTATTCGAGCTCATTCCTCAACAATGTACAATTTACAAATTATATCAGACAAACGTGCCACAGCAAATGCCAATGAGGTCATGACTTCACATTACGCAATCTGGTCCCCAGCGGATTCATGCATCTGTACGGGAATCAGAAGCATTTGACGCATCCAAGATGTGGGCCACGTCAAACCACGCACCCTCGTTGAGGGACTTACTCGACCCAGTGTCGATCAATCAGGCTCGCTGTGGGCTTGCACACGCCACCATTTCTTTGCTCTTTCCTCCCGGGCAACAGAGGAGAGAGAGGGACATGAGGGAAAAACAAATGGGAAGGGGAAAAAAAAAAGTGTTGAACTTGGAACTTGGTGGTTTCATCCAAACCGTAAAAGACGTGGGGGCTAGATTGTGCGATCGGGACCCTCTCTTGAAAAATTGTTTCTTATAGGATCAATCGGGGTTGGCTTGAACGATTGATCGTTTGGCAGCCTCTCAAGCCGAAGACAGGCGGTGGATCGACATTAGGACGAACAGGCCCTGAACATGCAGGGGTCTTTGACGACGCAGGTTGGGCAAGCGAGCTGTCCTTGTCGGGATAATAAAGTTAAGCTCGGTAGAGCAGGTGGGCCTTGACTTTTTCTTTTTTTCTTTTTCTTCTTCTTTCTTCTTGCCTTGTTTCGTCCGTTACCTTTCGGTATCGCGAGGGGCGAAGGAGCTGACGCCGAAGGGGCTGACGTCGAAGCTTTAAAAACGGGCCCTGGTGAATTGAATTTCCAATCAAAACTTAAAGTCGGCAGGGTAGAGAAATTTGCAAGGAGGAGGTCGTTTCGATTAGAGGAAGGAACAAAACAAGGAGGGGCGATACGAGGGGGAAACAGTCAAGAAAGAGCCAAGATTGAGGTTATCACCAACAAAAAGAAACCTGAAGGCGGGAACCCACTTGTGTTGCGTGTGGCGTTGAGATTTCACCAACGACGGCGATAAAAATAGAAAATACATGGATGTGCACACTACGTCTACCCAAAAATTGGACCCCTCTACGACAGACCACATAGACACTACTACATTCAGGTAGACACAACAACCGGGCAGAGCACCAGAACAAAGTTTCCACGCTTCCAAGAGCCGCTGTGGTGAATGAAACGCTCTGGCGTTTACATGTGCTTCTTGTGTTTCCTTTCAATGTTTTCACTAATAGCTTAGTCTGCGCCACAACGACAGCGGGAAAGAAGAAATTGTTTGTCTGCAAGCGCTATGTGTGAGTGGGGGCAAGGGGCAGAACCTTTTTTTTTTTTTTTTTTTCTTCGTCTTTTTGCTGGTTCTCTTTTTAGCCTCTTTCGATTCTCTTCTTCCCTCTTCCCCGGTGCTTGGTTTCATTGCCTGAGCACGGCAGTGATGAATTTCTAGACGCCTCGAGCCATTCTTTGGGGGCCAAAGAGCCTTTTGGTTGGGTCGGGTACCTGATCGGCCTTGCACAAGGGTCAATATCACCAACTGGAATGGATGGATCCATTGGATCAACATGGATCAATCTATTTGTCTTGGATGGGACATGGACCGCCTGGGTTACGGTAATTAAGCGAACTTTAGCATTGATCCATCCGTACAGCCATCGATCCACGATTGAGTCAAATCGAGGAAAGTTCCTGCCGGGTGGCAAAAGAGTCAGACAGCACTTTTGCTCAAACAAGATGGAAAAATTTTTCCTCCGATGTTCTAGTCGTTCTACATGTGAGAGAGAATGGGCAAGCGAGACGAACCAAATCATCTTGACCTAGCTAGCGCGGGAGGGCAGTACGGACTTTTGATCCCCAACTGATAAGGAGCAACGGAGCTATTGTTATGATAGCTGAGATAGGAAAAGAAAAGAGAACGAGGTGAGGAAGAGGATGTTGGGGAGAAGAAGAAAACGTCGATAGTGCCCAATTATTTAGTCGGATAGACTCCGTCTAGTTTGCCTCTATCAATGCCCTCAAGGTTTCGAGATTTTCGAGCCTTTCGAGCCATCCATGGAGCTCTGAATGGAGCACTTGAGGCCCACACATCACGGCCCATATCAATCCGGCAGGGACACGCGAGACGCTCGAGCCGGCGCATGCTGCCCCGACGGCTGCCTCTCGACTGCACCTGGTGGTGCCCTGCGTTAGCGACACCGGGTGAAGACTCGTTTTCTGGTGCAACAAAAGGACGATGAAGAAAATTATCGTGAACATCGGCCAGGAAACCCCCGAGATGACTCCTTTTTCGGGTCTTCACACTCTGCCACGCCCACGCACACCCGCGACACGCACACCCACCACGCCCATTTCCATCCACTCCCATGCCCACGCCCTCGCCCACACCCACACCCACATCCACGCACGCCCACACACCGCACGCTACCGCTTCAAAGAGAGTGTTACGCACTACCTACAAGAACGCTCCGCACCACGCACGCCCACCTTGTTCGCACCCTCTTGCCCAACGGAGGAGAGAGGGGGGAGTGTTAAGTGTTGAAGCAAAGCGGACCCAGGTGAGATGCTCGCCAGCCACACCCGTCCGGCTGTTGAGATTGGAAGCTTCACTTGGGAGAATTGGGTGGCGCGATGGATTGGTAGCAGAAGAGGGATCGGGGCCCACACACGGGGCGCCAGATGCGGGTAAACTATCCTTTGGCAAGCTTTTTTGGGATCCGTCGGGAGGGGACCCATCAGATCCCTTCAACGGTTCTGGGCATGGGCACAGCACAGGGATCCTGGCGCTGTCTCTCGAGACGGCGGGCCACTGAGAATGGAACGCACGCCGGATGTACCTTGCGCCCTATAAGGTTCAAGCTCATTCGTATCAAAACTAATACCGCAGAAGTGTGTCACAAACAAATGATACAGCCAACAGCGAATGGTATTGTTCGATTCACCAATCCATCTCAATTGTTGGGAGCCGCGTCGGTTAGTGATTTTGACCGTCGCCGCTCGCCACGCTTGGTCTGAGAGTAAAACGTCAGCTACGTAATTGTACTTCCTGGAAGATGATGGCAACTGCAGGTGAGCAATACGATGTACTGTACATGTCCGAAGGAGCATTAATGCAAAAAGCCTAGACTTCTTGATTGTCGAGCAGCTAGCACTGCCATTTATTATTGGTTGGTGGAAGTAGAAGCACCTAAGGGCATGTAGAGCAAGTGTAGACGATAGCATCGTGTGGGTCCGAGGAAGAACGTCACCCAATTGAGAAGGTTGAAGAGCTATGGATGACTAGAGAAATATGATATGTCGAGAGGTAGAAGACCATGAAAAAAGAGAGAAAGGGATGTATCCTTGCTATGTGCATCATGAAATATGATTGAGCTAGTTTTCTGTTTCACAAAAGTCAAGAAGTCGTAGGTAAACACAGAGAGAAAGGAGAAGGGAAGAGGATAAAGAGAGAGGGGGAAGACGGGAGAGCAGGATTCCTGAATTGACTACGTAGCTTTGGCCGGCTCAGTCGAGGCAGTCGAGAAGCAGAAAGCAATAGTCATTGACCAAAAGTAATAGCTCCATTAGATTATCCGTTAAAGGACAAACCTCGGTCTCGGGTCTTGAGTCTCAGATGCTTCCCCTCAAAAAGTAAGGTTTCACTACGTCAGAGTGGGATGAGAAGGCCTGTTCCAAACCTCATCGAGGCACGAGTAGAGTTTAACGGAGTCCCGCTCACTCGACGCGCAAAGGCCTATCCTATCGTTCTTTGGTCTGGTCCTCTTGCTTCTCCATACTATTTTGACGGCCACCTCGAGCAGCAGATCTGGCCGGAAGTACCTAGCCGGGTGTGGTCTAGATCTTCCCTCTCTCTGCCCCACCACGAGAGTCACTTCCTCGAGCGCATGAGGTCTTCAAGAAGAGGAGGCCTTTGAAAGATAGATTGTCGGGTTTCGATACTCGATGGTGGTGTTGCTTGTTCCTGCCGTGACCTCATATGAGCCTTTGGACCCGAGGTTCGTCGTAGGTGTAGTCGGAGCCGTAGTTGCCGTAGGGGCAGAAGTGTTGGTCGCATGAGAGCAGCGCTTAGCGTGCCGGATCGGAGCTGGCCCACCCGACGTTTGCTGCTCCATCCTCGTCAGAGGCGGCGCGACGCTGCTGCGCCTCCAGCACCGAGCGAGCTTTCTTTGTCCCCGGGATGGGGGATTCTGCTTGACTCTCAAGTTGCCCATTCTATCAAGAAGACCCGGAGGTCCTCAGCCGGAGCCTCGTTGTCTTGCCCTCCCCGCATGCCCTGTGTCTCGTCCCCCATGCTTGGTGCGAATCCTCCATCTTTCATCTGTATCCGGGGACTCAAAAGTACGATTTCGAGTCATCGTGTTTTGGAGCGTCAGTCAGTTAAACAAGTCCAAAACTTGCGAAGTCAGGGTTTCGTCACTCGTCACTCGTAGATGCTACCCAGGCCCCTAGGGACCTAGAGGCTAGACCCCCACCGTCATAGCTTTGAATCATTTTCTTTTTTTCTCGTTTTCTCTCTCTTTGTTTTACCTTTCTTCTTCCCAGTTTCAAAGTTTCACATTCGATTCTTTTTCTCTTTTTCTCTTTTTTTCTCCCTCTCTACCTTTCCTTCACCTGCCAGTTGATCCAACATCAAGGTGTGTCGACTGCGCATAGGCCCCAATCTTCCTGACAGCTTCAGAGCTCGGAGCAACGTGGTTGGTCAGCCCAGCAGCCCAGCAGCCCAAAGGAATGTGCATACGTGCTCTGTTGTACTAGTACTCGGTCCGTCCACGCGCACACCACACACCACGATCAAAAACAGAAAAGTGGACTCGGCATGTACCTCCGTTCACGATAGTCGATTCTTGGTCCCATCCCGAATCGCAGGCGCTGCACCAAGTCCAGCAAGCAAGCCCAGCAAACCCAGCAAAGCCGGTGCACCCGAAAAATTCAATCGAGGCAGCTGTGACCGGACAATCTTTTTGTCTCCTGCCTCTTTTCTATCGCCCGCTTCTCGACCCCACTACTTCGCCAATTCCCAATTGGAAGCTACGCCTTCCCGTTCACTCTAGTCACCAGTAGTTCTCTGCTTATAGTCTTTTTTTCTTTTCCTTTTTTCCTCGCTTTTTTCTTTCTTTTTTCCCCTTCCTTTTCTCTTCTCTCGTTCTGTCTTTCCTCTTCTTTCCCTCTTCCCTCTTCTATTTGCTTTTTCCGACTTTGCTCGTCAACTCTTTACATCATTTCCTCCCCCTCTTTCCCATCTCCATCAGTCTGCGCTGGCTTCACATCCCGGAATCCCGCTGCTCGGCCCCCTCTTTCGTCGCTCGCTCGAGACTTGCTGTGCCAGAATTTGAATGAAACAGAAGTTCTCACACCTTTTCTTTTTTTTTCTTTTTTTCTTTTTAATCGTAATCGTGTGCCCTCATCCCACCCTCATCCAGCATCCAGAGTTGCACGCCGGCCCAGTCCTGGTCCTCTGCATCAGAGCTTGCTTCACCGCCACCCCACGAAGTCGGGAACAACGTACCGTACACACCCCTCTCGTCCTAGCTGCTGCCGCCTTGGGATTTAATTCACCGTCCGCCCAACAACGAAAATCGTGAAAGACTATCCAATCCCCTCGTCGCAACTGCTATTTTACTTCCATACCTCCCGTCGCCTTGCCGGCATCGATATCGACTTGTCCCCTCCCGTGTCCCCCTTTCGAGGCCAACAGGCAGCAATTTACGTTTTGCCGTGCGCCAAGTCTATGTCCACAGCATGGGTAAGTTACCATCCCTCCGACCGTTCCGGTCCAACAGCGAACCCCACGTTGCTGGACCTTCGCTCCGAGTTTGATGCAAGCCACAAAGCACATGGAAACCCACTCCCACCCCTCCACGGCTAGAAAGCAGGAAGCTCGGGGCGACGTCGACAAAAGGGACAGGCACGACATATTTTTCCAACCAAACGCCATGTCCCTCTCTTGTACCCGTCGCCCACCTTCCTGCTGCACATCTACACGATAGATAACCCCCCATCCATACATCCATACCCACCCAAACTCGAAAGCCGCGAAAAAGTCAAACTCCTGACCCAATTCTCCCGTGTCCTGACTAACCTGCTCCGTTCTGTTTCTTTTCTTAGATCCCAGATCCTCTGATAAGGCCTTGACGGCCACCCAAGCTTCTCCCACTTCTCATGAGCACCCTGGTGTTCGCTTTGCTCCTACAGTTGAGGAAATCGCGCCAGCCACAGCACTGAACTCAAGCACCCCTATCCCAAGGATAACCGCTCCGATTCAAGCTCCAGCCCCCGGCCAATTCGATCTCCACGGAGACTTTCCAAGGGAGCGACGTCTTTCCCACTTTCACTTTGAGCCTGTTTCTCTTCCCGCATCGAGGGTGAGTGCGATTATGCCCTTCCCCTTGCGATTTTTACTCCACCATCTTTCACGCCCCTAGCACTTGCGCGTTTCTCCCCCTGGTTCTCTTGGCTTCTCATTTCTTTTTCTTCTTTTCCCTTCGTTCCCGTTGTTCGTTCCAGGGTAATGGCGCCGGTAGCCCCCGCCTGAACAGGGGTTCTTTTCCGCTGTTCCACCTCGCCACGCAAGAATAAAGTCTATTATTGCTCGGTGCTCTTGGCCTATGAGGCGGAATTTGGGGGACACCTTTTTCTTTTTCTCCCCTTCCCGCCCTCTCCTCCCCTTGGGTTTGACGGCTTGTTCACCCTCTGGCAAGCGCCTTTGAGCTTATCGCCGATCTTCCCGGCCGGCCCGACCCACGCATTCTTTGGCCTCCTTCATCCTACCTGGCCTTGCCATCTTCTTTTCCTAACTGGACAACTCACGCCCAATGAGCATTTAACCTTAATCTAACACTTCATCCCCTCCTTGCTAGACGACATCAGTAGAAGGCAGCCCTACGAAGGCGCACCATGACGATATGATTTCCGGTATCTCGAGCCACAATCAACAAGCCATGCAGTCCCCTCCCTTGACGCCGGCGGGAACCGCTGGCTATTCGATTCCCCGAGAAGCGACTCACCCCGATCCCGAAAAGGGCCCCCATGGCATCCGCGAGCCCCAGCTGATTACGCCTCAGCACTCCAGCTCCGTTGACGAACAGTCGGAGAAGACGCTAGCGATGCGACACCAACCCGACCACAAATCGCACCGAAAGGGCATCTTTTCCTTCGGGGGCGAGTCCAGCAATGGATCCACGAGCGTTTCGCGCGATGCTAGTCCCTCGAGGGCTTCGGAACTCTATTCCCGGCCCGTAACACCGGCGGTGGGCGACGTTGATGGCCCGTATGCCGCCAAGAATCGGCGGCAGCAGGCACATCCATCAAATAAACGGTCCGTGAGCCCTAGGTTCCGATTCAAGGATAGGAGCGAATCGCCCGGCCCTTCCTCTTCCGCGCATGGTTATCACGCCGACCCCACGGCCACCACCACGCTACGGAGAAGAGGCGCGGGGCTGCTCGCTCCTCCCTAAAGCCTGGAGACGAAGCGACTCGTACTGACTCCAGCAGATCGTTTGGGAAGGAACACAAAACTGGCTCCTTTGCCACTCTCAAACGATTCTTTAAGCGAGCTGTCTCTGGAGAAACCACCAAACATGACGCCTCCCACTCTTCCCGCAAGAAGCCCGGCAAAAAGACGCCGCCAACGTCATCTTCCGGCGAAACCGCACCCTTCTCGGACGACCACCTCCTCGAGGCCAAATATGGCAAAATTGACCGTGTGCTCGGCTCCGGCGCCGGAGGTAGTGTCATGCTCATGAAGCGCGATGACGGTAGGGTTTTTGCAGTCAAGGAGTTTCGCCAGAGGCAGGCGCGCGAGTCGAAACGTCGCTACACGAAGAAGATTACGGCTGAGTTTTGCGTCGCCTCCGCTCTTCACCACAGCAATGTGATTGAGACGATGGATATTGTCGAATCTCGGGATCGCTGGTTCCAGGTCATGGAATTTGCCCCTACGATCTCTTTTCCATCGTCATGTCTGGGAAGATGTCCCGCGAGGAGGTGACTTGCTGTTGGTTGCAGCTCCTAAGCGGCGTCACTTACCTGCACAGCTGTGGCGTGGCGCATCGCGACCTAAAATTGGACAATGTGGTGGTCACCAAGGGTGGCATTATGAAGATCATTGATTTCGGTAGTGCCCACGTCTTCCAGTACCCTCACGAGACCGCCATCCAGTACGCTGAAGGTATGTGTAACTTGATCGCGGAATCCTGTGTGCTTCGTGCCCTTTTGTCCGTTCGCGGTATTAACATTGTTGTGTCAATAGGCGTTGTAGGGTCAGACCCTTATATGGCCCCAGAGGTATACGATCCGAACACCAAGGCCTACGATCCCCGTGCCAGCGATGTCTGGTCGTTGGCCATCATCTTCTGCTGCATGACGCTCAAGCGATTCCCTTGGAGGATCCCAGCTGCGGCACAGGACAAGTCCTTCCGGCTCTTCACATCCCCACCCTCCGTGGGTCATGACCCTAGGCACCTTCTCCTCCACTCCAAGTCCTCTGCCAACCTAAGCAAGAAGCCCAATGAGGCGGAATCCACACCTTCAAGCCCAGATGACCACGCACGCGGGAGGGACGAGGGTGCCAATGGCGATGCCAAGCAGCGATCCCAGTCGCAAGGTGCCGAGGCGACGGAGAAGCGTGAGGTCATTTCAGGGCCCTGGAGGATCTTGCGGCAGCTTCCGCGAGAGACCCGGCACATTGTCTGGCGCATGCTCGAAGTCGATCCCAAAAGCGTGCAAAGATGGAAGAGATTATCCGGGACCCATGGATCGCCGACACAGTTATCTGCCGAGAAACGGAACTCGGCCAAGTCATTCACGCTCCCGGGCATAAGCATACGTTAATCGAGGCGGCTCAACCTGCTGGCGGCGCCGATGCGGGCAAGAAGAACGTAGTCTAGAGGCTTACGCTAGGCATCGCGGGCTGTCAAGTCCGACCAAGGCGACCGAGGCCGCGCTCCCTGCGATAAACAAACCCAACCCTCTTTACCTCATCAGTGGCGATAGCGGTACTACTTTCTTCCCTTTGTTCTTAATAACGCTGCATCGTTGGACATATTCCACGCCTTTATGACACTCCCTTTTTGGTTTATCTTTTTTCCCCTTTTTCTTCAGTTCTCTTTTCTCCCTCCGCTGCCGTATCGTTATCCTTCTACATTGGTCCGTATCCTCTACTCTTCTTGTCGGGTCTTTGACAGCTACCTTCACTTAAAACACGAAACACTTGTCATCATTGTTTTGCTTGAGTCGCTTGGCGTTTGGTTGGGTTATACATGGTTTATAAAAAAAACTTGAGGCGAAGACGCGCAATACAGGGCGGGTAAAGTGTGGTTTTTGTTTGCATTTCTTACACTTATAGAAGGGACAAGCGATAAGGGTGGCAACAAGATTCGGTACGATTGGAAGATGGCAGAGATTGTTACAGCGTCTGTTCCAGTCTTTTTACTTTTGGCTACTTTGCTTTTCTTTTGTTTCACTCTTCCCTCATGGCAACCTTTCCGCCTTTACTTTCTTGCCCCTCTTGTGCGGGCTTAGCTTGTTTGCATGAAGGCCATGCCTTCTCTCCGGGAGGGATTAGATAGCTCACCACTGAGTTTTTTACTTTTGAGTTTTATATTTTTGGGGGATTTATCGGCGAGAGAAGAGCGCAGGGCGAGTACATGGATGACAGGTGGCCCGCCTCTATACAACGAAAACTCTCTGCCCTGGTGGACCGAAAGAGCATTGGATTATGGTCTTATTACATGTATAGGTAGAGGCTTAATGGATATACTAATATTATTCACTTCGTGGGCAATGAATGACATTGTGATGAATGGGTTAGACAGGCGTGCGCGGTCTTTCCGCGCTAGAACCCCGTCGACTAGCGATGTATCTCGATTGCGATGTATATTTTCCGTGATCGCGCCGTCAATTTATGAACTTGGTGAGAGTCGAGGAAGCAATATATGCTGAGAGGAGGCATGGAGAGACGGGGACAAGGTCTCATTACATAGAGGGGAGATTTGTTCGTTATTTCTTTTTATCGTGTCAACAAAAGGGGAAGCCATCTACGGATGAACCGCCGAGTCAGGAGCCCTTTCTCTCTCTCTCTCTCTCCTTACTAGCTAGAGCCTGTGTGACATTAACATGGCGCGTCGACCGTCCCGAGTCTATATCTAAAACAAGAATGAAAAAAGAATGAACACTTGAAGCCTCCTCCCCCTTCACCCTGAGTTGCACCACACCGCTCCGCACCACTCTGCTGGCCGAAATGTCATATTGCCACAAACATCTTTTTGTTGCGATTGCGTCTGTAAGGATGGTGCTTTCGACTGTCGAGTCGAGGTGCTGGCAGGTTCGAACGAGTGGGCAATTTTGTGAAATGCGAATGGCGTGGCCGCGAAGAGTGAGAGGTTGAATGTAGGCGTGATTTCTTCTTCTTTTTCTTCTCTTCTTCCCTTTTGTCTTGTATTGGTGTTACAGAGTTATATGGTACAAGATGCATACATCAGATGATGGATTAGGTCTTTTTTTTTCCGCTTCCCCTTCACTTATCGTACTCTCACCATCAACAAAACACCCTTCCCCGTCGCGGGGGTGAGTATGAGCGTCGTGAGAGGCGCTTACTGCTTCTCGCTAATCTTGGCGAGGATCCTGTGAGAGTTTCAAAGTCAGTCTTTCTGTACTTTCTTCATCCTCTTCGTGCGCGACTCAATGCTTCGACGCGGGGCCTAGCTAAGCGTCCCAAGGTATAGGGGAAACCGGGAGAGCCGGGGAAGAAAAGAAAAGAAAAGAGAGGTGCGCAAGGGACACTTACTCGCTGTCGCGGAAGAGAGCGTACTCCTCCTCGCCAACCTTGACGGGGGAGCCGCCGAACTGGGGGATGAGGACCCTGTCACCGGCGATGACGCCCATGGGGATGCGCTTGCCGTCGCGGTCGAGGGCACCGGGGCCGACGGCGAGGACCTTGGCCTCGTTGAGGTCCTTGACGGAGGACTCGGGGAGGAAGATGCCCGAGGCAGTCTTGGTCTCGGCCTTGACGCGCTGGACGAGCACGCGGTCGAGGAGGGGGACGAGGGAGCGGATGGAGCGGAGGGCAGACTATGACGACGACCTCGTTAGCTTGGGTTTGGAGGTGGTTTTTGTATGTCAATGGGGAGGGGGCATGAAGGCTGGGAGGGAGACGCATTGAGATAGAAGAGTTGGGTTAGGGAAGCAAAGGGATGGGGGATGCGAAGTGCGTCATGGCGCCCCTTGCGAGTCTGGAGCTACGGAAGTGATTCGGGGAGCTTGAATGATGATGCATAGCAAGAACTCGTGTTCACTCACCATTGTGAAGAGAGAGGGTTGTTCGAGAACAATGATATTATAGAGAAAAAGATTAGGCTACGTGGGCAATGCGAAAGCGAAAAGGCGTGAGAATATAGATTCGTTGATGTTGTAGATGCTGTTGGTCAGGGGGAAAGAGGAAGAAAAGAAGGGAGAGGAGAAAAAAAGGTCCGAGGTTCGATGATTTCCAAGAGCTTCTGGAAAGTCGCAAATAATTTTTTTGCCGCTAATTTTCCAGCTGCCTTTCCCGCGGCTTTCGAGCAACCGAAGCGCAAGCAGACACAAAGAAACGAACATGGGTTGCTACGGGCGGAATTACGATTGGCCGATGCCGAGATGGCTCTTCCAGCCAATCATCGATAGACTATATCGCTCTTTGGAGAAAAAGCAACAATGGCTGTTGTGATTGCGCTCCGGTATGCGATAAAAAAATTACATGTATTCACCGGAAACGGCAGGGGAAGACCGCCAGCGATGTTGAAAGAAGCAAGAGAAATTGAAGGGATAAATAAATACATTGTAATTCTAAAAATCGGTATTCTTCGCCGGAGAAAATAAATGCGTGTTAGAATGTACCAAAGGGACCAAAAAGGTCAAAAATATAAGGTTGGACACACCCGGAATCGAACCGGGGACCGCCTCTATGCTAAAGAGGAATTATACCACTAAACCATGCGCCCTCGCTTGTTGACGGACCATGACATGACTCTGTCTATAAGCACTTCACCAGCAGGAAGGTCAGGGAATGACCGAGCAAGCGATGCTCAGAGTGTCCTTCATGTAAGAGCCCAGGGGATACATGTAGTCATCTTCACGAACAGTCTTTACACGGCATGGAATGGTATTTGAATTAGATGACAAGGGGATTAAACTTGTGACAACGTCAATGCCAAACAGGGTATCAACCATCTTCCTCCCTCTCCCATGTCTCCCGCAAAAGTCATAAACGCCTCGCCCATGCTCGCACCGAATCCGCTAACCCAATGCTACAACGATGTGAAACACGTAAACAAAAGAAAGATGAGAACAAATGCTAGGATCATTATAGTATCCATATCAAGGGTGTCGTCCAGGGAAGGTGGGAGTGGGTAAAGCTCCATCATCGAAGAATGGCCGCCGTCTCTACTTCATCATCTCGCGCGAGCCCCATCACCGTTCGGAAAGAGCCTGCCTAGATCCCGCTCACGCACCCACTCCGCGCCCTCCGGAAGCCTAGAAAACACCTCCCACGTGCCTAGCATCGCCGCCGCTCCCGCGATGCTACCGGGACATCCCGGGATCGGGTTGGCATCCTGCGGCTCGAGCCACAGGCCCGCCGCCTCTAGGATGAAGATGACCGTCAGCAGCACCGCGAGGGCGTACGTCGGCGCGGCTCTCTGCACGAGCCGTGTGGTCGAGGTGGCCGCCCGCGCCTGGAAAGCTGGAGCGTCCCCTTGGTTCGCATCCCGCGCCCGGGACTGGTGGCTTGACGTCGGCGGCGGGGGCAATGCAGCGAGAATTTGCGCGCGGAGCAGGGTGTGGCGCTTCTGGATCGCGACGGACATGGTACCGGCATCATCGCTGGTTCCCAAAATTGAGGGGACAAAGGCTCTGGAGAAGACCTCGTAGCCCCCGTAGATGTCCTGCACGAGACGGGACGCGAGGTCCACCGGGCGGCCGGTTTGGGGGATGATGGCGGGCGTACCCTCGAGGGAGAGACCTGGGCCGCGCATAGTCGCGCTGACGCTCATCTGGGATATCGTCTCGTTGCAGGCCAACGCCGTCGCCCGATAGGTGGGCTGTCGTCCCCTTTCCATCCCGCAGGTTCCCCACACGTAGTGCACGGTGGCCGCAAGGGCGTCGCCCGTCGTTTTAGAGCGGCACCCTACCGCAACGTATGCAAAAGAGCCCGCCTCTTCGGAGCTTCTCTCGCTCTCTACGCTTTGGGAACACGTCGGGTCGCCCTCGACGGTTTCCAGGTACTCGCACTCCACATCCGACGCCTTCCAGCCGGCGCCTAACATGGGCGGCGCGCATTCGAGCTCCGCTCGATATGCGGGCAAGGTCACGGAGAGGCTCTCCCCTCCGCTAGCGAGACAGCGGACGCCATTACGACTCTAGGAATTACAAGGCCCTCACGGACCCATGCCGTTTGTTCCGCGCGGCCTGCCAAGGCGGAGTCGGCCCCTGGGAGCTGCACTAGGGCCGTCGTCCACACCGTTTCCGGGGAGAAGAGCCCTGCGGCGAGGATGGGCCCCACGCGGCCAGGATGGCGGCGGACTTGGTGACGAGCACGCGCCAGTGACGACCGCGGACGGCCTTGTATAGGGTGGCAGGGGCGAGCTCGTCCGTGTAGGTCGTGGTCATGCCGCGGCGGAAGTGGGAGCCCGAGAAGATGTCTAGGAACGGAGCGCCGAAGCGGATCTCGAAGTCAACGGTCCAGAGGTAAACGGCAAGCACCATGAAGAACAGGGCGGGGACGATGGTCCAGGCAGCTGCCTGGGCCTGCGTGTGCTTGACGTTGCCGAGCCCGCGGTGCTCGTTGGAGTGAGCGATGGTGCCCCAGAGGGCCGCGGCCATGCCAATCGTGATCACCATGCCCGTGATGCGGACCGCGGGATGCAGGACCAAGGGCCGGTATGCCCCCGTCTCCACAGCCTCCTGGGCACGGGCGGCGCTCCTCCTGCATTCTTCAGGGTCTCGCCTATCGGGAAGGCAGCTGAAGACGAACCTCTTCATGTACGGTGGAACGGCGGTGTTATCCTCCACCTCGGTGTAAAAGAGACCCTCGAACCTCTCAGCCACGGCAGTCGGGTTGGTATGATCGACATGACGGAGCCTGCCGAAAATTCCCGGGCTGCTCTTGAGGAGCCCCGCGGTGGATGCGAGAGAGTTGGGGTTTCTCGGGGCAACGCCCTGCGAGGGAACTACGAGCGCTAGCCAACCCGCCAGAAGAGCGGTGATGGCGAAAAGCACGGCCATAGTGTGGGCAACGCCCGCGGCGACGCGCAGCCTCCTGTCCTCCACAATGATCTCGGCCACCGCGGGAAGTCGGCTCGGGCGCGAAGATTACCGGATCCCCCGTCTCGGTCCTCAGTTCCTGGACGGTGAAGAAGCCGGCCGAAAGCACGATTTGCACGATGAGGAGGATGCTCGTAACGATGGGAAGCGCGACGAGGAGATGGCGCCGGGAGACGGCTAGAAAGAGGGCTTTTGGAAGCCACATGTTGGCGTAGTCGATGAGCAGGGTTTCCGAAGCATCGCGAGGTATGGGGCGGCCCTCTTTGCCGGCGAGGTAGATCCAAGGGAGGAAGCGGCGGGCCTGGAACTCGACACGAGTCCAGAAAACGGTTGTAAGTGTTAATACTGTTTGATAGAGTTAGCATCAAGAAGAAATATCGAACAAGAAGCAGAATTTGCGACGGAAAAGCCTCGAAAATAAGAAGAAGAAAAAAGGAGCAGGGGGCCAATGAAAGACTTACTCGCTGGCGGACCATACATCCAGAGAGCCCGGCTCCGGCTATTAGTACGACCCAGCCCGTCGCTATTCTCGTCAACACCAGCGAGGATCTCGACAACCACAACCATGGCGAGGAAGATGACGGCGAAGCCCACAAGGACTCGTTTCGTCAGGTAAACCGGCCTCCAGCTAGCCCCCAGCTCCGCGGCTTCGTCCTCGGCGTCGGTGACCCCGTGCCCGTCCGCCCTAGAACGCCTTCCTCCTTTTTAGCGGCTAGGCCGCGACTCATGCGGTGCACAATGCCCATGCCAGGGGCATCCCAAGCACGCCTTGCCGAATTCCTGGAAGTGGCAGCGGCGGCGGGAGGGGCGTAAGGCGTCTCATCCATGTCCAGGAAGGGCACGCCAGCTGCGGCAGCCTCGCGAAGCTCTATAGCCTCGCCCTCGGAGCGCGTGCGGTTGCGGGTGCGGACGGGCTCGTACTCGGGCTCGACAGTCCCGTAGTGCTCGATGATGGGCGAGACCGGGGTCCGGTCCGTGACGGAGTGAGTCGGTCTACTCCTCCGGATACTGGCTGAAGCGGGACCTGGGGTGGACATTGGGGAGACGGTAGGATGTGATGATGCGGGCGTCGGAGGTGTAGCCGTCCGGGGAGCAGGCGCCGCCGGGCGGTTGGCATCCCAATATATCGTCCGAGGGGATTCCTCAAAGAGCGGGCGTTGGGGTGACATTTCATGTGTGGAGAGATCTAGATCGTGAGGGAGGAAGAGAGAGAGAGAGAGAGAGGAAATGAAAGACAAGAGGGAAGAGGGGTTCGAGGCCGGGAAAGGCTTAGTTCCTCTCTTCTCTCGATCTTTTACTTGGTGCCCCGTCCCTGCTTCTCGCGTTAATACCTAGGGTGCTATTTCGAAGTGGCTTTTGGTCTGACTGAAAGATTGTTGGCGATTGCCTGTTGCGCGAGTTTTGCCTTGCAATGTCGTATGATGAAGACGGAAGTGAGGTTGCAGGTGGAGGTGGCCAACGTCCACCTCGAAAGAGCTGGGATGAGCAGAAGAGGAGCAGTATTAGTCGTCGAAGGAAGTGGTGGCGGATCGAGCAACCCAGCGATCCATTTCCGAAAAGAAAATCGCCTCTTTGATGCGTAAACGTTTCGCAAAGAATTAATCCTTTTCCCTCCGTTCCAAAATCTAGGTGAATTACGCCGTGAATTGCCTATCGCGAGAAGAGTTGAAGAGATTGAAAGGGAATTAGAGGAAATAGCGGGTCGCGGGAGGCGAGGTAGGGAGTGAAAGAGTGTCGTTCGTTGTTGAGGTCTTCTCACGCAATGTCACAAAAGCAAGATGGGTCCACCGGGGCGAGGCCAAGGATTAAAGGGAAACAGATCTAAGTGCGAAGGAATGACAATGAGCCACGAGATAGTAACCATTGAAAGAGTAGATTGATTGAAATGCACCATGAACCATGAACCACCCCCGACGTGGACCGCCCCTTCCCCTTCCCCTCCGCCTCCGCCTCGGCGAGTCACTCTGATTCAACCGAAAGGGCGGCAGAAAAAAAAAGAAGGAGCAAGGGTTGTCTTTTCCGCTCTTGTCCCCCCTCCCTTCTCGCCATCACGCCTCTCACCCCGGATTCAGATTCAGATTCCCTGTTCGACTTTTCCCGTCCTCTTACAGCGTCCAGGAACCGAGCCAGAGAACGGACTCGATGTGACATGGGAGGCATGGGAGGCATGGGAGGGGAGCAGAACAACCGGGTTCGGCTGGGCTGGATGAATGAAGCAGAGTGTCCCTTGCTTTTTCCCTTGCATTCACGCTTCTTTTCCACTCATGCGCACTAAATTCGAGTGTGTGCCCTCTGAGCCTCTCCCTAGTGCAATCTCACTTGATTTGGCCAAATTCCTCGATCCTTCGAATTTCTGGGAGAATCAACCGATCCATCTAAATGGAGACGAGCGCCGGAGGAATGACCGCCCGCCCCGCCAACCCGCCCGCCCTCAAATCACCTTGAGTGCCCTCAAGGCGAAGAGGAATGGCTGCTAGGAGGCGTGCACAACAGTTGAGTAGAGAAGGAAGAAAAGAAGGAAAGAAAGCAAAAGGCGAATCAGGGTCGAGAGGGCACAGCCATCCGTCCGTCCTTCCACTCGGCGCCTCTCTCCCAATCCGCCTTGACATGATTTCAATTAAGCAAGCCTGATCCTGGTCCATCTTGATTTTGTTCCGCGCGCGCGCGACATGTATCTCTCCGAGGCCCGAAATGAGTGGGGGTTTTTTTTTTTTTTTTTCTCTCTCTCTCTCTCGAAAAAGAAAAAAGAAATCAAGCAAAGATGGAGAGAGAATGGCATGTTACATGATAGCGTTGCCAGATTGTGCGCATGGTTTCTTTTGCCGCCCACGATGAGCGAGCCATGAAAAGAGACGGATCAAAATTGATGGGAGTAGACAAGGACAAGGGTCTCTTCAGTGAGAGGAGGTTTGGAAACCGTGGGTCCCTGCGAGGCTGTTATTGTTTCGTGCTGACATGGAAGGGAACAACCCTCCGCATACAACCCGAAATGTTTAGACGCATGCATCTTGGGATATAAAACATCGAGTTCCGCCCCAGGTGATTGGGTGGGATTCCAAGTTGGGCGAGGAGGAGAGATACAAAGAGGGGAAAAGGGAGCGAACAACCAGACGGATGTCGAGAAAGACGGGAAAAAAAGAGGGTCTGAGGTCTGGGGGAATCGAGCTTTGATGAACGATGCTACCCTTCCATCTGCACGAGGGACAGGCCTTCGAAACACAACATCAAGCCGCCATACCCAGAGAAGGGGGCTGTGAGAGCCAAGGGTGGGTTTAATGTCGGACAGGATCGCCATCGCCATTCCTCTACGAGGAGCGCACTAACAGCTTTTGCGCCAGGGCATGGCTCATCATTATTAGTCACGATGCATGCGGGCACCGTCGGAAAACAAGAGAACATTGAGAGGGGGCGTGACAAGGTGGCTCTCCACGTGCATGTTGTGCTTGTCGGCGTCTTGTGCGTCCAATCTACTTTTGTAGTAATCACGGCACAGGCTTATTCTCTCGCCGTCCGAAACGTCAGCGAGGCAGTCACGATGATTAGCGAGCCTCGCATGGCTACGCCTATACCGAGGTAGCCGTGGAGTAACTCAAATCAGCATCAGCGCCAGCAGGACGGGGCACGCCATGCTACTTCGTAGCTTTGTTCTGCGCTGCGCAACTTGATCCCCGACACGACCGCCACACGATGGATCTCAATCCCTCGCCTCTCAGATTTTTATAGAGGCCAGTAAAACTTGGCCAATGGATCGCTACAAGGAGTCTTGGAGACCATGCTGGCCACGTGCAGGTCAAGTGAGCCCGACTCTCCTTTGCTTTCCTCTTCTTCTTTTGCTTTATCACATGTACCCTTCATAGAATAGAGATCGCTCATGGGCAACAATACTGGCCAAGACCCGTAGCGCCTCCGACGTCGTCCAGGGCCGTTGAGCTGGAGCATCTGATGTTATGGTGGTCCCCTGTCTATTTTTAGCGCACATGAACAGAGCTTGAGCAGAGTCTCTATTGAGGCCTGCCTCCACTGATTGACACCAATACACCTCGTGCACAGCACAGGATCCTAAAACCAGAAAGAAACAAGAAACGGACGGTGGCGGTACCAACCAACCAACAGAAAGGAAGAGAAAAAAAGAAAATAAGAGGTGAAAGAAGAGGGCAAAGGAAAAAGAAAAACCTCACCAGATGACATCAAAAGCGCGCGGGCCAAGGGGCAAGGAGAAATCTTGAAGGCACGAAAAAGGCCGAATGAGACGCTGTTCCGCATTGCAGCCAATCTAACACAAACGACGAGGTCAACACGTCCAATGGCTGAAACCAAGGCTGACTCCCCTCCTCCTCGTCCCCTTGCCCTGGTTTCTTGTCGACGGCGCTCTTCTGGTGATACTATCCGTAGGCAGTCGTCCAGATCAGAAAAAGAAAGAAAGAAAGAAAAGGAAGGAGAATGAGGAAGATTGGATCCCCGTCAACTGTGAATCGGCGATACGGTTTCGGCTTCGCCTCCGTCACCACCGGAATCCGAATTTATCGAGAACTGTGCGCTCTGCCCACATATGTACGTGAGAAATTACTGTATATAAATGAAATTCGCCAACGGGAATAGTCCTATCAACTCCAAATTACAGTAAACGCGCAAAAGTGAGTGTCCGCAGACAAACGGCCCAGGTGTTAGTCCATGCATCTTAAGCCCGGCAGCCTCGCCTTCATCACACCACAAGCCCCTGTATCCACGAAGGAGTTCCAGCAACCCAGAAAAAAATTCGACACAAGAAAGACAGGAGCAAAAAACAGGGGGTAAAGGTCCGGGCCTGAGAAATGCTAAGCCAATCCCCTCACAGCCGGCATCCCAAATCGAAGCCTGATCGGTGGAAACCTCGGGAGCCAAAGAGGGAACAGGAAGGTGAAGGATTTTGTTTCTCTGGCGCGCGACCAGGGTTTCCTAATCGTGGCGGTTCCGCTGCTCCTCGTGCGCCGCGCCCCTCCCCACCGGAAAGAAGAAGGGGGTGGATGGGGGTACTCCGTTGCATCGTGCGTGCACATGGGAGCATTTTGGGCGGACATTTCCAAATATCACGGTCCCAAGTACGAGGCTGCAAATCAGATCACGAAGACGCAAAAGCCGGAGAGGGAAGATGGGGAAAAAGAAAAAGGCCACCTGGTGCACGATATGACTCGATTTGGATTACGGACTTGGTCACGGAGCACCTGTGAGAGTCCAGCGGGCATGGGAAACCTAGAAATTTGGGAGCAGCTCAAGAACCTAGAAGAACTAGATAAGAAGTTGGTGATGTCTGTCAGTCACACGAAGCCGCACAAGTCAAGTTATATATCAATGTGTGTTGATAAAAGGAAAAGGAAAAAAGAACTATTCAAGAACATGAAGGAGTGAACAAGGTTAATGTTGCCGATCAGAAATCTTTCCTTTCGCGAATACAGCCAAACGAAAACGGTGTAGAAATGTGGATTCCACCACGAAATGGCATAGGCTTCAGGTACCTATCAAGGGCGCGAGGGCACTGATGAGAGCAGATGCAGATCAAGGAAAAGATAAAAGAGAGACGGATGGGTCGGAGTGAAACAATATAAAGAAAAAAATGAAATCTGAAATCCCGACACAAATAGGTAAAATCACAGGCACACGTACATACAACACACACACTGTCACCGCCCCTCCTACTCCTTCACCCCTTCTCACCCCTCCTCCCCTTGAACTCCTCTTCCAATTACAACCCTCTTGTGCCGTCTTCTCCGTCCTCCCGGCCCCCTCTAAAAGGCAGTCGCTGCCTCGGGGGCATCGGAGCAGGAGTGGCCTGCTCGACCTCTGGGGAACCGGGTTCAACATAATTCCTCCACTCATACACACGATCCATTCCCCGGCCTAGCCCAGTTAATCCCGCCATCATTGACCGCGGCGTTATGCCCTCGTCCGAGTGCCGTCTCCGGTGCGTCATCATCTCCGGGGCCGCCCCATACTCGTGCCGCCCCCATTACCCCGCCCGGCACCCGCCATCCTCCCGCCGCCTCTGAGCATGGAGGCGAAGGCCTCTTCGTCTCCCGTGTGCCTCCTCATCAGAGGCGCAGGAACTGGCGGTGCCTGCGGTACCTGCGGCACCGGTGGTGGCATCATGCCCATGTGAGGCGGAGGAACAGCTCCGGGCGGTAGGCCATGAGCGACGCCGTGAAGTGGGCCCATGCCCATCAGTGGCGACAGGGTGCCGGCGGGAACGAGTGGTTGATATGCGGCATGTGGTGGAGCGACTGGAGAGGTGGCACCTGGTTTGCCCGCTGCGGCGAAAATCTGTCCGCGAGCCGCCGGTCAAAGTGTGACGACCGGCTGCCTCGGGCCCTGTTTACTTCCGAAACGTAGTCCGCCGTCTTGGCCACCCCTCGGTCGAAGCCATGGCTGTGCGATAGTGCAACCCCGGACGGTTCATAACCATGGGGCACTGTTGGCGGCGCTGGTGGCACAATAGTGCCCCCCTCATGTAATCGTCTGCGCCGCCCTTCCTTCGCCTCCTTCTGGGACTGAGACCCAGGCTCTCTTCAAAAGCGCCAGGCGGTCTTCTATAGTCATCATCGTCATCATAGTCGTAGCCGTCATCATCGTCTTCTTCGTCTACTTCTTCTTCATGATCATCATGGTGAGGGTGATGGTGATGGTGGTGGCGGCGCAGCTGCTGCTCGTCCTCCTCCATCATCCCATGGTGATAGTCGGGCTCAAACATGTCCCGCGACCCAAAAACGTCCCGCGGGCGCAGGCGATCGCGCTCGCGCTCGCGATAGCGCCGATCGGGCGTAACAGGGATCCGGTCAAACCTTGAAGCCAGGTCCCGGTCATGGTGTTCGTACACGGAGTGGGCCGAATACCCCACCGGCACCTCGTCTTCCAATTCCAGGTCGCTGGCCCCTCGCCGCCCAAGTGGTGGGGCCGTGAGCGGCGGGATAAACCTAGATCCATTTCGGTGCGTCGGTGTCATTGGGAAGGTCTCCGACCGAGCTAGCATTGGGACGGGGACGGAGTGATAGTCGTCGTAGCCCTCTACAGGTTCATTGCTGGAAAATGCACATTCGCAGGTTTTCCATCGTTCGCCGCATATCATACAGAACTGGGCACCACATCGGCTGTGAAATAATGTGCGAGGTTAGCACTTGATGTATGAGGTGTCATCATGTCATGCCACATGACGGAAGCATAAGCCGCGTGGCAGGCGGGGAACATGAGGCGCCAAAAGCGTCAAAGCTTTGGGAATTTTGGCAGGCACTCTTGAGGGGTGGTGTGGTAAAAAAAAAAAAAAGGTGGTGAGATAGGCGGCAGAGAGTAAAAGGGAGGGCGGTTGATTTTGGGGAGAAAGCCAAGGGGTGGGCAAGGAGGCAAAGGTATTGGTAGGGAAGAGCGAAATGGTATGGGTGGGTGTAAGGCGGAAGGGCTTCTGATTATGCAGATAAGGGGAGGCGGCGTAAGGACAGGCAGGTGAAGACAGAGAGGAAAGGGAGGGAGGGGGAAGGTAGGAGGCGAGGCGAGGGAGGGATATGTGTGGTCCGCCTCAAACCATTTTCATTCGACGAGATCTTACCAAGTCATGTGGTTACAGCCCTCCTTCAGCTCAACCATCGCTCTGCACCTGTAGCACTGCTGCCAGCCCTGCGCATTGGCCTGTTCATGGGCCTGGTTTGTAGCCTCGTCGTGCGGGCACTCCCGCGATGCGTGCCATTTGCCTCTGCAAGTTGTGCAGACCTTGGTGTTGCAGCGTCCGCATCTGCCCATGGCACGGTTACCCTCCCGCGATATCTGCTCCGGCTTGATCCACGCTCCGCATTTTCGCGCCGGGCAGTACAGCCGGTTCCGAGTGGAATGCTCTACAAACTTATGATTCCAAACATGTTTAAAGTCCTTGTCGAAGAGGTGGTCCACATGCTTCAGCGGTATGATTTCCTCGCAGCACTTGGGCGGCATATACTGAGAATCTGTGACCGATAACTTGAAGTTCCGCTTTAGGCACGGGAAGCACACACAGTGCTGGCATTTCAGCCTAGCGGTCTTGCGCTCTGGCAATTCATCAAAGCAGATAGCACAGTTTTCTCTAGAGCGGCAGCATGCGCGTGAGAGGCATCATGATTAGCGAGCTTGACATCGAGGAGAAAAACTCAGAGTCTTGGTCTACTGGCCGCAGTGCTCGGTCGGTAGGTATGGTAGATGGGGAGGGGACCAAGCTAAAATGCTTCTTAAAGAGAAGAGACAAGTGCAACGATACAAGAGCTCGGAAGTGGGAGCAGAAGAGAGGTGGGGCGGTGGAAACAAAACCGATGAAAGGAAAGAAGGAATGACTCACAGCCTATCGGGTCTATCGTAGAATCCCTTGGCCGATCGGGGCATGTACGAGTCGAGGAATGAGGATCGGCGAGGGGGCGATGTGGTGAAGCTAGCCGCATGGTGTCCGCCATGTGTATTGGATCTCCTAACAGACGGCTTAACATGGACGATGTCCGAGCCGTGACCCCTCCTCCAAGAAGATCTAGCCAGGTAGTCAGCATCAAGGGTAGGGTAGGGGTAGAGCAAAGGGTGGGGGAAGGTAGAAACGCTCGGGGCGAAGAGGTAGGTCGAAACGCCGAAGCTGAGGCGATGGATGGGATGAGGGTCGCTAACCTTCTAGTGGGAGGGTAAGCGGCCAGCGGATCCTCAGGCATGGGAAGGTCGGAGAACCGGTGTTGAATTGTGGGGGCTCGAAGCCGCGACGGCGAGCGGGCTCGAAGGGCTGTCTCGTCCTCTTCAAACCAGTCGTTTCGTCGCCTCGCTGGTCTTGATACAGATCGAGCCCTAGACCTTGAGCGGAGTCTAGACCTCGAGCTCAGCCTAGAACGAGAGCGGAGTCTGGATCTGGAACGAAGCCTTGCCGCGAGTTGGCGTGAATGGGCGCCCTCGTTTTCTTCTTCTTCCTCCTCAGTTTCCTCGTCCTCCTCTTCTGTTCCTTCGCCGTGATCTTCTTCGCCTTCGTTCTCTTCTTCCTCTTCCTCGTCGTCGTCGTCTTCGTCGTCGTCGTTCTCTTCAATATCGGGCACCAACGTCACTTTAGGCTTAGACTGGTACCTTATATTGCTAGGCTCCCGAGGGTTGTATTGTTGACGAGTTCTCGCCCGGGAGCGGCGAGCGTCGTCTTCTGCACTACGGTTAGGTCGTTGGTGTTTCTGTTGTTGCTGTTGGGGTTGCTGCTGCTGCTGCTGCTGATGCTGCTGTGGGCGATGGGGTTGTCTCCGGTGCAGTGGTTGATCATCACCCTGGCTGGAGGGAGTCCACTGGGATCCGTGATCAGAATCGGACACAGAAGTGTGCGAAGAACGTTTCGAATTAGATGTCGAGACGTGGTAGCGAGGCGAAGCCGCCATATAATCTTTTCTAGAACTTCTACGGCTATCCGTGCCCGACGTGTGTTGGTCATTGAGCAAGGGGTCCCTTCGCTTCTTGTCTGTGGGCGCCGTGGCAGAAGCAGCAGACGTGGAGGTAGCAGGAGGCCGGCGGGCTAGGGACATGACTGTGTTGGACTTCGGGGGCGGTGCCATGGACGGCTGGTGGCTACGTCGACCAGATGAAGGTTTGGCTCCACTGTTTTCTCCCATTTCTTGTTTCGCCGTTCGATCCCTGTAATGCGCAGGTTGACGACGATGATTACTTCCCGCACTCCAATCATTCTCGCCTGGTGGAGAAGGTCTACGTTGATTCCGTCTTCGGCTGGTCCGCCTGTCAACTCCGTCGTCGTCAGGGAAAGCCATCGAGAGACTTCCTTAGTCAGCCCCACATTCAACGGAGGTTGGACAAGGAAAGGATTGGGGGAGGACGGTTTCTCCTTCTTTTCCTTTCCTCCGCTGCCCAGTTTTTGACTTTGTCTTGTTTCTTTTTTTCTTACTTGGATTCTTCCCTTTTGGTATTTCTTTTTTGTTATTCTTCTTTTTTTCCGGTCGGGCTGCGACTTATTATCGGATGGGGGCGTGTGGTATCGAGTTCAGGCCTAGTTTGGCGGGTAGAGGAACAGCTGGAGAGCCGTGAGTGGACGGTTCTCGTGCATGCATCTAGCGATGATTGGGCTTCAACACTGCCTGCATAATTCGGAATGCAGCCACTCGCATTAATTTTGCACGCTCTTCAAATTGTGCGTGCGTCCCTCCTTGTAGGTTTCGGTCTCCGGGAAGCGGTGGGAGGCAGACTCCTCGTCGCTTGTTCGCCCTGTATTAACCAACAGGAGGTCGTCAATATAAGTCGTATTAGGACGAGAGAAAAGTGCAAAAGCGGATGGAGGGATGGGAAGGAGCCGGAGACGGTAGAGAAGGAGGGCAGAGTGGAACCAAATTACCATGCTAGGTAGCCTCACAGGATCAACTGGTGGCTAGGCGAGCTTGTGGCAGGTTGGGCAGGAAGTAAGGCATGACGGGTAGACTAAAGGGGGTTGGCGATGGAAGCAGAACTAGGCCCCGGACGGGACGGGGATGGAAGCTCAACCGGCATGGACTGATTGTCCAACCAAAGCTCTCCAATGGGAGGTACAGCAGGGCAGAAACATGAGTAGACAAGACTGAGAAAGGAGGTACGAACCCTGCGCGGACGGACTGTTCTGCTTTCAAACTTTTTGGAGTATGAACGACGTCAAACACGACACTCGATCAAGACGGGGTGGTCGAGTAGCCAAAAAAGGAAGAGGTGGAGAGGGTGATCGAACGGGATACCGTTGGGCGGAGGGCTTGATTCGGAACGATAGGTTTCGCGTCGTGAAAGGGACCGGGCTTGTTGTTGTTCTGCAGGCACACAGAGGCGCGGCTTTCGATTCACGGCAAGGGGAATAATAAGGGGATGGTCTGTAGGAACAAGGCCAGGTACGCGGCGGGGCCTGGCGGGCGCTTTGGTCGGCCACTGGCGAAGGCCTTTGTTTGAACCAAGTCGAGAAAGTGTCAGCAGGTCTCGCCTCGACTCAACACTACGAATCGTTCACGATCGATCAGTCTTGATATGATATTGCTGCGGTTTTCTTCGCTGGAAGGGGGCGGTGCAGGTCTTTGCGTTGAAGGTCGGAGTCTTGAGATTATTGGGCGGGAAAGAGCTCGAGAAGTAGTGCCGGAGGGCAAGAAACGGAGCCGAGGAGGTCGGCGTGGGCTTTTAGGCCACCTGGGGTCGTGAGATAAAGGTAAGCAGGACAGCCAACACCCCGTTCTACGGGCGTAGAAGCAGCGTTGAACGACAGATGGCGGTCTCTCGATTGCGGGGAGAAGGTGTCTCGGTGGTCTCAAACGAGAGAGGGGCCAGAGAGCTGGGTGAGGATGTGAGGTTGAAGCTTGTTTGCTGTGGCTCGGAAAGAGTCGTGTCTGCAAGGTAAAATGGAAGTGTCCTGCCTGGGCGCTTTGTTCCTCTTTCACGCTCTTGTTGCTAGTTGCTCGCATCGCCCACAAGCGGCTCGATGTTTGGGAAGGGGGATTCAAGGAGGGAGGCTGAGTTGAGGAAGCTCACATCGACGTCTTGCGTTGCGTTGGTAGACGGTGTGCCTTCTGGTGATTGTCACTGTCACCTGGCTCCTAAGCAGGGGTGGGCCGCTTGCACCAGTCGCTAAAAGGGAATAGGCTGGTGAACATGGGCTGGCTCGACAGGCACACCTGAGGTTGAGAGTGTACCTGATTGTCACCACGCAGTCGCCGTAGCTCTCTTGTACCTAGACCCCCAGTTCATCTAAAACCTGGAAAGGGCCCTGTTTCCTAGCGTGGTGGAGGGTGTGGGCTCAATTGATTCAGCGAGCGAGACCTCCAGTGCTCCCACGAGGTTCTCTATTTTATCACGTGGGGCTGAATGTTGGACAATGATAGGGACCAGACCCGTTCAATGTTCCAGGTTGACTGGTGTTGACTTGTCCACCCCAGTCCCCAACCATGACAACCTCGAGGATTAAATTTGGAATTCACGGTGAAGCATGAAAACTTTCAAAGTCATCAAGGAGGATACCCATCACGGGGAATTCGTAATAATCAGTCCATTGACACTCAATCACAGCATTGCCCCTCCGCATACGAGGCGTACGGAGGCCTCTGCTGTCGACGACGGCGGGCCCCCAAGATGGACAGCCAAGAGTCGATCTTTTCCCCATCGGCGACTCCCGCGAAGAAGCTTCAGTGGCTCACCTTCTCACAGGAGACTAGGGCCAGGGAAGGATCCGGGGATATCCTTTCAGGGGCATTTTTAGCCTAGCGCCAGGCGGCGTGCGGGAGGACCACAGGTGTCCCCTCAGCGTATCAGCCCGCCATGGGGTTTTGGCTCGCCACTCGACAAGTGGGCTCCCTTTGGTGGGCGATGTCGCTAACCGCGGACGGGCGCTCCCTGGCTGAGGTGGTTACACTCCGCCTGGCAGAAGGGGAACGCGGGACCCACTGACCATAGGCAGTACACAGTTGGTTCAATGTTGACTGTACCCATCATCCAGAGCTAATACAGTAATAACCTCAGGTCCCCCAGTTTCGTGGACCACGGACTGGACTGGGAGATCTCGAGCTGCTGCCTTTGGCTCAGGCGGCACCGGCCCGAGCGCTAAAAGCGGGGTTAGCCAGCCGCGACAAGGCACCAGAGCACTCGAGGTCTCCCAGACAGACCCAGTCAAGCCAGTCAAGCAGTCCAACGCTGGCAGTGCTCCATTCCCCTTGTTCCATGGCCCATGAATGCGACGTGGAATGACTGTCCACAACTGATCCAGCTTGTCTTGTCACCTCTCTCGATGGCATGACCTCATCCCCCACCCCTTTCAAAAGGGAGAGGGCAGTCTCAACCTGATTGTCCAAGAAAGACCACCAGGGCTTCTTGGCCTTCTTCCATAGGGTGAGCCCCTTTTTCCATTCACCAAGACCAACCACCTCACCTCCGACACCCGGTTCGGCAGGGAGATTGATGCAAATGTGCAGTCGATCTCTCGCTTCACAACCGCGCATCGAACCGAACCAGTCGACCCCATGCTGCCCCCATCCGTAGTCTTCCCCACGCTGCTTCTCTCTCAACGGCAGCCGTAGTAGTCCTTTCTCAGCATGACAATGCATTCCCAGAGCGTACAATAAAGAAAAAGTGGGAGTGGGTGGCATTGACGAGCCACTAAACATCTCCCCACTTCACTCCTTTTGTCTCGTACCCACGCCCTCGTATAGTTGGCGGAAATTCGCGAGGCACCAGACGTTTTCGGCCTCCTGACTAAACATCAATGATGTGAGAGCGGAGGGGGCGGGGGCCAAACAAAGAGGAGGAGGATGGGGAAGACGGGGAGAATTAGATAACACACTACGTAATAATGGTAGCCCCCGCCATCGTTCCAGCTTGTCGTCTAGTGCCATCGGGAAGCTTACCACAAGTGTGAACAAGTCTAATGGAACCATGCAGATTCACAGTCCTCCACAGCCCCGTCAGCCCTGTCATCGTTGCTCCGGTTAGGGAAAGCAAACGGGACTCTCAGGCCACCACCAACAAAAACGAGCTGCATGGGTATGCATTGCTGTATCTCCATCTCTTCCTCACGCTTGCTGCATCCCATTCCGTCGCCTCGGCATCGGATAAGAGGACATCTCCTTCAGCATCACCTTGATTCGATGGTGTTTCTTTTTTATGGGCAAAGCTGCCTGCACGCAACCGTCTGTCACTGGCTCTATCCACGCAAAATCTAGATCGGAAGAGTGAGGAAAAGGAAGAAGGGGGCAAAATGGAAGAATTACCTCTTCAACCCAGTTCTGCAACGGCCCGGTGGCGCAACATTTTACACTCTCAGCAGGGCCTCTCCGCTCATTCCTATTCGCAGCCCCATCCTCAAAAGTCTAGGCTATCAAAGCTTGCTCTCTCATCCAGTACCCGAGCCACCTCCCGCCGAGAGCTTCCGCCCTGGGTGTAAGCAGGCATCCGCAAGGGAATCCTAAAACAGGACGCGACCCATCTGAAAAGCAAAAGCTGCCGACAAAGGAGCTTTTCTACTATGCCTTTTTCTCCTCCTTTCTTCTCATCCATATACATTTACGAATTCCCATGTAGGTTGCACAACGTCGGGTGAACATTCCCTTGCTCGTCTCGTCTCCGCCCGCCCCGCGCCACCGTGACTACGTAGATATCACCTCCCCTCTCAGTGGACCTCTTCCGTCCATTCGACGCCAGATTATAGAGCGATCATCATTCTCGACGCCAACCGAAAGCTCCTGGCAAGGTTGCCTAGCCAGAAGAAAAACAACCTCTCCCGTTGCATGTACTCGGGTCTCTAAGGTCCCTCGGTATCCGTGGAAAGTAGAAACCCCCTTCCGCCGCCCACAACTCCAACGAGACACACGCCAGCGCAGGCCCCGCGGACCAGCATGGCTATCCGAGACAAATAGGAGAAAGGAGGGAACGCAAAGACGAAAGCCGTACATAGCATAGTGCGCAACCAGGCCACGCCATGGCGGACCCTTAATCTCTTCTCTCTCCCAGTCGTGCTGACGCTTCTCATCCCACTTTTGCGCGTGTATCTATGCCGCCTCTTCGCACCTCCGCGGGTCTGGCTTTGGTCACAGCCTCACCCCTACGTCGCCTAAAGAAAGGGAACGAGGAAGGCAAGCGCGGGCTGCCGAGCGATAAACGGTTGCTCAAAAACAGGTAACACCCTGCTACGGCCGCCCGTTCTCGTTCCACCAAGTCCAGTTTTCTCACATATCAACAATATTGATGTACAGCTAGGGAGGGGCCAGTGAGCTTCAACGTTTGATTTATTGTCTAGCGGAACTAAAACTACTCTAGCGCCTTTAAGTGACCCAGACTCGAAAGACTAGGCACCCAAACCGGAAGCCAACTAAGACGTAATAATCATGGATGAGGAGCTCTTTGATGAGGGCATATATGGGTCAGAAAGTAACAAAACGGTCATCTTTTCTCCTGGTGCTGCGTCAGAAACCGTAGACCTCATCGGAAAGCAATGCTATGTATCAAAGACACGTACCGCAGAAGCGCCCATTGTTTTTCTTTTCCTTTTTTTTTATCTTTTCTATAACGACTCGAAAGAACCCTCTCGACGGGTGTTCGGAGACTAGACTAGACCAGCTTCTCTGAGGAACCTAGAGAATAAGAAGACGGTAAGAATATGCGCCCCTATGGTTCTGGATAGTTGGTGGAACTTGCGGCACTCACATCAGTCGCCTTTCCCGTCCACGTACGATACTCCACAGACCTGGTAAGGAGAAACGAATAGGCCGTGTCTGAAGTCGGCAGCGTAAACCCGTCAGGTTTGATCCCAACGTTCCGCGTCTCTTTTTCCTTCTTATGTTTAAAGCAACGATGACGAGTCCGTCCAAGCAAGGTAGGGCAGTGAAATTCGAATCCGGGCCCATAGTATACGATGGCCATGAGACCTAATGGCCGCCCCTACCCTTTCCTTTGCCCTTGCCCTTGCCCTTACCCTTTTTACCTTTGTTCTTGTGCTTAGGCTTGGACTTGGACTTAGCTTCGTTCTTGTCAGACTCGGTATCGCCCGATTCAGAGGGCTGCTTGCTAGAACCTGGCATGGCCTCTTCACTTTGACAAGCCTCTTGGCCATCGGCATTAGTGGGAGGATGGACTGGGTCTTTGTGGGCGGAACTACCGCCGTCAACACTCTCATCGTCGTGGCCATGACAATGGTGGTCGCCGTGGTGGCAGCAACCACACGCGCCGTGATCGTGGTCGTGGTCGTGGCCGTGGTCGTGGTCGCGGTCGAAAAGATCATGGGAGCAAGCTCCAGAGCAGGTATGTCCACAAACATGCCCTCCGCTACAGGTGCCAACAACACCGGCGCTCTGCATAAACTTCACGAGCTGACGCTCGTTCAGAATCCTCATGACGCACTTGAGGCAGGTGCCACAAGGCTTGTTGGTGCAACTGATCGGACCAGTCAGGTGGCCTGGGCCAATCTCGCTGACGACGGAAGCAAGATAGCTACCGGCGTATTGGTAGGCCCAGTGCTTATAATCGTCCGTGTCGAGCATGTAGTCGCGCACGTAGGCGCTAAAGACGGTCATAAACTCGCGGTGGCCCTTGAGGAACTGGGCCTTGTCCTGGATTCCGAGATAACTCATGGAGCCGCCCTAATTCTCGCGCATGAGGTCCATCGTCGTATCCAACCAAGCCTTGACGCCAGCCGCGTAGACGTCATGATCGTCAGCGCCTACCTTCCTCCCGCCTTCGGATTTACCCACAAGGCCTTTGATCTCGTTGCGCATGTGGCCGCAACGGTCGACAAAACTCATAAAGCGGTCAAGGCCACCCGGGACAAGTGGCTCCCGGCGCTCGATGCGAAGGACTTTGGCCTCCATGTACTCGGACCATCGCTGGATGTCCATCTTCCAATGGAGACGAGACGCCATGGGGTCAAAAGCAAACTCTACCTTGGGCTTGCCACTGGTGGTGATCTTGAACACGGTGTGGGAAGGATTGCCGGGCCCTTTATTGTATTTGGGCAGGTTGGCGTCCTTGACCACGAACTTGATGACTTCGGCTGACTTGATGGGGAAGTCTGTCGGGTTGTTTGACGGGCGGTCAGCAAACGTGCAGCCTTGAATGGACGAAGAGGGCCACAAGGGCGTCTGACAAGCCCACGCTACTTACCGGACATGATGGCCCAGAAAAAGGGGCGTAGTAGACGTGGAGGTCACCATCCCCCAAATCATCAGAGACATGGCAACCATGTCGAGCTTCTCCCAGGGTCAATATCGGGGATTCGGATACGAGGCTTATCCATGACGCCTGAAATGGCATCAACTGCCTTCTTGAACATAATCATGCGTCCCTGGATGACCATGGATTTGCAAAGGTAGGAGGCGCGCGCGAGATAGAGACGATTGTACATCTTCTCGCACACGTGGCGATGGCCATCTTGGCCGATGGGGAACGAGTCGACAATGCAATAATGTTGGATTTCTCCTTGGCCGCCATTCTTATCCTTGGCATCAACGCAGCCAGGGCAGCCACGGGCAGCCTTGTCGCCGCAGACGCAGCATCCCGGGTTCTTTGACCTCTTGGCCTTTCCAGCCGTCTCCATTTGAGCTTGGGCGATTTTCCTAGCCCTCTTGTAGGCCGATTGAGGTCTCTCGTCGAGAAGAGGTGGGGGTCCGGATGGGGTAGATGATGGATTGGGGGAATGGGAGGGTTTCTGACCTTGGGAGTGATTTCCACCCCATTCACTTTAATAGGTTGAACACTATCATCATCCTCCTCCTCCCAATGGGCGGGTGAGGACGCCGACATGTTGATAGCCTTTGTAATCTTCGATGATAAGGGTGATGATGGATGATTTCCACCGCAGTTAGGTGATGAAGAAAGAGAGACAGACAGGATTAAGAACTAGAGTGTGACGAGAGGCAGTTTGTTTACAATTCATCTCAAGCCTAGATCTTCTCCTCTCCAATGAGATGATTTCTTTGAGCTCGTTGCCCTAACCATCCATAGAAGTGATTCATCAACAGTAGAGGTCATAGGGAAGGAGCAGCCCTGCTATCCAAGCTTAGCGCATATTGTGAGAGAAGCTCGCGAAATGCCCAAGACTGACTCGAGGCTGGGATTCCTTCGCCGGGAAGGAGCGAAAGCGCAAAGGTGCTATTATGTGTGTGTCCTGGACGCTATAAACTCGGAAACTCTCCATGATTGTGTGATATCTCGGCCTCCCCTTATTTCATGGGCTGGTCTGGCAGTGGAGCGGAGATCTGGAACCATGGGCATGACTTTAGAGCTCATATCAATACGCGTATATAGTCATGGATATCTTTATTCAATAGTGGCTTTTATGTTTGGTCGAAACCACGCGCGTCCCTTAAGCGTCTGGAAATGAGTAACTGAAACACGAGATAGGTAAGGGCGGCGCGCTCTTGACATTTGATCCAGTGGCTGTTTCCATATTCACACCTGTCTTACAGAGAGAAGTAAGCCCCAGGCGAGCCGTGTAAGTCTGGCTTTAGCCTTGTCGACAAGGCTAGACTGGTTTAGAACCTGCCAAACCTCGAAGGGTTCTTCTGTTCTTTACACGCTGTTGTAAGCCACACTCACGCCCATCATTTAAAGCCAACAGGTCCGAAAGGCAGGATGGGGAGCTGTATGCCTTGGACATCGCGACCAATCCTCGTTTCCGCGGCTTCGTGAGAGAGAACTTTAGAAGGCCGAGTGGGTTACGTCGCCGATGTAGTAGCAGCAACCTCTAGGAGGGGTTACTACATGTAGTTGATACTAGATCTATTTCATTCTACATCAAGTTGGTGTGGCTAGCGGAATGGGTGTTTCTAAGACGTCACACGCTGGTCGGCCGGGTTAATGAAACAAACAACAGCTGAAGTGCTTCGCCCGATGCGAACCCAAAGTTACATTGATGGATCCATCCATTACACGGATAGATGAAAAAGAGGGCCTCTGGAGGCTCTTCCCGCAACACAGGTCCCATGTAATCCCTGTGAAATATCTCTAGGAATGGCTCCATCTAATGGATGGATGGATCAATATCATCTCAAAACTTCGCAGCCACTACCCGATGACCCTGAGCATTACCCAAGACTAACAAATATCCTGAGAATCCCCCTTCGAGAGCCTCCTGCTTTTCCACATCTTGGCCGACGTAACCCTAGCTATCCTTTTTCCTACCTTAGTTCCCCCTTTCCTTAACCTCTTTGGGCCTTTCTCCCCGCGTTCTCATCAGCGAGAATGCTACCCTCCGGCAACCTGCGCCGCTCTTCCGACTGCCCGACTGTTCCTAACCCCGGACTTTTCCAACGAACACCTCTTCGTCCTGTCCGCTCCACTTTTCGTCTAATCTCCCCTCTCCAATTACTACCGACAGCCGGAATGAATCATGTCCCCGAGGTAATGGGAGTCGAGGGGAATAAACAAGAGGAGCGAGAAGAAAAGGGAAACGAAGAAAAAAGGGGGTAAAGGAAGCCATAACCAGGGGAACAAGAGGACAAGGCACGGATGGGACGGTAGGACCCGAGGAGCTACAAATATCCATTAAACAAAAAACCTGAAAACCGATGGAATAGATTGAAACATTGAAAAAAGTGCATGAACACGATCCAAATATCCACACTTACTCCCCAAAGCAGGAAAAGCTCGTCCATCACCAATCCCTCTCTATCGCTCCCTCTCCCTCTGCCCTCAGGAGAGAGGACGGAGAAAAGGAAGGACCACGTAGAGACGTGCAAAAGGGGAAAACGGACGGTTAATACTGATAAAGACAACACAACAGGAGGGGACACGCAACGACGAAGAAGGCAGAAGGAAAGAAAAACACGCCGAAAGGTTGAGAGAAGCCCCCCTTGCAGAAAATGCAAGTCATGCAGCTTACGGGGAACTCTTTCCCCGGCCTTGGCCCCGGCCGGGTTTAAACATCGTGGTTCCGTTGTACCAATGTGAGCACTTAAACGAGACAAACACGGAGCGCAACGTCTCCCCACTCCGCACGCGCAAGCCACGCACTCACGCACCCACGCATCCACGCATCCGCAGCCCTTTCACTACCCTCTCCAGCGCTGCGGGGGCACCGGCGGGCGCGTGGGGAACGCCGCGAAGGTGCCGTGCAGGTGAGTGCTTTTGGGCCTTGATTGTGCATTGAGAGAGGGAAAGAGAAAGAGGCAGGAAGCCCAGAATCGATCCATATATCAATCATGTATCGATTGGATTGCTCGTCACGGCTGGTTCCCCTTCCCTCAGCGCTTTGACCTGAGCGGAAGTGATTAAATATGATGGCTCAAAACGCCCGGGCCATGACGGCGTTGGTCCTTGAAGAAGCTGAACTTGGCAAAAAGAACAACACAGAGAGAGGGCAAGACAGAAGCCAAAAAAATCATTTAAAAATGTGAGAAAAGAGATGAGGGAAAAGGACGGGGAAGCAAAGGTCCCCAATGCCCAAAACGCTAGAAATGCGTACCTGTCGGCTGGCTCCTTGCCGGCCACCCACTGCATCGGTGCTCTTCAAGCCCGACGGCTGATTTCAGCATCCATCAATGTTCAAATGTTCGTGCAATCTTCTCTCTGTCGGCTCAGCCCTCAAGCTCCCTCCCTATACCTGGGCCACCACCCGCTAGACGAGCTCGTCGGTGCGCTCTGCAGACGGGCATTGTGCAGCGGGGTTGGACCCCACCTCCGCCCATATGGAAAGAGCCTAATCTTCTAGTGGGGGAGAGACACACACGTAACATAGAAGCTGTGAAGGCCCGTTCAAAAACATGGGGCGACTACACACATTTAGCTAGGACCTTTTTTTCATCCGTCTAGCCAGCGTATGATACAACAATCGTGGCTTGCGTTTGAAATGGTTGCCCTGAACATGAAGAAGGTGCACGACGCTCCCTAGAAATATGGCCGTGGCCACCAATCTACACCAGAAAATAGGGTGGTTGAGCTTAACCAAGTGGAGGGAGGATGATGGACGGATGCTGGACGAACGTGATCACATTTTCACAAACAGGCGCCGAGAAAGAGCACAGCCATATCTTCAATTCGCAGGGGATGGGATATATAACAAGATGGCAAGAGTGGCCCAATGTTGCCAGTTAATCATTGATCGTCGTTGAGGAAACAATACTCCGCACAAACACCTAAAATCCGACCCAAATAATAAGATATAGAGAAGAGAATAAAGAAGAAAAAGAAGAAAAGAAAAGGAATAATAATACTGGGAGAATCGAAGAGATTAGAAATGAACCCCGAAACCGACGGGCTTCCTTCAGCAAAGAAATGATGATGCTATCGAATGGTTGGGACGGACAAGGAAAGAAAAAGGCCAAACTCGGCGGAAAAGACACTAAAAAAAGATCAAGGCTCGTATCAAAACTTCGCATATCCCTCCAGATCTCAACGTTCAACCCCTGGTTGAGCCCCCTCCCCGCATCGAGCGAGGTCAAGGTCTCCTCCTCGTAGCAGTACCCGAATTCCCCTCAAGGCAATTGATATCGTATCGTAGGAGCACTGCGTTGAGTGCACCCCCAAAAATGCATCATCCACATGTGCATGATCGGCCAGGCGCAACTTAACGAGCCTTGGCTAAACGTAGGCCGTCTTCTCACCCGAGCTAAAAGTCGGAACGAGACAGACAAGCGTCCCCTTCTGCACGAGACGCCGCCGGCTGAAGAGTTGGTTGAAGGCAACATTAAAACCCCTCCTTCGTTGCTCTTGGTGTTCGTTCGCTTTTCTTTTCTTCATTGTCCCAACCACGTCCACACTTCTTCATGGTGGTCGAGTTGCTTTTTGTTTTTGTTCTGTTTGGGAAGCTGGCTTGGCTGGGTGTGGTCGGTCCCTGGAAGAGGTGGTGATCATGAGCAAGGATAACCATGGTCGAATTCTTGGGGTAATCGATCGCAGGGGTAGGGGAGGGTGTAGGGGTGTTCGGCGTGGTTGGCTGGCTTCCAATCCATGAACCCTTGATTGGTTGAACGTATTATCCCGGAAATTCGGCCCGAATCCCTTCACATCTTCCAGTATTACCCGCCAACCACACTGCATCAGCACATTCTGCGCCGATATCATCTGGCTTCAACAACACTTCTCCAAGACAAATCCTGGGGGTTGGAAGGGTACCAAAATATCCAAAGAAACTCAGGAATTCCATGCTCCCGGATTGCTGATCTGTATCGAATTCGTATCGAGGTAGGCTTGGACAAATGTGGGAAAAAGGTCGCAAACGCGGGAGACTGCCTGCGCATCCAGTTTTGACCGCGCGGGGCGTGTTTCACTCACCCCGCCCGCCCCGAGGGAGAAGACTCGAGTCTTTGTTGCCAAACACACGTCGGATTGCTGCGCGTCGTTCGCACGTGGTTGTCTCCCTCCAGGACCGGATGGCGTTGCAACACCTAATTTCCCCCATCCACGCATCGGCAGATTCCCCTTTCATGCCTAAAATTGCTCTTGGCCTGCAGTTCTCTTGCCAACCCTGGAAAGGCATGAACAGAGCAGAGCTTCGTCATGATACCCCACCAAGGCTGTAGGGCCCAAGGGTAAGTAGGTGGCTTTTGCAACTGGGATACCCGTCAAGTCGAGTTTGTTGCTTGCATCGCGTTTGTTCCCACATTGGACTTGTTGCTTTGTTTCGGGATATTATTCCCGAGTCCCGGACTCGCACCCGCAGCGTCAAAGACAGTGGCTACCATCTCTTCATTTGATAACTAACCCTCGTTTCTTGTTGAAAATCATATCAAAGGTCAAGGGTGGGTAGTTGCTGCATTAGCGCGCCGTGGTCCGCCTGCGGTTCGAGGACAAAGCGGCAAGGTGATTAAGGGCGAGCTAACCAATCCGGGAACCAGAGGCGACCTTGTCTATGGACGAGCAGGCTTGAGAGTAAGATTGTAATTTAGGGGATGTCGAAATGCTCCAGTCTTCAATGAAACTTTTGTGTCAAGAAGGGGTCGCTTCGTTCGAGCCGCTGTTAGTGTGGAAAAAAATTAATGGGCTTAAGCACCAAGCCAAGCCGCGTTGGAGAAGCTTAATCCCAAGTGATCAGTTGAAGGACCCCGGTGGTTCGAGTCTCTTCAACACACCCTCCCCTTTTCCTTCTTCCGTGTCGCGGGTCCGCCTACTCCGGAGGGGCAAACAGGGGGGATCCATATCGCTTCTCTGGTTAGCCGCACACCTGGATGAAAGAAGGAGAAGATGGCGAGGGATAAAGATCTCCACTCTTTCCGCATGTTGTTTTGGGTGCGTCCCGTGAGGGCGGGCGTCGGCGAAGCGAAGCGACGGCAGGCCGAACCTCACTTTGACCGAATGGCATTCCGTCATCCCTTGAAAGCTGGGGGCCAAGAAACAACAGCTGCCGGGGGCAAGACGACGAGACTGTTAATTTCTTTCACCTTGTCCCCACTGACCGAGGCTTGCTCTCGAACCCTAGTCATTGATTTCGAACTGAAGTCAAGAGGGACGACGGAAAAGAAAACGTATGATGTATAAGGCAAGGTCCCGACGCCACACGCTGGGCTTGGGAAGGGACAAGGTTCCGGTGCAGATGCAAGGCGCCACATAATGGCTACCCCACCGTGTCTATCGTGCCGAAAAGAACGTTTTGGGAATCAAGGTAAAACGTTGACCTCCCGATCCGGCCGCAAAGACTCGAGGTAGCGCTCGAATCGGTGGGTTGGGCCCGGAATATTTCTTCTGCCCCTCTAGTACGCCCCCAAGATCGTCCTTCGCCGGAGTAGGCTGTAGCTCACTCCGTGCGGGGCGGGACATGGTTGTTTAGATATGAGGGTTGTCGAGTCGAGCAGAATAAAAATTAAACAACTGGGTGAGGCCGGGATATTGTGGGAATGGTGCAGCACAGGTGGTAAGACCATCTGAGTAGCAGCCAGTGGCTCCCCTGCCAGGACACAGTACGAAGGCTAAAAGGAGCTAGGATGGCTTCGCTTCATCATTTAGGCATTGAGGAAAGCGCGCCTTCGAACCTCGGCCTCTTTGATAATCTCAGCCGCCAGACTAAGGCTAGGCGCCAGCATCGAATATCGTTCAATTTCCATAACCACCTCGTTGATGATGTGATCAATCGTCTCACGACTGTGGACGAGCGTGAGGAGAATGCTCATGAGGGACGGTGACATAGTAGCACCCATGACAAGCAGTGTCTGCGAAACAATCGACAAAGCTCCCTGCCAAAGATAGGGCATGTGGCCGGCGTGACTGCGGTGAATTGATTAGATTGGTTTCATTAAATGCATACCCGCCGCTTGGCCAAAGCGAAGAATTGGGGAAAGGATGGGGTAGGGCCACTAGCCAGCAGGTATAATGATGAATGGCAGGTAGTAAACGGTCGAAAGAAGAGAAAAAAAAAAAGGGCAAGCGTGCAGCGATATTAGGCAGGAAGGTAAAAGCGGTGGCCGGCTTCTCATGCCCTACTGCAGCGGGATGGATTGGGGGAATATAGAGGGCCCCTACAAGGGGAGGGTGTTTGGACGAGGGGACCAGTAGGAATGCAGGAAAACCGGAAAGACTAGAGTCAACTTACTGTGCCTGGATATGCTCTAACTGCCGGATTGCCGCTTCGAGGCATTTGTGACAGCTCTCCCGCACCGAAGGATCCAAAACGGCGTTTTCGTTATCGAGGACCGCCAAGATGTATGGTCGGTAAATGATGGTTCGGCAGGCGAAGAATCTGAATCGCAACACCGTCTGTACCGGGTCCACGAGCATAGTGCGGGCAAACGGGAACTGCAAAGGCATGGGTAGCGATTCATACCACTGGGTCAGTTGGTAGTCCAGCTCAGCGACGACCGGTTCCAGACTCGTCGTCGAGGCCATGGAATCCTTGGAATAGATGAGCTGGCTGACGCGGTTCAAAAGCCGTCGGAGGGCGATTTCGGCCAGGAAATACCAAAGGTCATCGCGGCCGACCGCTTCCTGGCTATCCTCTCCCTCGAAGCCTCCAGGCAAACCAACGTTCTCTTCAAACTGCACGACGCCAGAGTGGGGAAGGTCGAGTTCGGCCAGGAGGTCGCTTTCAAAGAGCAGGGCGTTCCAGTAAATGCGCTCCGTTAGCTCACGCTGCTGCGGAGGCACACGGTTGGGGGACATGAGGAGCAACTGTAGCTTGGTACTCGTCGTGCACAGGAGATTCCAGGCCTCAAAGGTCTGACCAGGTAGAAGAGGTAGGCAGCCGCTAAGAGATGACATTGGGCGGCGAGAACGTGGTTTGAAGTCATCATACCGGGGAGCAGAGCCCAAGCAGCGGTGAAATACTGGAGGCCGGGAGGGTCCTCTTGGGGAACGATGCGCGAGATGCTGCCCCGCAAGCTTGCCTGGCCGAGCGCTAGCACCAAGAGAACAATGCAACTCTCCGGGCCCTCTCTGAAACCGTTTGAGAGGGCGGTTCTGTAATGGCTCCTCCACGTGAAGGGGTTCACGCAGGCGTACCAGACGTTCACCCGCTCAAAATACGCTTCAATGTAGGCCTGAGTATTTGACAAGTCGACGCAGGGCGTCTTCGTGAGCGAATGAAGTGGTTCTCGCGCCATTTCAAGCTGTAGGAGAATTTGGGGGTCGTAAGGCCGGGAGACCAGATCGCGAATCAAAGGCCACTGAAGAAGGTGAAGGGCGGCGTTTGTATGCACCTTTGGCATCGTAGAGATGTTGGTGGGGCTCGTCCATGTTCCAAGTCCACCGTTGGGAATGATGGATACAAAGTTGTTCGCCGCGCTACCGACCATAAGGTTCTCGCCGCCGCTCAAAGCCGTACCATTGCTCATCGAGGGCGAATCATGCGAGATGTTGATACCTCCGTTCCCCTGGTTGCTGACCATGTTCATCTGCAGCAAATTCTCGATCCGACTGAGGCGCTCTAGGATTAGTTTATCGCCAGCATCGAGCTTGATTCCGGGCTCTCGATAGATACACTCGGCGCCGAGTTCGGTGCAAAGCTTGCACTTGGGCTTCGTTCCATCACAACGAGACTTTCGCGACCGGCACACCTCGCACTACAATTGCATGTTAGCAAGATGGGGGACCTGCCTGCTAGAGATTTGGACACTGAGGAACCAACGAGAACGCAAGAAACAAAAGGAAAAACAAGATACAGAGGAGTGTAGAGGTGGGGAGCAAAAGAAGCAATATTTGTGGGTTCGGGACGTACGGCAATAGTAGCCCTCCTTCTCGGATAGTCTGGGGTAGAGTCTGGATTGCGCCTCTTGAGAGGGTTAGAGCTTGATCCATCGTCGGACTGTTGGCCCTTGTGGTTTCCCCCAAGCAAACTATCGGACCGGGTATCGTTTGGTTGAGAGAGGTTGCGAGCTTTCTGCGCGGCACCGAGAATACCTTCCCGGCTGAAGCTCGCGGCCCTCTGGGTTTTGATGGCGGTGGGCGACTTGATTGAGTTTACAGCGCCATTTGTGACAGAGCTGAGGGCGCCCGCGGGCACATCAATCGTGAAGCTATCCCTGGTCGGCATCGGGAAACGGCCAGTCGCCGTCGCCGTGGCCGATCGGGGCGAGTCGCCCGTCGACGACGGGGACATGATTTTTGTTTGAAGATGAAGCTGCGTGGAAGACGTTGTGGCGGTATTGGGCGGCGTTGTTGCTCTGAATTCTCTTCAGAGCAACGCGGACCGAGACGTGGTGATGTGCTGTCAGGATTACAAGATCGACTGGCTGTGAGTTGGCCTGGGAAGATCGGCGGCGCAACGCCTGGCAGTCCCGGTCGAGACGTTTTTCAGTTGTTCCTCTCCCAAAAGAAGGTTAAAGGAATAATGAAGAAAGGGAAAAGCAAACACAAGCAGAAAAGACAAGTTGGGGATAAATTGGGAGAGAGAGCAAGTTTTGGCGATGAAACAGCCTTGGACGATGCTCAGGTCCCTTTAATGGGGAAAAAGGAAAAAAGACGGGAGGTGAGCGAGTAAAGAGTTGGATGAGGAGAAGAGAGGTGGATTGGATTGTAAGTACTGGGCCGAGGTGTTATTATGGCAAAACGAACGGTCGTGGGCCGGATATTGGGAGGTGTGGACGATCAAAAGGAAGGTCACTTTTTTTTGGAGAAAGGACTTTCTTTGGCTCGCCCTGAAGCTGCTCTCCTCCACGTTTGTCTGTCAAGGCCCCTCCTCCACTTGCTTTCTGTCAAGGAGCCAGCAGCCCCATGTAGTTAACTAAAACGGGTCAGGGATCATTCTCAGTGGGAATGGAAATAAAAGATGGGGAAGGAAGCGAGGGGGAGGGAGGGGAGCAGGAGCAGGGGTTCGATTTTCGTTCCTGGACAGTACCTTGGTACTTGAGTACAGGTCACCTCGCCGTATTCTTGCAAACCTGCGAGGGCGCCTCGAAGACACGAATGCAGTGCTGTGGTGGTGGGGTTGGGGGCTGTTCCGGGGTAAGATACTCGAGGAAGTTGAGCCGGTACAGGGTTGTACCTTTCCGGATACACAATAATAATTAGTGGGTACTTTGCGGTTACATTGTGGTTGAACTCCATACCCACACCATCCCCAGAACCACTTTCGAACTTTGGGGCTTTGCAAGGTGCGAGGTACTCCGGACATGGCTAACCGGCCAGTACCCCATGCTTCATCCAGTCTTGGTGGACATCATCGGAAGGCGGGCGAGCATGGGTGGGAAGCCCAGAGCGGACATGGGCAAGATGGGAAATGGAGGTGAGTGGGCGGGGCTCCGGAGAACCCACTGAATTTGGGTGGGAGGGGAACAATGGATGTGCAAGGAGCGGGCAAGCATCTATTACTGACATGAGCAGTCGATGAATGGACGTCCCTCAGTCGAAAAGGAAATGATCGAGAAGGCAGTCGACCGGGGCCCTCCTGATCCAGCCAGATTCAGGCTTTGCGAGAACCAGATCAAGCTTTGCTGTCTCCCTTGGGCGCCGTCGCCTCCACGGTCGCCGTCCTCTTTCAATCTTCACCCACACCTCAGAAGTGCTGGACCAGCAGGAAGCGTGAAAAAAACAATTCAATAGAATCCATCTTTAAGCGTCCTCCACCCTTCAGATCGGAGAGGACGATTTTTATAATGGTCACTGAAAGAACATCTCCATTTCGACCTCCAAAATGTCTTCGAGAGGGAGCGCTTGAAAATCTTTTGTCAGGGAGCATGTGGCGATAGTGGAACTGCTCGCCGTAGTGCCGGTCGCTGGCATTTGAACACTTGCGTTGGGCGACTAGGGTTGATGTTATTATGACCTTACTCGTATTAGTTAGCCGACTGGACAAGCCTCAAGCGCTCCACTCCGCCATCCCGCCGGAATACCCAGCGCAGCCGAGCTCACGATAGCACTTGGCAGAAGGTGCCTCACGAGTCCCATCTGGCTTGAACAACAAAGGAAGCAGGTACGGAACAATTACGCAAGGCCCAGATCGTGGACTTGGCGAATGTGATCCCACGTATAAGTTATCAAAGATGCTGTTTCGTGGGGCGTAGCTTGTTCTTCTTGCGGCTCGTGATTTGGGCATACGAGCAGTGAAGAGAACGAACCTCTTCCTCTGCGAGTGATAGACGCTGGTGGTTCTCGGCCAACTGATGGGCTCTCGTGTTCGACATGCACTGCATTCAAGGTTTCTTTTTTCTTCGCGGCGGTATTGACTTCATGGGCTCGTCCAAGACAGTTGGGGTGCGCATGAGCGGGAGGGCTTAGACCAGTCGGCTTCCATCCTGGCTAACAGGGCACAGCGGATGGTGGCTCAAACCAACAACCCTTCATCAACTTGGTGAGGGGAGGGACCCTTCCTCGAAGGTCACCCAAAGGAAGAAGTTCAAGCCACAATTTAGGGCCCATCCCTTCCCTCGACTCTTCGCCAACACTGCCGTGCCTCAGCCCCAGGTTCAATGTTCTCCACGAGGGCCAGATCCACCCCAAGGCTTCATATTCATTATCCTCAATAGCTTAGAAACCTCAAGGTGCTGCCCGCACTCTATCCCATCATGCCGACGCTTCGCGATTCCTTGTTTGTCACAGGCAAGCGTGCGTCACGTTGGAGGAGGAAAAAGAAAGAACAAAAATTGAAGCAAGGGACAGGAAATCGAAGAATTGCGGGGAAGAACTCCCCCAGAGATCAAAGGTTAATATTGAAGTCACCAGAGCGGCTAGTTCTCCGCCAGCCAATGCTTGTCGCACAGCACAATGGGCCTCGTCCCAGTGAGTAAGACCCCACATCTTTAGGGTGGCTCTGGGATCAGCAAGAACCCCAGCATCAATGCACATCCACAAGGGTTTATTGACGAGCAAAAACGTGAGGAGAGCACTATCATCTCGCATGGAGAGGGGACGGGTTTACTAAACCACCTGAGACGACTACTTTGTCACTTTAGCATGGGGGCTATCTTCCGTTCTCCACCCCTCCCGTCTGGAACTTCACTCCATCCCCGCTGTAGCCGACTCTGGATGGCAGGCCAAGGAGGATAGCAAGGAGACAAACGACCGTGACGCCCTTTCATCTTAGCAGGGTCAGGGGTGGTAATCTCACAATAGCTGCCGGCAGCTTGGTTTGTCGAATGCATCAAGTTGGGCGTGGCCTTTTTGGCACATAGGTTAAGCCGGAAAGAGCATCAGCATCGAAATGGGCGGGACGGACAACTACTAGTATAAGGACTTGCTCCAGCATGCTAAAAGAATTTATACACGAATAACATGGCGACAATCAGTGCGCCAGGAATGCCTGGCTCGGCACCCCCTCACTCACCCCACATTCACCTTGTGTTATCCATGGATTCGATTCCTGGAGTTGGCTTGGAGCCACGACCGGATTCATTTTCAAGCCTCTCCATTTGATACATGTACCGGCGAACGTACCCGTTGAACAGTTCTCTCCTTCACAACATGTATTCACTTGAACCCCACGGCTAGCCACCTCAAGGCTTCACGAGAATCAATCTGACCTAACCCCTACGTCTCATAGATACATAACCCATTTCCTCGCGTAAAAACCAAATTCTCTCGATACTCGTGATCTCGCCTAGGACGTAGAGCAAAGAAGCAAGGAATTTAGACAGCGCGTTGCCAGTAAGGGCGGTTTGTTGGGGTAGATATGAAATGGAGGGGAACCCTTTATCCTTCACTACCTTTGCCCAGTCTTCTTATTCTGTAATCCTTTTCCGCGTGAATGAGGACAGTCATAAATGAGAGAGGCGAACAAGGACATGGACTCGCCTGTGGCATCAAGAATTAATGCGATGCCTCTTGCAAACATTCAAAGAGGAGTGATATGATCTGTACATTTGTGTAAGATCGCAAAGCTGACGTTAAGTCTATACTATATATACTATATATATGTACCACTTTACGACAGGGCAAAACGCATGAACGATCCATTCTTTAAACACCCAAAACGGGCCTCTCCCGGATATGATGTTGAATTGATATATAAAATTGCCACGTATATATGTTGCTCCCCTCTGAAGCTCTAGTTTTTCGGGCTACGAATTACGTGGGACAGTCTCCCCGTCCCCTCTCTCTTTCTCTCTCTTTTCCATTTCCTTCCGTCCACTCCTCCTCCGCCGATGCTGAAACTGAGGTTGGGGCGTATGCAAAATAAATGGACTGGATGGGTATATTGATCAAATTGATATCTATTCATTTGTGGCCTCCCAAACTTTGAGGTGGCCGGGGGCTCAGTTCCCCCATCTTCCGCCATGGGTTTTATCCATTACCGGTCCCCAGTATCTGCACACGCAAGCCACAAGCGTCCGTGTCCCGCACCTATGATGCTCATGTGGCGATCCTCCCTCTTCGGCTTGCTTCCACAGTCCGCATCAGCCCGAGTTTACATTTTTCACACGTCCGTACCAGATCCCGTCGTTGTTGCCCAAGCCTATCCGCGGCGGGGACATCAAATATCGACAACGGGATTTCCAATATACGCAAGATGAGCAAAACCAATCCAGCAAAGTGGGCGTAAAGTCGTACACTAGACCTACGTTGATTTTCATTGGTGCCAACTTGGGTTGGTCGAGTGGGACCCGGGGCCCTGGGGTCGTATCTCTTTGGTATTGCAACCCTTTCAGATCTGCTTGACCAAGAGAAGGGACGGCGACGCAGATCGAGACTCCCAAGTTTCTTGACCGCGCCTGAATTTTACTCCACGTTTCAATGTTTACCCCATCAACCCATTTAAAATCAATGTCGTGCTGGTCCGGTCTTCGCGTACGGTAGATGGGGGCCCAAGATCAATGAGGGCTCCAAGGGCGCCTTCCGTTACCCCAACACTAATCTAAATTATTGATGTGTAAGATCGAAGGAAGGTTCGTCCCAGACGTACGTCGCCACGTCTTGGCCAGTCACGCCCGCTCAGTGATTAGTGACACAGTACCTTGAACACTGATTCGGCATGGTGGTGGCACTTTCGCGCTTCATATTAAGCGAACCGTGGTTATAATGGCGGAGACGCCATCATCATTGATGAGTTCACATCAGATGAGCCGGTTTGCGCGAGGCCGCTTGGACTTCTCTCAAATCCTTATGCTCCCATACTCCATATATTCTTATATTCAAGGGAAGGTTCTGCTCGCTAGTGTATACAAT